TAGTAGACTATGCAATATATTTACATACCGCGCTCTTCTATGCCCTCGCCCTCTACCGCCCTCTATTACCTCGCCCGCTACTCTCCTCTATTGCCCTGCACTCCACTGTGCTCTATGCCCTCACCCCCTACTCTCCTCTATTGCCCTGCACTTGGCCTATCTCTCGAATTTCACTCGGTCAGTTCTCGCACGCTGGTGGCCCACCATCTCCGCATCATCCTGCCCGGTCAGCGCTCGCCAATACAGCCCAGATGCTGGACCCATTTCCGTGGGAACCAGCCATCACGCGTGCCTTCGATGCCATCTCCTCAAGTAGGCGTCGTACGTATACCCCCACGGTCCCCTTCTCGGGCATATAATCAGGATGTAGTGTTATATATTCACATAGAAGTACCATACACATAGGCCCGGTGTAGTGCAACAATAACAACAGCAGGGTATCAAAGTCCAAGGTGGGCACTCCAACAGCCACGTATATCGCCGCTTTCAAGGCGACCTCGTTGAACCGTGCTCCCGGGACGACGAACGGGATGCCCTTCAGCGTCTTGCCGCCCTTCCCGTCGCTCACCTCGTTCATGGCCAGCGCGAGGATCCCGGGCTTGTGGTTCAGGCTCTTCACGAAGTGCGGGTCGTCCGGCGTCGCCGGCAGCACCTGCACGTCCAGGTTCAGGTGCGGCTTCTCCGCCGCCACCCGCCGGTAGTACTCCGCCATCGCAGGCTCGCCGTGCGGCACGTAGATCCGCGGGTTCACGCGCCCCGTCCGGTTCTTCGGGTCCGCGCAGATGATCTCCAGCCCGTCGCCGTCGATGCGCCGCGTCAGCGCGTGCCAGAACGAGTTCTTGATCATCCGCGACAGGCGGTCCACCGGGTTCTCCGTCAGCCGCGCCTCGTCCAGCACGATCCGCTTGCGCCCGTGGTCGCGCGCCAGCGCCAGCTCTTGCAGCAGGTTCGACAGCATGTACGTGCCCTGCCGCACAGCATGTCAGCGGCACCGCGTCGGTGTGGTATGGGATGCGTGCGTGCGTGCGCGCGCGTACATACCCGGATATCGAACGTCTTGAAGCCGTTGCTCGTCGCCGTGCCGAGCGACATCAGCTTCGGGCCTGCGTCCGTCACGCTGATCTGGAAGTCGCCGTCCGTGTCCTCTTGCTCCAGGATCACGCGGATCGTCTCCTCGACGTCGATCAGGAATCGGCGCGGGCCTGTGCTCTTCTCGTCGTGCGACATTCGCCGCTGTCTGCGCACCCAGTCGTTGTCGAACGCCGCGCGCTTCGGGTTGTATCCATGGGCGAAGGACTGTGCGGACGGATTAGCGTTCAACGGTACAGGTGACAGTGTCCTGCGGGGCACTTTTCAGAAAAAGAGAACTTGCTGCGGGTCGCACACGGGTCGCACACCTACGTGCACCGCACGCAAGACTGAAAGACCTCAGAACTGGCTCGATCACCCCTGCTCGACGCGTGAAGACATACAGAAATGCGCCACTACAGCCAAAATGGCTCGGTCATTGCACGCAGTTGCAGATCCCTCCGCCGCGAAGACGCCGTCACACTGGAGAGGTACACCACACATGGAGACCGCATATACGCAGTGTCTGAAACAGTGATGGCAATGCAAGGCGGTCCTACCGATCTCTGCGATCCATTGAGGGTCGGAGAGCGCGATGGGCGCGGAGTTGGGGCAGCACACTTTCGAGGCACGGCTGGGCCTGTTACTCCTTGGACAGAGGATCAAGGCATCCCGCGGAGCACGGAGTAGCAAACGACTGTCGGGCGGGCGGTACTCACGGCGCTGTATGTCCTGGAGCGGCTGAACTGCTCTTGTCCGCCGTAGTAGGTAGCGGCGTCGGTGTTGACGGGACGCTGCTCGTCGATGAAGTTGACGCCCGTTGGATGGGTAAGTGCGGGGGCCATGGTGGTCGAATGGGCGGAGTTGATGGTGGATTCAAGAAGGTGTGCGGAGCTTAAGAATGGGTGTGACCGGAATACGGTAGAAGGGCGAGGACGGACGGGTCTAGGGTGATATGGAGGACGGAGGGAAGAGGAGGATGAGGCAGAGGCGGTGGAGTAGGATTATGTCTGGATCGGAGCGTGTGCCGATGGGAGCGCTGGTGCGCCTTGTCTCTCACCACCGTAGCCTGCCGTCCGTCTTGGTATACGGGCAACGCGTTACGCGAGCCTGCGCCTGCATACGCCTGCTTGTATTTATCCATCTCGGCTCACTCAGCGTCTCCCGCACCTCTGTCGGTCACCTGCCCGCCCACGGATTCTCGCATCTCATACTCAGGTCCCAGGGCTTCCCCTGCCATCGACAGATCGTCTCTAGTGCCGACATGGCGATGGATGACACCGTTCGCACCCCGCGCGAGATCCGGTCTCCTGGCGCGTCGCTCTTTCCCCGGACTGTCACCCTCCAGCGCCCGCCGGGAAGGCCCTGCCCCATGGCACTATGTCCCGGGCTCGCTGATGGTCCCATGGGCCATATACACTAGCTGCCCAGCCACGATCGGCTGGGGATGGCTGTATCACGCCGCGCGCTCAAACACCGTCTGCCCACACCACTGACAGACGGTCGCGGGATTAGTCCGGGGCCGCGCGTTGCACGACCATGGCCCGTCAATCACCAGGGCCACAGTGTGAAGGCGGCCGCTGCATTTGCGCTGCACGCGCCCCGTCAAGCTGCCGCTCGGGAAGGGCGGTCCTCATCGCAGTACGCGTTCGCTTGCGGCGTGTCGCCGTCATAGTTTACAGCATCGTGAACGCTTCTTTCGCAAGGCTATCGCAGACACGCCTGACGTCAGTCGACCGCTTTCACGCGCACGGCCACGAGGCGATCGGGCATGTTCTGCTCGCGATCGGAAGCCCTTAGACTGCGCCCTCGCTTCAAGCACGCTTTTGTCTCGCCGCGGCCCACAGCAATGCTCTCGTCAATTCCACTCGCCAGGGATCGTCGGCACGTATCTTGACGTCAGCGCAGCTCGTATCTCGCATCCTCGCTAGCCGCCCTGGCTATCGTTCGCGTCTGAACGAACATCTTGTGGCGTGGACGCGTCTGTTCTCCCTTCGCATCAGACCTGTGAAGGGCGCTTATGACAATTTACGACATCTTCCCTTCTTCTCTGGTGGTCGGTGTACGACAAACTACGATAAGAAAGGCCGCTGCTTCTAGTAATCGGAAATGTGCTTTGTTGTCGTGGAAGACCAAGCCCCGCCTCGTGGTCGAGCTTTTGCGTGAATCAACCCTCTTTTACGAGAAGCATATGTCAATTGGTGATTCGCAGCTTTGCGACCTGGAGCGGTGGTGGCTTGATACGAAGGTGATAAGCATCATGCCCAAGGGTTTTCCACTTATTCTCTGGGTGAATCGATGTCGGTCCAAGTTTCATGAAACGTGGCCTCATTCCCCCAAAAGAATGTGAGTTAACTGGCACAACTTTACCCAAGAGTGTCAAGTGCCTGTAAGTCGCTCTCGCCAGATTCAGCCTGACAGTGGGTGAAAGCGACTTCTCGGCACGGCGAGTGAATGCCATGCGCGTTCAGGCTGTTGAGAATCTGCTCTGGACCGGATGCGCCGCTATGTACTTTACTGTGTTTTACGACAATACAATCGAGAGCCTGCGGGCCTTGCGCGGGCTTTGAGGTCTATCAGAGCGAGCGCGTCGAATGGCTGTGCGTGACCGCGATCGCGTTCGGCGCTTGCACATGCGCCCTTCAAATGCGCGCCGCAAGTCGCATCTCACGGCACTCCCCCATCGCTTTGCGCGCGATGTCGACGAGCTGGACCCAGGCTGTCTTATCTACCGGATTGCTTCATAGATCCAGCCTACCGAGCTCACTGTCTACACCGCCGCATCATGAATCCGACTGGGGACGAGGCCGTCTCGCCCGGCTCCTTGCGCTCGCTCCAGCGGCCGCGGCGTTGGCTCTGCTCGTCTACGACCTCCTCTCTGCTATTCGCTGGCCTGGACTGCTCAAAAGAGCCCACGCCGTCCTGACCGCGCCGTTCCGCGAGTTCCTCACGCTCGACGACCTCGAAGACACGCCGGGCCCCGCCGCCCCGCACGCGCCGTGGAGGGCGCGGGCCCTCGCGGCCGGCGCGGCGCTCGAGTGCGCCGCATGGACGGTGTGGGCGGCGTATCAGGGCGTCGCGGGCGACGCACAGGGCTCGGGGGCCGCGGCGGTCGCAGCGGCTGCGTGGGTACGTCTTTCGCGAACGGTGTGCGCGCGCGATAATCATGCCGGCGTTCGCAGCTGTATGCAGGTGTGCGGGTGCTGGCGAGGCCGCCCACGACCCCGCCGTACCTCCTGATCCTGTTCTACCTGGCGAATGCGACGACGGCGCTGGCTGCGCTGGTCATCGGCCTGCTGGATGGGGGCGATGGCACCGCGGCGGTTGCGCTGTACGTGCTCCGTGCGGCGTGGCCGACGAGCCTTGCGTGGGCGGCGGGGACGTGTCCGCTCGAGCCGCGTCTGCCCGCGCAGGACGCGGCGTCGGGCACGGAGGTGAGTCTCGTCTTCCATACGGATCCGAGCGGGGGCCGGCTAACGCATCCCCAGGCGCCCTCGAGCGCGCGCACGATGCCGGAGGACAGCGCGTCGCTCTGGTCGTGGTCGACGTTCTCGTTCGTCGAGCGGCTCTTCGGGGTCGCGCAGCGCCGGACGCTCGACGCGGCGGACGTGTGGCGCCTCTCGCCGTACTTCACGCACAAGAACCTGTTCCGGAAGTACCTCGGGTACCGTGCGGCGTGCGTGTCACTTTTATCTGAATGGCGGGCGTGGGCTGGGAGGGTCTGACAGGTGCACGATCGCAGGCACCCGACGCGCTCGCTGCTGCGCTTCCTGCTCGCGTCCAACTCGCGCGATTTGATACTCGACATCGTCCTCCAGCTCTGGAGCGCGGTCTTCGGTCTGTCGCGCGCGCTATGTCATGCGGCGCGGTGGGATGCTCACACACATGCACGCGCAGGCTTCGTCCCGCCGTACGCGCTGCAGCAGATCCTGTCTGCGCTCGCGGACCCCACGCCAGAGTCCAAGCGCAGCGCGTACGTCTTTGCGCTGCTCGCGTTCGTCGCGAACCTGTCGTTTGCGCAGATGGACCTCTACCGGATGTGGTACACCCGCCGGTGCTACGAGCGCACGCGGGGGCAGCTGTTCTGCGCGCTGCACTACAAGTGAGTCTATTGTCTCCGCTACGTTGTCTGGGATGAGATGGCAGGCAGCTGACCTCGCGGGACGTGTAATAACAGGGCGTTGGCGCGACGCGATGTCAGCGGCAAGGCGACTGGCGACGGGGCCGAGAATGACAGCGCGGACCTGGGCAAGATCGTCAATCTCATGCAGTACGTCTCTCTGCGTGCGACGTCTTGAGTGTCTCACTTGGCGCGCACAGGGGCGATGCGTACGCCGTCGCTCACCGGTTCTGGGAGTTCGCGGGTATCTTTACGGCACCTATCCGCCTCACGATCGCCTTGGTATTCCTGTACCGGTGAGTGTTTCGACACCGATAGACGTGTTGTTTTTCCTGATGTCGCGCAGAATCTTGGGTTGGAGCTCGCTCGCGGCGGTGGGCGTTGTAGTCGTGGCCTACTTACTGAACTATCCTCTGGCAAAATACAACATCTACGTGAATCGCTTTTTTTACTTGGCGCCTGGCCCGAGGTTGATGATGTGCTATAGGTTACCCGGAATGCTTGGAATGCCAGGGATCGCCGGATGAATCTCGTGAACGAGCTCTTCCAAAATATTCGCTTCCTCAAGTTCTACGGCTGGGGTTTGCATTCCCGCTCCCCACTCTGTGACTTGCAGGCTAACTACACTCTTGTCGCCCGTAGAATCCCGCTGGTCCGACCGAGTGCATGACTCCCGGGAAACCGAATTGAAGTGGCGGGTGAAGGACAACATTGTGTCCGTGTTGATCACCTTCATCTGGACATGGATACCATCGGCGACGGCGGTGTCTTCGTTCCTGTGCTACACCCTCGTTGCGGGCGAGCGGCTGACCGTCGCGAAGGCGTTCACGTCGATCGCACTCTTTTCCTATCTGCAGGAGCCAATGACCCAGCTGCCCGGGCAGTTCTTCGCCTTGCTGCGCGGTATGTGCATGCTGTACCTATCCTTGTCAATTTGCGGCTGATGCCGGTGTTGCGGGCAGCGTACGTCAGCATGCAGCGCATAGAGGCGTTCCTGGCTGAAGAGGAGGTGCCCGATTGGGCTTCGTCTATCAAGATGTCGCCTGCGATGCGGACATCGGCGGCTGCGGAAGTCGGCTTTGAGGACGCGGCGTTTGAGTGGGATGTGGCGCCGAAGGACGTGCCATCGCGTTTCCAGCTCGGGCCTCTCAGTGTGAAGTTTCCGGCGGGTAGGCTGACGCTGGTGAGCGGCGCGACTGGGTCGGGCAAGAGCGCGTTGCTCTCTGCACTGCTCGGTGGTATGTGTTGGATGCAGCCACATTTGTATCGTGTTGACCGAACATGTGTACACAGAAATGCATTGTATCTCGGGCGCGGTGGTTCTCAACAAGGCGGGGCATCAGGTGGCCTACTGCGCGCAGAATCCATGTGAGTGGTAGATGATTGTACGTGCTAAGTGTTGACTGGATGTGTCGCAGGGCTCGAGCACGCCACCATTCGCGACAATATCATCTTCGGCTCCGCCTACGGATATGACGAGAGACGATACCAGGCAGCCATCGAGGCGTGCGCGCTGACACGAGACCTGGAGATCTTCGAGGCAGGGGATATGACAGGTACATCCGAGGTCATCTCTATCGGCCACTCGTTCTCAATGATGCGCAGAAATTGGTGAGAAGGGAATAACGTTGTCCGGTGGTCAGCGGGCCCGAATTGCCCTGGCGCGTGCCTTGTACTCTCAGGCGACAGTAAGTCCATTAGTCCTGCAAGGTCCGCAATGCATTCACACGTCACATCAGTGTATCTTGCTTGATGATCCGTAGGTCTATGTCTCTGTAGATCCGTTACGCATCGTGTGATGTTTGCTCCTCTCTCAGGCTTGCGGCGGTCGATATGCACACGGCCCAGCACCTCGTGAAGAAAGCGCTATCAGGAGATTTGGCTCGCGGTAGGACCATCATCCTCATCACGCACCACATCACGCTGTGTCTTCCTATCGCGGCCTACCTCGTCGAGCTTGCGAGCGGGGAGGTCATCCGACAAGGTTCGACGCAGGAGCTGCGAGAGAAAGGCCAGCTGCAGAACCTTGTCGACGCGGAGGACGTCCCGCCTGCTGAATCGGAGTCTCAGTCATCGTCTTCTACTTCCATCGTGCAGAACGAGGCTGATGGTGCGGATGCGGCGGGAAATGCAGAGAGAGAGACTAAACCAAAAGGCAAGCTGATTGAGGCAGAAGCCCGTGCTGAAGGACGCGTCTCAACGCGCACATATTGGACCTACATCCGCGCGGCTGGGCTATCCTCGTGGTTCTTGACTGTTGTACTCATGATCCTGATCCGTTTGATCACGATTGGGAATCAGGTGAGACATCCTCTCGCCCGTAATTGATGGCGTTTGACATGTCCCTTTATACGTAGTTCTTCATAGCCAGATGGGGCGAAGCATATGAGAATACTGACTCTTCAATAACAAAAGACCTAGCTCCGACTTGGGAACAGCTCCCGCCTCCAGAAGTCGATGTCAGACCTTGGCTCCTGATATTCCTGTGCATCTCCCTGTCTGGCGCGGTGACTGTCATCCTTTACATCTCGCTTGGCTACTACGCCAGTCTGCAGGCCTCTAGGTCGCTCTTCACATCCATGCTCCGCAGGCTGACTGGCGCCCCCTCCCGCTTCTTCGACGTCACTCCGATCGGACGGATACTCAACCGGTTCACGTCCGACATCGACACGGTCGACTATGCGCTACAAAATTCTGCCAGGGCCGCCCTCTCAGGCTGTTTCAGCTTCCTTGCATCTCTGTTTGTCGTCGTGTGGGTAGTGCCCTTGTTTGCACCATTCGCACTCATAATAGCGTGGCTCTACATCCGCCTCGCACCATCGTACGTACGGGCCTCTCGTGACCTGCGGCGCTTGGAATCCATCTCGTTGTCCCCGGCGTTTGCTGGATTTGACGAGCTATTGAGAGGTCTACCCCACGTGCGGGCGTTCGGCATGGAAGAGAGATACCAAGATAGGTTTTACAAGCGAGTCGATACATTCCAGTCATTCGATCACGTCTACGTAGGTCCATTATGGACTCTTGTACCCCGTCAAACGTCTAATATATTTTGTTTTGCCTTACGTTCAGTGGCTAGTCTCCGGGTGGCTCCAGTGGAGATATGATTGTCAGTTAGAGCATGGGCTTTTGGTGGATAGCGTCTGACAGCCTTGCAGGTCTTGGGTCTGTTGTGGTCTTCTTGACTACAGTCTTCGCGCTGGCAACTTCCGTGAGCTCCGGCTTTGCTGCTCTGGTCATTGTCCAGGCTGGCGTCTTTGCTGAAGCGTCACGAGTCCTTGTGAAGTGAGTCTACTACCAGTCTATTTATGGTGCGCTAGAGTTCATCTCGTTGGCAGAGTTCTTGCCCAACTAGAGCTCGACTTCAACTCCGTAGAACGCATCGTGGAGTATCTTGGCGTGCCGCAAGAAGCACCTGCAGTTATTCCCGATAGCAGACCGCCAGCATACTGGCCATCAAGCAGTGGCGAACTCATTGTGCAGGATTTGGTCGTTCGGTATGCGTCGGAGCTGCCTGCCGTTCTGCATAAGCTTTCTTTTACCGTGAAGCCATCCGAGAAAATTGGAGTCGTGAGTTGTTACTTCGAGAAATCTGTGCAATCCGCTGACATGTAGTTGCAGGTAGGGAGAACGGGTTCAGGTTTGTGAGCCTACTGAATACTACCATGAGGTAATTGAACCTTTCATACCAGGCAAATCGACATTGGCATTATCTATGCTGCGTATTGTGGAACCAAGCGAAGGAAAAATTATGTATGGTTCTCTGCATGACATATCCCGGTATTTGTCTGACCAGCATGGGTGATGCAGCATTGATCATGTAGATATCAGCAAGATTGGGTTAGACGATTTACGGACTCGCATTGTAGGTCTCGCGCGCGGGCCAAATTCGCGATGTTGACTTGATGGAGTTTAGACTATAATAAGTCAAGATGTCTCGCTGTTTTCCGGCACCATCCGAAGCAATCTCGACCCGTTCGGAGAACACTCGGATGAGGAATGCATGGAAGTGCTAGACCGCTGCCACCTCACATCAATATTTTCCCGTACTATTGGGAAGGCGGAGGGTGCAGCAATCACCCTCGACATGCCAATCAGTCAGACTGGCTCTCTGAGCGCAGGAGAGCGGCAGCTCGTCTCGATGGCTCGGGCTCTTCTTCGGAGAAGCAACGTGGTCATCATGGACGAAGCGACATCGCAGATTGACTCGAATCTAGATGATCAGGTAGGCGGCTGCTAGCCCGTGAAGATGTGTAACGAGCTCACTCCAAGCATAGATTCAACGGACCATTCGTGAAGAATTCTCTGGTGCGATAGTGATCACCATCGCACACCGCTTGAAGACAGTGCTAGATTATGATCGGATCCTTGTCCTTGGCGGCGGAGACATCCTCGAGTTTGACACTCCACGGGCCCTCATTACCGAGCCAGGTGGTGTTTTCAGAGAGATGTGCCGAGCAAGTGCGGATTGGCAAGAAATTCAAGCTGCTGCGGAGCAACGCTAATTGCCTAAGATACACTCCCCAAGCTCGGCGGGGACTCGTTATGTAACATACAGCGTTGAGATGCCTCAGGCTTTATCCCGAGCGATATATGGCTGCCGTATCCTGTCACAGCTTCATTGAAATTTGCGTGCGCCCCCGTTGAAAGCCTCCTAGCCTTCGCAGACGCGCAAGTATATATGAACATATTGATAAAAGTCCAGTGGGCTGGTGTGGCCGGAGTATTCAGATCTTTGGGGGCTCGATCGATACACGATCGGCGGAATTGTTCTATTCGAGTAGAAACTATTTTGATCATCTTACCCTCATGTTCACCGTGGCGCTAGGCAGACCTCAATCTAAAGGTCCGCCTCCGCCCATATCTTCGTGCTGCTGTCGGAAGTCAGGAGTAGTTCTTGGGCTTGCAGCTTGCTTGAAGACGTCTACTCGGAAGTACTGCACAGAAGGGTATTGGGTCAAGCACTATCGGTACAAGGCCAGAAGCCAACATATGCGGGAGTGAAAGCTGTCGGCTTACTTATTATCATACGGCGTTCTCAACAATGGGGACCGCGAGCTGACCCATAGGCGCTATGGGCAAACAGAAATGTGATCCCATTCGCCAACTGAGCGATTCTTCAAGGAGGTTTGGATTTTATCTACAGTTAATGAAATGCCTTCCACAGTACAGAGATAGTATCCCGCATGTGCATCTATCGATAGATAATCCAAGCGAATTACCTCCACCGTCTATTGCCTTGCACCCATCGCTGACTATTCACAGACGCGACTGGACGCACGTAACATATATTAGCAGGTGTTGTTATGGGAACCGGTAGAGACTGCGAGCTCACCCGCGGCTGAGAAATGCTCCTCACAAAGGCAAGGATATGACGGTTGGCATCCTGCGGCCGCTCGATATGCGGTGAGTGACCCACACCGTGCATTAAATGCACCTCCACCTGATCGTATATGGACTTGGCCAGTCCAATCATGACCTCGTACATGCAGTGCGTGTCCTCAGTCCCCTGGATGATAACAACCGGAATATGCCTGGCTTGTTCCCGCCAGCGTGAGTCGTCCTGCTCGCGGTTCAAGGAGAAATATCGAATGATCGGCGGCTGGAGTCCGAAGCCGCCGACCAAGGACAGCTTGGTGCTATATGAGAGAGCGGCTGGATCTGCAACGCACGAGTCGACGAAGGGTACAGCGCTCTTGGCAGCAACTTGTGCGTCTGAGGAGCAGATTAAAGGTACCAAGGGCTTGAAGAGCGGGTGCCGGCACTGTGCGCTGAGGTTTAGCGACAGGAGTGCTCCTCCGATATAAATGACTCCAGAAATCGATTTGGGACCGAAGTAGTGAACAATGTCGACCGGAATGCACCCTGATCCACGTTTAAGCAAGCGTTTTTGCGGATAGATTACATGATCTACAGACTCACCGCCCAGACTCCTATCAACATGAACTCGTATCATAAAATCACACCTCGTAAGTAGACTTGACGTACCATCCTAACACAAATGGCCTGTCCAATCGGAATGCTTCACAGACAGTGCGGAAATCCTCGGCATGACGAATGGCTGAATAGGACTTCATATCTTCGGGTTTGTCACTGCGTCCATGGCCTCGCATCTCATACCTCACAAGGTGTAGGTTACTGGAGAGCTGGGGGTCATTGAACTGATTGTCGAACCCTGCAGCGGTACAAGCCAGGCCATGTATGAAGACGACAGCGGGCGCAGACCGATCCCCAGTTTCTTCTGCACATATCGCAGTACCATCAGGGGAAGTCACATACTTTATGTTGACAGACATGGCGATGGTGCGAACGGGGACAGCAAGACAAGGCACTTGATGCACTGCTAGGGATAATATCCCCTTGACGGAACCCCACCACATACCGTATCGTCTCTCTGTGCACCTTTTGCCGTCAGCCAAAGGATCGACGATGACCACATGACCGGCGCACCTCTCACAGGCCGAGGTCGTGTGAGCTGCTACGGAATTGATCTAACTTGAATGAAGAAGCAAACTACTCACGCCAAGCATACAATTTCGGCCTGAGCTTTCTTATACCTGGATTGGTAAAAAAGACTGGAGTCCGTCTTATACATGAGTGAGAATGGTATAGCAGGGCAATGATCCAAGTCCAGGAGGCGTAGTCCAGAAAACGGTGAGAGCATTCCGATTGCAATATACAGTACGCTGCGATGTAAATAGCCCGTGTATTAGTGTCTCATATATCATAGATAATGCAAGCAATGCCCTGGATGTCCAGAAGAACGGATGTGCGACATCTAAGCTAGCTCTTGATTTCCACAATCACGTTGGCAGTCATGATAGCGGTATATGCTATGATGAGCGCAACGCCCCAGCTTCGCGGTAGGAAGTAGCCATTCAGCGGCACGAAGATGAGCGTGGCGACCAGAAGCGCGAGCAAGCCGATACCGGTGATCATAAGAGTGGTTGTGAAGTGGAGGTAGTATGGCTCGGCGGTTTTGTGAGTGATGTAGGAACCAGATATTCCAACGCCAAGGAGAAGGTTGAGCATAGGTCCACCGAAGCACGCAGAGAAACCCATAATGGGCGCAAACACCTACGATGAGACGTTAGCACAGAATAAATATTGCGAGATGCGACATATACGCACAGCAACGCTCATGTTCGCTACCAGATCAGCCGTGGAATTACCAACGGCGAAGATAGTCAAGCCTATGATGGCGTCAGACAGCCCGAAGATGAAGCCAAAAGTCTGCAGCATTGAACACGTTAGTAAAGAATAAAATACTACTTAGATGCCGGCTTCACCTGTAGGACCTCTACGACCTCGTCGGCAATCGCCATAATCCAGACGACAGCAACCATGAAGCCCATTATACACCGCGCCAGCTGCGCCGTAGGGTGTTTTCCTTGATCTGAGAAAACAGCTACCATAATGCCCACCGCAAAGCCCGCCACACCGGTGGCCAACAAAAGCCACCATTCGTGTTTCATGCCAACTACAGAAAAATGAGTGAAGTATCCTTCCCTTCAAAGCACATGAAGACATACCAAACAAGATTGCAACGCAGAACAGAGGCCCAAGCGTGCACTGCACTGCCATGAGCCATTTGTTGTATTTAAGCTCGTGCATCTCTTCCTCGACTTCATCCTCAGCAATCAGAGCGCGCTCAACGCCCTCTTCCTCGAAGTCGATTAATCGATTTTCGCTCCCCCCACCATGTAGTTTTTCTCTTTCCCTTGAGGAGTCGTGATATGCTGTCACGACCACCGGCAGCGTCAATGTGAGCGCCATGACGGCAGGAGCTGCGAGCACAGCAGCGATCTTGCCCAAAAAAGACTTCGACCGGAATCCGTGTAACGTGGGGAACAGGACGTGGAACGTGTGTCCCAGCACACGTGCTATTCGTCGCCATCGTGAGGGGGCAGCATGATGCATATGGAAATGACTGTGTTGCGATTCTGTGTCTGTCTCGGAAGGCAGGGGGGACGCCGGTGTGTGTGAAATCATTGGGATTTGCTGGTGCTGGTCGGGCTCCACATGCTGGTCGTCAGCAAGTAAAGGCGAGCGCTCATCCAGCGGGACTCCGAGCGTTGCGTCCCATGGATCCTGCTGATCATCCACCTGTGGTGTATGAGACGCGGATCGCGACCGGTGATGGTAATGTCCGCCAGGGTACGGTGAGTGGGGACCCTCGAACAACGACAGAGATGATCCTGATGCCTCCTGTTGAAGAGACGAGACAATCCGGCGGAACTCGAGCGCGCCTACGAGAGAAAATGATGGCATAGTGCTTAGGTGCGAAGCTGACTGGACAGATGGTGATCGCGTGTGAGGTCGTGGTGGAAGGTCGGTTTGCAGACGGGGAGGTGCCGGATTGGACGTAGCACGCGACCTGCTGTAGCCTGGTACTTGCAGTGTCGATGAGACAGCAGGGCTCGGGATTGCTGCAGAATGTTTAGTAGATACTGGGAGGGGATATACAGAAAACGTACGTGCATCCGAATATGGTTCCTCGTCGCGATAGGGTGTCACTACGAGTGCCTCATCTCGATATTCGTCCCGCAGGAGCTCTTCATAGCGACGCTTGCGCTCTGCCCGTTTCTCCCAGATGCTCCCGCCGATGACAACGGTGGCATAGACCGCATATAGTACTATCATGGATGCAGCCTCCCAAGTGTCCATCTTGTTGTCCCAAAGCACGATAAGGAGCACTATCACGGCGAGGGTGAAGAAGCCGACGTCACGGAAGAACCGGTATCGCATCACCTTGAAGGGCTTGATGATGCACAATGAGCCGACCACGCATGAGACCACGAACGTCGCCGCACCCAGCAGCTCTCCAATTGCAAGACCACCAGAATTAGCCTTCATAGCGGAGAATGTGGAGAATACATCGGGGCTACCATTCCCAAACGCCAGGAACGTAACGCCAGCCATATTCTCGTCCAAGCCAAGACTCTGCGCTAGTGTAGCCAGATTGGGGCAGAAAAAGTCGGACGCACTGATACCGAGGGTAGAGAAGAGGAAGATCAGCCACATGAAATAGGCACCAAAGATGAGAGGCCGCAAGGATGTCTCAGTGCAGAAGTAGGTCCTCAGGTAAGGTATTGAGAGGAATGTGCGGGTGCCCGGGCATGCTTCCAGGACGTGGGCACATTGCTGCTCTAGCGGAACCGATTTGGGGAAACATTGCTGCTCACTGGTGAGTATCCGACCAGCGATATTAGCTAAGACTCACCTCCTCTCCTTCCTCTCCATTCCACAAGAGCAGCGGTAGCGTTGTGTTCGCATACTCAATGTCGTGTGAGCCGCGTCTTGCGAGCGTTCCTGAGCGCACGGAGTAGACTTGGCCATATCGGCTGTGAGACCAGAGTACACAATTCAAAGCAAACACAACCACGAAGAGCAGCTTGGGGGACCCTGACCACATATTGGTCGCTGCAGAGGAGAAATATCCAGCGTCGGACTCGGTGCTCAGCGCATGGGTGCATGCGGGCCTGCGTGAGTGCAAACGGCCGGTGAGTGTGACTTCATTAAACGCGTGACACCTGCATGACAACACGTGCAATGGCAAACCTGCAGTCCACTTGACGCATTCTCCTTGCGCTGATTGCGAAGCAGAATGAGGACACCATGAGTCCAGGAACAAGAGAACCTGTGGTCAAGTATCCAAGTAGATTGGTAGGTGATCTTACTTACGGGAGACTGTATTACATCAAGGAGATATAAATGCTCAGGATATTGACATAAGTACTTATACGGTCAAGACTTACTTTGGGAATAGTCGATCCGGTAATTTGGTTCAGTGTCATGAGCATGTGAAATCGGCGATCATACCGAAAGCTTTCAGACTCGCTCCTTCTTGACTCTTGACTGTTGAGATAGCTTGCTACAGTCTTTCTATATTGTACTGTAAGCCTCGGGTGGCTCCAGCACAAATCAGCTTGTTGAGCTCTTAGTACAGTGCCGTTATGTCTTCGCTATCCCACCACACTCTCAGGCAGCTCAAGTTCATCCTTCCCGGAGGACTCACCACGTACTATCTCAATAGTCACGCTATATTCTGGCGTGTTGTGCGTGGTGACACAGGAACTGATGGATGGGGACGGTATGCTTACCAGAGTTGCGCGCAAGAGCTGTGAAAGCTCTGGTTTCTCCGATCCCATTAATTCATTCACAGATTCGTTGCATTGGCGGCGCTCGGCTCAGCCTTGCTCACTGTAACTCTATTCATATACATATTATCAATACCCTTGCTCGAAGGAGAGCAGCCAAATGTACGTACCAGGCAGTGTAGTGTCCGCGCCCGTCGACCCATTGATTGTTAGTATCGTCGTTGGAGGGAATCTGGGACGTTATCATCCGTCATTCCAGTAAGATCCGCTCTATATATCCTTCCCTTTGCTGAAGCTCTGTATTCCCTTTTAAGATACTGACTGCGTCCATCGTTGTCGGTTGGTGGCTGCTCACCTTCACGCTGAGTCGATGGTCTGGCCTTGGGCTGATCGAAGGCGTAGTGGGCGGTAAGTCTCCGCATCACCAAGTCGAGTAGACCTGCTCACGAAACTACTTGTGTCTTCCTCGCTCCCCCCATATCGTTTGTTGATGATGCTTATCTCTATCGTCATGTCTGCGGCCTCGATCTCTTCACACCGTAGCCTCAGGCCTATACGCTCTTACATTCGGTCTATTAGGTCTTGTCCCGTCTCCCAGAGTGTCTCGACAGTGAATTCAATGTTTTCGAGTTTTGTACATCCTCATTTATCTGGTTATCCCCCGCTTTTCACCCGCCAACATAGCTTTGGATGCGTTATGTGGTCGCAACTGTACCCTGTCACCTTTTTGTTATATTGATATTCGCTCAATCCCGCATCAATCACTATACCCGTACAAGTGACTATACAAGTCATCACTCTGGTTCGTGAGCTGTGGTTGTCAAGGTGCCTTTATGCTCTTGGCTACGCTCGCTTGTTACGTGAACAGTGAGTTGGATATGCATCATCGTGATATCACTGATATATTCGGTCTCCCAATCTTGACTCACAGAAACATGTGTCAGAATGCGCCCACCAAGCACGCATTCTTCATGACTGCGGGCACCGCAGCGCGAGCGCAACGCTTCACTACAGCCGTGTGGTAATTAGAGTCCACGAGTGGCGTATCAAGTTGGATATGCATATACTTACTTGCCTGTGTGGGGCGACAATGTGGAGGGTGCGTTGCAACCACCACCAGGTCTGGACGAAATCCAAGGTCGCTATCTGTGCTCACGATGAATGCATTGTCAGCATGACGTTCATTACTACAATTGGACCACTCAGAGCACACCCGAACGAGCAAGTACCATTCAACAACCACGGCTCGCAAGCCTGTCACCATGGCGCACCGCGGACCGCGGAGCGATCCGATCGAGGAGATCAGGATATCCACATCGCTGACGTTTGAAATTTACAAGGACTACGCAGCCCTGAGCATGGCATGCCGCCACTATCTGAAGTTCCGATAGTACCGCAATTACCTCTGTGTGACTCCTGTCATGGATGAGCTCGCGTTGAGATACCGCCGACAAAGGTACACTGTCAAGCGGTTGTGATATCTGCTTGAAAGAAGCTATAAGTGGATCTCTGCCACCAGCTGTGCTGGCGCTACTTCCCACAGGCGACACCACGTTGCGAACGTCATGCGTCTCATCATAGGTTGGGGGACGGCATCTGCCCGGACATTGCCATTGTGGAGGCCAACAGGGCCGGAGCCCACGCGGAGCTAACGTAATTGCTCTCTGTCCGGACATAACGGGGCTTTTACATGGAAAATGCTGTGACTGTGTACGAAAACGTGCTTCTCGACGTCGCAAAGTATATGAAAACGTGCTTCTGGAGCATCGCAAGGTACCACCTCCGATAGTCGGCTCTGTTCCGGAGCGAGGTCGGATCGAACACTTATCCAGCTGTACCACACATCTTACATGCTATGCTTGATATCCAAGCCGCTATCGGGTACAGTCTTGTTCGAGGGGTTATTGCGATGCATATAAGGGCCTGTGGTTGTGGTCTTGTCATACCTACAACCACAACCTCCGCCCCCACATCCAAGCCAAGACTTGCACAACTGCAACTACAATGGCCGACACCAAGACTATACTGTATGTCTTTCCACACATGTACCGCTTACAACCTGAGGCTTACATTCCTCGACAGATTGATGGGCCTTACGGGCTCTGGCAGGACAACTGTGATTTACCCAGTTAATGTCATCCGTCACCCTCGGACTAACGCGCGCACTTGCAGTTTATCAACTCAGTGGCCGGGACGCAGCTCCCGACAGGTGGCCATAGCCTGATGGTCTGCACGACTGAGGTGCAGTCAGTGACATACCAACTGGACGGTCATTGTATCGAACTCGTCGACACACCTGCCTTTGATGCGGATGAGGACGGAGATTGCATGCAAAAGCTCTATAAATACCTCAGGGACAGGTTAGGATCGGTCAATGTTTGGAGGTAGAGCTTTTCACCTGACAGCCTTGTTGTATAATTCAGGAAAACTGCCGGAAAGAAAGTGGTAGGAATCATCTATACTTGCGACATCACGAAGAACAGGGTATCATTCGATCCCTTCCGCAACTTGTGCGGCGATGAAGCATTGAAGAACGTCGTATTCGTAACAACTAGATGGGGAAATATCAACCCGGCAACCGAGGAACACAACGAACAGGCCCTCCAATATAAGCTCCAGCACGAGCTGAACAGCGCTGTGGCCATTGTTCGACACGATAACTCGGGGCCCTCCGCCAAGGACATTGTTCGCTCACTGCTGTGCAAAATACCGGTAGACCTCGCTTTGAGGAGGTCCGCGCCGGGAGCCATCTTGCAGATCGGATCCTCGTCTCCGGCGGGAGTAATTTACCCTCCAGCAGACCCGAGCGTCGGGTGCTGTGTAGGTGTTGGCGGGTCTGCTCGTTCCACAGGAGGGCAGCAACCAAGAATGTCGGGGCGGTGGTACAGCGCACTTCACCGATAGATGCAAGGCAGCTTCTCTTCGAAGCATCGCCAGCTAGAAGTGGGCAGACAGAGCGTTTGAAATTGCGTGAGGATATGCTATACCATGCGAGTAACCTTATGAGCTATTGTAGAATATGGGCGAGCTGGCTTGACTTACATGTGTCTGTTATGCGTTCATTTATTCATAGATGACTGTACTATTGCTGTAATGTTGGCCATCGAATGGCATGTATGGATAAAATATCTTTCCTGTGGAGTGCACGGACGTGACGGTCATGATCTTGTCAAACCAGATCTCCTGTGTTAGCTTGACCATAAACCAGAACGCCAAGAGAGACTTATACCCAGCCAGCTACACCACGCGCCGTAGATATCGCACGTCAATTAAATGCCTATATAGAGCGGCCATCCTCCAACAAGGGGCGCTCTATTTATAGGCTAGGGGAGACCGGTTTTATGCAACTACAACGGTTATTCACTCTCCGCTTCATAGCAAGCCGAATCGTGATTCCAGTATGTCCTCTATACCGCCGCTGTCATCCAGCTGAAACCATATCGTTGTCCCTGTTATAATCAATGTGTGAGTAAGCGGATGGGAATAGGCAGAGCGCCCAGGAAACAACAGCCTACTTTGGTGAAGTATGGCTGTAACGATACTTTGTCATGTCCGGACTATAAGCCCGAGCGTTGATTCCGAGTTCCGCATCAACCCCACTTGCGCACAAATATTCTCAGGTAGATCTATCGATATGGAATTAGCTATCAGTTACGCACTGCCTTGCATGCATCACAGTACCTGAAGTAACCGTAGCCGTATTTGATAGAATACATCGATGGATTGTCTGGGCGCGCGTCATGACTGTCACTTAGACGCGCGCGATGATACGAACCGTATTCTGTCGGCTGTGGTACCTGCCGTAAACGGCTCTGCGCGCGAGTTCAGGGCGGCTTCCACATGTCATACACCCTGCGTGGGAGCATTATCAGGAGGGTCTTCCTGTCAATTTTTGACCTGCCCACCTAGTGGCCTCGGGCCCACATATACTGACTCCGAGGCAGATTATGATGGTGCTTGTCGCCACCGCTCTTCGATGCGCGGATCTGAGACGGCCACCCGGATGGAAGGTGGGCTTTGAGGCAAGGTGCGTGCGTGGGCAACAGCGTATGAGTGTTGCACTGGTTTTTGAACCCGGTTGTATTCTCGAAAGAAGCGTGGCTGTGGTCCAGTCGTGGTCATATGTAAAGCTTGCATTTTGAACCGGTGTGTTTACAGAGCCATCGTAGCCCTCCCCCCTCCCCTCCCCCATTTCTCCCTCTGTTATAAAACAAGTCATGATGGACGATCCACAAGCGCCTCGTGTCATCTTGTAAGTCACCCGTGTTCAAGCACCTGATGTCACTCACGAATTTCATCCTAGGCTGTTGGGCCCTACAGGCACAGGAAAAACGAGTGTAAGCATGCAAATGAGCGTGAAGACAAGAAGAATTTCGAGCAATGTTACCACAGATAATCAACCAACTTTCCGGGAGCTCCTTGGTTGTTTCGGACAACCCTGGGTCCCTCGAACCGGTCACGACAGCAGTGCAAGAAGCGTCTTGCGAAATTGACGGCCGGCCAGTCTTGCTGATCGACACACCCGGTCTCGATGCAGAGGAGGGTTTGCGTAGTGTAGTTGGGATCATTGCTGACCTACGGAATCGGTAAGTCACGCGCACCAGCATTCATCTAAATGCGGTGGGCACTCTTCCGCTCACAGCCAGAATAGCGGCATGAAATTCAGCGGTATCATATACACGTGTTCTGTGAACGAGAACCGCGTAAGACCCGTCAATGTCTTTGATGCGTTCCGCAAGCTGTGTGGGGACGCTGCTATGCCCGTCGTAACCGTGGTGACGACTGGCTGGGATCACCTTCGGGACCGCAGTGTCGGTGAGAAGCGCGAACAGGAATTGCGTTCGGAGAAGCATGGCTTCCGCCCTGCACTTGACCGGGGCGCGAAGATAAAACAATGGGACGCTAAAAATCCTCAAACGGCAGAGGCCATTGTAAAGGAAATCTTGCAGTCAGGTATAACACCGGTCACGCTAGCATTATCCCGGGCTACAAAAAGTAATCACCGGGTGCACTCACCTCAGGAGGAGCCAGAAATGCAGTATGGCTGTCTACCTTTCACAAGTTGCACCTGTCGCGCAATATGGTGCTTCAGGAGGGGGCCCAGAAAGGTCACAAGTTAGACTATTCCACGACACTTTCGTCAGTCCAGTCACGGTGCTTGTCGGACAATTCGATTATATACGGGTGTGTTGATGGGCATGTAACATCGTTGTTGCGCTGAGTTCAGTCAAAGACAGTTCGAACATTAGAGTTATACTTGCGTTGAATCCGAGTTACTAGTAGCTGCCTAGCAGCAGATGCTCCTGATCGTGTTAGAATGTCCTACGGCGCTTGACGAGAAACATGAAGCGCGGTGGAGCATCTAACATAAACAAAAAGTCTGTGCCCATTGGCTGGATTGAACAACCGACCTCACCATGACCATACAAGTGGCGCGCTCTACCACTGAGCTAAACGGGCGCTCCCAAGGATGACGCTGTTGAAATCACTGCAGTCACGTGGCATAAGGTCGACTTGCCGCAGCTGTACTGGTTGGAAGGAAAGCTGTACTTCTACCAACTCTGCCCTGTATTACCCCCACAACATCTCAACCTCTGTAGCTTCTGTATACATATGTACTCTCCTCGTCAAAGCTATGGCTCCCCGCCCCCAGAACTGTCAAACAATCCGTTCATCGACCACCCCGCGAACGCGCTCTCGCGATTTCCAGACATCTCGGCTGGTGCTGATACAGCCAACTCAGGACAGTATACCTCATGGCTACAGCAACCTGGACAATCAGGCTCCATGCTGGCATCGAATTCCACCGGATATCCAGGACAAAGCGACTCCTCCATGTATGGTGGTGGCGCGTATCAGCAGCCACAGCCAACAGGATGGCATGCGAGCCCGGGATACTTCCAACCCCAGCGGGCGTATGGTGCGCCACCCATGCAGCCGCAGACCACAGGGCGGCCGGGATTCCAGCCCTCGAGCTCTTTCGGTCAGCAGCTCGCCGCGCAGGTGAACACTGCGTACACCGGCGTGCCGCAGCAGCAACCGCAATACACAGGATATCCACAGATGCAGGCGCCCTCGCAGTTCGGAGCCGGGTACCAGCCAGGCTATGCCTCTCAGCAACCGCAGCAAAACCCGCAGTATATTGCCGAACTCGACCCATACGGGCCAGGATCACAGCCATCATATAGTGGTAGCGGCGCCATCGGTTACCGACCCCCACACCCGCGCGAGTACGTCCAACAACACAAAGCCGAGCTGGAAACCTGGGATAGCTACTCCTGGAAGCAGGTGCGTCTACAGACCGGGCGCGTTGCGTGGCTCCCAATCATTATTGCGCCGTAGATTCAAAACTCGTTCGATGCACTGAAAGAGGCGTGGGGCGCGCGGAAACGTGATATCGAGAACAGAGCGCGGTCGCTGGGAGGTGCAGGCTTGTTCGGCGGCGGCGGGTACGGCGGCATGTATGGCGGGCAGGCCCAAGAGCTCGCCCGGCTGGAAGGTGTACGTATGGCCATTTATACGTCACAGCCTTTCTAACTTCATTTGCAGCTCGTGAGGGAAGCTGAGTCCAATTTTGGTGCGCGTTGATTGCCTGTAGCCGCCCATACAAGCTGACGGTCGTTATGTTCACAGACTCGGTCGCAGCTTCTGCATTTCAGATGCATGAAGTATATACGGGCTATCGACAGTCTGGCGACATCGCCTCCAAGCGGCGAGTGCGCGAGGCCATCAATGCTGCGCTCGTCAGTCTGCCCGACTGGCCGCCCCAAGCGTTCTAGTAAATGCTTGATGCTGTGTGTCGGATGAAGTCCGCTGGCACACAGATGTTCGTTCTCTCAAACTTCAAACGGTGATCTAGTTGTATTGTTCTGATAGACTCTCACGGACGTTGTTATGCTATTGTGCTATAGTGTAGAACGCGATGACATAGGAAAGCTCACGATTGTAATGTAGCTTGGAGAAATCGGAAACGGGATTCAATCATCTTTCCTCTCACGGTTGTATCCACATGTCTATCAGTTATTCGTGAGACAACGGATTAATGTCCTGGGACATGCATACAGGAGCGATCGATAATACAACCTAATGAGTGGCGGGATATACAGAAGCCGAATTCCGACCAAGAGGAAGACAAAGGTATCAGCAGAGCCAGGTAACGGATAAGGAGACAGAACGGCACAAGATGAGACGGAGTCGGAGGGAGAGAGAGGGAGAGGCGGGCGGTGGGTCGCGGATTGCAGAGGGCAGAGTACGAAAAGACGGGACAGGGCGTACAAATGCATAATGATCGTGATAAATAGCGGAAAGGCTGGGGCTGAAGAACGAAGTACGGGCGCCCCGTGCGGAGCGACGAACGGTCATCGCTTAGCAAAGATCTTGTTGAGCAGACCGAGGACTTTCGGCACGTTGAGCTGCACGTATTCGAGGTCTAGGAGATGCTTATTGTCCTTTTGCTGTAGTGAGGGGCGCTGATGTGAGCTGCGATTCATGCGCAAAAGCGTAGATACGAACCTTCTCAAGAAGATCATCGATGTTGAGGTCCATTTCTAGGATAGCCTTCTCGCGACCTTTGTAGTGTAGCGCAATGATGAATGTGCCCGGCGTTGGCGATGTGAAGTTGAAATAGATGTTAGGTCGTCTACGCCAGTCACGGTGAGTGTCTAGGCCAACAGACGTCGCGATATCTACGTACCGGTTATCGGGGACATTGCTCTCCACAATGATTCCCTCCTTCTCCAATTGCGCATGGGTAAACCGATACGGCCCATGTACAATCGGTTTCGCCGGCTTCTTCTCCTTCCCGCCGACAGTAACGACGCCGACACCCGTCGTCGCACCCTTGTCCTTCGTCGCGGTGAGACGAACGTTCTGCAAATACGCCTTGTACTGCTCGAGCTGCGTGCGGAGGTAGTTGTTGTGGTCACAGATTGTCTTGTACACGGCCTCTAGCGACTTCGCCTCCTGGATGACCTTCTCGCGCAGGTTTCCGAGGTGCACGAGCTCCGCAGATACCTCCTCTTGCATGAGTCTATAGCCGTCGGCGCGCTCGATGATCTTGTACTCCTCGAGCTCCCGTAGCATCTCCTTGACTTTGATGCCCTTACGCACGAGCGTCGCATCCTTAGTCGTCGCAGCGCGCTCCGCTAGCGCGGCCAGGTTAAGGGGACGTTTAGTGTCTGATGGCGGAAGGGAACGGATAAGCTGGACGAGATTGGACTTGGCCTCCATGTACAGCATGTCTGTTGTAGAGACAGAGTCCATGAGGGCACTCTGGATATCCTGGATGGGTGTCTCCCAGCGGCTGTAGAGCTGTAGCTCGATCGCGCGATTCTCCTTGCGAGGCACTTGTGAAGGTGCTGCTCCAAGCTCATCAGTTAGAATGCGGAGGTGCTGCTTCTCGTTTGGTGCCTATCCGGCGTGTTGTCAAGAGAGTACTCAGTACCTGGAGATGTCACCTACCAGCACTTCGATATGTTGAAGGATAAGAGAATGCGTATTGTACAACTCATTGAGCGTGATGTTGATCATGAGGTCTTTCTTCGACAAAGCCATGTATTGATCCATCTATCAAAGCATGGTTAACGAGTGAGATATGATATGACTGAAGCATGTACCTCAAGTGTATCATAAAAATCTCCAACTTCGCATAGATTGTTTAGGAATTGATTGATGCGAGCCTTGTTGTTCTCAACGAACGGGTTCAAGGTGATCATGTACGCCTCTTTTGCGTATGAAGGTTTGTTCGCGAGATTCTGTAGCATCTTCGCAATCTGGGCCGCCTGTATAAGCACCTACGCATGATGCGGTGACACCTCGACTGACCAAAGTCAAGGTTCGTCTGGGGAATTTCGCCGGTACACCCTCAACTAACATGTAAGCCTGCGGCGTAACAATGGCAGGGTTGATGAAGCGTAGGAAGAAGAAGCCGCCAATCAGCGAGCAGATGGCGTAATCTGTCGCTTCTGGATACTTCCGCTACAGGAGAGAATAGCGAAGCTATAAGTCAACAAAAAGACATCAGAGGACAGTCAACGGAACGTACTCGTGTGAGACTCCTAATCTGCTTGCAGATCCACCGAATACCATACGGCACACTCTCCATGCTGTCGATAATCGTGAGCAAGAAGCTGTTTGCAATCTCCATGAGCATCGTCAACCGCGGTGCGATGATCGCTTGCACGTCCGGATTTGCCGCCGCAACCTCGGGAGCTACACCGCGAGGCAAGTTGGGCGGAAGAGAACCAGTCTCTTCCTCAATCTGCACTATCATTTGTTCGTAGACCTTGACCGGGTTGATCTCCAGATTCAGGTCCTTGTGTTCGATGAGACTGTTGATGCGTTCCGCAAGCACGCTCTTGAGATAGCTCTGTCCGGGCCCGCGGCGAGTATAGGTCGTCATCATGCGTGAAACAGGGGTATTAGCACGTAATAGAGAGCCGAACTCGGTAGCAGTCTCGAACTGCGAGGAGAGCACAGACTGGAACATCGTCAACAGCAAATGTTCCTCGCGGCTCTCGTACTGGTTTCCGTATAATGTGAACATGACCGTCTGCAGAAGAGTGTCAATCTCGGTCAGGCTGACTAGCCGACATAGATTGGCAATATGTCGTGGCTCGGACTGGAGCAGGAAGAATAGGTTTGAGTATTGTTGCAGCTTCCGGTCGTCAGGGTAATGGCCCTCAGTCGCGTCCACCTCTTCAAGATGTTTCTCAACTTCGTTTTGCTGCCATAGATCCTCAGGCCATCTGAGCATCGACAACACCAATACGACATACCTCATCGAGGGCCATTCGGTTCTGGATGAGTAAGCCGATTCGAGAGTCGAGAAAGCGGACATCGCGTTCGAGCACAAAGTTGCGTTTTGACTGCGCAGATATGCGCGACTTGAGTTCTCTCAGCCGCTTTTGTGCTTGCGGATGCGTAAGTATATTTCATCCCCAGACATACAGGACCAGAACTCACCTCGACCCAGCTCATCCTCGACCTCTACGTCTTGCTCAGCCGCCATGCTGAACAGCGCGGTAACACTGTACCGATTGGTGTTTCTGTTTGTCAAACGCCTTGACGACATACTGCCAGGAGACTGAGGAGAACTCGGAAGATCGGAGTAGGACGACATCGTGGGGCAGTCTGAACGGGGAAATCGGTGGATGACGAGGAGGCGCGTCGGTAGCGTGAAGGCAGTAGCCACTGGCCCAGTAAGAACGAAGGAGCGTGGTGTGTCGTCAACGGGAAGGGGGGTAATAGTGGTCGAGAGGAAGTTGGTAGGGAGCAGCGTTGGGCGCGGTACTTACCGGTCTTACCGTTTGCAAAAGATAGTCAATTTATCCTATATTTGGACTTATAACATAACACGCTCGTGCTGAAATATTGCCGCCTTTTTCAATCATTCTACTCCCGAGCTCATGCGAACAAGATCGCAACAGCGCAGCCACATATTGGCAGTTCTCGTCAGAGAGTTGATGAATGTGTACTGTGCAGTATATATGATTGATCCGAGAAAGGTCTATTCCCCTGCGGTCTGCGACTAGCCCGTGGTACAGGCTCTCGGCTGGAGGATTTGCTATTACTCTCGCGAACCTTCAAGGCTCACCACTGCTTTGGTCGGAGACCTTAATCGAAGAAGCTCTATAGTAGTGTCTATAGGTGCCGCAGCGCAGCTGTTGTTCAGAGAACAATGATTGCTGCATCTATCAAACTGAAGCACAGGTCGCGAAGCCCCACATATAACTGCCTCCTGCTGAGGTGCGTAATACCCCACGTCCTCTCAGATCTCAGTCCTGCAGATATCAAGTATTCGACATGACCCAACTTCCGCTCGGAACGCAGGACTCTGTGGCAGTAACCCCCGTGTCTCACTCTCTGGACCGGCGCACATTGCAACTGTATGCCGACCTCTTTTCTATACTCCGGTCTGATGCACTGCTTGTCGCAGCTCTTTGCGAAGCGGTCCCCCTCCAAGAGATAGATTCACTGTTACAGACGATAATGCTCACACTGTATTACCCTAATGTCCGAGGCGAACGCCTTGCCCTGATCGTACTGCAATCGCTTATGTCCTCTCGCTTCGAATCTATTAGCGACCTCAGCTCTCTTCTGAATCAGAACACAGCTCTTTTGCGGTCATTGATCACATATCTCCGTCGCACTCCTGGACAGACCTATCTCAAGGCCGCCATCGCTCCGAGGGTCAAACGTCTGGTCGAATGCGACCATCTCAACCTTGAAATTAGCCCAGTCAAAGTCTACAATCAGATGTTAACTCAGATACAAGCGGATATCGGCACTTTGCCGTCTGGATTGCCTCGACATGTGTCTGCGGACACTGCAGAATTGGACCCTAATGTTCAGGCTATCATTGCACAGCGAACCACGATGCTTCAAGGGATCGCAGATAGCTTTCTCTCCGAGTTGACTATCAACGAAGCGAGCGTCCCGCACGGAATCCGGTGTATTTGTAAATGGATACACGAACAAGCACTTGTACGTCAAGTTTCCTGCTCGGCGTGTTTATTTGTTCATGTCAGATATTCCAATGCAGGGCCGTTTTCCCAACGCCTCTGAACGCGAGATTTCCTCTCTCATTGGCACCGTGTACTTCACCTGCCTGATCAATCCAGCGATCGTAGCACCCCACGCATACCAGCTCATTGAGGGAATTCCGGCAAGATATCCGCGCCGAACGCTGACTACGGTCCGTGCAGACATTGTAACGATAATGGCTCTACTATAACTAAATGTTCTTGTAGATTGCGAGGATGTTCCAGCGCTTGGTCACCTCGCTGCCGCCGGACCAGGAAGCTCATATAGCTAAGCTTAGTTCTTTTACTGAGAAAAACCAGACGAAAGTGGATGGTTTCATGGGCAAGCTATGCGAGGTCAATGAACAGGACACGTCATCCGAGGTATGTCTCTTCGCGGCAAGTAGTTAAATTTGCCACTAATCCTTTAACTAGGATGCAAACGACGAGGGTGATGATGTGCTCAACATTACAATGAACGAGCTCTATCACACGCATGACCTTTTGCTGAAGTATGGAGTGTCATTGGTGCGTGCCCTACGTCCGCCTTTGTTCACATTACAAACATTCCCTGCTCAACAGCCAGGCGGAGAGCGCCTACAAAGCATATTGGATGAACTTGGGGCTGCCCCGTCGCGCCTTCTTCCGCAAGAGAACCCCATCATTCAGCTGACCCTGGTCCACTGAGTTGTTTCTATTACCATCGTATTAGTACTCTTGCGTTCGGATTGAGACTTACTCGCTTGTTGGGAGTATGTACCAGGGACCACACATAGTTGGTTGGAAAACACATGTTCATACATTGATAGTACAGAGGGATACGAGTACAACAGTACGAGCGATCGTACGCGGGAACGCTGAAGATGCAGTCTACGGATAGTACTACATGTATGGTGGCAACCATAATAACATATATTGATGAAGGAGTGGAGGAATGACGATGAAAATAAAGAATGGCATGTGTCCATATAAACGCACCAATCGCATCCGGAGGTAAAAGTACACACTAGAGTGGCCCCATCACTGCCTGAGAGCACGACGCGCCCTCTTGCCCGCCTTCTTCCGTTTCTCCCTGGCCAACTTGCGAATGTTTCCAACATCCGGCGTCTGCAAGCGCGTAGCAGCCTTCCACACCCTCGCTGGTAGCACGCTCTTCCGCACGGCCTTCGCATTCGACTTCGCGATGGCCACCCGTCCTCTGACACGCTCCTGCACAGAGCTAAGCAGGCGTCCTCCAAACTCCGTCAGCTCCGCCGCCTTCGTAAGCATGCGCTTGTGCTCGTGCTGGACCATCGCCTGTAGTGCGAGCGCGGCGTCCTTCGAGCTCTCCCAAACTAGTGCGGTCTGCCGGAGGATGGCGTACGACAACTCGTCGAGGGCATCCAAGATCTCTTGGATATCCCTCATGACCACAGATGCGACCGAGTGGAGACTGAGGTAGTTTGACAACGATGTGCCCGACCAGGTACCGACGGCGAATAGCGACTCGTCCGCGGGTGCAATCTCCCTACCCTTGCCTTTACCCTTGCCCTGGTGATGGGTGGGCGAAGGGATCAGAGCAAGAGCAGACTTGCCAGACTGACGTACTGACGGTGGCGGCGGGGTGGGACGCAAAGCCAAATCGGTATCACGATGCGATTTACCCGCCCATGTGATCAGGCCGCAGCCGCAAGCACACTCAGACGGCGCATCCTCCGACGCCGAATTGGGGGCCGCATGTTCGGTCGACGGTACCGTGGACGGACCAGCTCCCGGTGTAGAAGTAACGATGGAAGGGGAAAGCACCGCCAGCGCAAGATCCTTCAGCGCCGAGGGAATAAGTGCCGAATGGGTGGCGGGAGCCGGTACTGACTGGTTGATCGCGGGCGTAATAGGGCTCGCTAGACTCCAAGTTGGGGGAGGCGCGGTCTGCTGCTGCGACGACATGGATTGTAAAGCGGCGTGATTGAGTGAGCCCTTGATGGCGCACCCCAACACGACAGAAAATACTGCAAGACTATGGACCCTTGAATTGTAATTATGAGTATACACTAGAGAAGAGAACGTACATTTTCCATGCATGTTTGACTGCAAGTCGCTGCGCTGGCTTCCGCTCGTTAGCAAAGAACAACGGGCGCAGCGCGCGAGTAATCTGCCTGGTTCCTGCGCGGTCGACATCTTCCTGATCCACGACGGAGGAGCCGCTTGAAAGAGCCACAATCTTCCTACGAGAAACGCCCAGTGTCTCCCAATGCTGCTCGGCATCGAGCAATTGGTCGGCGGAGCAGGGCAAGTCGATGATACTGAAACCCTGTGCCAAAATCGGAAGATATAAGGTGTGATCTGGCAAACATGGAATGGTAGAAGGTAGAAAGACAATCGCTAGTGACGGTCGGTCTAAGGGAGTGAAGCTCGACTGAAATACGATGAAGTCAGATTCCAGCCAAGAGAAATAGATATACCCACAACGTCGTCGGCACTCAGAACCTCAGTCCGGTCCAACACCGATACGACGCGGTTGTGACTTGAATCACTCGCTGAGAGGAAGCGAACGTAGCCGTCGATGAGGCCGACGATCTTCGACGTAAGGGTGAGACCTTGCCCCTTGGCTGCTCTTTCAAGGAGCTTATCGATAAGCGACCACTTCACCGCGGATGAAGAACCGTAGAGAACTATGTAGAAGTCGGGGCTGATTGCAGCTTCGCACGTATCATCCTCTGGGACCACAGGCGTGGCATGCGCACCCGGATCCGCAGTAGTAGGCGCCGGGTCCGTTTCCGGGACCGAGTCAGCTGTCATAGAGGGAAGCACATCAGCGTCGATATGGTCTACGACGTGGTCGTAGGACGTGTTCAGTAGTGCGTCCCGGGAGCTAGTGAGTGGGTCGGGGAACGACAACCTGAGGTCGCGAGATTGGACGATCGAGGAGAGCGATGCATTCAACGAGTTCGAATTAGAACGCGACGCCGTGGCACTAAGCGTGCTCATCATGCTTTGATCCAAAGCAGCCTTAACTCGTTGTTCCTCCTCATGGTCTTCAGTCTCTTGCTCGTCGGGTATAAGAGGTGCGAGATCGCTATTGTATGCCACCGATCGGGCAGTCAGCGACAGCGGGAGTCTAGGCGACTCATCAGGGAGATCGTCAGCAAGGCCAACCCAGGCGTGCACATCGCTATCGCGCGAGCTGCCATTGCTGTTGAAGGACTGCCGCGAGGAGGGTCGGGCGTCGAGGTCGCGATCGCTGGAGAAGCCAGCTACAGAGTCAGTATCAGATGCTCTGCTGCTAGCGATGTCAAGCCAGTCAGAGTCAGACATGCTCTCGAGCTCCGAGAGGCTGTTGCGGTCGGATGAGACCATGTTCATGGTAGGAGGATGCAGGAGGTGAGGCGGAGGGAGGCCACAGGCCTCTTTATATAGCCGGCTTTCGGCCGGACGCTCGGGGGATTGACCGAGTAATTATGATAAGATAAGTGTTGTCGTCACGATCATCAAGCATATCGATTTCGTCAAGCTGGCTGCTGCATCACTCGTGTAAGTAACGCCGCGACCAAGTCAGAATAAATGTCGCGACCGCCCCTCTTCCCACTCCTCTCTATCCTCGCTATTTATTTCCGCTCCTGAGGCAATGGGCCTCATCGACCTCCCGGATGATGTCCTGTTCGATTTAACTTGGTATCTCTCTATTGAGGACGTGTTGTCATTGAAACAGGTGGGCGCGCATCCCTATTGTGTACGGTCAAAGCAGCCAGCTCATGCTTCGTGCATGGCGTGAACGAATCTCTTCACCTTCTCGCAGACATGCCGTGCACTGCATGCATTCGGATCCTCGGATTACTTATGGCGTCGCATGATCCAGGACGTCGAGCTGCCTTTGGACCTTCCGTCGGGTGTACGTACAAGTTCACTGTCACACGATGAGCTACGGAGTGCCGCAATCAAAGCGATGCGCTTGGACGCAAACTGGAGTCGTCGGAAGCCGCTCCTGAAGCGCGTCAAGCCTCTCGTGCGCGACGGGAACGGCCCATTCGTTGACGATGTGCAATTCGTACCCGGCGGCAAGTGGCTCTTAACAGTGCAGCGATACCTTCAAATCCACTGGACCACGCGCATAGTTCTCTGGTCCTTGGAGGATTTGGAGAATGCCTACAGGGTTGCAGTCATCGAGACTACTGGGTCCCATCGCAGCTCGTCTTTGGATGTCCAAGATGATGGTCAGTCTATAACGGTCGTGACTGGTCTGTCCGGCTGTCAAGAGTATGTGTCATTTGGTATACCTGGCGCCTATCTCTAAGAGATCGTATAGAATTCTGGAGGTCTATGCCATATCCTTGCAAGATCCGGATGACTTCTCGTATCACATTACGGCAACCCCGCCGCTGTCTAGACGGATTGTGCTGCCCCCGCATCCTCGCGACCCGGAACAGACGCCGGTCATACATGAACTGACTGCTGTTGAAGATGTCATTGCCGGGACCGCGCTGGTGAATGAGCATCTGTCTCTGCAGATCTTTCTAGCCAGCAGCGAATCTGGCTACTTTAGGTGGGTCGATCCAGAGATCACTGAGGTCAGTCATTAAAATAGCCCACGCGACTTTGGCTCATCTTGATTTGTTTCCAGTCAATCTCGATATCGTGGGTGAAGCTATATAATGGGCATCTTATCCTATTAGGCATGATCGGTCCTAGCTTGGTGCTACGCATATACAAACTTCCCAACGCTGTCAACGGAGGCCTACACGCTGGATCAAGCGGCTTGCTCGATCAAGGATGTGCTGATCTTGGACCCGTAATCTATCAAGCCTCACAAGAACTCAAGCACGAAACGGAGCTGCAAAACATCAGCCGTGTGTCGTCCCCGTCGACATCGTCTATATCCGTCCTCATGATCTACACGCTCCGCAACCAGCCCACCAGCATCGGCCAAGTGATGCGCTTCTCGCTCCCCTTCTCGCCTCGGACTATGTCATTCGCGTGCGAGACAAAGTACTTCCTGCTGTCCTCCGAGGTCTGGGTGCCCCTTGCACAGGTCGGCCCCACGGGCCGCGCCGTTTGGCTTGATCATAACTGGGAGACTGAGCGAAGGAGTCTCCTGCGATATCACCCCAGGTGCGACCTGATTGGGACGCTGCTGCCACCAGACCCTGCGTTGCCATTTACGCCGAGCGGATCACATTCGATGGCATTCGATGAAGCGACGGGACGAATGTGTCTTGGTATGTATAACGGTGATGTGTATATCCTGGACTGGGTGCGATAACTGTTGTCGGTGAGTGGGGAAATCATTCCTCATACGAATTGCCTAGCTAACTATAATCTCCGATGGCCTGCTCTCTAGTCAGTTACATTCTACGGGCTCGCAGTGCTGGGATCGCTATGCTTCTCGTTGCCAATGTTCAAATCTCAAATTCAGTGGGCGTATCAAGAGAACTCGTACATTAACATGTCTGGACTTACTCATATATCTGGGACAAGTGTGGGGCATTGTCCTACCTAATATATAGTTCTTCGTTACATTCATTGCGTGCGAGCTGATGGCCTCAGATGATTTACTGAGATCGATTGATGACTGAATAGTTGAGCGCAGTTTCTTATAACAACCAGTTGCCCGCCAGACAAGGTGCAACACTATCATACCTTATCATCTCGTATAAATTGATCTTGACAATCTACCTGGGCCTTCATGACTCCGGAGCCATGTCTTCACGACGCTGCCTAAATCATTGTGCTGGACGGGCGGACAGGTAATGCATGGGTCCTGAGGCAAGTGGAACGCATGGTTATCCATGCGCACGGCAGTGTGCATAGTCAGGCTCGTTAAGAACCAGCGGAACCAAGCTATAATCCGATCCATTCTAGGTATATGATTGATCTACCTTTACATTTAAGCCCAGTAAAGTCATGAACGCCCCTCAAGCAGAGTCAAGCAGAATGTCCGCCACTACCGACAAGGGACGTTAACTTAGTCACATGCGCAGATATGCTCGCAAGTACGCACTCTGTTCAGCGATGCCGTACACAGTCGCTTGGGTATGTGCAGCAACTTCTAGTGGCGCAATGGAGAGGTCGGCAACACGAAGGTTCTTCGTGCCGTATACCTACACAAGAACCTCGGGATTAGCACCACATGACCGAGTAAGTTTTCCCGGACAAGAAGCGCACCCTGAGCTCAGAGTCGACGACACCGTTCTTCTCTCGCGGAAGCATGCTCGCGCTGCCGCAAGCATGGTAACACGTGCTACTGAAGTTCTTGAGGTACTCTGGACGGAAATGAATGCGTGAGATCAGATTGTGGACCTCGAACGAACAGCGGAATACGACCAGAGCCGTACCTTTGATCTGTTCGTCCGTCTGTACCTCCGGGCCAGGGTCCATCTCACGCACGAAGCCAGACTTGAAAGGCTCTGTGTTTGCCACGAGTCTCGCAAACTTGAAGTTTTCCGCGAAGATATCGAGGTCTGTCCGAGATGTCGCCGGCAGTCCAATCATCAGCCTTCCATCTGGGGAATGAAACGGTAAGCGACATTGATGACGTACCCTGTGAGCATTCAAAAAGATGCGGATCGATCTCAGGGTGTTCTAAAGGATCCTTGCTTTTAGCGTGCTGGAGATGTATCTCGTCAGTGCTTCTGCAAATCCTCGCCAGATCCCACTTATGAGACTTACCACGACACCCCTATGCGAATCCAAAAATGCGTCAGACGCGAAATTTTGGGTGATGCAAAAAGTCCTCACCTTGAGAATGGATGCTGAAGCACAGCCAAGACACTCAACTATCGCATGGCCCCTCAGTTAAGAATCTAACATAAATGCCAGGTATGCGTACGTATGCTTTGCCGCTCTCCGGCGCCGCTAATTAGGAATTAAGTCAGGTTCAGAAGGATCACACATGACAAGCCACAAGACGTACATTTGAACGTCATGTATGTGGGCACGGCAATTAATTCCATCTCCGGGAGGGTTTTGTCCTTGAGTATGCGCAGCTGGATGTCGTACTGCTCTGCGAGCCCCGGAGGCAGCTTTTCGCTCTTCTTCTTATCGTTGATGTATTTAGTCACTTCATTCACGATCGCATCCGTGGCGTTCGGACTACCGAGCTGCAGAGGAAAGTATGAGAACGCGGTGATACCTAGACGGTACAAGCTCTCGTCTCCCGCTACGCTGTAGGGGCATCACACGGTAAGCCAAGCAACACTTCAAGTGAACCATTGACCTAATACTCACTGAAGTCGTGCGTGCTCCTTAGCGACCTCGGGGTCCCGCAGTACGTCGGCGGTCTTATGTGCAATCTTTGAGTCCAGCTCGTATGAGAGGCCTAAATTGCATTGTCACTGAGACGTTCACCGCCAGCATGAGCGTTGAGAGTACCAATGAAAGTGTGGTCCTGGACATTCTCCCCAACACCCGGCAGCTCCACCTTGATGGGAACGCCGATCTTATCAAGCACATCGCGGCGGCCAATCCCGGATAGCTCGAGGATCTGCGGCGATTTGAGCGCCCTGTAGAAAGACTGCAGGTCAGCTAAATCTGGTGATTAGCGGCGTAGATCTTGATGTGTACCCTGCGGTGATGACGACCTCTTGCTTCGCGTGAACCTTGTGAAGCTTGCCACCGTGTATGAACTCGACACCGGTGGCAACGAGGTCTTCGCCAGGCTTGCCCTCGCTGAAAAGGACCCGCGCGACGGTCGCTTCCGTGAGGACCTGCGCGCACCCGAAATTGGCACCATGCGGATCGAAAAGAGACAGTGATGTCGCCTACCGTGTAGTTGGGTTTGTTCTTGAGCGGAAGGTAATACGCCGTCGCAGCGTACGAGCGCATCCATTGTGTCTTGCGGTCAAGGTTTGCTGATGCCTCATAGCAACCAGTGACCTATAACTCTGCCATGAGCAAACCCTCACATGGGTCACGAAGGGACGCACATCGCCACCATAAGGATCATGCAAGAGCCGGAGACCCTGTTTCTGCAGTGCCTCCAGGAAGATCTTGTTCGCAGGGAGGGACGTCAATGGGACAGTGGTCTTAAGCGGCCCGCTGGTACCACGGTACTCGATATTGTGGGTGAAGGCGTACTCCTTAAGTTGTTCCTCAGTCGCTGCCGTGAACCTGCGGCCGGCACATGAGCAGGCAGCGAGGGGGAAATGGGAGAGGCGCGCACTCTTCTGTACGCATCGTGTACTTCTGATACGCCTTCCAGTTCCAACCCGGGTTGCCGAGTTCCTCCCATGCGTCGATATCCGCTGCCGGGGGCTTGATCCATGCGCAGAAGTTAATGGCGGAGCTACCCCCTAGATACGAAGATGAGCCTTATCACGAGTAAGGCGTGGATGATGTGTATCAGACTTACCGAGCCCCTTCCCGCGATTCCAGATGAGCTCACGGTCATTAGAGTACTTCTGAGGAGTGGTCTTGAAGGCCCAATCATACTGTCATGACTAGAGTCATGATCGGGGGAACGAACACGACCTGTCAAGACACGTACCTTGGGATTTCCGAAGTTTGCGCCCCAAGTTGCTCCGCCCAGGAGAATCTTCGGATCATCAAGGTTGGCTTCACCAGCCTCAAGGACCAGCACACTCTTGTCGGTGTTTTGGACGAGTCTTCCAGCAACGGTCAAACCAGCGGTCTGTCGTCAATGAGTCCTCAAGAACCTGTGGGAAAACAAAACGTTAAACCACGTACGCCTCCGCCCAGGATCACATAGTCGAACGACTTGTTGGCGATTTCAGACAGTTGGGCGACCATGGCGTTTAGACGTTACGGAGTGTATTATCAGTGAGCAGACCGATCGCCTGCATGTCGCGCTTATAAGACGAGAATCTCATGGTATCTCGTAAAGCATGCCCGGCGTCTGTAGTAGCGCCGCGAAGAACTTGATCTCGCAGGCCCTTCTGATAACACCACGCGATGAAAGAATCATCGACCAGAGGAAGCTAGAGCGGTCATGACAGGACGGCTAAGCGTTACCAAGGGATTCGCTGTCGGATTGTACTTTGAAACATCGAGCAAGACGCCTCAAATATATTTCCTGGCGGCATGCGACACATGCTCGAAGTGCGTGCAGAAATGAAGAAGATGGTGTTAAGCGGACGAGGGTCAAGTGGCCGAGTTGGGAACTCACCGTTAGAGTTGCCATCAGCCTTCCTGGAAAGTCGAAGTTGCGAACTGTTTGCTCATGTTTACTATCATGGGCGCTCCCAGCAATCTTCACAGGAGAATCTTTGTTCCAAAGCGGCGCCACTGGCTGCATCTTAGTCCCAGCCGGAAGCATAGCGTGTGACAACAACTTCCCCGCTGAAAAGGCTGATGGGAACACCGGTTTGCAGCGGCACCCAGTTTTTGCAACTTCCCTCGCAACTGGCCATTTATTGGCTGCCAAATGTCTTTTGATGCCTTGTCGAGTTGCTACGTCCCCTTGTTTCCTCACGAACGCTCCAGGCCCTTGGGTGCGGTTGCCGACCTGTACTAGAGTTGAGTGCTTCTTTCCGCTCCGGATCTATCTGATCTGGTAATATAGGCGCTCCAAGCAGTTATATTTCATGATTTCTTCACGGCCTTTTGGCTCAGTAGCGTGAGAAGAATGGAAATTTTCATTCGTGTATGTACGTCATCTATTGTATTCACAGTGTACACAGCACTTAGATGACCAGACCACCCCGACAATCCCGGAGTCTAGTAACGTTTTGCGCACCGATGCCAGCACTTGCCTGATCGGGTATGCTACCCCTGAAGATTATTGAGCGCCCGTGGTATAGCCTGCAACATGATCAATATGACTACAATCTTCGCGATGCTGATACCTCAACTAGAGCATCGCGCTCGCCATGAAGAACAGGTGTCCAGGATGGGGCGTGAGAACTCATATGTGGGGTGCCGATACCCGATCAAGAGGCCTCGGGTCGAAGGATAGGTCTGGTACAGGTCGGCAATCGTATTTGGATAGGCGTGTGAGCACCACCAGCCAGCAAAGCGGGCCGTCGTGCGCATGAGCACCGCCTACACGGTTTCGGGCCTTTTCCGCCCGCATCAGAACGATTCACGAGTCTCATTGGGCATTGCCGGCACCATCAATCGGCGATCGTCAATGTCTCTGAGCGTGGACGCAAATTCCATGGGGATCTGAGAAGGGACGTCGCGAGCGGTTACCCACTATGTAAGTAGCATGGAGCGCAAACAACAAAAGTCGCCGTTCTGCTCTTCTGCCGTCGCTGTCTTTCCCTGCGTACTTCTCTGGCTGACAGCAGGATGACCTCTGCCGATGCTACTTTAGCCCAGCAGGCGTGAGTCGTAAATGAGTTTCAATCGAGGACGGCTCTTTTACCGAGTGCCTTCAGCATTGGCCCGTGCCTAGCAGGAATTTTCATGAACGTCTTGTGAGTAGATTCCGATCTCAAGTGCAGTATCAGCGGTGGATTAATACGTGCCTCATTGGGATAGGCTGTATGGCATTATGTGCTCGCAGATATTCTTCTATTTCTCAGTACACAGGACGTTGGTATGCCCTTAATGTTAAGCAGAATAGAGTGCTAATTAATTGCCAGCGACCGAGCGTGGATGAAAGCTTTTGTGAGTTTCTTCCTCGCCCGATATCCGCGGGACAGGATAGATCGATCTATATTCCAGGTCGGATTGCTCTTTTTTGCCGACACACTGAACTCTGTATTCAACATGTGGTGGATCTACAATGTGCTGATCAACAACTATGGTACGGTGGTTGTTTTCTACGTTTCCCCAAGCAGACGTTCAGCCTGGTTCCGGCGATTCAGGGAATCTCGCAGCCCTCGAGAACGCTGATTGGCGTAAGTTTTCGGACCGTCACGGGATACCTCTTTCTCGCTCACAGTGATGTGTCTCTTCCCCAGTGTTCGAGTCAGGTGAGTGCGCCCCCGCCAATTAATGGTGCAGGTCATGACCCCATCACCGCGTGTTACAGAGGAAGCGTTGGGGGTAAGTTCGACGCTGCAGCCTTCCGCACAGGAACAGAAAAATAAAATGACCCCAATTGCAGGGCATCATCGCCATGCTGGTCCAGAGCTTTTTCGCGTGGCGAATTCTCAAGTTAACACGGAATTACTGGCTCGTAGGCACTGTAATGGTCACAGCGCTTGTCGGCGGCCGTACGTGCAGTCTCGCTCTTCTCCCTCGGCCATCCACTTACGTAGCTCCCTCTGTCTCCAGTTTCAGGGATCGGTACAGCGATTGGGGTTGCAATGCTCCCACAATTTGCCGGCCTGCAGCGGCTCAAGGTACGCGCCGTTTCTATCTATGTCATTGCATAACTATACGGACGTCATCATGGCCGCGTATTACCGCGTAGGTTATCGTCATTTTGTGGTTGGTGGGAACAGCGGTGTGCGACGTGATTATCACGCTGTCGCTGACTTGGCACTTGGTATGTCCCACCCGGACAACATACACCTGGGGAATTCACCATCTCACAATGCCATATTTACCCGTAGCGGAGCCATCGGACAGGCCTTTCCCGGACGAACACCCTGATCTCCAGAATTGTCCGCGGTGGGTTGTTGACGATCTCCTCTTGCGAGCTAGTTCACTGACGACGTATTACCGTGTGCAGTCACCGTGTCGAACGGCCTTTTGACAGCAGGCTTTGCATTGGCCGATGTCACTGCATACTTAGCTACAGTATGTGTCTACTGATCTATTTTCACTGTATTTCTGACCTGATCTCCACGTCTGCGGCGCAAGCCGCGAGGGATCCACATTGGTAGGTCTGTTTCTAGGCGGGCGTATTACTTTGCTCTGACCGACACATTTCATACAAGCGTTCAATTATGCCCTGGTGAAGCTGTACGTTTGAATTCGCTTGCAGCCTTCTTGGTATCACGAATGACGAGTAACTGTAGATATGGCAACTCTGTGATGTCAAGTCTGAATTCGCGCGCGTTCTTGTCGGATTCTTCGGGCATGAGTAGTTCGTCGTACGGGAAGGACATCGCGCTCAATCTGGTGCGTGATAACATGCATCTCATTGGAGACCTTCCGTAATCTGCCTATCCAGAATCCGGACGCGTCTCCCGTTGGCGGAATGACTCGTAGTCGAGCGTCGCGCCCCGCACAGGTACGCATGTATAAAGAGCCGGCCCCGAACCCCCACTGAGCCCTGCCGTAAAACTCCTATTTCAGGTTGTGGTCAACGTAGAGACCCATGAAATGATAGACGTCGGCGAACACGACCATGTAGACAAAGGAGACATCGAGTGGGCTTCGTCAACCGAGAGTCGAACACAGGAGCGCAGCGATGACAAGGTGCATGTCGCAGTCTAGTATTTCTCCCCGCTTTCGCTTTCATGCCTGGGTCTCAAGTAGAGTGAGTGCTAGTATTGCGGCCGAATTTTGTCTCTGGAGCCTCATTGCTTTGCAGTTATATGCCATGTAATATGATAGGCGTCATTCGTTAAGCTGTCAGTAAGACTGTATGAGTGAGATCACTTCGATAGGCACAACGACCTGCGTGTCGCGCTGAGACACAACGCGCTTTCCTGCAGAAATTACCGACAGGTGAGTCGGCTGTCTGTGCATATCGATACTGTGCCTACCCGGGCAGTCGGCAGAACCCCAAGGTCGGTACCCCCTGCCTGATCGGTGACCGGTCCAGGAGCCATAATCGTTCATCGGACTGCGAATATCCCGAAAAATTCCGGGGAATCCTGCTCTCTGATTGGCGGCAAGTCATGACTGCCGACTTGGGGGGTCTGCCGACGGGGCAAAGTACGGCGCAACTACGTCGCATGGTTGGCACGCGTGATTTTTACCGCATAGAACAGACCATCGTGTCATGCCGAATGTGCACATGCGCCGACGTCGAGATGTCTCATGGCCAATGTTAAGCGGAGCCTCGGAAGAAAAAGATGCAACTGTCAGGGTCGGTTCAGACACTGGGTCCACTCGACTTCGCGAGGAAGAGTCCCAACGAAGCGGGCCGCAGCCGGCATACTGATCAGAAGATGAAGATGCTGCATTGAGCATGTGCCGCGGTATGCCGTTGCAGCTGACACTATTACGGTGTGCCTTCCTGAGGTCCTGATGAGAGATTGCGGACGAATCTCTGGCGACACATCCGTTCTGCAACGGAAGAATGATGTCCCTCGAGAAGAAGGGAGGTGTCAGTGAGGACCCGTTTGAAGACTCAAAGGAATACCGCCAAGGTCGGCACTTTTCTTCTAAATCATTCCCATCAACGCTTCGGTTGAAGCTCGGCCAGTGGTTTTGTCGCTTAAAAGTCAGGCCGAGTGGCAATCTGCCACAAGGAGTACTGTGCCTCCCTGGGTAGTCGGCAGACCCCCCAAGTCGGCAGGACCAATCAGAGAGCAGGATTCCCCGGAATTTCTCGGGATGTTCGCAATCCGATCATTGATTTCAGCTCCTGAGCCAATCAGGCAAGGGGTGCCGACTTGGGGGGTCTGCCGACTACCCAGGGCACAGTACAGGAGGGGCTCATTGAAGAAAATATTGCTAGTGTCGCGACCAGTAGAGAAATACGATGCAACTCACCTCAGCAAGTTACATGCGCATTTACTGCGACTCGAGGCGAACCCGGAAAACCCCTGACGAGGCATCTGGAAGGGGATGATTCTGGCGTTTTGCAAAACACTATAATCTCGTCTTCCACTTCAAAATCTTGATACTTGTATGACCTCACAGATGTGTACTTTACTTTACCTATGAAGCCAAGTGGGAAGACATGAATTTGTTGTGGAGTTGGAGCCTCAAGACGGCTACCTTGAAACTTGGTAAACAGGACGCTAGGGCCTTTTAGACACGAGGCATCCAGCCAATAGAAAGCTTGCGTCGGCAAGTTGCAGCGTTCAAAGTTGATCTCGGAGAGTGACGAGGAGACATTCAGCGTGCCGAGGCGCCGGTAAACTGCACGCGACCTCTGAATTGGAGACGCGTCGCGACTTGACACGTTCATGCACGGTCACGTGCGCGTGTATGCGTACGTGGCTGGCCGCTGGCGATAATTCCTTTGCGGCTAAGTCTCGATCCTTGACATCCTCTCCCGAGCGCGGCCACAGTTTGTGGAGTGCTTATTGTGGCTCTGGTACAGCGTATTTCTCTGGCACCCGTCTAAGGTGGTCCCTGCTGCTCTCTGCGTGCGGCCTCAGGTGTACGGCAAGATGGCACCATCTTTCCTGTTCATGCTCTTCTGTCTGCTCTTTCTTGCTGTAATCGTAAATGCAGCAGATCTCTACAAAGCTCTAGAGCGTTAGTACAAGGCACGCGTTCTTCTGGTCAAGGTAATGGTTGGCTTATGCTCGTCCTTGCCATCCAGTCTCCAAGTCTGCTTCTGAGCAAGACATCAGGAAAGCGTACAAAAGGCTGAGGTCAGTATACATGCCAGTTCCACACTAGGCTATCCTAAGACAAATCAGTCGAAAATACCACCCGGACAAGAACAAAGATGCAGGTGCTGAGGAGAAATTCGTAGAGATCGCCCATGGTACGTATGCCAGGCCGCAATTTGCACAAATGTCTAATAGCATTGTTACAGCATATGAGGTACTCTCGGACCCACAAGTACGACCCATATATCACTTCTGTAGCTGTATCCTGACTCGCTGCAGAAAAAACAAATATATGACCGTCACGGAGAGGTATCTATAAGCATCTTCCTAGGATATAGTTTGCTCATGACGGTATTGACGTGCTCCTTCGACAGGAAGGCCTGAAAGCCCATGAGAGTGGACAGCAGCCCCATGCAAACCCCTTCGACATGTTCTCGAGTTTCTTTGGCGGCGGGCGTATGTATGCGTCCACTGCATAAGTATAGCGGGCTCATAACCTCTTCGTAGATCCCGGACAGCAACAAGTGCGCCGGGGACCAACGTCAATCACTGAGATGGAAGTCAATCTCTCAGACATGTACGCGAATGATATTGGTTTATTACAACTCTTCGCTCACAGCCTTCCAGTTATATGGGTGCTAGTATAGATGTAGGTCGTTTTTACCGCGGTTACACGATGTAAGATGGCTCAGATGCTGCACCTAGTTCTTGATCAAGAAGCGTATCCTTTGCGACCACTGCCGCGGGACTGGTGCTGCTTCCTCGTCAGACATCCACACCTGCCCCGTGTGCGGCGGCTCCGGCGTGCAGATCGTGCGGCAGCAGATAATGCCGGGCATGTTCTCGCAAGCACAGGTCACGTGTGGGCAGTGTGGAGGGCGCGGGAGCACGATCACACGCGCGTGTCCGCATTGCGGTGGTGCAAAAGTACTCGAGCACACGCAGACGTACACGCTCGATGTGCCCCGCGGCGCGCCCGAGGGCCACGAGGTCATGTTCGAGGGCGAGGGCGACGAGAGTCCCGACTGGGAGGCGGGCGACATTGTCATGCGCGTCCGGAGCAAGAAAGATAAGGGCGGATGGCGCCGTAAGGAGAGTGGGCTGTACTGGAAGGAGACGATCGGCATCGAGGAGGTTAGTTCCCGTGGTGCAAGAATTTTACAATTGATGCTGACTATCTGGCAGGCACTATTGGGCTTCGAGCGGAATCTGACTCATCTTGATGGTCATGTAGTACCATTAAAGCGACACGGTGTTACCCAGCCAGGTAGGGTCTCTACATTACGAGTGTTGCTGCAGGTCTGATCCTGTCCCCTCTAGGGTATGTACAAACCATCAAGGGAGAGGGCATGCCGGTGTACGGTCAGAACTCGTTCGGTGATCTATACGTAGAGTATACTGTGGTTCTTCCTAAAGAGATCTCGCCTGACATGCAACGACGTAGGCCAAGCCATATCCATCTTACTTACGCACACTGCTAACACGTTTGGTTCAAGGTCTACGTGCTGTCTTGCATGGACATGAAGGGAGCTTCAAGGACGAGCTGTAATCGGGCGTAGACTACTTAGATAGCGTAGACCATAATTTATTCCCTACATGGCGGATGACTACGAGAACATCACATAATGAATCATGAGAAACGAAATGATGCATTGCGGGGACAGCACAGTACAAATGATGACTTGTTCTACAATAATGATTTTCGCAACATTTATGCCTGGAACGCATTCAGTTACGTGAGTTGTGCAAGAGACAGCGAGGTCTACATACCACGTAATTATACGACTTGCGGTCTCCGCATCGCTCAAGATATTCCCGCTATGATGCTCGTTGGTTGCCGAATACAGTTCAACGCCAAGAATTTGCATACCTCTATGAGACCTTCTATTCGCTTCTTGATATTGAGCGGATCTGGCAGGAAACGGCTTGACAGTTGGCGCGTAACCTCGTTGACAAGATCCTGATGCGTCATATGCTTGCGGTCCTTCATAATTCGCACAATGCACGCCTATAGCAGCCCACGTAAACAGACATGAATAATTCAAAACCACCGAACGCACCTCCGTCTGATGCCGCCGTTCCTCGTCGATACGGTCCTTTGTCTCCTTGCGCTCGTCCGTGTTCTCAACGCGTGATGCGACGGTGCTGATCTTGATCTTTTGCAAGGGCGCTGAGAAGTCTGCATTGAACGAGAACGAATCTTGTGGATTGATGTCACGGCCTGGTGGATGCTTTTTCAAGATCTTGTACTTCGCACAGGCGAGTGACTGTAGATGGCGCTGAAGCTCGATGTCCGGTATGGTGGTGGCGTCTTTAATTTCCTATATGGTGCCTTGTGGGTCATGCGCTGCACATACCACGGAAGGACCACGGAAGGTCAACGCACCTGGTATGTCAGGAAATCGTCGAGCTTGAGATCTTGGAACAGCAGCAGGATAACCAAGGCGAATGTCGAGACATTCAGATCGTGCTTGCGTGAGTTGAATGTCACTCGAACGTCGGCATTGCCCAACGAAGGTTGCCAAGTCAGCCGTCGTCCTGAGTGCCTTGACAGGTAGAACTGCTCGAAGGATTTTGAGGCTTTGATGAGAAGGTCAGGAAACTTGCAGGATGCAGCCGAATATGACATTGGCCAGAACGTGGATGTCATAACGATCACTGAGATCTCGACTTCCGGTGCCTGTGGCAAATGAGCAATGATGTGGAATATCTGGACAAGGGCAAAATACCGTAGTGTTCTCCAAATGCTTCTGGTACGCCTGCATCGTGTCTGACGATATTTTCATATCGTGGAACATACCCTCGAGCTTCTGCGTGAATTGATAGCCACATTCGACCTTCAATTTCGCTAGCATGCCGCGTTCTGCATCATCGGATACCGACCGCCCTAACAAAAGGCGCTTCGCGAGGTGGCCCTTATAGTAGCGTTCGAATATATCCTTGTCTGTGAGGAATCTGAAGACCATAATCGTTTTTTCCAGAGTCTGATCGACCTCTATGTCTGATTTCTAGGGTCCGATGAGTAATGAGCACGTAGACGGTGATGCATAGATGAACTGACCCCTCTGAGACCCTTCTTTAAGTTGTCATCAATAAACAAGGAAATGAATTCTGGGGCCTTCTCATGTTGATTGATGAACGTCTCGAAAGCCTTTAAACGAGATGAACATTTCGTTTTCATTTTATATAGCTGGACCACGCACCTCATTGGTACTGGCTCCGATCTCTCTGTCACTTTGCAAGGCGCAGGTCCAGATTTGGTCAAATTTATCCTTGAGATCTAGGACATCCTGCACCCATTTCAACGCCAGCGAGAGTGTTTGCGAGTTTGCGGGGGCCGCACGCGCTTTTCCCTTGGCCTTGGCCTTCGCGCTTTTCTCTACTTCCTCGTCTAGTATGGCCTCATCCACCCCATCTGAGCTCAGGCTACCGGAGTTGATCTCCCTCCCTCTTCGAATGATGGACTCTCGTAGAGCCTTCTTCAGCGTTGGGACACCAGCCGGCACCATCGCAAACAGTCGGTATAACCGGGCGAGATCATCCAAATTATCGAGGTCGATCATTGCATCTAGACCAGAGTTGGGCATAGCGATTACGATGGACAGATGAGGGGATAGTAGATTCTCTTCCAATATGTGTCGTAGGCGAGGAGCCGTCTTCGACGATAGGAAGTGATGTGCACGCGACTCCTCTTGCTCGAAACGCATTTCGACCTAGTTTAGTTCAATAATTGAGAATGTGGCAATTTCGCCCTAGACGCATACTCACACGTCGCAGATATTCTGACGCATCGCATGTCTCTAGAAGATGCTCCGCCTCCTTGGTGTAGAATAGCTCGCTCTCTCTGAGTACGGTAGGCTCTAGGTCTCGCTTGTACACGGATATGTTCTCGCCCTCCTCGTACAGCTGTAGAAGCACGTCCACACAGCCTTTCACGGCGGAACGATTGATAACATACCCATCGCGCTCGACATGGATCTCTGTGAGGATAGCGGAGATCAAATGCTCTTGTATTGGTGATTGAAGGATGTGCCGGATGAAGAGGTACAAGCCAGATTCCCAGATCTCCGGCACCTGGTTGTTCTTGGAATACACACGATCCTGCGAAACGAATCCGCAACAGAAACAGCGAAACACTGGCATCGAGGACGTACCATGTACTTCAAGACATCGCGCAGCTTAGACAGACTGGACGTGTGGTCATCCCAGACTTTCCTCACAGCCTTCAATAGCGTTTCCCCCGCTTGAGCCTTCTGCACAGGATCGTCTTCGCTGCCCGTGGGGAATGCAGGTACAATGATCTCACTTGCGAGCTTGTCCAAATGTCGCGCAACGAGCTCGTTGGTGCCGTTGTACAGCATCTCCCCGTGCTTGTAAAGGACCATGTTGTATCCATAGCGATGGTTCTCCTCATAGGAGAGATTGTGCGCATTGTGATTTTGTATTTCGACTATATTCTTGGACAATTTGGCCCATGTCTCCTCTACTGAGAAGTCGGGACCGTGCTAGCGACTAAGTTGAATCCTATGCGCGATAGTGACGTGAGGTAGCATACCCGCTTAGCTGGTTTCTGTCATCAAGGAGTCAGACGCAGCGAATTCCAAGTGGTGTATTGTCTCACTATCTTCGGTTTGCCTCGGCGCGGTACTTCCAGAACTCGGTCAAAACTCCGATTTGGATGTGATTAGAAGATGCATACCAGCAGCCATTGTTCAGTTTCCAAGACGATGCAGTCCCCAGACAGAATACCTTTCGGGCGTGAAAGGGCCCACTCACTGCGCAGTGAACAAGTAGAGTAAGGGCAAGGGGGTAGAGCACGAGCCTGCCTGCTCAGCCGCCACTCAGATCGAGCGCTTACCATCTCAGATGTTACAGAGCTACTGATCACTCGGGTCTATTAAAGATCATCAATGGGTACACGTGAGGTCATGCGTTCAATCTACACTACTACAACTTGCTGGCTTCGACGATGAATTACTGTAAACAAGGGAAAGCGAGGGAGTGGCATTGATACATGGAGCATGGTAGAATATCCTAATGCAAATCTGAGAGCATGAGCGAATGCATGAAATGTAGATTGCGATTGCGGAGCTGTAGGATAGAGCAAATGAAAAGTAGTTCTGGAATAGCACGTATTATTGTAATCTTTTTGACTTGCGAACCGGGAGCGGAAAGTCCTATGAGCCCGCACGAGAGGCGCGGATGAAATCAACGAAGTATTTCCGGAAGCCTTTGGCGTCGAGGTCCCTCATTTTCGTCGTAAATTCAAGCGCGGCCTCGGGGGGCCAGCCCTGAGCAGGTAAGAAGACAGAGATGAAGAAGTCCAAGGTTTCTTGACCGCGGGTCTTCATGACTGTCTGAAAGAAGTTGCAGATTTCGTGAACAACCTGTGTTCCTGATCAGTATCAACGACAAGTACTCGGGAAGGTATCAACCGTACCATGACAGTCTGGCCGTCTGCGATGTTGAACTGAGGCGATGAGAAAAGTGCGAAGGCAGCTGGAATCAAGCGCTCATAGACGAAGCGTTCGAATCCAGGCAAGGCTTGTGCTTGCGACGCCGCATCTGTGATTGGCTGCGCCCAGACCGAGACGCAGCGCCCTAAGAATGTGAACACGGTCTTTTGGCTGGTTGGGTCAGAACCGTCTTCTGCGAGCTGTACCATGCTAGCCAGGAGGCCCTCTAGCTGGCCCTTGTTTCCTGCGGCGGACGTCAGCGAGTGAGCGTTAACGGGATTCGACATTCAAGGAACTCACGTTCTGACGTGAAAATACCATGAAGTTTCGAAGCCACAACATTATTCAGCAAGGCGAGGTAAGCACGCTTAATGTCGGTATGCGTTTGCTGGTCATCAGTCCCGGAGACTGGCTGAGCCAACAAGCCGTTGATGTGGATACTAAGTGGCCCGATCAATTGATCGAGTACATCGAACATGTCCCCCTAGATTTCAGATCAGCGAAGAGTGATTTCATATTGAAGGCTGAGCGCACCTGGAGCTTGTGGATCAGCAAGCCGATGAAGTTCATGAAGTCGGTCAACTCGGAGGGTTCGAAGTGGGCGAGCAGATTTGCCATCAGCGGAGGTATGAGCTGCGTGACGTTCGGGCCAGTCGTGGCAAGAATCCGAGCGAATGCGAATCGAGTCTACAGTAACACTCAGTCAAAACATTGGTTTGATCTTTGGAACTGAGACATACCGCATCTCTCACGACTTTGAAGACGTTCATCGCTTCCAATGATACCAGAATCGCCTGCGCGACCTCGCTGAAGACATGTAATGGCGGTAAGATATATCCCTCAGGTACCGGAGAAGGATAATCTGGAAATCCTTTGGCAACGTTTCCCAGTGCCATAATGATATGATGAACCTTTAGTATGGGCACCACGTCCTCCACACCCTTGACCGCCTGCAAGCTGGCAGAGAGCTCATCGAGCAGCGGCCGCACAATGGACAGTAATAGCGTCGCTGCCTGGTTCGGCGTCTTGTATAGCAGTGATACAAGTGTTCCTGCAGTCTCAAAGAGGTAAAGCTGGGAGTCGAAGATGCCCGGGTTGTTGATCGCCTCGATGAGCATATCCTGCGTTTCCGGGTTCTCGAGTTCCGGGAGCTCGACCTGGATGGACAGCAGATCACGCATGCCCTCGAACAGAGACACGGCAAGGTCAGGTGGTATCTCGTTTCGGTCCTCCTTGATAAAGCGGTGGAACAAGTAGAAGACGCGTGAACGCAGGTGGGACTCGGGGTTGTGCAGACCGCTACAGCCTCGCAGTCAGATCGCATATACTGCGCCTCACCCTTAAACGACATACCGAGCATCCATCATAGCCTGCAGCGTGGGCATAATACAATCTTTTCGGACTTTGAAGAAGTCGCCATAACGAGCGGCAGTCTCGAAGAACTGCATAACGACAGTTTTGTTCGGATAGTTTGCAACACCCGATTGCACGAGGGCGTAGAGCATCTCGCCGTGACTCGTCAGTTGGTATTCTGAATAGTCTGTCTCTTTTCGCTTCTCCCTAATCACAGCGGGCGCATGGCAGAACGCTGCGCGCCCTTTGGTGCCACCTAGGAAAAGTGCTCAGCCTGGGTGATTATAACGAGGAACTGCAAGCGAAGCACCTACTTTTGTTGATCTCACCAAAGCTGTACACTAGGTACACGGCCAGCTCTGCATCATTCCATTTTACAGGGGCGCCACTGCCGTAGGCCGTCAAGGTGTTAATGACCAGTGTTCTCAGCGCGTCCATGACCAGTGACTGGTCTATGACAAACGTAGAGTCCATGAAGGTACGCAGTTCCTGCATCAATTGTTAGACAACTAGCTCATAACGCACCATATTGAGATGTCTCACTTTTCGCAAGCTCTCGAACGCAGCCTTATCGTCTTCCTCCATATCTTCTGGGTCGGAATCCTCTTCCCACTTGAGCTTCTCCAGGACGACCCGGAGTAGAGAGGTGAGGAACGTTCGTTTTGATTCCTCAAGGGGTTCTGTCGACGTTTTTCGCGACCGCTTGTGCTGCGGGTCCTCGTGAATACATGGAGCCACGCCGAAAAGAGCGAAAGCTTACGCTCGTGAGAATAGTTTGAAGAAGGGGGAAGACCGTTGAGCACGTATCGTCATACTCATCCGCCATGAACCGCAGCATGACAGGGAGAATCTGTTGCAGCAATTCTGAGGCCTCTGAGTGGATCTCACTCCCAGGACATTCCTGCAATAACTTGTGAGCACCAAAAACGAGGAAATTTCAACATGCATACCTCAACGAGTTTGCACAGTTCCAGCCCGAGAATGTTGAGTAGTTTGCCGAGTGCCTCACGGTAGGACTCCTCTCCCTCATCGACATCAGAGCCGCGGGCGCCCTGGGCGACCCTTGTTTTCGCCTCAAGCGCATCGAGGACCTGTCCCAGGGACAAGACCTTGATGAGCTGCAGCTTGTCCCCGGGCTCTTTGAGACCCTTTGCGACGATTTTGGTAAGCGCGGAGCAAGTCGCGAGGCGGATGGCAAGGGAATGATCGGACAGTAGTGTGAAAAGGAGCGGAACAGTTGTAGGCGTGACAGTCAGGTTGATGTCGATCCAACCTGCGTTGAATGGAATTTACATCGCAGTAAATGGGCATCTGAGCTAACGGTGACGTACCTGCGTAAGACGCGAATGTCCTGACACCCCAGTCTACGACCTCTATGGCCCCATCTAATTCCTCATTAGAAGCGGGAAGGTCGCCCTTCCGTAATCGCGCCATGCGTTCCGAGCCATCGGCAACGATGGTAAGAACCGCTTCGTTGATGCGACCTGCGTCCCGTTCCCGTACAGCGTCACGAACGCGTCCGTCTCGTGCGTGGCGCGCTGGCAAATGGTGCCTCGCGGCCTTTATTAGCTGATCTGCGACCTCTCCGGAAATTTCCAGGACGATGTGAAAGAAAAGCAGAGATACGTGTTTGTTGAAGGTCGATTGTGATGTCGACTCGGCAGGACGTATGAGAGCGAACAGATCGAGGAAGAATGTTGGCCACTGGTCGACGTATGTACACAGGAAGAACAGGGTGAGCGTATGCGCAAACTTGTTGCGCAAGACTGGACGAAGGTTAATACATATAATATCCGAAAACCAGAAGACATACATGAAGCCTCAGCCTCTGCAGGACCATACAGATACTCCGACTGAATGTAAGTTACAAGTGATTGGCGCAATGTCTGGAATGTCTCTTCGTCTAATGGTTCGTATCTGCATGAACACAGAACCTGTGTGAACAGACCTAGATATTAGGCACGAACATAACTAACCGATTCTCGAGAAATTCGTCCAGGATCCGCAGAGCAAAAAATCGGGCTTGACTGGGATGTTTCCTCCCACCATTCGGACCAGCCTCTATGAACAGAGCCAGAGCCAGACGCCAAGTATTTGCTACATTTTGTTGCACAGTAGAGAGATACTCTAGAGCTTGTTGATGCAGGGTCCCTCGTGTTGGGTCGCTCGCTATGCTGATCGCTTGAACCAGCTGATTCAGGTCTTGCTCCATGATGTTCTCTCCCTAGAGTTTTGGCTCCAAGGCAGAGATGAGCTAGAATTCGAGCGGAAAGTAGTTTACGAGGTCGCAAGACAGACTCTGGTCCTCGCGCAAGGAGTCGATTATCCCAATCTTTCACGATCACGTGCGATCGGCAAGATCGAGATCCTCATGACGCTAGCCATTTCCATTTGACCGAATCTAACACGGGCTCGGTCGAGCACGCCAACTGCTTGTCGCTCATTCACCTACGCTTGCCTAGTCGCAGTCTTCCACGTATGCTCCAGCTATATTGATTCTGCGGACATATAGAAATATGTCAATTATGTTGCGTTTCTGCGCTCGCCGTACTTCGTCACTGGCGAGGATATGTTCGAGTCAACGCAGAAATGTCTCAGACGTTCCACAGACATACCCTTCTAAAGTTAGAGGTAAGCATGATAGTTCCATACATACTTGTCCATGAGGGTCTCATGCAAGCGGCATCAGCCTTCCCTTTTGCTCTGTCTGAGGAGGAAGCCATAGTACGCATGTCCCTCCCGATGTCCTTCAAATGCTGGCTCCGGAACATCTGGGGTTCCTTCGGCGCGACATTTCTTCCTGGAATGGGTTTCAAGCCTCTACAGCCTGACCGCATACAAGCAGTATATATTCCTATATGGTTTGTGGACGCAGAAGTGGAAGCGCATGCATGGCTCTCCCAAACATCCTCCCAGGAAGGCGAAGCCACTCAGGTACTGCGAATTGTCGTATTAACATCCAAGTTTGTGTGGGATAACATCTTCCATTAGCGGAAAGTGATGGCCTTCTTCGAACAGTCGTATGTAGTTGGTTATCTCGACCATGAGCTGTCCTTCACAAACGTTTCGTAGATTCGTGCCAGGTAATTGGTCTGTCATCAGTTTCGCCGGGAACTGATTTGGACAGCATCAAGGCTTCGCGCATGAGCCACTGTCACGCATCTCCCTACTGAATTCGCCTGAACTGGCGAACACCGCTACAATCCGCTACACTGACGACTTGCGTACCCAGCGGGGTTCAGAGATTCTCTGCATGCCATACTTCATTACGCCCTTCTCTCTTCTTAATCTCGCAAGCTCGCTGTCATATAGGCAGGCCACGGTTTCCGGGAATATGAGATTGAATCCTTCTACCGTGAAGGCAAACCTCGTGAGCGACTTTGAAGTTGCACTTGGTCTCGCAAGTCCTCACGACCGCCTATACTAGCTGGCGGCATATCCTGTCCTTATACCAATATATCTCGCGCAGTATGAAGTCATCAGTGACGGGCAGAAGTCTATCCGTTTCACTGCTATTCTCGAGGCGTGGAGGAAACAGGTAAGTGCGGTGTATTTCTATCTCTACCCCTGTATGCCGTGAGCAGATATACTTAGTACCACACTTGACGGATTCCAGACTGAAGTGGAGATATCAAAACAGAGCATCTAACGTTCTACTTGTCGACAGGGTCGTATCATCGCTGAAGATGTCGACAAAGATGCCGCTCAGTTACCCATACGGAACGATCCCAACGTGTCCCGCTTCCTCATGTCACTGACTGAGTTGCTGTCGCCGGGCGAGTTCTGGACGTATCCAAGCAGCCTGGATGACATTACCAGTGGAAGCTTCGCCACGGTCCAGTTGTTTACGCCACACTACAACAAGGCCGAACAGGTCACGCTGGAGAACTGGATCAACGGTGCAGCTGAGCGGGAGGGCGCAATCGAGGAATACCAGACAAAGTTCTTCTCGAGTGGTGACCAACCCGCAGTCGACTGGGAGGACCTGCGGATTCGCGAGTACAAGCCGACTGAAACATTCGTGAATCGCCAGTGGATGAACCTCGGCAAGCAGTTGGTTTTGATGCGCGGTGTTCTTTCGGTGAGCATCGGCGTTGGAGTCCGCGCCGTGCACAAATGGTGGCAACTGACTTGCTTAATGTTGTAGTCTATACTCCCCTTCATGCAGGCAATAGCGGGCTCGGACGCCTCAAAGAGGGACGATGGTGCACAAACTGGCACAGAGGACGGCCTGTCGGCTTCAGCACCAGACAAGTCCTCTCCTGAGTCGACCTCTGTACCCAAGGAATTTGAGTTCGAAATTCCGCGCAAGTTTCCTAAAGTGACAGAGGTTAACCCGAAGCAACTTGAGAAGATGAGGGAAGAGAGCAAGCCGGAGTGGTTGCGTGAATGGGAGCGCAGGACAGCGGGGGAGGAATCTGAACGAGTAAACAAAGAGACATGATCCACGTATGCATTGGTATAATGTAGACGTGCTACATATCGCACTTTCTGAGAAAAGCCCTCAGACTCATAGCGATGGCCAGTCCATGATGTAGTGCATTAGCACCGGTTTGCTGCGATGCTGCTGGCGCAATGGTTCTGGCGCATCTAGTCAAAAACTGTGAACCTCCGCGGGAATAAAGACTCGTTTAGTTACAAACTGATGAATGCTTACCATTGACTTGTGGGGCAATTGAGTACCAGTTCGATCTCACCGATCGCTGTGCACGGTCAACTCCGACAGCTCGAATTCCTGACAGTCTCCGATTATGCGCTGACTCTCGCGATTGCCACATTCATCATCACTTATGCTGTATTTCTAAATATGTTGCTCACGGTCTCGTTTTTCGAAATCACACCCAAAACCTGACAAGGGTATTTCTGGGTCTTGAATCTGAAAGCTGAACAAGCGATACCACGATGTTGCGCGGCTATGGAGTGCCACCACGCTGCCATGCGTCGTCCTTCACGGTAAGGAAATCCTGGCAAAGGAACGCGTCGTACATATCTCAGACGTATCCCTCGAAAGTCAGGGGTGGGTATTTTGCTGTTATTCTTCTGCTAGGAACATGAACGAGGGTGCCTTTAGCATATCCATTCGCTCTGTCTCCAGAGGAGGCGATTATACAGATGAGCTTGCCAATGTCCATGTACTGTGTCGGACTTGGAAGGGGCTTCTGGAGCTCCCTCGGAGCTAGGATATTCCCCGGATTGGGCTTTCAACCCGTACTTCCAGCGCGTATCAAGGCTTTATATATCCCCGCATGGTTCGTGGATGCAGAATTCGTAGCCAGGGGATGGCTTTCCAAGACACCAGGAGGGCAGGCCACTGAGGTATCTCAGCTCCTACCTCTTGCATATAACTCTGTTCTAAACATCGCGATTATTTAGAGGAGATTATCGGCTTCTTTTGAGCAATCGTATGTACTTAGTCCGACCTCACAGCTATGAGCGCGCTCTTACGAGACCATAGATATATGCCAGGTGCTTCTTCAGCCATTGTCTACGTAGGCTAGCTGTATACTGATGAGCTCGACTTGAAGGCGTCGTGTATCAGCCACTATCCAGTTTCTCACTAAGGTCTCCTGCACTGGCCAAGGCCGAGACGACGCCATTCTCCGACAAGTTGCGGAGACAACATGGCTCCGATGTCATATGTTTGCCATTTGAGCTGACGCCCTTTCATCTCGCTGATGCGGTACAATCACTATCATACCAACAAGTGACCGTGTCTGACAGACTGAGAATCAAGCTGTCAACGGTGAAAACAGATATGGTGAGCAGACTATCAAAACATGCCATATCGTTGTTGCCTCACAGTCGTCATGCAGATGGCAGCATATCCGGTCCTTATCCCGATCTATCTCGCGGAGTATGAGGTTTTGGGGATAAACAACGAGGTTCATAAATTCACTGCTATCCTCGAGGCCTGGACTAAGATGGTGAGCGAGGCTTCCACGCCAAATCCCATATGTTGTGTTCCGATAGTGCCAATTTCCCCCGGACCCTCAGCTATGTCTTTGGCGAATCGGAGTGTCCAAGGACGTCTCCGCTAGCCTTTCAGCCAATGTGCACGCACGGACTGAGCAGAATTCTTGTGTATAGGGCCGCATGATGGTTGAAAATGTCTACAGATGGATCGTGGACACGAAGCTCCGCGAAGACCCCAATCCGCCTCGACTCGCAATATGGGGCTCTAAGAAAATACCGTCGGGTCCCTTCTGGCTGTGGGGATTTTCTCCCAAAAACGCACACATGGAATTCGCCAAATCGGAGTTATGGGTGAGGGCTACGAAATACGAAAGGGAACAGCGCATACTGGATGCCTGGATCAACGCAGGATGGAGGGGCAGACAGGCCGTCTACCAGGAAAGGTTTTTCCCCAAGGTCTCAGATCGTAAAGTGGACTGGGAAGACCTGAGGATCCGGGAGTACATACCAAGCGAGGTCGAGCCCATCCGCCACTGGATGTCCCTAGGCAAAGAATGGACTATCAGCCAGCGTTTCTTCATGGTAAGCGAGCACTGAGCTTAGGGCTTGCGGAGCCGAAACGAAGTGACAACTTGATTCTCCTCGCAGTTTCTGATAAGGTTGTCGCTCTGGTTCAAGATGCAGAAAAGAGCGATAGCACGAGGTGAGGTTCCCGGCGAGGAGAGCGAGAGGGCCTCTTCGTCAGACGGGATGTCCTCGCTGGATAAGAAAAGTTTGGAATCGGCCATAGAATATGTCCGTAAATTTCCAGGCATAACGCACATCAGTCCCTGGACCTATGCTAGGCGCAGGAAAGAGGAGAAACCTGTGTGGCTGCAGGAATGGGAACGCAGAATGGCTGACGGCGAATCTGGGTTACCGAAGAAAGAGTAGCACCGTTCAGCAGAGATCCATCGCCATACGCACCATCCATATGTTCGGCTGCACAATATTGTACTGTACACTGTTACTTATGTTTCAAAAGCTGAGCATGGAGAACACTCATGCAACTGCTATACAGTTAGACGGGATAGGTGCTTGCGACTGCTGCACAAAAATACGGCACTATACTAAAACAGTGGCTAGGGAGAAAGTACGGTGTGTGCAAAGTCCGAAAGCGAGGTATGCGATATATATAGGACGTAACGAGCGACATGTCGTAGAACTTCCTTGGGGGGCACAGCGAATGGCGACGGTCGAATAAGTACTACAAAGTACACGATCCGACAGAAATTACAGGCGTGTAAGGCCGAGTAGCAACGCACACACACTGAAAAACACAACGCGGAGGGGCACGCGGATGGCGCCGGCGCCGCTTGTCCAGCCCGGGGGCTCGCCAAGCGTGATGGACGCCTGAGACGCGGTCGACACTGACGTGGACACAGAGCCAGAGTACGTGATGATAAATGTGAAGAGCGTGGGCGACGGCTCTAGCGTCGGCAGCGCGGTCGCGTTGACGGACGCAACGTCGAGCACGGGCGAGTATGTGCTTGTCGCAAGGCCTGAGGAGACGACGAGGCCGGGCGGAGCTGTCACCGACGTATTGAAGACGTAAGGAGGCGTGGTATATGTGGGCGTGGGAAGGAGGTAGTTCGGGAGCTCGGTGTCTATGGTTGCAGAAGCCGAAGAGAAGTAGGCGTTCACGACGCTGGGTGATTGCACAGGAGCGGTGGAGTTGCGCAGGGGATACAGCCCAACCATGGGGGCTTCTTTTGTGTCGATGCCTAAGCTGAAAATGGAGTAGACAGTTTCCAAGAACGGGGTTCCTGATATATCATCTCAGTATTTAGCGATCAAGAATTGAAAGACTACTTACCCAATTGCCAATCGACGCCATCAGAACTTGGGGGAAGGGCGGCGGGCCAAGCCAGGCAATAATCTGGATCGCCCGCAGTAGGTCCCAGGAGGTAGTCAGTTGGCTGCAAGGTGAAGTTTCCTCCACTGAAGATAGTTCGCTGAGAACAGGAGTGCGAATCGCGCGTGATAGACAATGCTTACCCGAAGTTGAGTGTAATAGTCTCGCTCGCATCGCAAGGCATAGCCCACTGGCCAACCGTATCGGAGACCGACACAAGACGGCTACCAGCAATTTGAGAGAATATCCGTGATACATCTTGATATGGCCCGTATATTCCCGACGTGCCTCTGAATCTGGCATGAGCAAACATGCCTCCTCCGATAATAACCAACTTACACGTCAAGGAGCGCAAGGGAATGGTTTGATTGAGCGATGGGGTAAGTTGGCACCGGCGTCACCAAACTGCCATTGACCTGTGCAGACGCTTAGGACATGCTCAAGGACAAGTCTAACTGTACGCACGTATATCTGCGCCAGCTCGACAGCCCATTGGAGATAACTCGCAGTGGTACCATTTGTGCCATTGAAGGGGGCGAATGGGACTACATCAATCCATTCGATGTTGCTTCTGTTCGTTACCGCGGAAGCGTCAATCGCACCTATGGCGGACGGTCAGGAGGTAGCTGTCGGAATTGTAGCGGCCCACGCACCGAATGTCAGGCTGCCAGTAGTGTTGCGTTTGAGGCTCAGACCGAACAGGGGGTAGTCCAGCGTGCCTTGCTGGGCCATCGAAGCAAATACAGGGGTTGCTGGAGGTCGTACATTAGGGTCGCACTGGTGCCGTACGGACAGAGCTTACCATTTACAACAGTGTTCGCAATAGTCGAGAGCCGAGGAAAGCCGAGACCGAGTATGCCGCTGATCTCGTCGCTCAATGTTACGTTGGATGAGTTCACCAGGCCAAATGCCTGCTGCGGCACAGTCAGGTTGTTGAGAAGCATCGTTTCCCGGGCAATAAAGCCGGAGGCAGCTACGCAGCATCATTAAGTTGTATGAAGCAGAGAGCGTGGAGCCAACTGACTTGTGGAGTCCAGGAAGCTGACATTGAAGAGGCTCGAATTCCCGTTGACCGACTGGAACGTTGAGCTCTGGTAAGCCAGCTGGTACCGTGGGACCGAGCTGCATGCACTACTCGTGCAAGCAGAAGACACGACCCAGAAGTCGGATGACCCCGTGTCAAGCGCGACGCGGAAGCTCATGTTGCCCATCGACACCAGCGTAAAATACGACCTGCAAGGGCGCTCCTTCATTGAACAGCCTCAGCGAGCATACCGACATATTACGCACTCCTCCGCCTGCGAGTAAGAGACTCCCAAAAGCGTCGCATGGTTCGTGGTCAAGTTCGGGCTGCCCTGAATAGTCTCCAAGTACTGGCGGACGCCCAGGTCGTGGAGACGGCCGCCCTGTGCCGGGGTGCTGGCTGCATTGCACACTTGGAAGAGTACAAAAACGACGACAGCGAAGACAAAGAGAAACATGCTGTCGGAAGGGCGTTGCTACCAGACCTGCGGCATACGAACAGCGAGGGTGTGAATATGTGCAAGCGCAGCTTGGAGGGAATATAGCAAGACCAAAACAGCAAGCTGCGCGTCTGCCTCTGCCCGCGTGATCTCTCCGACATCTACGGGCTCGGCAAATCATGTGTTTTACGTCATTTTCATTGGCCGCGCCGCCGTGCCTTGCCCGTAAAGCACTGCTTTGACTGCCTCGGGTTATTTTGACCGTACTCTGTGCGGGCGGCAGCGCACAGGCCTCTTGGGGTGGCGGGTGCTGCAGGCCGCGATGATGGATGAGAAAGGGCCATTCTCTATTCCGTCCTCGCAATAAATTACACTCAATTTGCATCTAAAAAACCATGCTGTGCATCGGCCCCCCTCTCAGGCTATGTGCTGCTACCTGAACAAATATCCGGGTACAGCCTGTCCGTGGGATCTTGTGGAATCCAGCCACCTTCGAGTCCCTTCTGATAGCTCCATTCGTCCGCGCTCTCTGTCTGAACCCACGAGGATCGATCAGCATACCGCTTTGGGGTATTAGGATGGGAGAAGCCAGCTACACACGCACCTTCCATGTCCAATAGATCCACCCCTGGATGCTTTCCCCGATCTGTACTTGTGCTTCCCAATATCTATATACGTGTATGTGGGTGAGCTACAACGATACACACCGCAACACACGGCGATCCGATCTGCATCCGAGCACCACTCACTGTCTAAGGAAGGTCTTGTAATCGTCGCTGAATGTCGACATGTTGCCCGTCCAGCCCGTGCAATTGCCAAAGGTAGGCTCTCCGGACGCAAACGTTCCATCCCACCTCGCTCCCACGTTCCGCCCGTTCAGCCACTTCGCGCAATCAGTGATCGCAGTGGACCATTCCCCGGTAATTGTGTTGAGATTCGATTTTGCGTACGGTACAAGGCTATCTATGAATTGACAAGAATACTGGAGCAATGTCAGCGAACGTCGTCGCAGTCAAATGCGACTCACATTGATGTGTTGCGCTTCAGAAAGCTCCAGCTGGTCGTAGTTGAAAATCTGGTACTGGTGCTGGATGGAACACTGTATCAGTTCACGGGAAGTTCGATCAGCAGACAACCTACATAGTCCATAATAACATTCTCGGCCGCCGGAGGCATGAGGAAATTCTCCCAATTCTAAAACAATCAGCTAGTCGCACCTCTTGCCACCTGTCGTGACCCCATACCTGAACACCAAGGAAGGCGTCTCCAATCATGACCTGGACTCCAGTACCCGTCGCCTCGCGTACCGTGCTGTACCCATCCTGCCAATATGGCCCAATCGCCGTGTCGATGCTCGACACCCACCCGGCTGGCTCGTTGAGCAGCTCAATGATGTTGACTTTCTCGCTGACCTGACCGGCGATGTAGCGGATGACGTCGAGCGTCCGCGGGATATTGGTGTCGTTGTTCGCCCAGTTCGCCGATCCCCGCTCCCCGGAGTTGTCAAAGCCGTTCTGGGAGCCAGGGGCCCCATGCAGGTCGAGAAGCACATGCAGACCATTCTCGTTCGCCCAGTCTAGGGCTTGTAGGAGGTACGGCCACGCGCCCGAAATGAAGGGAGAGACAGAGGTCGTGTAGTTCGAGTCAGCGGACGTCATGGGAACTGACCAAAACCCAAGTGGGATCCTATCGTCGAAAGTTAGTCAGAGCATTTTCTGCACCAAATTTCCACCTACCGGACGTGGTTCAGTCCGGCGGCTTTGATGTCCTTGAAGTCATCTTCGGTTATCCAAGTTTCCCAATGCGCTTTGAGGGCACTCAGAGCGACATCGGAACTTTGCATTTGACCGAAGGTATACTCGTCCACGATGTTAGTATTGTTAGTGTTCTCGAATATGCTCGGGGTAATCCATGGCTGCGTTTACTCTCTGTTCAAGCATACCATTTCTATGTGGCCGAAGTAACCCACCTCAAGAACAAACCAGCCGCCTCTGAAACGGGACACGGCGACATCAGGTCACGACGTTAGATGTAACAGGAGTGGCATTACTCACAAATTGACACCGCGGATGATGTCAGTGCCGTAGCTGAACGCAGTCGCATTTGCGCTAGAAGCAGATGCAGACGGCTGCGGACTAGTCCCAGTGGAAGTCGGTGAACTCGAAACAGTAAAGGGAGTTTGGGCGGGATTCCCCGTAGGGTAAGCCTGAAACCCAGCCTTGAGCCTGCATTGCTGGGCAGAAACATGACCTGGACTGGTCAGGAACAGCAGAACGAATGGCAGTAAAGTTGGCAGCATTTCAGCAGGTCAAGACATGGAGGTACGTGATGGAGCTTGGAGGCGTGCAGCAAGCCGGGCTCATTGCAGACCTCGTGGCATGGCATGACGTGCACGGACGCTATGTTCGTCGGATACATTGCAAGCACGAGGCTGGCAGCATGAGGCGCCTTGCTCTTTCCGGACAACGTTGTGCCCAGAGTTGTGCCGCCTGAGGCCAAATGAACTCATGTAGACGCTTTGATGATCAGATACAAAGTCCGATCATGTAGCGCGGAGTATTCCCGTGCGTTTATGAATCTGCTTGTCAAAGCACGATTTCTTATCTGGCGAGGTTGTTAAAGTAAACGGAGCCTACCGAATTGTGTTCGACGACCTATTGCCAGTAGTATATGTCATGAGCTCGTTGTGCCTTACATCTATCAATCGTGCGTCCCAGAGACAATTATTCGTATATGCTTCGCCCTCAATACATATTGCGTGCTTCTCAACGAGGCTTGATATCTTACACCCAGCTGTCTTCTGTGACTGCTTGTCTTCCCTGATGCTTCTTCAAGCGTTTGGAGTCTTTCCAGAATGGCAGATCCCGTGGCACGCCGCACATCAGTCCACTAGATCGGGCATGAGTGAGTCTTCGGATGGCTGGAGATTGCGAATGCGGCTACACACGCACTCACTCTCCACAGTCAGCGGGACGGCGTGGCGTCGATACAACTGGCTGCAAATAGACGACGACAAGGACGTCCGCCTAAGATGTATTGCACGTCGACATTGTTTTCGTCGTGAGTCTATCATGGTATTCTGAGCAAGCGATATAACATAGCATGATACTCGCTTACTTCGATGACGACGCCATCTGCCCAAATGTTCTCATCCGAGAGCCACACCCGGACACGTTGCAAGCAACCCTAGGCATTTGTCAGCCAAAAGACAAACTCAAGAATAATTATGTGTGTCGGCAGTGAGCTATGTAGCGGTCGACGCTGAACGCACTTTACGTGGCACTGAGACGACCGGACGATTCGGTGGGGCCATGGCGAGAAAGGATGGTTATCAATGTTAGAGCGTTATCATGTCGTCTTTTTATACGCATTGTTTTGAGTTTGTGGCAAGACAGGGTCAAACCAACTTCTTTGAGTATATTGTGGGTCCGCACGTCGGTGTGGTCCCGTTTCCGCTTCACGCGTGAAGAGCCTTCACAAGAACTCGGCGTCGGTAAGCGAGATCGGATGCATCAATCGCCGCTGACGAAGGAAGATGATGCGTAGACAGTATGCGTTGATATAGCTTCTCAGATGCCCTACAGCAAGCGCACCCGTAACAAACCCGTGTGATAAGTGTTGCCCGGGTCGCACCAACACCCGATGTGGCGCATAGGCGTGATAGTTGAGGCACTGGAGATTACATTGCAGGAATACCACTGTACCTTGTTCAATGATATCTTGTCTTTGTGCTGTGGCATCCGTTCACTGCGATATTCCGTCATCGTGAGATATCTCGGCACATGAGCGCATGGAAGGAACATGTTGTGGTATCGATATCCAATTAATGTCGACTTGATACGGATGGGCTATACACAACCCTATCGGACAACTGCCGCCAATGTACGTAGCGATGTGCATCACCGTCTTGGCTTGGGCCCAGCGCTGCGGAGAGATCGTAGTGGTGCATCGCGTCGTGGGAAGTACATGAAGCACTTCACCTCAGGATGACTGATTGGGTATGGACACCCCAATTCTCAGGTTACAGACACTTATACGTAAAACCTGGGTGGTAAAGCGGATCAGTGGCCACAGAACCAAACTGTGACGAAGAATCAAACGGGCACGTTTTTTGAATCGCTGGCCTGCTGACCACATGCAAGTGTGACACAGATCTTGCGCCATCTCAAGGCTGCGAAATCTGTTGACATTCACATGATAGGAAGCTGTTGGGCTAGGAATTCAACTCCGGCTTTTCGCCATCCTGGTGGACAATTATGGCGAAGGCCGTACCTGAACTAGTGTCGTGCACGACGCGCTACTACAGCTGCCTCGGGCTGTGAACATGCCACCATTTCAAACCAGATGTCTCGTGGGCCTTGTCCCGAACAACAGGATTAGCGGCTATATTTAAAATGCCGAGTGGGGCTGATCAAGGGCTCTGGTCTACTGTCTGTCACGTTCATCAGCTGTAGTTATTATCTTGTAGACATTTTTCCGGCGTTAAATTAGTGAGTGTTGGCTTTGGAAGTCAAGTGGGAATTGGCGCTACTTGTTAACTGACGAAGTCGACCAAGGAGTACTTTACAAGCTATGGAATGGACATACGGTCGCGGGACCCAAGGTGACCCAAGGTGTTCAAACTGTTGCTGTGTGGCACGTGGCATTTTGTAGCCCAGCGCATACGCCGATCAACGAGTTGTGTATTAGTAATACTAGTAAGGCCAACTTGACTGACAGTTCATCGACATCACTTCTAAATGCGTAATTTAAGCATCTGCTGTGTCTTCATTCAGCTGGTTTGCTACTTGTGTTTGGGTATGACGGTTTTTACCGCATAATCAGATTTCCAGGCATGCTCGTAGACCGGTTTTAACTCCCTACCGACTCCTGAATACCTCCAGTAGGTTCAACCATTACGGATGGCCTGACAGCACAGTCAAGACATATGTAACATTTTTCGCCCGATTAATGGGTCAAAATTCCGTAAAACTGTATGACAGGCTTGAAGCATGCTCAAGCTGTTGGCGCTCCGTGAGTAACCGCCTGACTGCAGCTACAGCTAATACCCTACTTGTAGCTTTTAGCTGAACTCTGTGCCCATAGGTGCTCGTTGATCAACCGAGCTGGGTCAATGTCACTCTCCAGTGGCGCATCAAGTAAGGATGTCCGATACATCAGCCATGCGATTCACCGTAGGCCAAGCCGCCAAGGCCTTCGGCTGCACAAGATTCAGCTGTTTCCCCTTCGATATCATCATTCCCCTCAACGCCGACGTATCGCTGACCCATTCAAGCATTTCTGTTTGTATGGAGACGAGCAGATCGATAACGCAAGTGCGTCATTCTGTCATTGAGGATCATCTCTTGACTTGTATTTGTACATTATAGGTCGTCCAGAAATTGGCACCAGGACGCACATCATGCCTTTGCCATTCGAACATCGACGAATTGCATGCTCAGTTACTCCATCAAGCGCACGTCTTGTGCCCGGAATCGGCCTCTGCGGATCTTTCTGTTCAAGGAGAACTGTACATCGTACTCGATATCCATGAACTGCAGAAATTCGATTAGAGAACTGCCTATTAGAAGTTGAAGGGGACCTCACACGACCCATCAGTTCCAGAGCCGCCATGATAATGCCTGTAACCCACAACTTGGCATTGATTCGGACTTCAACCATCTGGTCCTATTATCCCTGAGCGAGCACACGGAGACGCCTCGCCGGGACGATAGGTACCTTAAGCTTCACCAGGCGGTGCGTCCATGATTGTCAGTTGCATGTATCTGTCTATTAACTCCTTTACGCACATAAATCTGATCAGGAGCAATATGCGTCGGTATGTTTTGCTGTAATTCGAAGTCATTCATTGTCATTTGACGAAGGTTCAAATACTCACCTGCCGGGTTCCCCGTTCTGCAGGAAGTGGTCCAGAACACGCTTGCATAGGTGACGCCATATAGGAGTATTGATATCTGTGGGTGTAGGAACGAACCGCCTGCGATGAAGGCCAATGGCAAAGTTATATGACAAGGTGTACGACTAGGGCGCGCCGCAGGTCTGCGGTAAAAATGAAGGTTCTTATAACTGCGGGGCGGCGAACTTGGTGATCCACGGATAGGATTGTAATTGGGCAAGGCCCTATACCAGCTCGAATGTGGTAAGCAAACATCATTATCAGGGTCGATTCATCAAACACTAGTGCCGGGGTCAATGTGGTAGGCCCCCGAACTGTATACATGAGACCGATCGAGTCGGTGACATGTACGTATCCGCTGTGGATCATCTTGGTATATAGTCAATATGTGCAATTGCTTTTGAAGCAAATGGAGGCAATGCTACTACCTACGTGTACGTGTATCATCAGCTTGTTGTGTTCACAATTACTCCAGTGACATATTTCACAAGCACACAAGAAGCGATGACAAGTGTTTTAGTGGTTGCGAGATAAACACTTTGGATGTGGTCAAAATAAGGGAGCACCGTAATAGTCTCTCTTCTCACGTGGTCTCCTAAAGAGTTATCTCGCCGCCATCGATGCAATAATTGTGGTTTCGGGCACATCATCATTTGGCTTGCAGCTCATCTTTGCGCAAGGCTAATACACCGTTGCAAACTGATCTATGCATTTGGTGTCTGCTCTACGCAGAAGATTTAAAGTAGGCTGAACGTGCACACGGCGTAAACGTGACACCACTGCCTTGACAGGATTGAGTTTCGACATGCATCATTACAAGTCGCGGACCGCTGAGAAACTGTCTACTTCTGCCGCTTGCGAACTTACCACCCTTAGATGGCGCCTCATTGTATGTCAGGCGGATTCGGATCATCAACGCGAGTTCGCTCAGATCTATCATCTGTACGTCTGTACGTATATTGACGTCGGGTTGCTATCGGCAGTGACAGTTTTGTTGGGTCGAATCTCGGTGGTCAGATACGCGTGTTGGCCTTGTGCCGATCGGAGCCGCTGCCTTGATACTCCGCGACGCGATGGGTATAAGTGTTATAGTTTGTTGGCATAGATAGTGGACATGCGGGCGGCGTGACGATGCCTCCTGGATCCGACATGTTGTGCGTGGACTTAGTTTGACACGGAGTCGGTCATCGTCGTTCGGTCATCCATTGATATCGAGGTTAGTATGCACCGCAAATACAAAAGAGCATCAGGATGTCTTGAGAGCGTAACTGGATCACTAGCACAGCCAATACCCTAATGATCCTGCGCATGGATTTCAAATGACATAAGGAGCGAGTTCTCAAGCGGATGAGATGGATACAGGCAGTGTGATGGCTCGTGTATCTTCTCTTCTGAAGCGGCTCCTATAGTTTTGTCCGTCGACTTCGTGAAGCACGTCGATACTGTCCGATTGCTGCCATTTGGGATGAGCTACAATTCATTCGCGCCTCCATAGTGATACATACGTTGTCTGCGGTAGTGATGACGACGCCAGGCACCCAGATATTTGACCGAAGTCGTACAAGGATGCGCTGATTCTGCATGCTGAAACGGTCAGTGTGAATTCACGGATCAATATCAAAAACCGACCTCGTACTGGGAAATTATGGGCGATAAGAGCGCAAATAAGGGGAAGCTAGCCTAGGTGGGGAACACGCACGTAAATATGCGGCGGCAACGGGGCGTGAGTGCCGTTCCGTCCACCGTTGGTATGCCTGCAAGATGATAGCTTGACAGATATTATAACATATGTCTTAAACATTTGTATGAGACACTAACGTTGTTTGAGTGGGCGTGTGATCGGCGAGAGGTAGCGATAATGATACTACGGGGGCCCATGCTGGAGATGAGGGGGGATTGTCTGCTTTGTGGACCGGATATCAAGATACTTATAGCTGTGCAGCTCCCACTGGATACAAGCTCAGATAGATGCAGTTTAATCGTCACTGTTCAGTAGGCATGAACGTGACCGCCGAATCCATGATTTAATGTCAATCGATGTGAGATACCAAATAACGGCATCCAATTCTAACGCGGATAAAATGCATGTCTGACATACCGGAACGAGGTACGACACGGTGAGCTGCTGCGGGCACAAGCCCAGCCTTCAAAACGCCAAACATCGAGGAAGCACGGATCGGGGAAGTGGTGACCAAGTATAGGATCGTGGGGCAATGCCCTAGGACTCAGCGTAGACATTGATGGACCACAAAGCGCGCCTTAGATTTGACTACCAAATCCAGGATATGCGGATAACGGTACCACAGAATCCGGGCTTCTCGGACAGCCGCCTGCAAGCTTCGCCTATGTGTGAAATTTTCGCCGTGAGATCTACGACGCAGCCAAGGGCCAAGGAACATGTTGAATAACTGCCCCCTGGGAACGGATACAGCACCACATACGTCGACTCGGATGCCATATATCCTGGTATACTTGACATGATCTCCGAGTCGGCCACCCTGAGAAGTCGGCCATCGGGTTTATAGGTAGATCTTGGACTTATAGCCATCAAGTTAGGTCGCTGACGTCGAGGGCATCCTATCTTGTGAAATTTAGCCCGTTCTATGAAGATTTGAGCGAGCTAATGACCCGAATAGGGTGGCCGTGATCATAACCTTATGTAGTGTGACCGAAACACGTGTATTACCCCACAGCCGCGTCAAATTTCACAATAGCGCGGTGGCGCAACATCATCTTTCTTGCTGCTTGCAGGCCCGCTTGGACGAAACGTTTTCACTTAGCAGAGACCTTAGCAGAGAAAGAGAGGCAAATCAGGCCGAGATTGCTCAGCATCACGGCTCGTTTTACATTCAAGTTTTGAGTGATACCTAGCGATCTGCTTTGGGAATCTGAACGTGTCGCGAGCGGTACAGGTCAACGCGTTAACGACACAACATCAGAACCTCCAGTCGACGTGCGCAATGCCCAACCAACTATACGTTCCCTTCAAACGAACATGGGATGTACCTTTGCGACAAGCGGCGCGGGAGTATATCCTGAAGAAGTACACAGATACGCATCCTGACGCGTTCCGGTGGGATATCACCCGATGGGAGACTTTGCGCAAGGATGGCGCCGGCGGTATCGTACATATTGATCGCGTTCAAGCATCTCTACGGTGCGTCACTCACGGTGTTGTGGCCACTTGTCCTCATGGTCATAAAGCTATCATGCTCAGCTCGTTTTCATCTTGACCAAATTACCACCCGATGTCAGTGGTGCGCTCTTGAGACGCCATTCTCTTCTTGAATACGCCATCTTGTAGATCGGCCTGGAAATACCGTATGCACCCGCTTTCAATCCCTCGGCTCTGCCCGAGACGCTATGCAACTTGGCGTATGAACGAGCTGCCGTTATTTTCAACCTAGGCGCATTATTTTCACAACTTGCCTCCGCCGAGGATCGATCAAACCCTCTTGGTCTGAAGCAGGCCATTATGTATTCTCAGGCGAGCCATTTTCCTTCTTGGGTGCTTGTGGGACCTATTGACAGCGTACAGTAGAATGCGGCAGGAGCTTATAATTACCTTGTCTCCGCACTTCCGCCTCTGAAGGCATCTGTGGCCGCAGACGATATTCCCCTCGAGTTCACTAGCCCCTTTTCTCGCAGCATGGAATATCTGATGCTCGCACAGGCTCAAGAGTGTGTTTGGCAGCGAGCTGTCATGGGTGCGTTCTCAGCGGTTCGGCGTTTCACAATCGCTGATATTATTCAGACAATTACAAGAATGCGTTGATTGCGAAGCTCGCCGGGAAGGTGATCCGAGAATTTTGCTCGATGCGACTAGCCATGACTGATGGTAGCGTAGGTGGCTTCTCTGTACGCAGCCTCATTGAACCAGATCAAGGACGCATCACCTACCATCCGACATCTATTCCCATCGGTACATTTATGCCTCGCTACTCTCGTCACACCTTTCTGATATTGATGCACAGCCTTGGCTCGCACATCTTGAAACGAAGCAACTTCACTTCGAAGCCGCTGCACAATACAGAAAGAGTGTCGATGACTTGGAAGCTAACAGGTTGTAACGCTCAAGTTTCCCGAGCGTTTTCACTGATCTATCATTTACTAGATACGGGCATGAGCTTGCCCGCCTAACTCAAGCGCAGGTCGCAGCGAAGAAAGGCTACGACATTGCTCGCCGAGGAGGTGTTGCACAGGCAGTTCTCGACGACACTAAGGTGGGTGGCGTCGGTATTTGCAAGTAGCATTTTCTGAAAGGTGGTACCCGCTTGCAGTCCTTGTTGGATACCGTACAGAAGAATTTTGCACGGGCCGAACGGGACAATGATTTAATTTATCACCAGGATATTCCATCAGCATCGGCACTACCACCGATACAGGAGGTGTCCATGGCCCAGTCTGTCATTCACCCAGGGCTCAAAGATCCGAAGACAGCGATCGGTGATGACGCGGTCGTATTTGGAGAACTGTTAGCATGGGGGGCCAGAGTGGCCATCGGTATGCAAGCTCCACCGTATGAACATTGGAAGAATAAGGTTTAATACAGGCGTTCGTCCTAATGGCAACAGATATCTATAACGATCGGCGGCAGAATTTCATAAAAGACGAAGTTACTGACAGGGCACAGCACCTGAATGACGCAGCACACGGGTACGTAAGCTTTACTCTTTTGTTTGTAGAGAACTAACTACCGCCATATTGATTGACGAGGCAGACTCCTGCAGTCCCTTCATTTGCCTGCCTCTCTGGAAGCGCTTGAGAGACCAATCGGACTGCCCCCGAGCCTTCTCAGAAAAGCAGAAGAGGTCCGGCGGGAAGATGGGCCCTCACGGATTGAAATTTCCATCGACAATGTCCGGAAACTGGCGCGCAGCGATTCGGAACTTCTTGACAAGGTAGTGCGGCGCTAAAGACTATCTGCCTCCGGCGTCTCTTCCTTTTTTCTAATTGAGTTTCTCTCGCACGTAGGCGATGGATATCCTGGACCAGGAAGCAGAAGAGGATGAAACTTTCCGGGTGGAACACTCCGCAGACCGTACACCTTCGCAAGATACCAATACAGAGTTAATCGCCAAGGCACAACGATATCGCAATATCCTTGAACAGGCGTCAGAAAGTGATGACCTCGTGCGGCAGAAATGGGACGAGTGGGAAAAGAATATTATCGAGCTCACTTGGGACGAGGTGTGACCGCACTTACCACTATTGGCGCGCGGTACAATGCTGAACATTCCTCTGCACAGGCTCAGTTGGAGGCTTCTGTGCCGTCATCCACCATATCTCCGGCTCAACCTTCGTCTGCGAGACGAGTCACTCCCACACAGACACATGCCCGGTCCCTGCGCGTACTTCTTGAATCGTTGGATGACGTCTTGCGGAGCCGAGCAGACCTCGTCAGACGAGCAGTCCGGCTGGCGGAGTCAGAGGATATCAAACCGCGTATTCTCAAGGCGGCGGCGGCGATCGAACAATGGGTAGATGTTCAGCCATCGATGTTCGAAGACGTATTGGAGGACGAGCTGGCCAAGTATGACAAGTTCCGGAGCGATCTAGAGGGTAGCGAGCAGAAGCAAAGCGAACTTCTCAATTCTATTAAGGTACAATTTTTCATCATAGTATGTTTTGATACGGTACCTGGCCTGACAGACACCGACAGCAACGCAACGAGGTATTCTTGCAATCACGAAAAGAAGACCCGTCCGTGAAGGAGCGAGAATACGCGCTGCAGTCGCTCGATCTGGCATATCACAAGTACAAGGAGATCACTCGCAACCTGGACGAGGGCCTCAAGGTAAGCTCCTTGATAATGATTGCACCGCAGCTGACGTTGGTTGTACCAGTTCTATAACGACTTCGCCGGAGTTTTGACACAGTTCAGGGATAGCTGTGCGGAGTGGGCCAACGTGCGAAGACAGGAAATGCAGTAGGTCATGACCTCGGTCTGGCGCCGCCCGCACTTATTGTTTGGTTGTTCTCCAGCTCGCTGATTCACTCGCTGGAGTCTATATCGTTGCAGCAAACCACCGAGCCGGATCTCCCGGAAGCGTTGTCTAAACCTGCCACTAAAGCTGAACTGCCCTCACCGCCATCCAAGGGCTCCCGTTTCGCACTGGATCTACCCCCTCCTGATTCTGATGAATGGCAGGCGATGGATTTGCCACCGAGTCGTTCTCCTAGGCAAGACCCTACGCGACGCAAAGCTAAAGGATACTGAGACAACTGTGTTATGTTCATGGCTCGTGACTTATATAATATGGCCGCGTTGTTCATGAGCGCACATCTATGAGGCCATTGGTTAGTCCCAGCAACAAATGGCTGCAACCCCTTGTCGTCACATGTGTCACAATCCCGAGATGTCAAAGTGCAACTGTTCATAGCGCCACATCCACGGTGAACCAGCAAGGTGTGCCATGATGATGATCTGATGGACTCGACCTGTAGTCTCCCAATTGTACAGGGGCTGTACAAACCTCTTTTAGTCCCTTCTTCTCACAGATTGTCTCGAACAAACCACTCTTCCATTCTGCATAGATCACAAGGCTTTATCGTGCGGGTTTACCCGTTTTTGTCGTGTGAACCAGTGACGAGCGTAAAATGTTATGCTTGGGACAGAAGACTATTCGTACGCCAGGATAAGTGCTCACTTACTGTCAGCCGGAAAATAAATCATTAGTCAATGGACCACAGTGCAATTTGTTACACCTACGTGGATCTTCCTAGTCGGATGTCTTTTTCTGGGATTGGTATCTCTATAAGTGGCGCCTTCTTTATATCACTGAAACGGGTCTTTGATCCTAGCTCGCCAAAGGCAATAATCTCCTTTTCCAGTGTAGCACCTCTAGAAAGAACAGGGATAGTGTCAAAATCCCCCCCTTTGTCCCGCAGGGTCGCCAATGCATCTATGAGCCAGGAAATACACGTCCACCGAGGGTCGCCTTGTACGAGTGGTACTTGTTTTAGGATGGAGTCGACGTGCGTAATTGTCTCATCGGTACTTCTCCCCGCGACCAGCTTAGCGACTAGGAAACGCGCTACTAGACGTGCATGGAGCATGGTGTCGACGGCGTTGTTCTCGTACCGCCATAACGGATTATTATTGTGGTCAAGTGGTACGTTGGCGCTAGTGTAGGTGTTGACGGCGTGGAAAACATGGGCACCTTGCATATTTCCGTTCTTGCTGCCCTTCTTTGGGACGACCATGAGAGCCCAATGAAATCCTGGCCTCTTCATGCCACGGTGCGCGAGAACAAGATATAAGCGATCTTTGTCTCGGTCTGGCATCGCGGTCCTGTGAGCGTTGATTAGCTACATTAGCCACACTGCATGCAACGTGTTCAAGTTGAAAATTGGACAACGATTGGCTGATGTACACGAAACGTTCGATGAGTACGAGCTATCAAGTGTCGGGTATCGTTGTGCCGCAACTTAAATTCGACGTACCATGTACCAAACATATCTTGTAGCATCAAAGTCAATCCTCCCCAGCACATCGGCGAAGTCATATTGTCACCGCCTGAGCATCCCACGGAGCACGTGCGAGATCGATTGCAGGCGTCCGATGATAAACGCGATACAGGCAGTGCCCGTCTTGCAAAGAATGGCAGTCAATCGTGCTTTCTGCACCGCCCCTTCACACCGCACCGTCGCGGCAACTCGATATAAGCCTCCAGTGCGCTAGCCACTCCTACCAACACTCGTTCAAGGGTAATCATGCAGGCGCCCCAATTCCCTGACCCGCACTTCGGCCAGTCCCCGCCTCCATACCAGGCACCCCCGCCCTCGGGCTTCCGCGTCCCTCTCACCACTGAGCAGGCACGCGTGCCAGTCGAGGCGTTCGGCCGGCCCATCGCGTTCGACGCCGACGGGCAATCGCCCATCTTCGTTGGCTCGTCCATCTTCCCCAACTCTGTGCACCCGTGCAAGATTGCTCCGCACCTATCGCCGCCATGCCGCGTGCCCTACGGTGGCGAAGAGCACGAGCACCGCGGGCGCTACGACGTGCTGCCCTTCGATCAGGCCGTGATGGAGTGGGTGCCTACGGCACACGGCCAGATCCCACACGGGCGACGTCCGGTCGAGGGCGGATACGAGGAGGGCGGCGGGAAGCTGTACCACGCCTTGGCAATTGTACACGGCGTCAGGGTTCCTGGGAAGACAGCCGAACATCTGGTAGGCTTTATGACACTGTTGCAGGCAGGTTACTGAAGGAAGGGAATGGGGATAACATAGCACGGTTGCAACGTCGCCTTTGGCGGCAGTGAACACATTATCCGCGAGAATTACGAGATTCTGTAGGTGCAGCATTCTGATCACTCAACTCCGTCGCTGCTGACAAGAACAACAGTTGCTGGAAGTAGGGGGATCTGCCAGCGATGCAGAAATCAACAGTGCCACCGCCGTGATCCATCAGATATTCAGGTCTGGAGAACCTTGGTTTGTTCTGTACAACAATCAAAGTTGTATGTCACTCACAATTGAAATGATCTTGAGTCAACACCGTATTGAATTTGTAATGGCGCGTCGGGATACAGCAACAGGTTCGACGTCACATATAGTTTACAACTTCCGATATCGGGACAGAGTCCACTTGGTGAAATGCAATTGACAAAAATTTAGCAAAGCGCATTCGTTCCTGTGCATCATTATATCGCATTGCCACTCCAGGTCTTCTCGCCGCGAGGCGTGGCGCACACAGAGCAGGCCAGATGCCCCGGTTCGTTCGAGCTGAAGCGAGGGAAACCCGGGAGTGGTCAGATCCACGAGGACGCCACTATAGGCCTTCCAGACTTACAGGGTACACACGAGACAAGTCCACCCGCCATCTGGAGCTGCGGACGGCGCCTGACCAGTTTTCCGCGGGGAACGGGACGGGTAAGCATTGTCCGTGGTGCGTGGGGCTGCGCCAGACGGGTTCCCACCCAGCCGTTGCCCGCTGCCAGCCATTTCGAGTGGCTCGCTCTTCCGGAGCTTCACCTCGTCCTGCACAAGAGCGCCGTAGGGGGCATCGCGTTTCGCACTCTTCTTTGTGCCAGGACTGTCCGCCTCCGAAGGCTGCAGCCAGTCCTCCAACGACCGCGACAGGTCCTGCTTGCGCTTCCCCATACGCCGCGATGTGGAATCGACGCTGCCACTAGCGGCGGTAGCACTCGCTGTCGGCAGGATTTGGACGTCACATGTAGCCTCTTCTGCCGGGTCGGGTTTGCACGATGTTAGTGTACTCGAAGGGCTAGTTTCAGGCAAGACAAAGTCTGAGGAAAAGTCCGTACGGAACGTCTTGAGGCTTTCCAGATTAGCATCTCCCAAGCTGTCTAACATAGCCTGCCGCCGGTCCTGGTCCGTCTCGGGTATAACTTCTGTGTCGGAAGATTCGTCTTCCGAGTCATCCTGTGTCAATTGTGCAGCAGAGGTGCTCGCTGCACTCTCAATGGGTCCTTATTCTCCCCCGAGGATTTAAGCACAAATTCACCTTGATTTTGGAGCGCTTGCAACCGTCTTTCTGCTGCCAGTGCCCTTTCCTCTCTCGCGCGTTTGCTATTGGCGTCCACATGAAACTAAGAATCTGACGGGCGAGAGTCGAGATTTGGCAGCTCACCTCCCAGCTTTCTTCCTGAACCCAGTACCACCCTTCTTCTGTTCCTCGTCGCTGGCGTCCTCATTCAGCGCCTTGCCTGAACCCTTGAATGACCCTTGCGCAGTGACACGGGTGCCCGCCTTGCGCCTCTTGGCGGTCTGCGGCCCTGTGTGGTTGGAGGGCCCGGCTTGATGGCGCGCCCGTCGACGGCGCAAGGACGTTGGTCGGGCGCGAGACTGGGCGCCGCCGCACTGTGTTGTCGATGCGAAAGTTGAGGGAACATGCGATGGGGAATGGGAATGGGAATGGGAGAGGGCCACATACCATGTATTCTGGTAACTCATTTGTATCTAAGGACTGTCCCCCAACGCGTGCTGAGTCGGCGAGACGGGAACCGGATGACCAGTAGCCTACAGACCGATCAGTCTGCTGTTCCCGGGTTTTTGGGCGCAGACTTACCATCGCCATAATAGCCTTTGCTTTGCAGCTCCCTCACTTCATTGCGGAGTCCTGTCCACAGTGCTTGGAAGGCAGGGCCGTGGTTCATGTGCTGAGGATAGTGTTACCCTAGTCTTGCAGGAGACTATTCACACAACAAACCTTGATATGGGCCAGCTTGTGGTAGCGCACATCACGTCGTCAGAGGATATAAGTCGAGTGGGACGCACACACGAACGAACCTCATGGCAGAACGTACTCATTAGCCAGGAAAGAGGCATGAAGGCACCACTCAACCCGCGCAGGACCAGCTCTGCACTTGTTCACAACCAAGTCGATATATGCGCGCATACATACTCACCGACAACCTCTCCGTTGTTCCAGTTTCTCCCTGCGAATACCCTGTTGTGTTCATACTGCGTCGTCGCATTTGGTCATGCTTAAGCATCCATATCAAGTGGAACTGTACCTCTTCGAGGCTGTTCACAGCAAATCCATGTGCCTTCATGACCGGCCGCACTTGCGCAGCCAACGCGCGGAGCAGCTGCCTCGCATCCTCTTGCACCGCCGGATCTGCGGATGGCAGTGGGGTTATGAAGTTGACATGAGGATTGGGATTGGGCTCTCGCTCATTCAGTCGAACATGCACCATTGCGGCCTTCGTGTGCGGCCAATGATCCAGAATATGATTGCGAGTAAGGGTGATGGGAAAGAAAGGCAGAGCAGCGGTGGCGACGAACGCGGTCACTCGCGGTCTCGATCGCGTCTGGCTGTGGCTGAGCCTCGAGTGCCTATTTTATTCCTCAAGCTCATCGTGCTCGCCGATCTGGACATACGCTGCGACGTATTGCTCTCGTACGCGTCGAGACAGGCCCAGTGACTCGCAGCTAACGCCTGGCACCATAGCTCCGCCCTCCCCAGTCAAAAACCCAAAACCCGGGGTAGCCATCGATCCACTCTAAATCCGGTTTTACCTCTACTCGCCTCTAATTCCCCACATCATCATGGCTTCAGCAACTGCGCCAGCAGCCCCAGGGACGCCAGCAACATCTGCCACGCCCGCAACACCTGCGGCACCCGCGACTCCAGCGATGTCGCAGACACCGCCGCCTCCGCCTACGCCCCGACGCTTCTCGACATTGGCGCGCCAGAAGCCCAAGATGAAGCTTGCCGTGCTCACCTCCGGCGGCGACAGCGCCGGCATGAACGCCGTCGTCCGCGCGGTCGTGAAGACGGCCATCGCCAAGTGCGGCTCCTGGCCTCCTGTATCCCCTGCCATTTGACCTTGATCCGTCCGTCACAGAGGCTGCGAGGCGTGGGTCGTCCGCGAGGGCTACGAGGGCCTCGTCCGCGGGAACGCACACGAAACGCAGGAAGTCAAGGATGCACGCGCAAGTAAGGACGAGGCCGGCTTCGTGCACAATCTGCGCTTCGGCGATGGCGAGCTGCTGAAGGACGGCACGGGCGACTTTATCAGCGGCCGTACAATGAGAGGCCGCTACATTGTCCGCGTAGGATGGGACGATGTGCGGGGGTGGTTTGGAGAGGTGGGTGATTTACTGTCGAATATCGAATATATTGAGCGAATATTCATTTCCCCCAGGGCGGTACTTTGATTGGTACTGCTCGTTCTGTGACATTCCGCACTACGGAGGGCAGGCAGACTGCTGCTCATAACATGATCAAAGAGGGCATTGATGCTCTTGTTGTCTGCGGCGGAGACGGTTCACTAACTGGTGCAGATGTCTTCAGGTCGGAATGGCCTAAGCACGTCGAAGCCTTGCGCTCACAAGGTACGTCTTATCCTCTTAAAAAAGGACATTTTTGATTTGCGCCCCCATAGATAAGATCACTGAGGAGCAAGCAAAGGCGCACCAGCATCTGCGCATCGTTGGTCTGGTTGGGTCGATCGACAACGACATGGCGATGACGGACATGACCATTGGTGCGCCCACTGCGCTACACCGCATTTGCGAAGCGATAGACAACATCAACTCGACCGCGTATTCGCACTCGCGCGCGTTCGTGCTCGAGGTCATGGGGCGGCACTGTGGCTGGCTCGCGCTCATGGCAGGCGTCAGTTCCGGCGCAGACTTCATCTTCATCCCGGAGAACCCGCCCGAAGCGGACAACTGGGAGGACCGCATGTGCAGCGCGATCCAAAGCGTCAGTGATTCATCATACATGGCATAGTATTTCAATCCATTCTAATGTGCGTACAGCACAGGGAGATTGGCCAACGGAAGACCATCGTGATTGTTGCTGAGGGTGCGCTCGACAGTGCCCTCAAGCCGATTTGCGCAGACCATGTCAAGGATGTCCTTGCCAATCGCCTCGGGCTTGACACACGCGTCACGACTCTGGGGCACACCCAACGAGGTGGTGTTCCTTGTGCCTATGACCGTATCATGGTACGTGCGCCTGACCTCCTACCTGATTGTCATACTCACAGAGCGTTAGCCGACGCTGCAAGGCATTGAGGCTGTTGAAGCCCTCCTGGAGTCCACTCCAGAAACGCCATCCTACATGATTGGCGTCCGGGAGAACAAGATCCACCGCGTCCCGCTCATGGAAGCTGTTGCGAAGGTTAGTTAGGAAGTAGCTATTTATCTATCGGTAGCATTCTCATCGAATGCTGCGTGTCGTCAGACTCGCGAAGTAGCAACGGCAATCGCGGCGAAAGACTTTGCCAGGGCTATGTCACTCCGTGATCCGGAGTTTGCGGAGGCCCTCGAGGGCTTCTACACGACTTCTGTGTTCGAGAAGGAGCCGAAGCTCCCTCATCACCTGGTGTGTGCTGTCGGTTCTCGCTGTGGTCGTCTAAACTTATCACCTATGATGTGCAGAGAATGCGTGTCGGCATTATGCAGTCAGTAACTACATATCACTTTGCTGCTAGTCCTGTCTAACCATTCAATAGCGTCGGGGCACCCGCTGGTGGCATGAATGCCGCAACGCGCACCGCAGTCCGCTATTGTCTCCGACAAGGACATAAACCATTCGCGATCCACAACGGGTTCCTGGGTCTGCTCGACGACAACGTACACCAGCTCTCGTGGCTGGGCGTCGATACCTGGATGACGCGCGGCGGATCCGAGCTGGGCACGAACCGCAAGCTGCCGGACATCGACATGGGCGCGGTCGCGGCGAAGTTCCAGCAGTACAACTTCCACGCGCTGCTGATGATCGGCGGGTTCGAGGCGTTCAACGCGCTGCTGCTCCTGGACAACGCGCGGCCGCACTACCCGGCGTTTCAGATCCCGATGGTGCACTTGCCTGCGACAATCTCGAACAACGTGCCTGTAACGGAGTTCAGCCTGGGGAGCGACACAAGCCTCAACGCGCTGGTGAGCGCATGCGATGCGCTGAAGCAGAGCGCGTCTGCGAGTAGGAATAGGGTCTTTGTCGTCGAGACGCAGGGCGGGAAGTGCGGGTACATCGCGACGATGGGCGCGCTGGCCGTAAGTCCACATCAATGTTCTTGTACATGAGAGCTCATCGGTGATGTGTAGACGGGCGCGGTCATCGTCTACACGCCTGAGCGCGGCATTGATCTCGACATGCTCCGCCGGGACGTCAAGTTCCTGAAGAGACGCTACAACCTGGATCAAAAAGGCAAGGCAGAAGGTCGTTTGGTGCTTAGGTACGTCTTTGGAAGAGTCTGGCAGCCATGTTTGCTGACGTCGGCGTTGTGACAGAAACGAGTGTTCGTCGGACGTCTACACCACGGACTTTATCAAGAAGATGTTCAGGGAGGAAGGCGGCTCGCTGTTCGACTCGCGTGCCGCCCAGCTCGGGCACACGCTACAAGGCGGCATCCCGTCGCCTATGGACCGAACGCGCGCCGTGCGCCTGTCGCTTAAGTCTATGGCGTTCATGGAGAAGCACCACCAGGAGCTATTGAGGCAGAGTCCTCGCGCACGGCAGGCGTCCTACGAGTCTGCTGCGGTGATCACGATCCAGGGCAGCACGGTGAAGTGGGTGCCGGTGCAAGAGATGGTGGCACACGCAGACATGCAGAACAGGCGAGGCAAGGACGCACCTTGGGAGAAGTATCAAGACCTTGTCGAGCAATTGGTTGCACGCCCGCAGCTGTTGCAAAGGGACGTGCCCACTGTATAGAATTGGAGGTACCGTAGAGAAAGTGTTCTGGTGTAGCGAAGGTAAAACCGTGTATCATGTAGAACATAGAGAAATGTAGAGTGGCTACTGTGGGTAAACAACGCTCTCGCCGGTTCCATGGAATAACTGCCTGAGAGACACTGAAGTGTGACAGCAAGGATCGAGCCTTCTTCCCTCCCTCGACGCTGTCTGCTGCAGGCCATGATATGGCACGATGTATTCTTGCTTATTGCCCACATAGTAACCACGTCCGTTCCTCCTTGTTCTTTCCTCCCGCCATCGTCAGCCAGGATGTTTTCGTGTCCAACAGCAAGACCGTCGCCACAGATATGAGCACTGCGAAGAGTACAAGGTACGTTTCGAGGGCTCATTGCCCGCTCGCCAGCTAAGAGGTGCGGAACGAGGAGCAAGCGGAGGATGCCGACTGGAGTGGCTGAGTGGCGGGAGGGTGCCGGCAAGTGCCGGGTTTGTTTCGCCTGCTGCCACCAACGCGCCGCCGCGTCCGTGACCCGACACGCTCGAGATCGCTGTCCTCGCTTGCTTACACCATGCCTGCTACCGCAAAGCACCTCGCGTTTGTTGCTCAGCGACCTCTGCTGCCTCTCGAACATGCAAACCCCCACATTAGACACGGTCTGTCGCCCCCTCTCTCGAATTCAACACCAGTCGTTCATGCTCTCACATCCAGTTGATCCCGCTAAACCCCCGCCTGTGAAGTTCCAGGAGATCGTACGTGATGGACAGGCTACTATCGTAAGTAATTACCTCTCCTACATTGGTGCGATCTGATATCCGGGACACAGGTCGGTAGATTGAAGATCCAGACGGTACGCACCCCGCATTCTGCAGCCCGTTGCCCCAGTCTGAATCCATATAGCCCAACGGACATGCCTTTATCCTTCGCCGCCTCGACACTGGAGCCGTCAGCCTCACGACCATGTTTCGCGCCGCGTTTCCTAACGCCAGTGAGGAGGCGGAACGCACCGAAGCCGCCTGGGTCAAGACCAACTACGATATCAGCGGCGCAAACAAGGCCGGCCGCTCGCGCTTCGCCGGGACCTGGGTTAATCCTGAGGTCGCCGTGCAGCTCGCTGAGGAGTACGGCCTCAGCACTGTCATCCCTATCCTCGCGAAGGCGGAGCCCGATCCCAACATTGTCTATCGCCGCTCCAGCCGTGCGCAGGCGGCCACACCGACGGGCGCATCACCCGCTCCCAGAGGCAACGGCGCGACGCCGACTGCCAAGGAGCCGGGTCCTGGGCCGACCAAGCGTCGTCGGGAAGCGTCGCCCGCGCCCGCCGCGACTCCGGCTCAGAAGCCTGCTGAGGTCGTCCCCGCTCATGCGCCCACGCCGCCCCCGTCTACCCAGCGCAACGCGCCGGCCGCAGCGCCCACACCTACGCCCCGGCGTTCGGCCCGGTTGAAGAGCCCAGCACCATCTGCGGCGCAGCTCCCCGTCCCGCCAAGGACGCCGCGGAGCGTGCGCACGCCGAAGGTGGACGCCCCGACCCCGACTGGGTCGGATGAAACGGCCGTCGACGAAGATGCGGACGCGCCGACAAGTGAGATGCTTGCGGAAGAGACAATGCACGACGATATACGCGAGCAGAAGGAGCTCATCGCGAAGCTCAAAGCACAGAGGGAGTTGCGGCAGGCGTCAGTGGCAAACAATGAAGAAGGTAGTGTTGAGGACGAGGCAGAGGAGCAGTTGCCTGTGGAGCCATCGACCGCTCAGAAGCGCCCGCGTGAGGAAGAAGCGCCACTCAAGTTCGACTTCAAGGAGCCAACCGAGGAGGTTGGGGAGCGTGCCATCGTGACCAACTCGCGCGTCAGCAAGCCGCAGCGCAAGTCTCTCGCGTGGGGCGCTTTGGCGTTTGCTGCCGGTGTGGGTGCCATGTACGTTATCAATCTCATTGTCTGTAGCCTGTCCTGGTTGCTAAGCCTTTTCGCTCAGGACTCTGCTACCCAACCTGCAAGGTTACCTGCCATTCTGATACTCTTATGCGCTGCGCCGTCTGACCTCTGGAATATAAGGATTCCAGCGTGGCCTGGATCTCGCATCTGCTGTACAGTCTGTTCTTGCTCATCACATCTGCCCTTCTTCCATCCTTTCTGCGTGTTGCGTTTCCGCTTCCCCGCTGTATTGTTGATGATCGCTTCCTCCCGCCATTCTGAGATACACCCGTCTTTTTTCCTCCCTCCCACTGCCGTCCGCCGCTGCATCACGCTTGTCATATATCGCTATTCCTTGCGTCCTCGCCTTTTTTACGCCATTAGTACGTACGTGTGATCAGTCACGCCTGTAATCCTGTGTCCGCGTATCCTGTCTATGTTCATATTGTTGGATGAAAGAGAAATTGGTATGCTTTTACCGGGTGCATCATCGTCTGCGTGAAGTTGGAGACGGAGACTTGTAAACTGACGGGCGTTGTTAGGGCCCAGTCAGACGTTTGAGTCTAACATCGCTAGCGCCTCTTTCAATTGCTCGGATACAGCTTCAACCTGATGTTGTGTCAGCAAACTCACACATTTCGGCAAAGATGACAACACTCACGTTCTCAGGCTCGAAGGGCGTGAAATGATTGCCTGGAATGTCGAGTACGGGGACCACAGCGCCCAATAGCTCCTCCCAACGATGCGCAACCGCTGCGGGATCTGCTCTGTCCGCGAGGAAAGAGGCCGTGCGACGTTCTTCCTCGCTCAGCGGATATGCATCTCTGGCTCGCAGTATGACAGCATTGAGTGGACTGGTGTGGTTGCCTTGGGACTGCGTCGGGTCGTACTCTTGAAGGGCCCTGCTAGCATATCGCATCTGCTCCCGGACGACGTCTAATGCCTTTGTGGCGTGGTGTCGTGCGCCCAACACGGCGTCGATGATGGTGTCCGGCAGAGCACATTGGACAAGTGGGGAAGGAGTGTCGATCAGGACAAGCCCTTTTACATCTATGCCCTTCGCTAGAAGCCGACGAGCCACTTCAAACGCCACGACACCACCGAATGACCATCCTAGGTCCCAGGTGTCAGCTAAATTTGCTTGCACACACATGAGGTAGTGTCTTACCTCCAATAATGCACGAGCCATCACCGACCGCGCGCTCAATCAGGCTGACATAGTGTGCGGCCATCTCAAGCAGCCCGTGCTGCCACTGTGTTCCTGAGGCCACTGCTGGATTGTAGATGCCCCATACTCGCCGTCCTAGACCTCGGAGGCGCTGATACAGCTGTATCAGACCGCTGCCGTCATGAATCAGGATTAGAGGGGCTGCACCGGCCATGCCGTGGTCTTGAAGCAGCTGTGGATTTTGTCCCAGATCGAGGACCAGGCTATTATTTGTAGACTGTTCACGAACTTCGGCTTTAGGTTCAGCCAAGGGAGAGCGGTCTGCCAGAGCTTGAGTCAACTGTCGTATGGTCTTGCAGCGAACAAATACGTCCGTGGGGACGTCTACAAACAACGCCGACCTGAGTGCATATCGAGCTTCAATAGTGGTCAGTGAGTCAAGTCCCAGACGAGAAAGGTCTTTGTCTTCTTCCAAGCTTTGTGATGGTATGCCAAGGACTGACGATAACACCTCCTTGACCTTATCCAGCGAGTGCCGCGGAGAAAGTGGAAGGGATTCCTGAGCGCTGTGATCTGCGAAAGAGTCGCCTTGTGGTCGAGTATGTGGTGACAAACGTGTAGGTTGAGAGGCAGGCGGAGCATTTGCGCGCAGGATGCGGCCTAAAATGTTAAGCTTCAATCGCCGGAATCGAACTCCCTTCATGTAGGCGACAGCTTGCCCTTCCGTCCCATCAAGAGCAACAGCGACCACGTCGGCAGTTGCAAGATCGTCAGACATGAAGCCGATATGGGAATAGACGCCGTACATTCCGGATGGGCTGATGGACTCTGGTAGGACAAGGATTTTGTCAACTTGACTGCAGATGAATGCGTCATCTTCGGCATTACAGCTCAAGAGGAAGCCAGCCGCGTGCAAGAGAGTATCCATGAAGATAGGATGGATCACATATGATCCCTTAGTGGGCGGCGGGGGTGCTTGGATGATGGCATAGGCGTCAACCCCGTCTGCACGAACGGTTACGACCTTAATCGCACGGTAGGATTCAGAGTATTTCACAACTCTCGAGAACTTGCCATTGTAGACACCTTGCGTGTAGAATGTCTGGGTGCCGCGACTCCCGATCCTCAAAGAGGGTTTCCGTCGCTCGACGAGCTCCTGCATTGTGGATAATTTCGAACAAGCCTCTGCAAGGGACCGAATATTCAATCTCCCGCTACAATGAGAGAGGTACGACGTGTCAGCGTCGATGTCCGAAGAAATGATGTTGAATGACCAGGTTGACCCCTCCGGATCCTTTGTCTGTGCGGTTACGATAGAGATCGTCTGCTTTGCTGTTGGCGCATAAACAAGCGCATTTTCATATATGACGCCTTCGAGCTCCAGCGCAGACTTGTCATCCAGTCGGCCTGTGTTGACTAGAGATAGGCGCACCGCAGAAAAGGCGAGTTCATGGTAGACGGAGGCTGGACAAAGGGCGACGCCGGCGACTTCATGCCCTCGTATGAGCTCATCGAGGCATTTCAAGTCGATCTGGATCTTGTCGTCTTCACAAGTGGACGTCGATGCAGATTTCAGCGCGGCAGCTAATGTGACGGGGACACTATCTGCAGCGACAGCAGTGAGATGTTCATCCTCGTAAGCAACCCAGAAACGGGTTTGCGCAAAGGGATAGCGCGGTAAGTCCCGGAGCTTCGCAGATGGTGCGAGATCGGAGAAGACCTTGCGCCAGGAGATAGTCGTTCGGAGCAAATAGATTCTGGACAAGGCCGTACTCAGCGATTGGTAGTCTGACACATTTCTGCGCAGGGACGGCAGGAGATGCGTTTGTCGCAAGTCGATGGATAACTGGACCAATGGCAGCGTGATAGGATGGGGGCCGATCTCAATCCAAGTACGTATGCTATGGGCATCTCCAGAAATGGCCTGCACAGCTTCCTGAAACAAGACGGGCTGCCTGCAGTGCCGAGCAAAATAGTCATGGGTAATCGCGAATCCTGACTCATAGCCGATCACAACGCCATGAAGGGTGGACAAGAACGGGACAGATGGCGGTGACAATTTCACCCGGCGTCCTAGTTTGAGCAGGTCTTCGAGAATAGGATCCATTGCTGGACTGTGATATGCAAGAGGAACGCTGAGGCGGATGGCTCGATGGCCGCATTGTTTACAATATTCTTGGAAAGCGTCGAGACTTTGACTTGCGCCCGCAACAACACAGTCTGTGTCACTACCGGCTGCGTTGGTGATATCTCCTGGACAAGCCACGAATAGACTTACCTATTGTTGCATGCAATGGACAGTTCCTGAGAGGCGAATCTCTCTGTCATAATCCTCATGGCCTCCTTTGAGCTTATCCTTAGGGCGAGCATCCCGGACTGCTGCTCCATGCATTTCGTCTTCATGAGCCTGGCGCGTTCGGCGACCAACCAGAGGGCGTCATCCAGCGATAGCACCTTCGCGCATACAAGAGCAGCGTACTCTCCTAAACTAAACCACTGTCAAAATCCGTCCTTTCAATGGCATATGGAAATGACCTCTTACCTATGTCCCACGACGACGTCAGGGATAAGTCCCCAAGATGTCCATAACGAGGCCAAGGCACATTCAAGTACGAAGGTGGACGTCTGCATCATCTCGAGGTCGTCAATACCCGCGGAATCCGATGCGCTCGCCGGCATCGGCCGAATGACGTCGAGAATGCCAGGAAATCCCCACGAAAGCAGTTTGTGATGGCATTCATCCACCACTCGTCGGAAGGCTGGCACATTGTCGTAAAGCCCAGATCCCATCCCGAGATACTGTCCGCCCTGGCCAGAGAACACGAAGCCTACTTTCTGCGGCTGACTTTCCGCCCGGATTACAGGCGCATCGTGCAGTCTAGCGCAGACTTCTTCCGGCGTCGAGCCGTAAGCAGAGATGCGATAGCTATGGAGTTGGCGGCGAGCAGTAGCAGTGTATGCGAAATCTACGAGCGCGGACTGATCATGGACGCGATCGCTCAGCTCGCGAACATATGTATCGCGGAGTTGCTTTGCCGCGTCTTCACTTTCGCAGGATAAGCCAATGAAGATAGTTGTGGGAGGTGAACCTGAGCTCGGCGGCATCTGCACTGGTGGCTCCTCAAGGATGAGAGCACTATTAGAGCCGGCCGCACCGAAATTATTGAGAATCGCGAGCCGCCTCTGTCCATCGGGAACATCCCATGAGACAGGCACAGTATCGATACGGATGTTGTCGGTCGACAAGTCGGGGATACGAGGATTTAGCTGCTTGAACGAGATCGTGGCCGGAATAGTGCGATTGTGCATCATCAAGACCAGCTTCGCAAGACTTGCCGCCCCGGACGCGGCCTCCGCGTGTCCTATATTCGCCTTCACAGAGGTGATGTGGAGGGGATTGTCAGAAGTTCTATATGCAGCAAAGACGCGTCGCAGACCCTCGAGCTCCTTCGGGTCTCCTGCCTGAGTCCCAGTGCCATGCGCTTCGATGACACTGACTTCGTGCGGGCAAATGCCGGTGGACGTCAGCAGCTGCTCATACAACCGCATCTGCGTATCAGTGTGTGGGTGCGTGATCGAGTCGGCCTTCCCGGACTGGTTCACCTCGATGCCTCGAATGACGCCCAGAATGCGATCGTTCTCCGCTACCGCGTCTGAGAGACGCTTCAAGACGAACATCCCACACCCTTCCGCGCGACAATAGCCGTCGGCAGAGGCATCCCATGGGCGGCATTGGCCTGTTGGGCTGAGGAAATGCGCTCTATCTAAGCCCATGTACATCTGAGTGTAGTAATTAGCGACCGTCATCGCTAAGAGGGCGATGAAGGACCTACATCTGGGCTTGAGATGACATTCACGCCACCTGCGAGGGCGGCACGACAGTCTCCAACAGTCAATGCGCGGCATGCTTGGTATATCGCGACCATGGACGACGAGCAGGCAGTGTCGACGACTGTAGAAGGACCCCCAAAACCGAAGGCGTATGAGATTTTGCCGCTTAGAAATGCCTGAAGGGTACCTATAAGATGACACATAAGTGGGAGCCAACGCCGTACAGCACATCGGCATACCAGTGCTGTAATACACATCTACGTCATTTCGCAGATTCTGGACATAGTCATTTGTGGCAGCTCCAACATAGCAGCCAAAAGTGTCGGGATTGTGGGTGGAGGTCGCATCTGGCACGTAACCCGCATCTTCTAGCGCGTGGTACGCGACGTGCAGGAGAGTTCGCTGCTGAGGATCCATGCTCCGTGCCTCACGAGGCGAGATGCGGAAGAAACTATTGTCGAAGACATCCGCGTCCGGCAGAAAGTTGCCATACTTCGTCCTCATGCTTCGACCTAGGCCAGGCGGTTTCTCAGTGTACTTCTCGACATCGAATCTATCAGTTGGGATCTGAAGCAAGGACTCGAACCATAAGCACAACACGGTCACGAGATGAGAGGAGGATATACCTCGGATACCGTGTTCAGTCCCTTCTCTAGCAGGTTCCAGAGTTGGTCGACATCTCCTGCTCCAGAAAATTTGACGGCCATACCCACGATCGCAATTGGTTCCTGCTCCCGCATCGCACGACAAGATGGTGTTTGCGCTGCAGCAGAGCACGACTGATCTGTAAGGGAGACTTGCAGACCCTGCAAGCCACGAGCAACACTGCGCCAGAGTCCAGCATCAGGCCCGAGGTTGACAAGTTGGATCAGCGTATTTGCGGCAGCGCACTCCGAACGCAACGTGTCCACGACCACGTCAAAATTAACTGGATAGAGTAGAATCATGTTCACTACGGCTTCTGCAAGGCTGTTTTCAGCCGAAGGCAGTGTGCGATCGAGCAGCTTGCCGTCTAGTGATGAACGAAGTGTATGTCGGAGATCCTCGTAGTCTGGGAAATTGACATTGCGTCGCGCAACATCGCGCATCACGTCAGCCTTGACTTGCTCCAGTATCCCAGCATGATACAGAGCATGGATCGGGACGAATTGGGACGACATCGCTGTCTCTGGTAAATATTGCCTTCTAAACCGGCAAAGAGCATCCGGTCTGCCTGAGATAGTGACGCAGATAGGGTTGGTAACGGCAGTGAGAAACACATCCGCATCGTTTCTCTAAAGAAGCGATGAGCATCAATGGCATTCTGTGCGACCTGGCTTACATGTTCTGCGTTGTATCGATCAATGGCCTCACGCATTTCTTCGCGTGAAGAGCCGAAAGTCAACAGACTCCATGGGGAAGAATCGGAGGAGGCAGAAAGATATTTTATCGCTGCAGATGTAAAGCGTTGTGAGTGAAAACCAAGCCAGAACCCAAGTCTGAGGGCTTCCACTGCTCGAAAGATCAGGGTAGGAATGTCTGTCGACGTAGTTATGACGGCGGCGGCGAGAAGCCCAGTCGAGAAGCCCAGTACCTCATACTGATTATCATAACCACATGTTCTTGCGTCGAGGTGTCCGGCCTCTGTATGTGCCAGAAACCTGAGTATCTGCGTCAAGTACAAGTTGACGATTGCCACTAGGGTGTTCGTGCGAAGGCTAGGAGGTACGTCAAGAACAGCGAGAGGATTCTGTAAGCATTGAATGTCGACACCAGTATCTTTCATTTCGTCTGCTGACAAGGAGGAGAACTCCTGTAAAAGAGCGGCGTGACAGGACAACAGGACGACATGTCCTAGCGGCGACTGTGCATCTCGGAGAGCAACCTGGACTGTCTGGGAGGTGAGCGCAGCTGAAGTACCAAGCCCGTCAAGAACAAAGATGGTCCTTCTAGAGTGATCCATGTTGCAGTTGTCTGCAGAGAGGTCAGTGTTCCTGCACCACACTTTTTCTCCTGCGGACATACTTGGGGAGGACAATGTGCGGCAGGAGTGATAGACTGGCTTTCTAGCTCCCCGTTTGGCGTATTATGAGCTTTCAAAACGCGGATACAAATGTAGGCAGGCGACTCTTCACCGGACAAGGCGTAGATGACGGGGGCCACCATGGTGGCTGCTCAATGTATGTATATATATACGAATCGCAGGCGCGTGTGCGAGCAAAAGATCATTCGGAAAGTAGTGCATGTCGCAGCAATGGATGGAAAGTGAGGCACGCATTCTCTGCAGAATTCAAATCCTGTCACCGGAGGTTCCAACTCGACATTCGACCGGGCGCGCATTCAGTGACACGTACCACGTGATCAAGGCCCGCCACACCAGTGGCCACACGCCGCATTCAAATTGCTGCTCTTCTCTCACTCTGACTTCTTTCTCACTCCTTCCTCCAGGTCCCATACTACTTGTTGACAACATCCAATACTCTACAGCTGGAAAGAGAGACCTGTTAACTGAAACTTGTTCTGAACCGTGACTTCACCAGTATGGCGCCACCCAAGGAACCTCCCACTTCGCTGCCGCTCAATGCGTCTACTATAGCGATGCTGAAAGAGAATGTTGCCTCCTGGAGGTGAGAGAAATCTTTCATAATTCTTTTGATGGAAATTCTCATCAAGGCGGTGACAGCACTGACAAGGTATGTGGTTCGTGTCTTGATACACACTCGCGTTCGTTCATCATGATGGTATAGCTCCAAGGGTCCCATGACTTACTGATGCAACTTGTTATGTCCATCCGGACCGAAATGGATGCCAGATCTCATATCAATGCTCTCCCGGGCGAGTTACTTAGTCACATCTTCGAGAGCCATGTTGCGCCTCCACCAAGTGCCCGGGTAGGCGACAAAGAGTGGAGGGAGCACGTGAAGTCGCGTCTCAAGGAGGTTACGGGCCTACAATTGATCTGTCGACATTGGCGTGATGTTGCACAGGCCACTCCGTATCTCTGGACAGCATTCGACACGACAGGCGAGCTTGACTCAAAATTTCTACAGTTATGGCACCTTTCCCTCGAGCGCTCTGGTTCGTTGCCCCTCGAGCTGCATGCGAATGGATCCCTCAGCCCCTGCGCACACTTGGTTCTCAAGTCGAAACGCGTCAGATGGCTCAATTGGGGTGCATTCTCTGGGAACCATCAAGACGTCCTCGTCCATTTGGATGGCTTGGAAACTTTGCAATTCAACGAATTTTACTCCTCGGCTGGTGCAAATCCACAAACTGAACTTTCAAAACTTGCTTGTTACTCGCCGCGTCTCCGCAGCCTCCAGGTGAGATGGTGCACTTGGGCTCCTTCCGAAGTCTTCAAGAACTTGACATCTCTCCGCCTCGTGCGCTACTCCGGGAAGACGTCCGATGTCCTCCTCTGGCTCAAAAGATGCCCAGTGCTGCAGAGTATGATATTTGAGCGCCCTGAAGACGAGAATCTTGTAGATCTTGATAGCATAGGTGTCGTTTCCGTACCAAACCTACGCGAGCTTATGCTTTCCCGCGTCCCTTGGAACCAGCTCGCCGCCATTGTTCCACGACTCGACCTCAGCCCCGCCACCTTTGTGGAAGTCCATAACTGGAAGCATGGCTCCGGGAAGGTCGATTGCGCTCGGATGCTCGGAACTTCGCAGTTACATCGTATGGTTTTCATATCTCATTGTAACGCATTGGTCGTAGGCCCTGACTCTGGGATCTCGTTTTCCAAGGAAAAATTGGGCGAGAAAGAGCGTTCCTTAAGATGGACATCGGAGCTGTCAGACATGGTGTCGACAGCTAACATTCAGGAGCTATGGCTTTCGGCGTCGATGCAATTGTCGCAGGATCTTGGGGCCCTCTTGGCGATGCTGCCCGGTCTTACTTCTATTCACATTGACAGCACCCAATTGAAGGAAGTTCTCCAGAACTTTCGGAGGGGGCGCGACCCGCAAGGACCCGCACCATGTCCGGAGCTCAAAGTCATCCATGTCTTCGTCCAGTCGGCGGCCGCAGTCATGCCCTTTCTCAGGCAATACGAATCTCTGCTCGAGAAACTGGGCCACTTGGATATAGTCATCGAACATCTCCCTAATTGTGAAGTCGATCTGAAGGCGCTGTATTCCGTCCGTCGCCCACAACTATTGTCTCGAGTTCGTGTCGTGCAGTGCGAGCAGAAACCACAAGCTGAGGTACCCGCGCCCTTCACTGGATTGCTGGACTCGGATGAAGACGATGATTAATTGTGAGCATTTTGTCTAGTTCACAGTTTGCATCCCAATTAATTGTGTAGAGTTCAGTACCTGTGTGCAAGCCGGGAATGCCAGTGTCCTGGTAGCCCATACACCTGTCAAGAGAGCTGTCTGCTGGTCTTGTGGACCGCAGCCCCTTCTCGATGTGCTGAAACTAACGCTTCACTACTAATGTACAGGCCCTGCGAATGTATGACAGTAATTTTGATCGATATTTCTACTTGTTATAAACCTGCGTGCAATTGCTTCTTTTGATTGTCCATCACTCTGTAAACGATTAATCTCATGTTCATGACACGGTCTGTGGATGGCGTGTCGACCTTGTCAATCACTTTTCTGCTCAAGCCTCGTCGTTAACTTCGCACTCCAGCAGTTCGTCGTTCGGCACCTGCAAAGTGTGTTTTCCTCCCATAAAACGGCCTTGCTACATACAGTAAATCTCCATCTGTGTTTGATCCAAATACCGATAGTCGAAGCCAAGGGGCAGGCGTAACGTTGATTTCCGGCACCAACCCTAGTGGTGTAGTGCCCCAATCGGTGACCGGGGTCCCCGATCGAACTATCCAGCTCGATTTCCGTAAACAACTTCCTACAAGTGCAGATCCTCCAATTGAGCTTCAGGAAGCTCATGGCAGCATGTAACCAATATAAATTTGGTCCCTGTGCGCCTGAATTGCTGATATAAGAGACAATGCTTGATGTGTAAGGAATAGCAAGTGCAACTCTTGGGCGCTCGTCTCACATTTTGAGCGCCCCATCTCGTCTTGAATGTCCATTCCATCTTGCAATCTAATCAGATTTTCCACTTCATACTTTCTCAAAAGTACTACATATACTTGCAAACTCTGTGACTTCAGCATGAATTATGTATGTTGCAATGGAAATGGAAAATTAGCTGTATGACAAAACACAAGTTATCTAATTCATTAGTATACTGCAAGTCTTTTCTCAACCGCTGTTCATGTTCTTCTCGTAGCGATGAGATCCAACTTGTCTGATATCCTGGTCAATGACAATATCAAGGTCCATCATGAAGCTTTGAGGAATGGCTAAAAGTGAACAGCCTCAATCTCAATAGGAGGACCAGTGAGTAAGTTGGCGAGGCGGAATACAATACTCAGATCGTCAGGATGGACATTCTAATCAGAGATAAGGAGGATACCCCACCCAATCGGTGACCGGGGGCCAGCGCTAAACTAACGAGGGTACGCCTGCCCCTTGGTCGAAGCGTGTGACCAGCTTGGGGCGTCTACGAGACATCCGTATTCTCCGCCGCATTCCACTTGTCTCGTACCCATCCCCCCCGTATCCGCACCCCACCACCGCGAAAAGGGGGTCTGGGGCAGTTAGATAGGCGCCCCCCTGGATTAAGCGCCCTACAAGCGCCGGAATGTAACGGTCACGGTAGGCTTCTGGTACCTAGAAATGATGCGATCTTTGATCGCTTTCCAAATCCGGTACTCACACCTAGCAGGTCGTGCTCGAGACTGGTGGACGCTACATTGTGGTCTGCTACAGAATCTCAAGTTTACTTGTTTCAAGCATCTTAGATAAGTCTTATATACTATATCCACCAGCAACCTAAGTATTTCATGAGATATACCCCTCCAGTAGCATCATGAGGATGCCACAGGTACTGAAAGGAGAAGTTGCAGCTTTCATCATGATGCTTTCCACATGATACTTCATTTGGTCATGAACTTACAGGCTGAGTTTGGCATAAATATTTTTTGTGTGGCCTTTCAAGTATTTTACAAGCTCAGGTATGCCTTTGTTGACACTTCCTCGAGCACGACCTGCTAGGTGTGAGTACCGGATTTGGAAAGCGATCAAAGATCGCATCATTTCTAGGTACCAGAAGCCTACCGTGACCGTTACATTCCGGCGCTTGTAGGGCGCTTAATCCAGGGGGGGGGGTGCGCCTATCTAACTGCCCCAGTGCGGATACGGGGGGATGGGTACGAGACAACATTCCACTACCACTCATCGACACTCGACTAATTATATTTCCACTGCGATAAAGACGGCCCTGCAGTCGACGCTCAACGGATATATTGTCCTCTATCTTACTCTCCTCTGGCCTCACCTTCTGACTATAGCATTGTATCTCTTGTCAGGCTCAGGTGCCCTCCAGATGTATTGAATAGCTTGACCTGTCCGTGCTTGTGCTGGTCTTCCAAGGCAGTATGTCTTGCCATACGGTGTGGTGGATGTACATTGCACGGCGATATAACTCGCATTCTCTGGGACTATACTCCACTGTATTCACACGTGTCCAGTACTTGCCGCACATAACTCGCCCAATGCATCCTGATAAAGACTACGTGCGCTATGGTGCACTCATGACAACCATTGACATTCTCGCCAGCTCTTGAAACTCATCTCTCATCGTCCTCAGTGGACCTCGTCTGCAAACAGGATAACTGCAACCCCGGGTGCTGAGCACTCTCTAACATTCTTTGACGCCACGCCTCTGTGTCCAGGAGCATAACCAAAGCAGCATGTTTAGCTTGGACTACATCACGCCTGGCCTATTTGAATGCTCATGCAACGCACGCTAGTATACGACAGCCATATCCATAGCGAGTCAATATGCGTACAACGCCGTAAGTGCTTTCCTTACTGTGGGCTATCTGCTAATTATAAGTTGTCCCCGCCGCCGCCCGGTGTTATGCATGCGGTTTCGTTGCCTCACTGCTCCGGCACGCTGCAGAAGTCAATTTATGTGCGACTACTCTAGACTGCAAAGTTGCGATAGGCTGCCTATATTTACTAAGCTGTAGGTATCGTAGCCTTGAGGATGACTCCATCATAGCTCGGTATGGATGTCGAAACTTGCGTCATGGCAGGTAACCTCAGTGACCTCCTGGGCGCCGAGCCTAACAACAGCTTTCCTATCTCTTCCCGCTTGGTCACGCGCGTTCTCAACGGTTTGATGTTCCGCGAGGTTGCGTTATTAGGCGGGCGTCGGTTCTCGGTCTCACGTGTCGCTGCTACAGAAGACTATCGTGCTTTTATGGGCATCTCTCATGCCGGATCCCATGCGGGCGCGAAGCGACCCAACGTGTGTGCAGAAGCGTTGATGCCACTATACTTGTCTCTCGAGAATGCTGTCTATTACCCTCCGCTTCCCTTTTCTGATGTCGTCGCGCCTCGAGTCCCACGGGCAGACCCTATGCATGTTCCACCAACGTTTCTTATGTGACAGACTTCTTAGGTCCTGAAGATATAAATGAGCGTGAGCGTGAGCATACACCGTCTCCTGCTGAATCTCTCGTGTGCCAAGCCATGTTACTGTCCTTTGCTGCCTGTTTGATGGCTCTGGTTCTGCCCACGCTGGCAGAGCTGGAGCTCGTCGTGAACGCTAACATGCCGCTCGCGGCTGACGCTGCTGTTCCATTCTATGACCCACGCATCGGCGGCGGTTCAATGCTCGACCGTGCAGGCACCGGTGTAGGTGAACCGCTGAATGTGAGCCCACCACTCTGTACCATAATGCCCGCTCAGACAGTTTTGCCTCTACAAGGTCATCATCTCAGGGCAGAGTTCGCCAGAGGTATTGACCGAGAGTGGGTTTTACCAGTATGCACTAGCTCTGGGCTTGTGAGTACCTCGGGCGTTCCGAGTGTCCACAGTAGGTGAACTCATTCATGTACCATGAATCGTTAGTGCCGAGGAGTGCCTGGACATCCATTTGGGTGCACCAATGCCCGCAAATCTTGGTGACGGTCATGGCTGGGTAAACCAAACCGTCGAGCTGCGCCATAACTATGCCATTGGTGGGACATGCGCAGAGACAGTCTTCGGCGGGAACCATCTAAGGTTCGTTGTAGGCGCTGCTCGTCACACTATACAGAGTGACTAACGAACGTGTGATTCGGCGTCGGCTCACTGACGAACGTTGCTCGGCGCAGACTGTTCATTCAGAACGGGCCCCTAGCGGACAGTGGCGCGCTTTTCTTGGCGTTAGTCCAATAAGTGTCTCCTTGCGTGGTCTGCTCACAGATTGTACGAAACCCAGAGTTTCCAAGGAAGAAGACCTCGCGGAGGGCCATACGATTACACCAGATGGTTACGACCGCGGCCGGTGCGTTCCATTCTTCCATGACAGTTCACGATCTTGCCCACAGTAGTTCATGTCGTCTTTAGTGACCTTCTCGTTGCGGGCGCCACGGGGACGACGAAACACGGCGGCGTAGAATTCCAAACCGACGTTCAATTCCTGACAGGACTTCTGCAACCTGGGAGCCAAGGAATTAATCACGGTTGGCTCCTAATCTATGTTTAGTCATGTCTCAGCCTTGACCTTGACCCTTTCAACCGATAGATATCGCCATCGACGGCAAGGTGGCCCTTCTGACGGTCACCGTTCTGTGAACCAGTAGCTGTAATCCTGCATTATAGTGTTAGCTAGCATTCTTGAATTGATGACTATTATCATCGTATACCTCGTCGTGAATGTATCGCATATTACATTTCTTGAGTGAATGTTGCCTGTGAAGCAATGCAAGTGGGCGCGAGAGCTCAGATCGACGGTGAGATCCGAACCTCCAGATTGTCGAGAGAGATCAATCGAGCTCGGGTGGCGGACGCTCATCATAACTTTGACTTCATCCCCGACCATCGAGTACCCTTACGAGCTATGTCTTCCACAGACGTAGCCTGGCACACAGTGTGAGACTCTGTCAGCACCTTTAGTCCATGCTGTGCTTATTAATCGCTTGAAAGGACCATTCGCATACCATTTGCGTCGGAGAGGCACGCAGCGATCGCAAAGCAGGTTATAGAAGTAGACAAAGAGCTGCAACCGCAAGATGTTAAGCGAGATCTTTCTGTTGATGGTGGCACTTTGATTGCGTGAGCTACAACTTGTCTCGCAAGAAGCTGGCCCTGATGAGGCATTAGTACCTTCTCAACATTGACAGTCAGGCTCAGCCGTCTGACGGTGAACGCGTTTCTCGAAAATGTCGACCTGGTGGTGCGAACAATAGGCGAGTTCGGGGAAAACGCGGAGAATGGTGCAGCGTCGTAATGTATAATTGCTTCTCGGAGAACAAGGTGTGTTGCACTAAGGATACATTCTTTCACTTCTTGGCTACTGACTAGTGACTACTTCTCCTCGGATCCTTCACCCTCACCCTCACCCTCCGCCTTTGCCTTCTTTTTCTTGCTCTTCTTGTCCTCTCGCAGCTTCTTCGTCAAGAGTTCCTTCAGCTCCTCGTCCTCTAGCTCTTTCTCCGTCCGCACGAGCTCAGGCTTGTACCAAACAGGAGGGTGCGTGATCAGAGCTGGACCGGCTGGCAGCAGTGCGATCGTGAAGTGGAAGGCCGCAACGAAAGTGTTCGACGGGGTGAAACTGCGAATGGGAGATGAGGAAGTGTCGTAAAAGTCAATCAGAACTACTCACACAATGTCGTACGGCTTCACGAGACCGTGCTGTACCGCCTCCTGAAGGCCCAGTCGCGCACGTTTCTCATCCTCCAGGCAACGAATGTTGAAGGGGAATGCTCCGGCCTTTTTTTGTACTTCAGAGAAGACGGCACGCGACGTCTTCATCTTCAGTTGGTAGGTCACGGTCGAGTCCTTCTGATAGATTGTCGTCTTCGTGTCCTCTGCACGAGCCTATTACCGTCGACGGGATCAGCTGAATATAAGCAGTGCGAGAGCGAGCTTCTCACCTTGCCATCCTCTCCAGACGATACCAGAATGTCGATGCCATACACCTCGTTCTCTACAAACGTGACACCCTCGAGGTCTTTCCTCTGAGCTTCAGACTGGACAGCATGATGAGCAAGTTGTATAAACACGTTCAATGCGTGAGACTTACCGGGTTCAGGATAATGCGCTTCTTGCCGTCAATGACGTTCTGCGTCTGCTGGCACGACAGCATCCCTGGATGTAGATCGACTCAAGCATCGAGATAGGTGCGCCGGAAAGGCTCACCTTCGACAGGCTTGCAGTCCCAAGCCGAGGTGACCTTGGTCAACGTATCCGTGACCGTCCAATTCTTGTTCCCCACTTTCACCAGCCGCATAGCGATCTCTGCCGCATGCCACGCCGCCTTTAGCACGTCCGCTCTCCGGCCCGTAACCGGATTGTCCTCCGACGCGCCCACAACCAGCGTCTCCGCGCTGACTGCTGCGAAGCCGTCGATGTGCGCGCCGATGTGCAGCTTAACGACGTCGTCTTTTGCGAGGGTTAATGAGGACGCGGGGTCGGATTCCAGGGGGGAGAAGTGGGCTACAGTGTTGTTTACGGATACACATGTCGGGAAAGCGATCCCTGCAGACGGAAAAAGATGGGGAAGTTCAGCAGAATGCGCGCGCGCGCGCGAGAAGGACGCACATACCCTTGCCAACTCTCACACCCTTCACGGGCTTGTTATACACGGCGCCGGTACCCTGCTCGAGGAGTTTGTCCCCCTCGACGCAAATGTCGAGCACCTTCGCGCCCTCAACGCTGAGAGCCACAAGTTTTTTCATGACCACATTGACGATGTCCGCGGCCGTCTAATTCCGCGCAACAAAATTGTAAGGACATTCTGCTACTCGATCACGGACGATCCGCACCTTGTATTTGGTGAAGTCGGCCTCCGCGGTCGACTTCTCAGCTGGTTTCGGGGCCTCGGACATGATAGAGTACAACAGGGGACGTAGGGGACTCTGGAAGGTGTGGATGCGATCGCGATGGAGGGAGACAAGAACTGGAGGGCAGTGTCACGTGAGTCAATATATTGTGAGCGCCTTGCACGCGTCAGGACGCGTCTCGGACGAGGGGATTCATGTTGAGGCTGCAAACATGAACGCGTACGAGTTGTGAATGCGATAGCGATGTGAGTAACTTATATACACAGCAGAATGTAGCAATGCGAGATCTAAACAAGCAAGGTCAGTATGATCTACTTCCTGGGAAGGATCCCAACATAGATAGTAGTATGTGAAGCAAGCAGGCTATCAGCCCCTTTGTGCGTTTTTTGGTTTGTACCCTACGAAGCCTCGCACAGATCTGCAGAGATTATCGGGTCCAATGTACGAGCTGTCTGAGTCTACGACCTCTCCGGCCTGCTCCCGCCAGACGACCCAGTCAGGATGTTCGCCGCATGTAGGGTCTACCCACGCGAGCATCTGATACACCTTTGCGCGTAAGCTCATGCGCTCCTTCATATCGCTGCCAAGGGAAGTTTCAGCGGTGAATTCGTGTGAATCAGAGGTCGAAAACTCACGTTTCCCAATTAGCCCAGGCAGTAGCGAACTCCTCTTGCAGAATGCTTGCCTCCTCGCTTGTCCCATGACCCTGCTCCCCAAGGTACGCTTCCAACACTGCAGCCTTGCAGGCCCGTACCGTCTCCACGGCTCTCGCCAAATGTACCGCAGCGTGGGTTGAGAGAGTTGCAGCCTTCGACGGTGTCTTCGCTTTCTTGGAGGAGGCATCCGTCGACCACCGTGACCCATCAACGTTCAGGTCAAGCTGCAACTCGGATAGCCTGTCGGACATCTGACCGCGCGTGAAGTGCGGAATCGTCTCGTTTTCCGACAGTTCCTTGGTGTTGGGCGGGATGAGGACATGCACCGTCGGCATCATTCGGATGTCCTGGAAAAAGGTGGAGAGGTAGAAGGGGAGGATAGAAATGATGCTCGAGGTGATGAACCTGCGCTGGAGCATCTTGTGCCATGCTTCCGCCAGTTTGGTGTGGTCATGGGGATCCTGAAAGCGGGCGTCCTTCTTTGGTGCGGGAGACTGCGAGGACGACGCCGAGGCCGAGTCCGTGCTTGCGGATGTTGTAACGGGATCGGCGGTAGTGATCAACTCACGGTTGGATGAATGAGGGGAGATTGATGCATTATCCGGGGCGAGAACCAGCTCGCGATCGGATGAATAGGTAGAGACGGTGGATGAATTACTGAGCGTCGATAAGCTTCCCGTCCACATGGACCCGTCTTGGTTCGTCTGAGAATTTGCGCTACTGCTCTTCGAGCCTTCTTTTTCCTTCTCTTTCTCTGGTGGACGCCCACAGGGGAAGATGAGGTCGTCTTCGATGATCTGAGTGATGTTATATGAGCTTTTCGATATGCGTGCCAATGACTGGCTCTAACCTCCTGAACTCCTCCTGGAACCAAAACGCGGGCACATTCCTGGTAGAGCATACCATTATGGCACGCAAAGGATAGAAAGAAAGCAACACACCTCGAAGAGATTTTGCCACTCGTCCTCCGGAATAGCGAGACCAACATTACCTAACCGGACGAAATCAAACTCTTCCGACGCAAATGGCAGCGGTTTCAGACTGTCATAATACTGAGACACGCAGTATAAGGAGACCATGAGTACTTACATGTCGCCCTGTACCCAGGTTATTCGATCCGCCAGGTGCATCAGATTGTTTTCCTCCCGACGTAAGTCAGGCTGGCCTTTCAGCAAGTCCATACCAACGAACTCGGTATCCTAGAGGCGCGTTTTTCAAGTGGGTCAGAGTATGGCCAGCGGTGCATGCAGATATCCTTGAGATAGATTCTACGAGGTCCGGGATCTACGCAGCCTGTCATTCTCGGGACAAGAGGTGACTGGCATGTGTAACATGTACTGATTACGAGGATACAAACAGATTGGCGTAGCAATGACGCCCACGTCCTTCCGCAACACCAGGGGTGGTGTCTACCGCTATGGGGTAAGTGCGGCGATGACCCATGCCCCGTGCGTTCTTAATGCGGGAAAGGAAGGCAGCGCCGCAGCTACGCGTCTGCCGCCGGATCATAGACAAATACGAGAACGCTCGTGGCCTCATAGAATCCATGTCAAAGACATCCTAAAATCTAGAACCTCACCGTCCACCGCTTCGCCGCTTCGATAATCCATATGCCATTGCCGCATCCCAATTCGAGGACACGACGTGGAGGAGGATCAAACCTGTGCATCGTCACGTTCTTCTGAACAAGATTGCTCAGAAACAAGAAGTTCCAGCTGTCGCTGTTACACGAGACTCAGATACAGGGAATAAGGCATGGCGGGTGAATACGCACAAGAGCATGAGTTCGGATGAATTCTCAGCGGGATAGGGCACACCATTCTTGTCCCATTTTCGGTGCCCCGCCTTCCTTGTGCTTTTGCCAAGCAATTCTGTCTGTATGTCTCTGCTGACGCTATCCTGCGACATGTCGGACGAGAACGATGAACTGCGTCGTCAAGAATGGTCAGAACAAGAAGTAGCTTGAACCGGGCCGCCAGTGACTGCTAGACCTTCAAGTTGGGGCAGGACGTGTAAAATCTCCCTGTGGTTCGATAGGCGAAGGAGGTAAGTGGACAACTCCAGACATACCTGCGTTGGCGAATCATTGCTATAAGCGACAGAAGGCCGACCGCCGGTTGCAGGTCTGATTTGCTGCGATGTTAATTAGGTATGTTGTCACGCCGCGGAGGTATTTCCCACTGACCATCAAATTCGTGATCGCCGGGTTCTCAGGGCACCGCTCCGTTTTGGGCGTCGCTAAGGCCCTTATCTCATAGATAGCTAAATTAAGATAACCCACATATCGGCGCAAACTATCGCATTATTCATGACGGGCGCTCAGTCAGTTCGTCAAGCACTATCCATGCAGCTCATCGCAGCCCGAACGGCAGGCGTGCGCTCCGCCATTCGTGCGGCACGCCTCGTCCCAGCGTTGCGCACGTACGCTACACCTGCCACGTTTAAGGACGACGACGACCCCCAGCTCGCCGACTATCCCCGCCTGCCGTATATCTCGAAACAGCGTCGCCCAGCGAGAGGATGGGAAGACTGGCAGATGCGTCGTAACTTTGGCGAGCCAGTGAGTAGCCACTTTCATTCAGTCCTGTACGACGTTCACCTCATTCGACTACTAGCTACATGAACAAGAGGAAATCCTCTCTATGTGGGGTCCGGATGCGCCCGTGGTTCCCCCATCGACAGCATTGCGCTGGTTCATGACCGCCGTCGCTGGGTTCACTACATTTGGCGTAATCACCAAATTCGCTTTAATTCCCAGCCGCCCTTCTGTACCCCGAGAATACCCATACTCTGGGCTGGAGACTGAGCTTGGTGGACTGGAAGAGAACAAGGTCTGTCCTCACAGTGTATTGGCCTGCGATGATCTGACGTGTTTTCAGGCGAGACCTGAATCCGAAACTGATGAGGAATAGAGCTTCAATGCCATTGTACCGCATTTAGCGTTTCTCCGTACAATCCCGAGAGTTTACTGAACTGAATGATCGCCCACTCGCAACATGAGTGAAGCTACGGCCACCAGTAATTATCTGGAACATATTGTGCTAAATCTACCGAACGATTCGTCCGATACTATATCTCGCCCTCCTCATCTGACGTGGTGGGCCCCTGTGCGCCTCGGTAGGCAGGTTTCGGTCGAGGCCGCAAATTGACAGACAACGGCGGTGGAGGCGACCCAGCTATCGCGGGAGTTACTTCAACATCCTCGCACTCGCCTGCACTCCCAGACGCTTGCCGCTTGCGGGCTTGCTTGGCTTTGCCACCGCGCCCACGCTTGCCTTTGGCAGTCGACGATCTCTTACTAGTGGGCAGGGTGCCTTCCTTGCCTTTCCCTTTGGCGGCAGTCGTCTTTCTCCTTTTGGCTGGTTTCTCCTTGACCTCAGAATCAGACCCGATGGTTGCATCTTCTTCCCCTGACGCTGCGGAAGACTCGGCAGACTGTTGCATGACGCGTTCCTTCCTAAAGTCAGATACGACTTGCTGCAGTCTTCTACTGGCGTAAGCTTGTCGCTTGCGAGGAGCTGCACCTCCGAGTGGAACGTCGAAGAAACTCGTAAGACTCCCCTGCTTAGCCACGGAGCTCTGTAAAATGTGTCAGTATCTGGGACCTCTGCAGATATTGGTAGTTTTGAATCTACTTGTCCTCGTTTTCCCATTTTGCGGATTATGGGCAGCAGGAGCTCGTCAACCTTCGACTGATGCCAGCCCAATTCTGAATTGAAGAAACTAATGAATTCATGTTAAGGGTGCTCACATACTACAAGTGTGTTGCACGTACTCTCGAAGCGCGTCTAGGTCAGGGAGCCCCCACTTGAAGGGATCCTCAGACTTGTCTGCAGTTGGATGGTAGTACGCATCTCTCTGTCACAAGATGAAGTACTGCACACTTCGGATGTCCTGGTCACACTTACAACTGCTGGGTTAGGCCAGTCGTCAGGTAGGTAAAGGTCCTTGAACCGTTTCTTCTGTGGAGAGCATTGGCAGGTAGTCAAAGCAGAGCCTCAAGCACAACTTACAAAGCGCTTGCGAAAACTGGTGTTGGTGTCGGTAGCTGTATCTTTGCCGCCTTGGACCTTCTGCCACCAGTGCTTAAACTTGTGCAAGCCATCCTGCCCGGGGAACTCTTTCAAAAGCTCCATAGCAACAACTGGGCCTACCCCCGGTAGGCCATCTGTGTAATCACTGCCCAAAAGGTACGCCAGCCGAATCAGCTTGTCTCGATCTAAACCTAGCTCACGCTCCAGATCGGCAAGAAGGTAGCACTCGACCGTCTTGGATTGGTTGAACATGTTTTTGAGGACGCGCAGGCCACCAAACAAGAAGACGTCGGAGTCGTCTGTGATGATACCGTCGACGAGACCTAGGGTGAGCAGCTCTGCGCATTGCGCCTCTGCTTCCATAGGAGCCGTGATGTACGGGATTCCGAACAGGCGCAACATAATCTACCAGCCGTCAGGCTTATAATCGGCAGTTCACGAGGGCGCTCACCATGATTTGAGAAACCATTTGCTGCGTTATATCCTCGGAATCCCGCATTGCCGCTTTCCTCTGCTGGTGTAGATCCCTGATCTCTTCGTCGATTTCGCGCCGCACAGCATTAATGTCTTTGCCCTTGACCTGCGATATGAATCGAGCGAACTCCCCTTCCTCTGCTTGGGTATCCATTTCTTCCGCTGCGTCCCAGCTGTCCCCCGTAGACTCTACAGGGACGAGGGTGCTCCCCGAGGGATCTGCTGTGGAAGACACAGGTTGATCCCATGGGTCAGATGCCTCGTCCGAGTCTGGAGGTACCTGGCCGTCGTTTCCTAGCTCCAGAGACGTCTCATTATGGCGAGGTCCGTGGATTGAGGCTTGTAGGGATACGGCTCTGCTTGGTGGTAGTGTTCTTAGACTTTGGACGGACTCAGAAAGTGGAGACCCGTTCTGAGGCGATGTCTCTTGTCGAGAGACAGGCGAAGTAGCTTTTGTATGCATAACTGGTAGAGTTGAAGGCACTTCCTCCATGTCGTCATCTGAATCCGAGCTTAGTCCTTCAGGCAACTGCTCAACAGAAGCCTCGGGAAAGACTCGGCCTTCGAATGTAGCTTCTGCGGCAACGACAACCGGTGTCGCACGACTGTGTACGAGGGATACCTCTTCCATGTTATCCTCGGAATCCGACTGTATTTCGACTGCTACAGGAGCCGGAGGAGAAACGTGAGAAGGCAGAAGTAGGGAAGGGACACCAAACATAGACGGTGATTGATTTGAGACTTGGTTGATCTGTCCCGATGACCTCCTAGCAGAACCAACGTTTGCGATGGATAGTGCAGTCTCCAGACGTACAGGCGTGGTGTACAAGTCGTCGTCGGAATCTGGTTTGTTGGTCTGTCGAATAGGTGTTCGTACATCGTGATCGCGCGATGACGCCCCTTGTTCTGGTGTGGAAGGCCTCAAGTCGCTAAGTGTGGTGCGCGACGTGGACGCGCCAGCATTAAACTCGGACGAAGAAACGCGAAACTGGGCTTTGGAAGCTTCCAACGCCTGACGTAACTGCGAGGCTTCCTCTTCGTCCAACGACTCTTGAATAACCAGGGCAAGCGTGTGGTCGTTATCATCATCACTAGGCGGAAGCTGATGTAGCTCCTCTTCATCTGGAGCAAAGAGCGGTCGTACGTTCTTTGGCTTATGCGATGCCTTCGACGTCAACGGTGCCAGCTTCTTTGGCGAGTACTTGTTGGCCAAAGCGGCCAGGGCCTGGCCTCTCCGAAATTCCCTCATCTCCGGGTCGAATACGGGCTTATCATTGCTACATATTGTATGAGAACAGAATGAGCGATGATACCTTTACGCCACACAGCAATGACGCACATCGCCACTTCTTCCATATCAGCGTCACTGTCCTGGTCATCCTCTTTGTCGCTGCCAGGGTCAACCTCGATTGGTTTGCTCTGGGTGCCCTCGTCTCGAATTCCGAGCACCCATCCTCCTTCGTTGCCTTCGTTCTTGACGAGGACATATTCCTTGTTCCGCTCGCTGGCTATCCTAATAGGGATGGTGACATTGGCTTTCCCAATGGTGTCGGTAGTAATGAGTAGCTGCTGTGTGAGAGCATTACGGTGCTTGAGGTTCTTGATCTGTTCCTTCGAGAAGTCCAATGGGGTCTTAGCATTTCTCAACATGTTCTGAAGACGCTTGTAGGACATCTGCCGCGACTTGAGCCTAAGATCACCGACAATTTCGTACTGAACTTCTGTAGGTAGTTCGCGGAATTCAGGAGAGGTGACGTCGAAATCTTCCGGGCGCATCTCCTCGATGAAGGCGCGTAATTCATCCTCAGTTGCGAGACGAGGGTCCGGAACCATAGACCGTGTCGCGTTAGCAATGGCCTCATCGAGGTTAACATCTGGTAATTTGTACGGATCATGGTCATGCCAACGCGACTTCTTTCTCGACGACGGAGGCGTGGGCTCAGTTACCCCCTTTTGTATCTTCTTTGACGGCGTCTTGGGCAGAGAATCGTCAACATCTTCTAGATACACTGTATTCTCATTGATAACAACAGGTCCCTCTGGAGCCTTGCCTTTGCCGGTAGACCCTCTGTGAAACATAGTGAATACACCATCGCCATCGTAGAGGGAATAGTACTCACGACTTCGTCTTGACTTGGTTCAGTGCCTCCCGCCTCATCTGCGCTGCAAGCAGCCGTTCTGCAACCTTTGCATGACTCAGAGCGGCCCCGCTTTTCTTTTTCTTGCGCTCAGACTACAAGAGCACGCTTAAGAACATTCAGAGTGTGTCTGGGAACACTCACAATGGTAGCTCGCTTGAGGGCAGGAGCCCCTCCATCAAAGACAAAGACAGGCTTAATACCATAGAACAAAAGCTTGCATATACGACGAAGGAAGCCAAGAACGTGAGCGTTGACCAAACCCCGGCCTTCCTTATCGCGCATCGTTGCCTGAAATTGGTATATCCAGATGCTTGAGTCTATAGCCATTGACTTCCCTTCCATAGTCTCCAGTCTGGATCATATTCCGTCAATAGAACTCGACTTCGCAAGGAAAGCATCTCACGGAACCGGTCTGCCGACAGGATCCAGCAAGGTCCATAGCGACTTAACACCCATTAAGGCAGACTACTTGTAGGGATACAAGTCCAAGGGACAGCTGTCGTGAGACAAAGGTAGTGTGAAGTAGAGGAACAAGGCTATTACAATTAGTCCGAAAGCATAGTGGCGGAGTGACTGAAGCGCTGCTAGCTATGGTGTGTTGATAAGTTCCGGAATATTTGGCACGGACAAATATACCTAAATATTAATATTCTGCATTCAGTATCGCTACATATATTCCAAACACGCGAAGTGTACGTCATTCTACCTGAAGGATAGCCTCCGTTGAATCCATCTTTTTGATATAGTATTGACAGAGCGCCGTTGACTCGATCTGACTCGACCATGATTATTTATACTGCTTGTAACCTGGCGAGGATGCTCCCCTCATCAAGATGTCTCATTCCCAACTGCATCCTCTACAGGTGAACCCTGCCACGGGCGAACCATATCTGCGCCTGGGCAGCCCTCTCGAGAACATCATTCTAACACCGCAGCGGCCGAGTGATGTTGCATTCACCGTGCCTATCCTGAACAACCCCGACGTTGTCAGATGGCTGGAAGGCCCGCCGTACCCGTACACCCCATCGCATGCCGAAAGCTGGGTGTCCAGCGTCATAGAGGAGTCGGACGCGATCCTGCGTGAGCTCCGTGGGGCGAGCGCGAAGGATCCGGAGGCGCCTCCCAAGATTGTTGGAGGCTGTCCGGTGCGGATTTTGAGGGAGATCAAGGAGGATGGCAGTGAAGTCTATCTCGGCGACATCGCGTTCCGCAGGTGCGTATACCCGCACGAGGCTCCCGAGGAGCGACTACGACTCTCAGAGGAGAACGCGCGGAGACAAGTAGGCGACCCTGCGCTGGTCTGGTCCATAGGGTGTACGTAGGAGATCAATCTCTGCGTTTACTGTGTGATCTGATTTGACCGTACGACGACCAGATTACCTTGCGAGTTCGCATCACGGCAGGGGCATCATGACGATGGCTCTACGCACGCTGCTGTCTGCCTGGGCGATCCCGAGGATGGGGGTTCGACGAATGCGTACAGAAGCGTTCATAGGCAACATCGGGAGTGTACGCGTATTCGAGAAGAATGGGTTCGTACTGAATAGGACTTTGGAGAAAGAATCTCCGAACTGCTTGGGGGAGACGATGCCTGGGTCTTACATTCTCTGGTGGGAGCATCCGTAGAGTCTAGAATTGGCATTTCTTCGCCGGTTTGGGAACATGGACTATGACTGTATGTGCTGTAAGTACCGGACTTGCTAGCTAGTGTCGTTCATGGCAGCCATACATAGTATGTAATCCACGGCGATGTCTCGATATTCGTCTATTTGTCGAGGTCTACATCGTCGCTTTCTACTCCGGCAAACAAAGGTAGAAACGACAAACTCTGCGACATCAGTAGCTTCCTTAATCTGACCATTAATCATGGAGTCAGACATGTATGATACACTGAATTCCTTCTGAGGAGGGATATATCGTCCATTGCTGATGATGATGAGAGGACGAGGGGATTACAGCGAGCGTCTACCTCACGATCCTCAGTAGCCCATCGGCCACTCGTCGACGTCTCTGCACCACGGCCGGCTCCTGCCGCGAGCTTCTGCCCCACTTCGCCGAGGTGTATACTTTGCGAGGGGAGGTCTATCAATATTGGTTTTGCTGTAGATATGGACCCACTGTCATTCATGTGCCATGTGTATGGCCACACTGCTTTCATTCATCAGCCGGACCCAATTTGCTCCAGTGATTGCGCAAATAACTGGATAACATTTCCATCGGGCAGCCAAGGCGTGCCATGTACAATCCTCCCGAGCCAAGACGGCAGTAGTAAGGAGAGGAGTTGTGTACATATGTTCTAGACATCTCCATTTACTTACCGCATGTACGAAACCCTTGATTGAGGCGTGTATAGATCATCCTGAAGAAGTTCGACTATACATCTCCCGATAGTATTACTCCGAGATGTTCTCGAGCAGCAATACCACCTTCAGATTTTACCCGCGACCACTAGAAACAAATATATCAGTGCACCCGGCTGTTCGCATATGCCCCACGGTACCCGAGAGAATTCCAGAGCCCAATGTCTGCTGCTAGGCAAGCGACCTACACATCCCTCGATGCAAACCTTGAAGTCGTAGACACCACTCACACATGGGAGAGACGGGCGGGTTACTACATAAGATAGAAACGAACATTCGTGAACAGGTATGCTGAGAACAAAAGCGTTGGAAGGCACGTCTTTGAAAAGCGCTACTGTATCACAATCATCCAAGCCAGGATAGAGTAGAACAGGCTGACAAAAGGTCAACACCAGCGTCCGCTGAATTAGCAGGCGTGCTTACACCAGCGGATACACGGCGAGCATAGTGCGTTGTTTCTCTAGCTTGGTACCATCAAGGAAGTTGACCGCAGCTGAACATGTTATTTTAGAACACAACGATACAATAGGCCAGTAGCTGAAGAAACACATACCCCATAGGCACCACGCCCATGCAACAAGTGTGACGGGCGCTCGCACATAGATCAACTTGACGAAAACCGCGACAAGCGCTGCAATGGTCAAAGGCGCTACACAGTAGCCAAACACGCACAGCCCTTGGAAAAAGGAACTGGCGGCGAGGTTCAGTCCACCATTTCGTTCACTTCCGAGGCCACTCACATTCGTCCGCCCAACAACTGTGGCCAAATGCGATTAGCCAATATCGAGAGGGGGACATAGCAGACGCACCTGTGCTTGAAATGTCACCACTAATGCCCCGAAGGACATCAGGGATACCACGCTGGTGAAGTGCGGTAACGATTGGGATGGCGGCGCCTGTCGGCAAGTTCATCATGAAGAGCAGCAGGGACTGAGTAGCACTAAGCCAATACTTACATTCACGCTTAGAAGAATGCCTAATGTCAGAGCTATCACAAGGGGTCCCCAAAGGTCCCAATCCCTGAACTATCGTGATCGCATCGAAGCTTACTGAAATGTGCAACTAGCTTACTTCAAGACTTCCCGATGACCTGCTTTGGGTGGATATAGCACCTGCACTGTTTTGGTATATATGGAAAGCAAATCTCGTCCCTGGAGGATTACCATGTTAAAAAGAGGGCAGCCTAAATGCGCGGTCTATCATACAATAGTAGTTGCGATGGGTTCATCCAATGTGTCCAGCTGGGTAGTTCTGCAGCGTAAACTCAGCAATGAGGTACATGCATGATCACGTCAGCACATACCGCATCTCGACCTGTATGCCACCGACTGTACTCCGCTCAGACCTAGGTACGCCATTCGGCGCGCTACCAATGTTCCCGGAGACGGGGGAGGCTGCATACCCGCCAGTCGGTGTTGCAAGCTGCTCAGAAGCTCTCGCTTTTCCCTTATTCATTGAAGCAGACAGCGGTGTTCCTAGCGAAGGATGTGTGAATCCAGGGATGGCGTCCTCATCCAAATCATCGTCGTCTGAACGGCCGAGGCTTCAGCCCCCGTTGGCACGTATAACATCAGTGTAAACAGACCTGCCTGTATAAACTGCGATGTCGACGTGACTGGTGTCTCGACCTCTTCGTAGTCTGGCTGGTGCATAGCGTCTGCAGTGAATTGGCAACTTTTAAGTCGGTGCACGCACTGCAGCAGTCTCGCAGCACGTGGCGAGCGCTTCCCACGTGGGCGTGATTGAAGTGACGACGCGTACGCGTCCATGTCCTGAAGCGTATGCGTTCCGTCTCAGTCATCCACTCCGAGCTCTTTCTCCCTCTCCTCCTTCGAGATACTTTAGCAACGGTCCAAATCTCTCATCATGGCAAGCATTTTATATTACTTCATCCCCTCGCCAACATTCTAATCCCGGTGCACAGGGTAACGCTCCGTCAGGCATGGGTCCCGGCGGCCCTCCAGCCGACCAACAGCACAACAAAGACAAGAAAGAACAGCAGGAGCAGAAAAAGAAATGGGAACCGCCTCTCCCCACGCGTGTGGGTAAGAAGAAGAAGAAGCGTGGTCCCGACGCTTCCTCTAAGCTCCCCGCCGTCCACCCGACGACTCGCTGCCGCCTACGGCTGCTGAAGATGGAGCGAATTAAGGACTACCTTCTCTTGGAGGAGGAGTTTATTGTGAATCAGGAGCGCCTGAAGCCGGAGGCAGCCCGAGAGGAGAAGAACGAGGAGGACCGAACGAGGGTCGATGACCTGCGCGGCAGCCCCATGGCGGTTGGAACGTTGGAGGAGATCATCGACGACGACCACGCTATCATCAGCACAGCGTCAGGGCCGGAGTACTATGTCTCCATTATGAGCTTTGTCGACAAGGACCTCCTCGAACCCGGTTGTCAGGTCTTGCTCCACCACAAGAACCAGGCGGTCATTGGTGTACTGCAGGACGACACGGATCCTATGGTCAGCGTTATGAAGCTGGACAAGGCACCGACGGAGAGCTATGCGGATGTTGGTGGCTTGGAGGCACAAATACAGGAGATTAAGGTGTGCGCCTCAGCACTCTTGACAGCCCCAGATATTGACGTCGCTTCAGGAATCCGTTGAGCTGCCCCTTACACATCCAGAGCTGTACGAAGAGATGGGCATCAAGCCGCCAAAGGGTGTAATTCTGTACGGTGTGCCGGGTACCGGCAAGACGCTGCTCGCGAAAGCTGTCGCGAACCAGACGTCGGCAACCTTCCTGCGTGTTGTCGGCTCGGAGCTGATTCAGAAGTACCTCGGAGATGGACCAAAGTTGGTGCGAGAACTGTTCCGAGTTGCCGAGGAGCACGCACCAAGTATAGTGTTCATTGACGAGATTGACGCTATTGGCACGAAACGGTATATGCTGTTCTCTCGCTCAAATCTTGTTCAGCCGGTATTCATCTAGTCCTACAGATATGACTCAACATCCGGTGGAGAGCGAGAAATCCAACGAACGATGTTGGAACTGCTGAACCAGTTGGACGGCTTCGATACGCGTGGAGATGTGAAGGTCATCATGGCCACCAACAAGATCGAATCGCTCGATCCTGCCCTCATTCGACCAGGTCGTATTGACCGGAAGATCGAGTTCCCGCTACCTGACATCAAGACGAAGCGGCATATCTTCAAGTAAGTCTCTTCGCAACCCACCTTGATTGATCCAAACTCAACGTGGTTTTTAGACTGCACACATCACGGATGAATCTCTCCGAGGATGTCGATCTTGAGGATTTCATCACGGCCAAGGACGACCTATCCGGTGCCGACATTAAAGCAGTGTGCACAGAGGCCGGGTTGCTTGCTCTCCGAGAACGGCGGATGCGGGTCACCAAGGCCGATATCACGGCTGCGAGGGAGAAGGTGCGTCCGAATTCCTTGTCAATGAATAGCCCCAACACTGATGTCCGATCTGTAGGTGTTGTACCGGAAGAACGAGGGTACTCCGGAGGGCCTTTACCTGTGATTCTACTGTATCGTCGCTATCCATTTCGTATGCATTCTTACCGTTTTCTCTTGTGAGACCGTCAACTGTGCAGATGGCTATTTAGTGTACGGTGTCAGCATAAGAGAAAGAACCGCGTCAAAGAAAATACCAGGCAGCGAGGATAGAGGCCGAGTCGCAAACGAGGGCGCGTGCCCTCGTACCACGTGCGAGGCGCGTCTTGATCGCGCCCTCGTGACGCGCGTTCTCGCGACGATGCATGTGAATTCCGGCTTCTGAAATCCCCTTCCGTTACTCTCGGGCTGAGGACCTAGTATTTACCCTGTATTTTGCCCCACAAACCACCGCCCCGCACTCATACCTCCCCTCCACACTAGTATTGTTTCCCACATTCATTCTGCAATCCCTGACCGCAATAATAATGGGCAAGCCAATCGAAGCGAACACGGAGAGTTTGACAGTGCGCGACAACCGTACTGGCAAGACATACACAATACCGTACGTATGACGCCTTCACACACTTGCAAAGGGACACGGCGGATGACGCGCTTTCGTAGTATAGTAGACAATGCCGTCCCAGCGACTGCCTTCAAGGCCATAACGGCACCCAAGAAACCCGGGGAGCGCGCCGAGAATGAGACGGAGAAGGGCCTGCGCGTGCAGGACAAGGGTTTTTTGAACACGGCTGTGATTCGGAGTGAGATTACATACATTGATGGGGAAGCTGGCGGTAAGCATGTTCTCTCACCCTAAGAGGGCACTGACCGAGCTCGGGGACACAGTGCTGCGTTACAGGTCAGGCTGGGTGTACGACTTACCCATCCCGAGTCTCATGTTCGGGTTTGCAGGGGATATCCGATTGAACAGCTGGCATCGCACTCCTCACATCTCGAGTCTGCGTACCTGCTGATATATGGCTCTTTGCCTACGCGAGAGCAGTTCAAGCACTTCGAGTCGGAAGTGATGCGCCACGGTGTGATGCACGCAGATACTGAAGGCTTCTTCCGTTCATTCCGGTGAGGCAGGTGTTTGCGCTTACATGCTTCGCCAATACCGACCCCGATCACAGGTACGACGCGCACCCAATGAGCATGCTCACTAGCGCGTTTTCCATGCTGGGATCGTACTACAGCGAGGCAAACCCGTCTCTCCAAGGTCAGTTCGTGAGTCGTGTCGCAGTTGGACACGCTGACAATCCGTGGGATAGGGCAGAGGCTCTACACGAACGGAGACCAGGCCTCTCTAGCGACAATGGACAGGCAAATATACCGCCTCATCGGAAAAGCCACGGCCTTGGCTGCGTCCGTAGCTTTCCTTCGAACGATGTTGTCAATTCATCTGACTTTTCGCACCACAGCATGGCGTACCGTGTCCGACAAGGCAGAGACTTCGTGACACCGCCCGTTGGTCTTAGCTACACCGGATCGTAAGTGCGCGATTTTACCGGTGTAGCTGAGCGCTGAGATAGATGTCCGCAGTTTCCTGTACCAGATGGATCACCTGGGAGAAGAGAACTATACCCCGAATCCCGTGCTCGAGAAGGCCCTTGACGTTCTCTTCCTTATTCATGCTGACCACGAGCTGAATGCATCGTGCACAACCGTTCTGCAAACGGCCAGCTCCCTCGTGGATCCCTACTCTGCCATTGCGTATGTACTATATCACTCAGTAACTGCTGCTTCACTCACTGTGACTGTAGCGCCGGATGCGCGTCGCTATAGTGAGTGTAGACTTTCCTTCCAACAACACTGCTCATGAACTCGATGCGCTTATAGTGGCCCTCTACACGGTGCATGCGGTATTGCCGCAAATTTTCCAAAGTATGCTAACTGCGCCATTTCGCAGGTGGTGCCAACGAGGCCGTTATTCGCATGCTCGTCTCGATCGGGAGGTATGGCGTGCAGCCGTGCATACTATTTCTCAGCTCATTCGTAAACTAGCCCGGAGAATGTCCCGGCATTTATTGAAGCTGTGAAAAGACGTGAGAAGACCTTGTCAGGGTTCGGCCACCGGTAGGTATACGTCACATTTCCGTAGCGACAACATCGTGCTCACAGTGAAACACCGGATGTTTGTAGCGTGTACAAGACGGTAAGTTCAATTTGCACAAGATTTCCCCACAGCTAACGGTTTTCTCGGACTCCAGTCGGATCCACGCTCATTCATCGTGCGTAAAACGGCCGATGAAGTGTTCAAGGTGTCAGTATGAAATTTCTTCCGGTCATTTGCAGACTCATTAGTATCATAGAACAGGCAGGGATGCGCTTTTAGAAACAGCAATGGCGCTCCATGATGCGGCAATGAAAGACGAGTACTTCATCAAGCGCAAGCTCGCGCCCAACGTGGACTTCTGGTCAGTTGATGGTCGCATGTAATACTTTTTTGACCAGTTGTGTCTAACGAAACGCCCTTTGCAGGAGGTTAGTGACCAATCAACGTTAGTGTAATCGATGTCGCTAATCATCTGGCAGTGGCCTGATCTACCGCGCGATGGGTGAGGCTTGCGCATTTGCAATCGTGATCAGCGTGCTCATTTCGCGCAGGATTCCCGATGGATTTCTTCCCAGTGCTGTTCGTAGTGCCACGAGTCGTCGGATGGCTAGCCCACTGGCGACAGATGATGCTGCAAGAAGGCGGTGTGAAGATCTGGCGTCCCCGGCAGGTGTGTTTTCCACGTTTTCCAGCGTCTCCAAGTGTAATGACTGCATCTGCGTGCAGGTTTACGTTGGGGCAGGCAAGCGGGATTACGTGCCGGTCGAACAGCGTGTTCCTGTCGAGGGCTTGCGACAGACACCGTCCGCGGTCGAACACGGAGGGTGAGTAGAACGCCTGTGGTTTCTGAGTGTCAGGGGGCTGAGGATCATCGTTGCTTGGCAGGATCACCAAGAGGACGATGCTTGCGAACTTCAAAGGCAAGAGCAAGCTCTAACAAGGTTGCCTCTATCTTCCTTGATTCTTTATTTAGCCCGCGTTCGCTTCTTTGTTGTACCTTGCTGGAATATATATCAATTGTTGGTTGGTAGGAAAGTGAATTGTGAGCAGTTGCGGCGATCGAGCCCCCTGTCATCTCCGCCGTGTGAATCGGTAACAATGAGCATACGGTCGTTGTTGTGCTATGTTTGGCTGTGAGACGGTCGCCCGTTGTAGATTTGTTGGCAACGACCACCACCCTTCTTCTTGCTCCTCTCTCTTCTCGAGTCCTGAAACCGCTAGAGCTCCCCGCTCCATTCGTGTCCTTACGATGTTCACCACACTCATTTCTGTCGCTCTCTTCTCCACCCTCGCCATCCGGGGAGCTCGCGCCCAAGACTTTTCAATCGATACCCCTGTATTTACGCAGGTAAATCGTCACTACAGCCCAGATCGGCTGGCCACAGAGCACTTATGCCTTGCCCTAGTGCCAACCTGCAACTATCAACTGGACTGGCACCAACAACACCCCGTACAACCTCATTGTCGTTCCCAGTGATGATGTTTGCAGCGAGGAACTGTGAGTTCCCCGTCGCCATTAGCTCGCGTCATTCACCCTTAGCTCTACCCAGTGCTGACTTGGGTGACTTCTACAACACTTCCGCAACGTGGACGGTCAACGTTCCGGCTGGAACTGCCGTGACGCTCTCCCTGATTGATGCTCAGGACAACGAGGCCTGGAGTGGTTCTGTGAGTAGCCACTTGCCCGCCTCGCGCATCGGCTGACTGCTTTTCAGATCACCATCCAGGGCAGTGGTGACTCTTCGTGCCTCAACAGCACCGACGTTTCGTCGTCTCTTCTTCCGTCTGCATCGGTAGCGTCTAGCGTCATTTCGTCCGCTGTTGGCGGTGCAACTACGTGAGTGGCATGCTTTGCTGCTTATACCGCCACCGACCGTTCGTCTTTAAGCCTTGCGGTTCCTTCCACTGAGACCGCTACCGGTGTCGTCAATGACGGTGCTCCCCCTTCCGCCACCACCTCTGCTGCCGTTGCTATTGGTGCTGCCGGCCAGGGTGACAACCCCGGTGTCTCTGCCGGCTTCAGCATGCACCAGCTCAGCGCACCGATCATGGTCATGAGCGCCCTTGCTGCCATCGTGCTCCTTTGAGGGGCTGGTTGTATACCCCTAACAGTCCCCATATGATGAAATTCTACGTTGCGAAGCGCCGTGTATCGCCCTTGTTGGCGCTGGCTTTTTGATTCTCATTCTGAACACCCAGGTCAAATGGTTGTCATCGTCGTAGGCGGCTGCTGGTTTCGGCTTGCGCAGTCTCGAGTCGAATGCAACATGAGCAGGTCTGTTGCAGCGTTGTCAAGCTGGATGTACCTCTATACCTATATATCGGCGACTTGACAATGATTATCCGTATCTATGTTGTTGTGCTCCATTAACATCACCGGCGCGGGCGTACTATACGTGACAAATATTGGGTAAATAAGTCCTTGGCCTCGTCATGATGGTGACAGGTACCCGAACTAACACATGTTTAGCATGGTCGGTGGTGTTTTGAGCCCGAGATCGGAGGCGCTGCTCAAGCGTTTTGAAATCCCATGATCTCTGACATCCTACTTCAGTGCAGAGATGTCTGCTGCCTGGGAGAAAGCTCCTCGTTATCATGGCCCCTTTGCAATACACCCGTGTCGTCTTAGCTGAGCGACCCAAGGCCGCGGTTACCCCTTCGACCTTTCGCAAGGAGGTCGTGCCTTTCGATTCGAAGGCGGGTCCTAGCCAAGTCCTCGTTAAGGTCGAGTATGTGTCTTTGGACCCTGCTATGCGGGGCTGGTTGAACAACCGGCGGAGCTACATCGAGCCTGTCAAGATTGGGGCTGTGATGAGGGCGGCAGGTCTGGGCGTGGTGGTTGAAGCCGGTGAAGAGAGCGGTTTCGCTCGGGGAGATCTCGTCAGTGGGACCTTTGGTACGCACCATAATGACATTAGCGTAAGCTGTTCTCCAGATTCTAACCATGGAATAGGTTGGACAGAGTATGCGCTTATGGAGAAGAAGGCCGTGACTAAGTTAAAGCGAGTCATATCATGAATTGTTGGTCGCATTACTGATATAAGACGATAGAATTCCAGACGGTGGCGAACTCCTTGATTTCGTGGGCCCTCTGGGCATGCCGGGTGGGATATCATGTTGACCGCTAGCCGCAGGCGCATGTAACTAACTCCTGATATAGGTCTCACGGCTTACTTCGTAAGTTCCTTGTGCACGAATGAATGTGTCTGACCATTTAGCGCAGGGCTTATTAGATGTCGGGAAGCTGCGTTCGGGCGAGAGGCTCGTTGTCTCTGGCGCAGCGGGTGCGACTGGCTCAATCGTCTGTCAGCTTGGCAAGCAGAAGGGTGCAAAGGTCTACGCGATCGCCGGAACGCCGGACAAGTGCAAGTGGCTGGAAGACGAACTCGGCGTAGACAAGGCTTTCAACTACAAGAGCCCTACGTTCCACGAAGAATTCAAGCAAACCGTTGGTTATTTTGATGTGTTCTTCGACAATGTTGGTGGTGAGATCCTGGACTTCGCCTTGACGCGCATGAACAAGAACGCAAGAACGGTCTTGTGTGGTGCGTGGTATCCGAATCTGCCATGGGTGTGGACTTGAATGCTCATCGTGTACCGATTGTTAGGTGCGATATCCGATTACAGTAAGAATCATGCTTATTTATATGTTGATGTAGTTCGCCAATGATGCTGGCAGATTCCCTGAAGCCCAGGGGTTTGACTGGGTATCTGAACCTCATCTCTCAACGCGCGAAGATTGAAGGGTTTATTGTGTATGTTCTGAACACTGATGCTAATACGAACGTCCATGTCTGAGAACGATCCACAGGTTCGATTACGTTCAGCAGTTCCCTGAGGCACTGAGCTATTTGGGTGCTCGGCTTAAGGATGGCAGTCTTAAACGTCGATTCCATGTCGTGGAAGGCCTGGAGAAGGCGCCGCAAGCTCTGAACATGCTGTTCGACGGTGGCAATACCGGAAAGCTGTGAGTTGCGTCTCGCTACTGTCGATGTCAATTAACCACGTGTACAATGCAGGGTTGTGAAAGTCGGCAGTGACACGAAAGCGAAGTTGTAATCGATCTATGGTGGAGTCGTGCAGGAGTGCTGTTCCTGATTTATAGCTCGGGCCCTAAGCTGGCCTTTGGTTGCGAAGTCCTGTGTATAGTGTGGCCTATGTTGCTTGCTCGACCGACCAGCGGCTAGATATGTCTGCGCAATCAATAAATGTATAATCGAGTTCACCCCGCTGAATCGGGAGCCTTAGTGTGTCTCAGCCAAGTTGCCACTGAGCTCATCAGGTTTTCCCGCTTGCATGACGCAATGGATCATGGTGTAGTATCCCATAAGTCATTAATATTTCAGGAATGCCCGGTAACCTTGTGGATAAGTCCCGCGTCCTTGGATAGCCTACAAGGAGACTGAATGCTAGAGCGTGAGAAAGACAATTATGGCAAATGCATGTACATCTGGAGGTCCTCCTGACTTCCATCAGGTGCTAGAGTGATCTATATAGCTTCGAGGAATCGGCCTCTTTTATTGTTACATGCCTCTCCGTCGTTGTTGTCACTCACAACGACCCCTCTGCTGTCTATGACTTCGATTCCTTCGGGCGGTAGCACCAGCCCTCGCTGGGATAGCCGTAATCAGGGGTTCATTTCACCTGCGCGACTGCAGCAGTGGAAGCAACAGCAACAGCAACAGCAGCAGCGCCCTAGCCATGAGTTCTCACCATCACCGCCTCCAGAAAAGCTGCCTCAGTCTGAGGAGCACTTGCCAGCAGAGAAGAAGAGTCCAGCGGCACCAATGAGCCCGCCATCGAGTGGACATTCTCGAAGCTTATCTGCATTTTCCTTGTTCAGGATACGCTCGTCCAATCCGGAAGATATATCGACGTCTAGTCCCAACAAACTCCAGCGGCCTCCGCCAGAACGGCGCGGGAGTCAGAACGGCTTCGGGAAGCCAGTTGGAACCCCTCAATATGGGCCAGTGCTTCCGGAGAAGGATGTTGAGCCGACGAATGAGGCGGCACCCCAGTCTCAGGCCAGCCCAGTTGCGCTGAGTCGATTCTCGTCTTCTTCGACTGCCTCTCCCATGCATCCGGAAATACGGTCAATTGTCCAGTTGACGCTAGCGCACGCTCACAAGATTTACTTCTCCGGTCCTCTGGTGAAGCGAGTAGAGCGTCAGCCTGATGGACAAAAACCGGCCAGAGACGAGGGATGGCGGGACGTCTGGGCGCAACTCGGCGGAACGACGCTGAGCGTGTGGGACATGAAGGCGGTTGAGGAGGCAAGCAAGCAGGGTAAACAAGTTCCTCCCACTTACATCAATGTAACAGATGCTGTGAGTAACATGTATATATATATACTTTGAACATCATGTCTAATTTCTCGACAAACCCTTGTCCACATGCTGAAGTTTGTTAATGTGCTAGCCTCAGTCACCGTGCCTGAGACGCAGCTTTCACCGGCGACGAAGTATTCGAATGTACTCACGCTGAACACCGCTGGGTCGAATCTATACCTCTTTGCATGTCCTGCTTCGGATGCGCTAGTCTCCTGGACCGCCGCATTACGCTTGTCTGCCTGGGAGAAATCGAGATTAGAAGAGATCTATACGGCACATCTAATCCGCGTCACGCTGAGCGATGATAGTGCGCGCATATATGCACCTCAAGTATCTGCAAATACTGAAATTGTACTTTTAGGGCGGGATATACCTACCACTCTGGTCCATGGAAGAATGGAGGGCTGGGTACGGATCCGCATTGCCGGACAAGTTGACTGGAAGCGAGCTTGGATGGTTGTCAGTGCAGGTGGGCATACTCACGACGGATCGTCCGTCTCTTCAATCGATCAGAGCCATCGGCCAGGGTCACCAGGTTCGCCAGGGTCGTCCAACGGCACCCGCATGAAGCGCATGTCCAACCTATTCTCTCGCGAGCGCAGCCCACCGCGTCCGGTCAAGCCCATCATACAGTTTCTGGCTTCGCCCAAGTCGAAGGACAGGAAGAAGCCAATCTTAACGCTGCGTGACATTACGCAGGCGTTTGCGGTGTATCCCGAACGTCCAGAACTGATTAGTCGCAGTACTCTGATTAAGCTGGAGGGACAGCTAGGTGACGAGGAGATGGGGGGTGCGATGAAATTCCGTGAATGCTGGCTCATGGTACTGCCAGAGCTCGACGGACCAAACATCCAAGCCTCCGAAATGTTAAAGTGGCTAATCGGTGAGGCTGTAAGGGAAAACGCGAAGAAGCGTGACGCTGACAGAATCTTTCAGCTGTACACGACGCCTTCGAATTGTATGGAAGACCTGGTCACTACAGCTGGGATCCTCGTGATCCTCGAGGCATGATGTTTGCATATCCGATCGGACCTCACAAAGATGTACGTATTGCGTACCGATATCCCTATCATGGTTCATTCATACTACTATCAGATGTTGTTCCTCGATCGTGAATTGGCTGAAGCACTCGACGTGAGAGATGAACGAACTTCGTCGATCCGATCCCAACTCCAGAACATCCTTGCTGGACGTATGCAGGGTGGCGATGTTGGGCCGCCACGAGAGGATCGTCCGCCGATTCTTCCGCCTTTACCAGACGTCAGGTCGAACGACCTTCATGAGGAGGAAGAGCCGGTGGAAGTGCCAGTGCAAGCGCAACGGCAGAAGTCTCGCGACCATTTGTCCCTGCAGCTTCCGCCGCTTAGTTTCGAGACCTCGGTGTCTGACTCGGAGCCTCCTGCCGTTCCGGAGAAGCGTATTTTGACACCTATCACGGAACGCAGCATACCCCGCCGCTCACTCTCTACTGAAAAGCAGACCTCGAATGCCTCAAGGACATTCAGCAGTCCCCCGAAGGTCGTGGAGTCTTCGCAGGAATCTGGGTCTATGTTAGGCCAGACGCTGGTATCCAGTCCGACAGCTTCCAGTCCTCCACCAGAGAATGACATCCGTGGCCGCCGGAGCGAAGATTCTTACGTTTACGTTGGTCCAGGTTCACGACCAAGCTCGAGGTTAAGCCGCCCCGAGCCTGGAAGACTGGCTTCAAAGTCCTCCATATCGTATGCGACGACGCCCCCATCTGCTCCTCCCATCAAAGTTCCGATGTCGCCAGAATCAGACACACGTTCATTCACCAGTGTTCAAGCCATGTCCCCCCAAGCACCACCGCCTCCCACGTCCGCCTCAAAGCCGCCGGCCCCTGTGAAAGACACACCTTCTCGTCCGACTACTCCCGCCGCTCTCAATGCACCGTCTTCTGCTCCCTCTCCACCAGTAGTTCGGGCCGGAGACGCCCCGAGGCCACCTTCGCATGCTACTTCGAATCCCCCACCGGCAAGCCCACCTACTCGTCCATCTCAGTCCCCCAGGAGCGATTCAGACGACCTGTCACACTCAGCCGGCGCAATGTACTATATGCAACATATGGATCAAGAAAAGCGCCATGTTGCTACAGGATATCAGCGCCATCCCCCACCACCCGTGAGCAAGTCACAGTCCGAGGACGAAGAGACATCATCAGACGACAGCCATTTGTATGCCCCTCCCCCTCGAATGACAGCGAGCCCTATGAACGTGCGCCACACCAGCCCTCCACGACCCCCCGCTTCTGACCGACCTCTCACATCGCGTCGCGACACGAACAGGTCTGTCGCGTCGTCACGGTCAAATCTGACCGCGTCCGAATCGGCAACCTCCGCGACCACGTCTAGATCGGCAATGGGTCGGAAGCCGTCTGGGGCACGTGCCGCGCCCGCGAGTAAAATGCCAACCCGCGCACGGCAGTCCTTCACACCAGACCGTAGCCCGCAAGACCTCGACGAGGTCGACGGCGAAGACGACATGGTAGACCTCCGCGATGATCCCCCTGCAGTCGCTCGGGCACGTGAAGCTCTCGAAGACCCCAATGCGGATGCGCTGGCTGCACTGACATTCCTTGAACAAGGCGAAGAGACGGACGTAGCATCGCAACCGAACCCATCGTCACCGCCCGCTGGCTCGTCATCGCCTCCCATTCCTCAGGTTGTCGAGCCACCGTCGAGCTCCTCCAAGTCACGAGAGTACCGATCTTCATTTGCCCCATCTAGACAAGCGGCCGAGCGAAAAGCAAAGGCGCAAGCGCAACAGGCCGCTCAGCAGGCCGCTGTTAGCCGTCCTGGGCGTGTCAATGGAACGGGCAGGCCACGAACAGCCAGCCACGGCGCGTGGGCAGAGAGCAGTGAAGAGGAAGAAGAGGAAGAGGAGGAGGATGAAGATGCCGATTCCGATGCAGAACCACCTCAACGCAGCATGCCCAGCTCAGGACAGCAATCCGCCGCCGGCTCTATTGCCCCTAGTAATTCAGGCAGTGTCGCGAACCCCTCGAACGGTGGTATGTCTCCTGCGAGATCGACAGGTGATTTAAGTGCAAGTGCGTACCCGCCGGCACGTCGGCTGCCCCGCGAACTTCCTCAATTGCCAGAGCAGGGATACCAAGGTATGTGTGTGCATATTTCTTGATCTGTCTTCTCTGACACCGCGCGTAGGCAATGCGGAGTACTTGAGTCCTCAGCCTCGGCGTCTCATGTCAGACAGTTACTCCGCCCAACAAATCCCGCCTCCAGGTGGACCTCGAAACATACCGTCACCTGGATCGAACCTGAGGCCTCATTCAGAATTCCCTAATCATGCCGCCGCGCGCCAGACGATATGGAGCCACGTCCTCGAGTCGAACAAGGGTCAAGGCGCTTCACCACCTCCCGGTGCCAGAGATACGTTCGTGCAAATTGAACCACCGTCTCAGGCTATGACAAAAGCATTCACTCCCCATGGGTTGCTCTCTGCCGGTCTGCAAGATAAACAGGACCGCTCCGCGAAGAGACAGGAAGAGCTGGCTAGGGAGACTGGCGCCTCGCTCATCAATGTACCGAACAAGCCGCCTCCCCCTCAGACTGGTCTGCTTGGCGCTGTCACAGCGCATGAACGCGAGCGAAAGCGCGAGGGAGGCATTGGTGCTGCTCTTACCGAACGCGAGCGAGAACGACGCTCAGCCGAAGATAGGCAACGCAAGCTCGACGATTATCAGCGACAGCAGCTCGACCAGATGCAGCAGGCCGGGTCGATGTACGGCGGTATGGGCATGCCAGGCTTCAACCCGATGATGGGCAGTCCGATGATGATGGGCATGAACCCGATGATGACGGGAGGATGGGGCTACCCTGGCATGATGCCCGGCTTCGCACCGCAGCCGCAACATATGCTCGCCGCGCAACAGGCAGCAATGCAAGCATACCAGCAGGCGATGATGGCATTCTCCACTGCTGGGTCCCAAGTCGGCGAGCCTGGCCCTGCCCCGCTCAATCCTATGATGACGGGCGGAAGCATGGGCATGGGAGGGTTTGACCCGCGCATGTCGATGATGGGCATGCCGATGATGAGCCCGTCGATGGGCATGAACCCCGCCATGAGCATGAGTCCGTCGATGGGTATGAACCCCGGCATGGGTATGAACTCCGGCATGGGCATGAACCCTGGCATGGGCATGGGCATGAACCCGATGGGCATGGGAATGGGCATGCAGATGACGGGGAACAGTGGCTTCGACTCGCGCCCCCCGCAGTCCATGTTCGACCCTGGTATGCAACCTCCGAACCATCTCGGAGGGATCGGTAGCGACCAGCGGCCATATTCGTCGCAGAACAGCTCGGCGGACGGGCAGCCGGCCGCACCACGCCTCGTCAACAATGCGAACGCGAACGAGGAACCACAGCGCGGTCGGCCAGGGCCATCTCCGGCGCAAGGTTGAGGGGTGTTTTCTCTTCGGGCAGGGTTGTATTGTTTGGTGCCACGGACACATTCACTCTCGGACTTGTTGCTGCATTCCTTCGGTTCGCTTAGCATATTGTTGTTGATATAGCTCGTCCCCTAATGCTTCCGGTAGTTCCGCGCATTTACTTGGTCTCGTCTCATTCGGATCTCGTTCGTATATATGAGGCTACTGCCTTCCAGCCATCACGTTGCATTTGGATACCTTCCACTCATAATGGAGACACTGTATATCCCACGGCTATGTGAGCGGACAAATATCTGTAACACTTGAGTCTTGAAGGAGTGCTTGGTCAAATAGCGGACCCAATTTTGGGGACATCGATTCGCATGCCTCTAACTTATCTGTAGCTGACCAAGCGATGTCGACATCTACGTGCCTCGCAAAGTCTACACAACCCACGTTCTACACTTCACCTTGTCTGCATCGGCCGAAGACAACATGCCTTTGAGGGTCGGCTACGGTAAGCTGTATTTTGTAACCAAACGATCACCGACGTCTGATCGGAGTGTACAATCTATGCCTCAGTCCGCGAGCACTTCTCTTCGCCTCTTCTGCAGTACGCCGAGATAGATGCGGGCAAATCCTTTGTTCTTGTAGAATGTCCGAGTACGTCATATAAGCTGCTAGATTAGAGTGCTTGGTCTAATGGCGCTCGAATTTTCTGGCAGGCGGGACAGGACAATTGATATCTCGTCTAACTAACGACGAAATTGATGTTGCTGTGTGAGTCGTTGATTCAATCGGCGTACTGTCACGCAAACGAACTCAACTCATTTATACAGCGCACTCACTGACCCGTTGATATCTGGCATCGCAAAGGGCTCAGAGCACTACAAGCTGGTGGGCAGCTATGTTACAACTCCGCTGAATTGGTACATTCATTGAGCCTTTCTTCTGCGATCATCATGGCTCATTGGGTACATGCTTCAGGGCTGTCATTACGGGTAAGGATACCAAGTATCAAGAGATCGCCGACTTGCAAGGGTCGACGATTGGTATCTCGCGATACGGAAGGTATCGCCTTCTTTAGCCCTCGATGTAGCATTGTGATGATGGACAGACTGCCGTGTTTAGCGGGAGCCAGACAATGGCATATGTCATGGCGTTGCAACAAGGATGGCCCACCGAGAAGCTCGAATTCAAAGGTACGTATCCTTGCAATCAGGAGTATGGTTCACGCATTGAAGTTTCAATCGTAGTGAACAACGACATTCGCGGTCTCATCAACTCAGTGAACGATGGATCAACGAGCGCATTCATGTGGGAATGGTTCACAACCAAGCCGTTTGTCGATGCGGGAGAGGCTCGTTTCGTACGTATATTCCATTGCGTAACGCACAACAATCATTGATCACGGTTCTGCACGGCTGGTTAGATCGGATCTGTCCCGACTCCCTGGCCCTCATGGCTCATCGCCGCCCACCCCACGCGCGCGACGCCCGTTGCGCTCCGCACATTCCTTAGCACTTTGACTACCTACGTGCAGACTTTCGACAGCCCCGAGAAGCGAGCGCAAGACGACGTAGAGTTTATCAAGGCGAAGTTTGGTTATCCGGAGGCTGATATCAACGTACGCCCTATTGCTCGTACTGGGTGCTTTTACTGAAGATCTGTTGGGGCAGGCCTGGCTGAAGACAGTTAATTGGACTCATGACTGCGCTGCCATTCCCAGCAAAGTAATCTCAGATACGCTCGAGTAAGCATGATAGGTGTTGCCGTGGCCTTCAACTTGATTCTTGACATATCTTTGATCAGGGTATTAGAGAAAGCGGGATTTATCAAGAGTCCTGAAGACGGATTCGATGTCGCCCATTTTGTCAACACTGACATAGCAAGGTTAACCTAAATAATCCCTTCTACATGGTACAAAGTTTACAATCACGTATCATCATGAAAGCACCTGTGTACAACACAATTACGGAAATGACACTATACTTTCCATGGTACTGCGAAGACTTATACTGTATGCCGGTATGCACCACTCGTGCACCGCCCACAAAAAACACTGGAACTCAGCAATTTTTATCACGTTGTGGCCATGAGGATACACATGTTTCCTGTCACTGTATCCCCAATATTTCTGAATTGACTTTGCAGGCTGACTCCAGAGTGACTCCTCATTGAAGTATGGAACGGGCGATGTTCACACATCAGCGTCAATTAAATATCCGACGGCGCACCCATTGCTAATGTACTTGCAGGGCACCCGCAGGTAGCATCGGGTGTGCTATGGAGCTAAATGCCGGCTGTCTCAATGTATGAATATGGACGCTGACGGCACGACTACAGACTAGGATTGTCCTGTTCCCAATCAGCATGGCCTCGAACAAGAGTAAGAGAGGTGAGAATACGGGGCATAACATAAGTGATTTGATCTGTTTTGATGGGATTCTGTATCACTGTAAGTCATTTCTTCTAGCATCGCTAACACACACTCGACTCGACGGCCGTCTTGCATGATCCAATTCAGATCGCGTCACAACTGAGACCGATCGGTTCATCGCACAACATGTTGTCTCAACGACTGCGAAGTGCCCTGTTCCGAGCGGTCTTTGGGGTTGCACCTTGCCAATTGCCAGGGTACAAGGGTCCCATAATACAATATATTCCAAGGAAGGCAGTAAGCACCGCCTGATTACACAGCATAACAGGATGCAGAACAAGGGCACAACAGCTCTTAAACAACTCAGCCGTGCGCTCACGTCTTCGTCGTGATCTTGCGTGTGAGAGTCCGCAACCTCTCCGCGTTCTTCTTCCGTCGCTCGATATCCACGTCGACGCTCATAGTGTTCTTTGCATTGCCGGTATTCGACTTGGGCGCCACAGTATAGCTGCCCAGCATGCGCTGAGGAATCATCACCGCATTCTTGCGCACGCGATTCTTCTCGCTCTCTTTTGCCCGCGCCAGAATAGCGTTCAGCCGCTCACCACCAGGTCGGCCGCTGTCGCCGTCACCACTGTGCGCAGTCGGGATAATGCGGTCCCTGTAAGACGCGCTGCGCTTGATGATTGGCCGGGACCACGCGGACACAAGGTCATTGGCGAGACGGGCGATGTCGGGCGTTACTCGCTTGCATTTGGTGTAGAAGATGATCACCGGGCCAAGACGCGCCTCCTTGAGAACAGGCGTGTCGATGAACTCCATTTTCTTAAGGATGGGGAAGAATTCTTTCTGGATGTCCAGTGCAGGGAGAGACTTATCGGGCAGAGGCTCCAGCCACTTCCGCACACCCTCCAGGAGATTGTTGTCGATGATTGACTGCGACAAAGAGTTTCTGAGGACACAGTTGTCAGACGGGAGATGTTAGCATGGACCGAAGACGCATACTTGCGCAGAACTTCCATCACTTGTGGGAGCAATCTCAGCTTCGACGTAGCAGGCAGCTTCTCTCTGTTCGCTTGTTCGTCGTCTTGCGCAGCAGTCATCATGGCCTCGCGGAGCCGGGAGACCTCCTCGTCGGCGTATCTGTCCAGGACGTCGTCGTCGTCCTTCTTCTTCCGCCTCGGCTTGGAGGCACGCTTCGGTTTCAGGATCGCCTCAAGCTGCATGTCGAGCCTCATCTTGCCGGCTGGCGGGGCGTCAGCTGCACAGACAACTGCTAGGCCTTGGAGACACACCTTGCTCGGGCGGCAGCTGGCTCAGGTCCACCTCCTCCACCTGCTTTCGCTTCCGCTTCCTCTGCTTTGGCCGCTGCGCCCCGTCTTCCGCCCCGCGCCTGCTGCTCCGGCGGACCTTCGGTTTCGGGGCGCGCTTTTCCTGCACATACTCGTCCCCGGAGTCTGCTGAGGACTCCTCGTCTGGCACGGCGAGGGACTCCTTCCCTGCGCGCCTCTGCGGCACCTCTGCAGCGAGCTCAGCGCCTGTACCTGTGCGTTACACCAGCCGTGCAGACATACCGTCCTCCTCCGGCGACGAGAGGTCGTCATCCGAGTCACGCCCGAAAATTTCTCGCTCGAGGTCTACCGTCTGCCCAGACGTGTGTGTCAGCGGTGCTGGTGTTGAATGCGAAGGAGGCGAAAGCTTACGTCGGCCATTGTCGTTGCAGTCGAAGGGAGGACACCTGAGCGCCCACGGGCAGCGAGCAGGTGTGACAAGGCACGTCGTCACACCGTGATTTTATTATGTCCATTTATGGATCGCATACCGCGACTCGGGCGCTCCGGGACAGCAACTTGAAGTTCCCTCCCTCTGCGTATTTCAAGTTACAGTAAGTGAGCCACACCGTCGAAGTCCTCCTTCCGAGATTCAGCCTCACATGCCCTGGTGGCTGCAGCTTCAGCCGAGGTATTTGTAAGAATAGAACGCAGGGTTCAAACGTTAAAGCGGTGTGATTCCTCCTGTCTACATAATCCTTACACATGTCATAAACCAAACGAGGACAGTACTAGTCAGCTTGCTCTAACACCATCATAAAACACCACAGGATTCTGACGAAGAACGGTGTTTTGCCGGGGTGGTCCGACAGGCCACACACACCCTTCAAAAGCTTCACGATGTCGCCGGGCTTAGCGGCGGAGCTGCTGGTGTGGGTTTGAGTGTTCGCAAGCGGAACCGTAACGACTCTATTTGGCAACGCGCCACTCGCCGGTGACATCTCTATCGCAAAGCACCATAGGACGATTACAAGCAACATCTTGCCCCCATCCATGGATGATTCCCAATTTGCCTCGTCTCGTATTATCTACTGCGGGATAACCGGGGACTGGTACTGTCAGCATTGGTGCCGACATCATAGACCAAACAAGCGCCAAATGAAGTTGCCTGCTAGCACTTGCGGCCGAGGATGCACTAGGTATTCGCTCAGGAACCAGTGCGTCCTCCCCGATTTACCAGGCCTCAGGACGGCTGCCGCGATGCCAGGTGCCCATTGTCCGAGCACTTGGCACGCAGTTCTCCCGCTCTGCGTTGTTGTGATTAACATGCACAATGCGTGAGGGCGGTGAGTCGCCGATCAGTGAGGCCCCGCATTTGCTGCATAGCCACAATCTTGCCTTGGTCTCTTAAGCCGCTCAACGAAAACTTGGGGATTACTGATCGGCGGCGTGTGCACGGGAACAGCGCAGTATTGGCTGCGCGGTGCGAACGCCAGAACCCCGGCTCGCGCTGGGATATACCCACACACACCGCGAATACCACGAATGGCGCCCGGTGCCTGCTCCCACACGGCGCGCTCACCCCATCGGCCAACCGGTAGAGCCTATGAGAGGAGAGTGTGAGATGCTCGGGCACACGCAGCCGTGACTGGCCACGGTGTGTCAGCGAGCGCAGGCATGCAAATGCATTGCTGCCTGGGGCTCGCCGTTCGCAGGCGAGTCCCCGCCGCAGCCCGCAGCCCCGCAGCGCACCCTGGTCCCCCGCGGAGGCGAGGCGAGCGACGCCCTGTCGGGCTTGTGGGACAACAAACCCGTCCTCTGGCAGGCGTTATATGTCATTGCGTGCCGCGTCCGAGTCGGAGGCGGTTGAGGTTGAAATGCCAGTACTTGCCGCTCAGACGTCGCCATCTGTTGTTTTCGTGCCGGTTATTGCAAAGATGCATTTGCATGTCGCGCTGGCCGGTTGACACGCGCGATGTCCCCCTTTTTTGTTCGCGCTGGACGCGCGAGTCCGCGTCAGGTCGCGTCAAGAGCGGATAATGTGGTGCGTTCAACAAAATTGCCGCTTACAGTAAATGTCGCTTGGAAAACAAGCGACGTCCCGCTGCCTTGGAGCGCTCAGATGTCGCAGAAACAGTCACTTATGAGTCAGCGTGATGCAGCTCTGATTTCATCACGTTCTCGATTCGCGAAAGGCTAACCAGGAATTGTGTAAGCGTGTTGTATGCCAGACTCAGCAGTAGCTTGTTTGTGGCTGTTCGATGGGATCCTGGTCGCTTTTGTCGCGCTTATACCACCTCGAATACAACGCACTCGTTGCGCTGGGACCAACGCCCGGCGCCGGCTGTCCGTTACACAGAGTGTTCTCACGTCGAGCATGGGAGTGAGCTGCATGCGTGCTGCTGATTGGACGGCGGAATGTAAATGGGAGAACGTGGACCAGGAAGAGTGGTGTATTTATGGATCTTGTTGCCAGCGCGGGAGCACGTCGGACGGGGTGTCAGATGGTGATGGAGTTACGTGATGAGGGCCGCGTCGCAGGGAGCGCGAGCGGACTCCTGCGCTGGCCAGCCTTGCCATGGAGTGCGCGATTCACGCTGTGGTTGTGCTGCAGCAGTAAGTACTGGGTGGACGTCATGGCGGTAGCGTAAGGCGGCATCTATGACGACATGGCCGTCGGTGTCCATACTGGGAGCTTCGATCGGAGAAGCTCGGGCAAGCGCCCAGGGCGCGATCGCTGCCGGCGAACGTGTCCGTCGGCATTTCGGCCGGGGGCGACGATGGACGGCGAACGTTGGCAGCGCGGCGGTTCTGTGCAGGACGGCCTGCGCGCGGCCCTTGCAGCTCTGGTATGTTGTCCTGCAGTGGTGAGGCAAGCGATAGAGTGGAAGATAATGGAAGCCGGAGATGAGGAGTAGATTACAAGCGGCTTCTTGGAAAGGTTATCGGCCGCTGTGCTTCCCGATCTGCCCGCCACCGTCAGGTCGTTGCGCATAGGTGAGCGTCTGCAGCGTAGGGACGCGCCCGGCCTGCTTGAAGGTAGGGACGGGAGTAGGGCGGCATGGCAGAGGCACGGCTAATTATAAACACGGGGGATACTTGGAGTGGTCAGGTGTCCTCTGCTCTCTTTCCTCTCCACCGCCCGCCATGGCTGTCCAGGTCGCCTCGCCCGTCCGCGACCCCATCTTCCGCCGTCCTCTCTCTCCCATGTCCGCTCTCTCTGCCTTGTCTCGTCCCCCTCAGCCCGCCCCGAGCCCGCCTCGCACCAACCGCCCGCTCCCGCCTGTCCCTCCGCTAAACGACACAGACTTTTTCTCCCCCGTCCGGACGGCCTCTCCCTCTCCCTCTTCACCCGTATCACCCAAAAGAGCCCTGCCATCGCCCAAAGGCAAGCAGCGCGCACTCGAGGCGCTGTCTCCCCGCTCGCGTCCGGTCTCCCGCGCAACCTTCGCCTCCCGCCGCGCCCTCACCCACGTCCTCAAGACCCCGCGTACGCTCGAAAACCTGCTCGTCTTTGTGCCGTGGGCGGACTTCCATGCGCTCGTCAGCACGTGCGGGAACTTTCGCAGGGAGCTCATGGCCCGCCCTGACTGCCGCGACGCCATTCTCGCCCAGTTTGTCCCTGGGTACCGCCATGCGCGGGCTGTGGCGGACATTTACCACTACCGCCAGGTCGCTGTCGATTTCCACGACGTGGCTCTGCTTGGTGAGTTTTCCCCTCCTGGATGCTTTTTTTTCGCTCCTTGCGTGCTCGTAAATATGGCATTGTGGGGTGGCTGCGAGTGACAATGGACGCGTAAATGGCTGGCATCCCCCGGCCATGCACCCAAAGTAATCTCTACCCATGCTCTGGGCGAGTCAACGTGGGTTCATTATGCACGGAAGATGGCGCCATTTGCCTTGATAATGTTGGCTGTATGGAGAAATCCACCGAGGGTGAGAGCATCCCTGCAGCTCAATTTTGACCTGCAAGGAACCCACGTCAGATTCACCCGGACGCCCGGTGAAAGCGATTTTTGCCTGCGCCGCGAGCGAAACCCATCCACGTCTCCCCCCACAGCGAGTCGCTCCGGAGTATTCGCCGGTCGCGTTCGTTCATTTCACTGCGATGGTGTGAGAGCTACGGAGAAAGGGCGCAGCAACACAGTGCATCAGGGATCCGCGTAGCGCGGCGGGACCCTGCCTCTAGCCTCGCCGAGAAGCACCATGTCGTGCTATTTCTGGACACATACCTCCGCGGTCATTTTGTACTGCATCCTTGGCCTACGGGCACATAATGTGATCTGCACAGTAACTGACGTCTGTGTTTCCCGCAGTGCTATCCCAGTTCGTGCCCCTGCACAAGTATCCCCTGCACACCCTCTCCCTCTGCACAGACTCCCCGCACACGGACCCGTCCGCACTCGCCGACCGCGCCGCGCGGCTGGCCACCCTCTCCCAGGCACACTCCCGCTTCGTCCTCCTGCTGCAGGCGCTCGTGCACAGCACGTCCTACCAGCCGATGTCGGACGAACTCGACGCGGACGGCCTGAACCTGGACCTGAACCCGCTTGCGTCCTCAGCCCCGGGCGCACGCGCGCCCCAGCGCTCCACTGTCCGCGAGCTCGTCTTTCCCCCGCCCTTGTCGTACTTTGGCGGGGACCCGGACCAGCAGGCACAGGCACAGGCACAGCGCGACCCCTCCCCTGCGAGCAGCCGGACCCACCGCCGGCTGCACAACCCGCGCCAGGGCCCAGGCGCCCGCGCCCCGTCGCTCGGCCCCCGCGCGCCGCCGCTCAGCCCGCGCACGCTGTCGCTCAGCCCCGTGCGCGCGTCCGGCGACTTCCAGGCGCTCCTCGGCGACAGGCGCACCACCGGCAAGCGCCAGTCGCGCCGCATGTCGATCTTCGGCGCGCCCAAGGTGCCCCCGCCCCCGCCCGCGGCGCAGCCCGCCGCGCTCAAGTACGCGAACGGCTGGCGGCGCTCCGCCGTGCCGCGCGCGCAGCCGCCGGCCGCCCCGCCCCGCCTTCAGGCGAGCATCAGCATCGCGTCGATTCCCGCATCTGCGTCCGCATCGATATCCGCATCCGCATCGGTCAGCGACGACGACCTCAAGGCGCCGCGGCTGCGCTTCACCGCGGGACCGTCCTCGAGCGAGAGCTCCCTGGCGAGCCCGCCATCGTCGCGGAGCAACACCGACGGGCGCGCGACGCCGAGCCACGCAGGCTCGAGCTCGCCGCGCGTGCGCCCCGTCGACCCCGACCGCCAGCCCGAGCCCGCCGTGCCGCGCGGGACGTCGCCGCACGACCTGCACCTCGCGACTTCGCGCGCGCGCGCGCCGGTCCTGCGCGTGTTCGTGCCGTGCACGGCGCTCGACGACGCCGCGCTGACCGCGTGCGAGGCGCAGCTGGCCGCCGCGGGGCTGTGGGAGCACCTCTCCGTGGGCGACGTCGTGTGCAACCTCGGGTACGTCCCGCCCGCAGGCGCCGGCGCGGGGACGGGGACGGGGGCGGGGACGCAGGTGTGGCTCGTGTTCGAGGGCACCGCGCTCGTGCCGTACGCGCCGCCGGGGCCGCCGCCCGTGGCGGACCCGCTGACGCTGCCGTCGCCGTTCTACTACGCGCACATCCTGCCGCCGTTCGCGGACCCGGTGTTTGAGATCGCGCTGCCGACGTCGGGATTGGGATTGGGATTGGGGCTGGGGGGCGCGGAGCTGACGCTGACGCTGGTGCCGACGCGCGTGCGGAGCCCGCGCTCGCCGGGCGGGTGGGCGGTCGTGCGGCGGTATGTGTGGATCGCGCGCGTGCCGTACGTGGGCGCGGCGGGGCTGGGGCGCGGGTGGCGCGGGGAGTGGATGCTGGAGGGCGAGGGGACGAAGGAGGGGCGGCAGAGTCTGTTGGACGCGCTGGGCGATGGGCCCGGCGGGGTGACGCGCCGCGGGCGGTGGATGGTCGTCCGTGATAAGTCGGGAGGGGGGCGTGTGTGGATGAAGTGAGTGTCTTTTGTTCTTATTTATTTCGCGCGGGCGCGGTTTACTTTGTTCTGTTCTGGGGTAGACGTCGGATGCTGACGGTGCTGATTTCGTACTGCAGGTTGCTTGTCCCGAACGTGGACCATGTGCATGACATCACGGAGGCGTGCGAGAGCGTCGTGGACCTCCCACCGCCGGCGCGGACTACGACCGAATCATAAACACTAACACTGACTCTTGCGTGAACGTGGGCACCGATCCGGACACTTGTTGTATACACCCGTTTAATTCGGTCTTCTCTTCTCCTTCTCATCCTGCCCCTGTCACTGGCACACTCACCTGTTGCTCTGCTCTCATCATACTCAGGTCGCTGCGAGACCCCCACACTGTCTGTCTGTGACTTGACGCTGTTGCTACTTTATTGTATGTACGTTTACCCTACCGCCTCCGCGCCTGTACTGCATGGACTGCACTGTTGTATACCACACACGCCCTGGCACCCTTTACTGTTTACCCCGCTTGTTCCATCATCTCTGCGACACTCACGTATCTGCCGATCGCACGTACAACCCCCCACTAGTATCAGCGTTGCTTCGCACCCGTATAGTAGCAACGGACATCTCAGGCTCCACGTGTAGCAGGAGAGTCCTTTGTCCCCTTTGCCGCTCCTGCGGGTAGTAACAAATGCACATTATGCCTCCGACTGTTTCCACGGATGTCTGTGATGTCTTGGACACTAAACGTGCGAGGATTGAGTGCCTTCCCGTAGGATCTGGACGGTTTGCAGATTCCGAAAGAGTCCCGTTATGTCGGTCGTTGAGGGTAGCCCCAGACTCTTCGGCGTCTGACAGTCACAGCAGCCGTTTTCGGATCAGCCGATAAGTCTGCGATCGCGGCCAGACACTCGTTCGACGGGAACAGGACCTTGTTCGGACCAAAATATCAATCCTTACACCCAGTATTTCCAGTCGGTGGTACGTCTACATGTTGAATGACTCGTACTCTCGGGGTCTCTTGACTTGAGTATTGGCATTTGCCTTGGACGGCGCCTTGCAACTCGGAATGGTCCAGCCCACCTCCCAACATCACAAAGCTAGCAAGAGCAATTCATCTCCGCCGATCGTGAAGGACCTATCGCCTGCGTCTTTTCTGCGGAGCAATGTCATCTGCAACTTCACAATTGAAACCGTGGTCAGAGATAGAACATCTGTCTAATGAGGCTCTCATAGAACTCTTCGAGCAATCGACATCCGAGTTACACCAGTACGATGACTTGGGCACCACTCGCGTGCGTCTTATCGCGAGCGACACCATAATCAAATTTCCTTCACAATCGGAGTCCGAGGCAATCGCCGTCCAGCTAGTCGAAAAACACACCTCGATTCTCGTTCCTGCTGTCCGCAGATTCATCCCCGGATGTTATGAAGGGGAGAATTATCTCGTGATGGAATATATCCCCGGTCGGCTCCTGAAGGACTGTTGGTCCGAGCTCAGTCTGTGGAGGAACCTGGTCATCACCTGGACGTTGAGGCGCTACGTCAGACAGCTTCGCACAGTCCCTTTCTGGCCCTACGGGCAGGATTCACGGCCAGGACCCGTCGGTGCAGAGCCGCAATGTTGCGAGCTTGCTCCTGGGGAAATCTTCACGCTCCAAGTGAGTACGATCACGTCACTATCGGGTGTCATCCTGAGTATGATCACCAGGGAGCTGGTCCTTTTGCGACGTACGCTGAATTTACGGCGTGGTGGGACCATAAGCTGGCAGTATCTCAGCGCGAGGAAAGAGCACCGCTATCGGTGCCCTCATTTGATGATACCATGCCGTTGGTGCTCACTCACTTTGATCTGGCGCGCCGGAATCTCATCCTCGACGACGCCAACCGATTGTGGGTCATAGATTGGGGCTGTTCTGGATTCTATCCGAAGTGGTTTGAGTCCCTGGGTATGATGTTTGACTGGAAGGACGCAGGGCGGTGTGGACACTGGTTAGTACGATTCGTCGCAGGTTACTACCAGAAACAGCGCGAGTTCATTGGGCATGTCTCTTGGGCGTTGTCTACGGGGTATTTGATGTAATGGTTTGTTGAGATCGCAATGCTACTGACTGTTTTACCCCATGGCGCAGATTAAGGTCTATGCACGTCCCTTCGAAGAATGTCTCCCGCTGCGCAAATGACCTCTTTGCATGCAATTGGTGGTATGCTGTTGATCTCAATAGCCCTTAGCTCCTCAACCTTGCAGGTATCCAAGCTGAATTCTACGCGCGTCACGTTGACTTCGACCGCTTCACTCTGGCACCTATGCTTTCCGCGCCGAGGTAGGCTGCTTTATTTCCCTGCTCTTTACATATAGAACGATCATTTCTTCGTAATCGTTCCAGGCGACTCTTGAATATTTTCGTAAGTCACTTACAGGATAAGCTAGCGACCATAGACCCAGAGCTTTCTTCCCGATGATGGCTCTGTGGACTCAGAGCACACTCTGTATTGTTTAGGTCTTGTGTGAACTTAGCGTCCACCTACAAATGCAGGCAGAAGTGTGAATCATGACCACCGCGAATTGCTCTGATTTCACTCGCTCCTCTTCTGCGAGTTGTTGTACCCTGCCCGTGGTATCCAGACATATGTCGACATTGGAGATTTGAGTATGATCGCCGCTGATAATCTCCGCTCTTACTCATCCCACTGATTATCATCCGATTATCTACCATTTCTTGTATAAAACGCCCAGGTATTTTGATCTGTACTTCTCACGAGCTTGTCTTCGGGTTTATTGCCGTTATCACTCAACCTGTCAGTCAGGCCAAACACACATAAATCTCGCGCCTCGCGTCGCTCTGAGCATCTCGAACTGAGAACACGGATATCTCTCGAAATACTCACTGTATCGCCTTGATTCTTGCTGCGTTCGACTCTGCTCGTTGCCCCGGAGGGCCTGGTACCAATAATATTGCGATCTGTCCATGCACGACTGTTGTCAGTTCCACCACCACCCTTTGGATGCGGGATCGGTTTCGCCCGCGAACGCAAGCGTGTATTCATGTCGGAGTGACTGCGTTTGGTCGAGATGGATGCTATGGAGGGCACGGTATAGGTTGAGTGCGTCCCCCAGTAAGACTATCTTCATTGTATGCTACTGTCGCCATACTGCTAGCACTCCTCCATGGCATCGGTACAGGTTGCTCGGGATCTATTTTCCAAGATCCCCAAACCATGTAATATATCATATAAAGCCATTAGAGCTATCTTATGGTGTGAACCTGTTCCCCTTATCTGTCATTGGCATTCAGTCGCAAAGAGACTCCCGCGCTGTCTAGGACGGCTTCTACTGCATACGATGGACTAAAAGTTGTGCTGCCCTTTGGTTTTGTCACTTTTCATACTCGCAACCATCCTGCATGCAGTATAAGAGAGGTTACATGAGCTGCTGTGCACAGTATGTCACATCAGCGCTCTACCCAGCCTTGATATCATCTTAGTAGGCCTTAGATCGAGACATACCAGGACGTCTACACGCATTACATCGCCCAAGATGTGAAATCATTGATATGTGTCTATTATGAGTATTACCTATGTAAAATACAAAGCGTAGAGCAACTTGATCGCGAGAAAGAGCTTGGCTCTGATGTAAGGCATACCAACAGCGAGCCAAGCGCAAATGACTGTCTCTCTAGGAGAGCTGGACCTGTGCTGGAGGTCTGGGGGTGCACTAAAATTGCTTTGAAGGTCGGGATTCTATAGATTGCATGCTATTTATGCCTTTCAAGAGTGCGCGCGCCGGGCATTGACTGCGATGCACGGAGCATTGCTTAACAGGTGATAGATGTCTTGTAAAGCTAGAAACACACCAGTAGTAGGCTATTAGATTGACTCACCAGGTGGGCGAAGTACACAAGGCTGCAGGTAGACAACCATAGCTTGCGTGATGCTCGAGCGCAGAGAATAGACCAAGGAAAGACCTATGGGTTAAGGGACACACCAAAAATGATACCGGGCCCTCCCTAGTATCCACTTTGACCCAACGCAGTCACTCCGACATAAGAAGATGCTTGCATTCGTGGGCGAAAACAATCCTACGTCCAGAAGGGGGTGGTGGAGCTGACAACAGCTACGCATGGACAGATCATGACATTATGGATACCAGGCCCTCCAGAACGATGAGCAGAGTCGAACGCAGCAAGAATCAAGGCGATACGATGAGTATTTCGAGAGATATCCGTGTTCTCAGTTCGAGGTGCTCAGAGCGACGCGAGGCGCGAGATTTATGTGTGTTTGGCCCGACTGACAGGTTGAGTGATAACGGCAATAATACAAGCTCAATCCCCGTCGTATACCATCCTCGTCTCTCGGGTGGTCGTGCACTGTTTCAATACTCTGTGCTCTATCGCACTGACTAAACAGTCAGAACAAGCGGCACGCCTGCATTACCTGCGTCGGCTTTGAGCTATAGTAAAATCCGACGTATCTCCGTCTCCGTCCCGCAGCCTATTCACTTATTGCCTTCATCGGGCAGGCAAAATATTTGACACGGAAGTCAACCTCTACCGAGACGAACGCCGCTGCCACAATGGCATTGGTTCCAAAATGACGAGGTCGTGAGCATCGATGCGTTTCTCATTGTTGCGCTGTTGTTCTGTATTCTGCTATGACAAGTTACCAAACAATGCCTGCTGCCTCCCGTGAAGTACGATGGTCTTGCAGGCCTTGTACTCTGTCGTCAGGGATAGGCTAACCTAAAATCAAATGGGCGCCAATAAGCGGCATTGAACAACAAGCTTACAGCAGCTTCGGATTTATCCAGGGGACCTTCCGAGCTAACCGCGATCGGACGCCGCGATCTGGATTTGATCGTGTGTGGCAACCATCTTAGACGTCCCGTGGAGAGTCTTTTGTACGAGATAGCAACCATCTAACGTCTATTTCCTTCCTTATATACACAAACAGTGGGGGAAAGGCAGCTCACATCTTGATCCTGATATCTATCTCTTTCTTTGACAAAGTCAGGGCTTGCGTCGCCTTGAAGGGGCCGTTTGTGCGTTGATTTGTGTCAGAGTACTTTCCGCCGCCGCGGCGCTGCCAAACGGGTCATCGCATGCGCCTACCTATGGCGTACGTCGGCGGAAGAGGAATATCCAGGAGGCTAAAAGATCGCTGATATCAGACACTTGGACTCCCTCCAATGGCAAGTTACAATTGATGTCATTATCACTACTCCCAGACTTATCGGAAATCATTTCAGCCTGGAGCAGTTCCTATCGTGTTGAACGTCAGGTATGATCAAGGTTTTGCCGCATATAACGTTCCTCAATGCTCAGCCTAGCTTCGCTAAGGTGTTATCAGAATAAAGGCGACAGTCTCCTCGAGGCGACGGCTACCAAGTTTATTTTTTGACGGGAACGGGATTTTGGTGCAGCGAATGTTATCGGCGGTACGACCGTTTTGATGTGTCTGACTGCAGAGGTCTCTCCTTACATGCAGTCAGTGGTGCGTGCCCAATCTTACAAGTGCTTGGCTCATGGCGATCAGGCTGAATATATTATCTTTTAGTCATGTCGCATAGATTGGACCACTTTGACTTCGACCTGGCATTGTCTCTATTTCGCGGTGGGGTAGGCTGTATGAATTTCTTATATTCTCTTGCTTACTGAGATTATACTGCCGTGGAATCGCTGCTTGAACGACTGCTCAAAATCCTCGTCCACGGTCTCGCAATAAGGAAGCTGCGGCTGACCGAGAAATTTAAAGCTGACTGCCCCAAAACACGTTTTGCGAGAACGGCCTTACATCAATCGAGCACTCATAGAGGCGTGTGCTTTCATATCCTATGAAGTCTTTTCATTGATTCTCATCCGTTCATCCGTCTAGATTGACCGCTTGGCTATGATCACAGTATTTGAGCCCACCCTGAGACGCAGTTGGCACATGTACCATCTATGTGCCCCGGTGAATGGCTCAATATCTCCATCCCCTTCTGCGCAAAACAGCCGCTATCATAGGTCGGCTTAAGACCTTGAGGACCAGGTGCTATCTTTGTCTCCTGACAGAAGCCCCCCTGCTCTGCATCACACTTACCAAATCAACGGAACATGCGGCACGCCTGCTGTTCAACCTACGTCGGCTCTGATATATAAATGAAATCCGACGTATCGCCGTCCGTGTCCCGAACTCACGGCCTGTCCGAGTTTAATCGTATAATACCAGCGTCGGTCATGTTATCCGATTTCTGCCAGTCGTGCGGCAGGGAGGTCAACTGCAAGCGAAGCGATGAACGCCACTGTCTCACTCAATGATCCCTAATTTGGCTTTCTCCGTTTAATTAACTCTACAAGACATCCTGAAATGTTCTACTTTTCTTTGTACCGACGTATGGAAATATATACACTTATGATGACTTTCCGAAATGGTCCCGGCAACCTGCGTCTCGGATTGGAAGAACTATCTACGCGTCTATCCGGGTTCAGTGAACTGTACCGATCATCAACTGGGTAGCCTGTGTGCCCAACTTATCTGGTTCGCTGAGAAATTGACATTCGCGCGTCCATCCAGGCTCCGAACTCTGATGTTGACATGCACGATGTTTTCACTTTAAGGGGGCACGTTGATGGTGGCGTCGAGGTTCTTCCGGTTTGGTTGCCAGCTCCTTTCTTTCTGCCTCCCATGTCCGTTCCTCAGCTCAGCCCTCAAGTATACGCAGTCTACTGTCGAAAAGCCTTGAAGGCTTACTGATGTGGTCTCCTGTGATGGTACTTTGTTCTCTGAATCTGTCGGATGGATGAGGCATTCACCATGCCGTGCAAGCTGTTCGAGCCTCTCTGGTCTGCGTCGATGTCCTGTCTGTCCTACCATGAGGGATGTCGTCGATGCAGTACATGCTGTAGAAGGCGGGCGAATTCTCAAGGTCGATCTTTCCTTGTTTTTCCTGACGGGGGTGGAAAGGAGCTGAATCTGGTACGTCGTGATACTTTTGGTACCGGAGCTAGAAATCATCCTACACTAACAACCTGTGGTTCATCATGTAGCAGCGCGAGCTCTGCCGATTGATGCTAAAGGTCTTCACATCGCTAAGCTAAGGCATGTGTTTGTGTTATTGTTGTCGACTCGAACACAACAGACTCGGACGCGTCTGTGGCTCGGTTATTGCCGCCTGACGCGAAAATGCCTGCCCTAAACAGGAACGTGGGCGAGCTGTGGCTAGGCTGTGATTTGGCGCCCGTTTATCACCCTCCCATTGTTGCTCCATATTCTACCTCTTTCCCATTTTTTCGCGTTTTCTCTCCTTTTTACAGGACAGTATGCATCGACGGCCGTCTGCTGTCGCTTCCCCGCTCTCTCCTCTTGCTCCCCAGCCTCTAACTCCTCGCCGAGGATACTCTGCCGCGTCTCAAGTTTCGTCTCCGCATACTCCTCCGAATCGCGACTCTCCCTTACCGTTGCTGGCTCCCGCCTCCAACAGGCAGAGCGGCGATAGTTGGAACAGTTCAATTCATGATGGAGCCGACGACGATGTGACTGAATGGACCCAAGAGCAAACGCGTTTGCTGTCAAGGGTGCGTGTCATTCGCGTCTCACGCTACGCATCGTTCTCATCGGTGCTGTTGCCTGCTCCTTCGGTTCTGGTATCCGTGTATTTTCAAAATAGACCCTTGACGCACTGCCTGCGCATCTGCTCACGCCGTTCAATGGCGCCGTGCCACCGTCCAACCTGCTCGACAAGCTCGCTCGACGTGTGGCTGATGCCAAAGGCCCCGGCGGTTGGCCCCATTCCATCCGTGCAACTCGTGCAAAGATAGTAGAGCTAGCGCGTATTCGAGCCAAAGAAGCGGCAACCGATGGCGCAAGTGATACAATCGCCGAAGAAGATAGCAGCGACCCCGATGTCCTGCAAAGCGCAAACCCTGGCCCAAAACGGCCTCTGTACCGGCAGTCTAGTATGGACTTTATGCAAATAGACAAGAACGGCATTATGGAGAATGACAATCTCCGACGGTGAGTTAGTTGTGTGTCCACCGTGGCCCATCCTCACGACTTTTCCAGGCTTTCGCGCCGTCTCCAACGAGCGGAGCGTATCATCCCATCATATCATCCTTACGCTGGTTTTAGCCGTTCCTCATCTCCTATCCACAAGCACGCACTCTCCTCAACCGCTAGCTCATCTACGCTCAACTCGATCAATTCTGATGACAGGGAGGCTCACGGTCGCGAGCGACGATCAATGTCTGATATGTCGAACTCTTCTGAGTCGTTCATTCTCCCGGCGATTGACCCTCGAGTTCAGCGTGTCAAGCGCGCCGAATCCTTCGCCGGGATGCTCTGTCCTCCAGGCCACTTGCTGAAACGCGCTCCTTCCTATGGAGCGTCGTCGAGACGCAGCTCTGGTGCTATGAGCATCAGCGGGAAGGACTCCGATGTCACATCGTCTGATGAAGAAGAGAAGTTGCGGAGTCTGAAAGCCAAGAAAGCCCGCGTGAAGGCGACCAGTCCTTCCCCCGTAGGGTCTTCACCCCCTGTCATCCTCGAGCATCCCAAGAGCAGCAAGAAATCCACTCCTCTGCCGTCAAACAAGGCGTCTAAAACTAGTAACGATGCCTCAGTCAAGCGATCGAACCGCCCCAAAGCCAACCTGCAGCGCAACCCAAGCATTCTTGGTGGTGAACTACCCCGCCTCCAGCCCACCATTGAAACCCCTCTTCCCAGTATCCCTGCCCGCGACACTCCAACCGTCAACACATCTGCGTCTACTGCTGCATCCAGTTCTCCCCATCGCGCTCGTAAGTCTCGCCGCACTCCGAAAATCAGCGACACCCCGGTGGCGACCGGCGGCAACTCCAGCGCATCCAGCGTCCCGAACACCCCGGCCACAAATGATCGCCCTTGCAAGCCGCTGCGGCGTAGCAGGGGCGTCCACTTACCCGATCGCACGGTCGCGCGCAAGATATCGTTTACCAATCTCGCGGAAGCCTCAGCCGAGAACAATGTTAACACCGGTCTTGGTCTCGGCCTTGAAAGTGCTTTCCAACTGCACTAAGCTTGAGCGGCATAGCCCAACGCTTGCCTGCTCGCTCTGTGCGACATCCCACATCCAAGCCACCCTCTACGTGACTCCGACATTGTACATCTACGAGCGTCTCTATCAGCGCCACATCTCTACTCATCTAACCTCAAGGTGTACTATCTGCTGCGCCCACTTCCTGCCTTTTCGCCCTCTCGCTGATTCAGCGCCCACACTCATTTATTGCTCCCTGATTTATTCGAGACGACTAGTGTCGTCTACCACACTCACTTCCATCTGGATTTCTGCGGTACAGCTTTGCTTGCTTGCCGTCCTCGTTCCTTTTGAATTTGTGTATAACATCCCCCCTCGTTCGTTCGTTCGTTCTCTCCATTCACCCGTCGCGCAATGCTTTCAATCACAACCATGTGCAGCGACGGTGTTCGCAGTGCTCCTTCTGCTCACCCCTTTGATGCCATGTCGGCGTGTACAGTATACTGTCGTCTCTTTTTCCCCCCAAAGATGTTTGCCTTCTATTTCGCTTCACCGTTTTGCTTGATTGTGCTTCTATTCTCTCTCCATTTCATTAGGCCGCGCTTCACTTGGCCCTCTTCGTTCGTCGATTCCCCCTTTCCAATGTGCTATTTACATTTCGTCTCATTGTATGCGGATCAACCTCCGCTGCCCCACACTCGCTGTAAGTACTACCTTTTTCGCGCTCACTGTGCTCGTCGGGAGTTGTTGTGCTATAGTTGTTGTATGTTAGTGCGATAGGTGTATGTATTAGCAATGTAAAACCAGTTGGTTTGGTTGCTGTAACCCTGAGCACCACGCGCGAGAATCTAAGTGATATGAATGAAGCCGAGGAGTGTACAGGTGTGTGAGCAGGATGTTCGTGGGTGTAATCACTCGCTGGCTGGTGCTTCAAGTCCCCCGTATCAGCTCGGACCTCACTGAGTTGCTCGGGGTTTATGATATTGGCTATCCTGGTTAGCGGTGTTGTTAACAGCGTACACCTCGCATGATATCGTCTTGTACTTACCTGACAGTATATCGACTACTGCGCTGCAATTGCCTCTGCACGCTGCTGTCTCCGCTCAGCAATCTGTGCACGCTTCTCTGCAAGAAGTACGCCCGCCCGCTCATCCCATCTGTACGCCCAGTATCCTACGAAGCCAAATGTGCCCATGGCAAGGGCGTGACCGCCCAGGTCTGTAGAGCACGTACGAATCAGTCAGTCTTAGACATGTCGAGCGGCGGTCAAATAACACACTGTCGAAGATGTTGCGCTTCATGATAGCAAGCTGGCCAAAGCGCGCGCCGAGGCCAAATAGCGAGAAGCCGACAATACTCGAAAATAGCGACATAGCGGCGAGGATGAGAGCAGACGGCGAGACGATCTTGGAACGGAAACGACACGTTCAGAAACGGGAATACGCGTGGGAAAAGATCCATGAAGTCGATTGTGGTCGACCACCTCGAGCCGCCGGCGCGCACTGCACGCCTTGCCCCCTGCGCTCCTGTGCCGCCTGCTCCCCCATCTACCCTCACATCCACATTGCAACCTGCAGAAAGATGTCTGAGACGAAAGAACCGAGCCCGGAAGTGCTCCAGAAGCTCGCGACCGCCAAGGAGAAGAAGGACGCCGGCGACCAGGCGTTCAAGGCCGGCGAGGTGAAAAACGGTACGGACAGCCCTCTCCTCGCGCGCCGCGCTAGACCCACGCCGCCGCCAGCGCATCGGACGCGGGCATGGTTGGATATTCATACGCTCTTCTCTCCCCGCAGCGCTCAGGTCGTACCACGAGGTGACCGTTCCCTTTCTCCGCTGCGCCCGCACGGCCTGACGCGCAGCGCCACATACACACAAGGCTCTGATGTACCTGAACGGCATCGACAAGTGAGTGCGCGTGAACCTTGTCTCTTGTGGGGGCATGGGGGCGCAAGGTGCTGACGCGCGCGCGCCATGCTTCCGCGATTTCGTTGTCAGGAATGCACTCTCGCCTATGACTGCGATCACCTCAGGCTCGATCGTTGATGGCGCCGCCAATGAACAGAAGAAGAAGACCGAAGTGCGCCACACACCCTGGCCCATATTGATGTGGCGCAGTGTCCTGACGCCGACCGCCTTCATTTGCAGGCGGACGAGATCCTCGAGAAGGTCTATTCCAACATGGCTGCATGCCACCTGAAGCAGAGCAACTGGAAACGCGCGATCGAGACAGCAGACAAGGTCAGGGAATGCGGTAATGACCGGATGCAACCTGGTGCGGCTAGCTGACTGGCGATGTGGCGCGCTGTGCATTTGTAGGCGATCGCGCAGAATGCAGACTGCTACAAGGCACTGTTCCGCAAGGCGAAGGCACTCGGCGAGCTGGGGTTCTTCGAGAAAGCGGAGAAGATCCTTGAGGACCTCCTGAAGAAGGACGAAGCTGGTCGGTCCGGTGTTCACCAAGCTTCGACTAGCGCTGACTTCCCCTGTCATGCAGATGCGCCCACTCTCAATGCCGAGCTCGCCCGCCTACGAGCCGTAGACAAGGAGCGAGAGAAGGCGCACAACCAGAAGTTCAAAGGTATGCGTTCGTAATCCTGTTTCGAGACAAGACTGAATTCCTTCTCAGGGTTCCTGAACCGAGAGAAGAAGACTGCGGAGGCTTCCGCATGACATCTTTCTTTGTGTTCTGTACAATTGTTTTACTAAGGTTTTTTTGCTGATCATTGCTCCAAACCACGTCGATTTGTATCATTCCTTGTATCATTCTACGACTGCTTCGTCATCTCTACCACAATATAGTCTAGTTGTAACCATACTTGTTCCAATTGTCCTCCACGGTTTTGAGGGATAGCTCGATCGCCGTGCAGTGCTAGGTGAGCTGACTGTAGTGTTGACCGCTGAGATGGGCCGTGCTATCATCTGCTGAGGTGAGCCTTGCCAAGGCATCTTTCGCGCTCGACACTGACGCACGTCAGTTAATGGAATAGATTAAATGGTCATGATCACCGCGTGGGAAGCCGTTTCAAAGCATTCTTTATGCTGAAAGAGGGTTTGACAACAGCTGCGCCTGATATCAGGAACAAGCATCATACGAGTATCCACACAGTGACAGACTGTCAACGGCATTGTTATCTGGCTCTGCACGCATCTTCTGCACTCTATTCGGCCGGTTGGTTGCTGATTACCTCCTGAGCTCAAACAGGCTATGCAATGTGGCAGTGGCCAAGGAGGTCTCAGCGCGTCTGCGAGTTACGGCGCCACCGAGAATGGAACGACTGCGGATCTACAGGACGCTATCTCCATTGCGCAACGTCTGTGGTGGCCGCCGCCGAACTGAACACCGAGCCAGCAACGCGCTCGTGATGTCGGAATGTGAGCAGTTTACTTGCTGTGGCAACCGCAACTGAGCTCACTCACTGGGTTTTCACATTTGAACACGAACAAGGGTTGCCAGCCAACCCTTGGTCCGGGGATCGCAGTGGACTCGCAGGCTGTCTGAAAGAAGGTGGCTACATGAAATGGAATTAATATTGAGTTTGCGCGCAGCCGAATTCACAATTGAAACTGGGCCAATGGACGCCTTGGAAGCCGCTGCCGGAACCGGCACGGGGCACGAGATAAGGCATCTCGGCATGTGCCTGACCGATCGGGGCGGACATGCAGCGCGGACCCGCCAAGAGATCGAGATCGTGGAGTGCCAGATCGGCCTGTACGTCGTTGCAGCCCGCCGCAGGCAAAACTCCTGGGGCTCTCCACAACCACCACCACTGCCCGCCCAACGTTCCCAACTGCCATCTTCCGCACATATTCTGCAGCGCACCGTCGCTCCTCTGGCGAGGCATCATCTCAGCAGCTCGCGAACAACCTCAGCCGCATCCTTGGACGCCTTCTTGCTCGTTTCGGCGTCACACGACTGCGCGGTTCCGCAGTAAACACCTTCGGCAGGCGCGGCAGCCTCAGCTCGTTCATATTATTCCTTCAGGCAGTTCAACTCGTTCTCCTCCACCCATGTCCTGAACGCCATGCGAACTGGCTACTCCGATTATATCCCGCTATCCCAGCTCCCTGCAGGCCCGTCAAAGCCCGTGGAGACTGCCCACTCGTACCTCTTTCCTCGCCGTCGCATCGCTATCTTCGCTCTCTTCACTACTTCTCTCCTTGCTCTCTTTGCATTCCTCAGGAATACCCTCACGGATCTAGATGACGACCTCACGGACCTGGATCTTGAGCTGCTACCCTCGGACGGCAGTCAGTCGTCCCACACCTCATACCTCCCTTTCCAACCCTCCCCCCGACCTACAGATCTCATACGTCCGTCGCTGAAGCCTGTGATCGACCTACCGACGGCTTGTCTCGACCCGTACTTTGCGAGGGGAGAGCTGTGCTATGTTACGAGCGTACCAAAGCTCGATTTCCTGTGGACTTGGGTGAACGGGTCCGACCCCCTCGAAGAGCAAGCCAAGCAGCAAGCCGTCGATCTGTACGAGCCGGATGACCCATGGCGGCCATCGGCGTCCGTGATGGAGGCTCGGCTGTACCGGTGTGTGCTCGTTGTCCTCAATTTCTGCCTTCGTCGATTCGAGCGTCTCACAGAGACCACGATGAACTGCGCCATTCGATGCGTTCGGTCCTTCTCAACTTCCGCAAATATGCAGGGCGATTCTTCCTGCTCACCTCTGACTTTTCTATCCCCGTGACCACCCCAAACCTCACTTTATCCTCCTCTTGGCGGCTTGGCCAGACGCCACAGTGGCTCGACCTTGGCAAGCGGAAACGTTCCGGCTGGCTGGACGGCAGCGTGAACTTGGATTTGTTGCATCATGCGAACATCTTCCGAGACTATGACGGGACAGTATTCAACAGGTGCGTTATCAAGGTTCTTCAGTGTCTTGGCCGGCGTCATAACACCGCACTTCAGCTTAGCCATCGAGTCGCAGCTCGGCCACGTAGACGGCATCGCGGATTATTTGTGAGTGTTTCAGGGGTCTCAAAGAGCTACGAGTCGTATGTCTGACAATTAATCTAGTGTCTACATGGTGAGATTGCGTACAGTATTCGCCGGAAAATGAGTATGCTGAAGTTGTATATTGAAGAATGATGACCTCTATTTCGCAAAGCCGATCATGCCAGCGACATTCTACACCTCAGGTGGGTATCTGGTCGTGTGACCTGATCTTAGATGCTCAATGTGAGAGTGGATACTAGTGTTTGGCATCGTGCTGCACATGGAGCCATGGCTCACGATCCCGCCATCGAGGCCAACGTCGGAAACACCAGGGGAATGGCGTGGCATGGGCGAGTCCAACTACATACTCAGTATGTACATTCGTTTTTGGGCCGTTGTTTCACAGCTCAATTGTGCTCTGCAATTCACAGGCGTTCGGTTCGGCGCGCGACATCGTCCATACGTCATGCACCAAGCCAAGGTCGTCTCCTCCGCAATGCTCGCGGAGCTTGAGACGATCTGGCCCGACACGTTTGCGCGCAGCGCGTCGCACCGCTTCCGCGAGACTGCGGGCCCGGGGGCACCGTCAGACATCAACACGCTTTTCCTGCATGGGCACTTCATCGTCGAGCGAGCGCGTGAAGCAATGTTGTGGAGCTGGACTGTCGCGCGTATTGGCGGCGTGGACGACGCGTGGGGGGAGGAGGAAGCGCGCCGCGCATGGGAGGAACTCGGCGGCACGTGGGGTGAGGAGACGCTCGAGGTGCGCGCGGCGTGGCGCTCGACGCTGCGAAAGCAGCGGGTCGAGACGGCGCTGACGAGGAGCGGGTCGAAGGGCGGGCTGGGTCGGACGGAGTATGTGTTTTGTGAGTCGTCTCTGCTTGTGCTTGTACGCTTGCTGGTCGAGCTTACGGATGGTGTGTGCAGCCTCGCAGGACGGGTACGCGTACGGCTCGCTAGGGTACGGCCAGGACAACTTCCCGTCGTCGACACCGGACGTACCCGAGGAATCTCTACCGACATGTGAGATCCGTTTCAGCCACTGCTTTGCGGGGTACACGCGCGCGAGCGACGTGTTCAGGCGCATCGCATTTGAGGCACATGAGTGCGGTGACTGCGGTGAGCCTCAACCCTCGAGTCCGTGAGTCCCCGGCCGGTTGCTGATGGACGGGTCGGCTGCAGTGATGTCGGCGCTCGTGCGCGCGAGCGGGACACTTGGCATGTCGGCGTTTCTTCCATCAGAGGACCGTGAGCTGCGTTCAGCGGAGTTCGAGGATCCCCCAGTGGAACGTAGTACAAGCGAGATCCCGCATCTTCCACTAGTACAGACATGGGAGGAGGGCGATTTCTCATTACAGGGTGTAATGGGTGCGGCGCACGAGCAGAATGTGCGCATGTGGACGTTACAGCTGATACAGCGGTATCGCTATGTCATTGGTATGTTCCATAGCTGTTTTTGCACGTCCAAGCTCAACTAAACTCTGCGAATTCCTGCTTGATGCGCACAGGCAAAACCGCATCTTCATTCGAGCGTTTAGAAAACCCGGATCAGACGCGCGACACCGTGAGCCGCCTCAGCTCGAACCACGATGTCGTGCTGCTGTGCGTTAACGATGACGTGACGGAGGGCGACGACGAGGTCGCAGACATGTTCCGCGCGTTCCAGGACAAGCAGTGGGGGCGCGCCGCCGCGTGGGAGAAGGATTAGCCTGAGTCCTGCTGTGCCGGGACGCCGCCTACAGTCTTGGCTACACACGCCAGCCGACCGGTACCGTCTTGTGTCCGCATCGCGGTAGTGCGTGCTCGCGCATTTGTATGCGGAGATGCGAACGACGAGCTTGGCGCCATGCCACAGCCGGACGCTCCTTCTGTACTACTGTAGTGTTATATAATACGCGTCAAGTGTACGTGTCGAGCCTATATCCGCACTACCTCTCATATTGAATCGGACAATGAAACACATCTTTCGTTTACAACATATTTACTATCGTTATCCAATTCGATTGTCTTGCTGAATGTCGTCTCGTGGACGTTGGCTGTGGGCTTCCTCTGGGCAGTTCAGGGAGGTCCCGGTGTTTTCTCGCGCCGCGCCACAATATTGTCTGGGCGCGTCGCGTCTATATGGCACGTGCACCGCGTTTCGTCGCGTTTGCTGCGACGCGATCGGCTGTGGCTTCGACTCGTCGCCGTCATCGACCGAATACCGACCCTCGGAAACAAAGTTGCGTTGTGGAAAGAACAGTCCGCTCCATGAGCGCGTCTCCATATTGTCTCTTCCGCTAAAGAGGATGTCTGTGACCCTAGCCATACTGCACTCTTATTATCCCGTTGTCCGCGGATTGAGAGACTACTTATGCGATCTGCTTGAGCCTATAGACGACAGCTGGGACTTCTTGATGCAAGGAGAATGCTCTCTGCAATATCAAGAGTTCCTTAAGAAGTCGTATGTTACACGTCTCTCTGCTCGTACCAACACGAAGCGATCCGCAGCAGTAACACCAATGGTCCCTATCAAAGAGGTTGGTAGCTCTTATGTATTCTCGTCGAGTATCTCAACCTGAAGTCACCCAAGGTGATAGCAAGAGCTCAGCAGAGACTTTTCGCAAAGGCCAAGGGCCGACCGTCGAATGTGATAACCGCTGGCTATAGACCTGTGCGCATGGATGTTATTCGCGGCCTCCTTCATCCACTAAATACCTGATAAGGCAAGGTATAATGACGACGCAGGCTACTTTGCAGGGACACGAACACGTTTGACAAATTACTTCGTCAATACCATCGTCACTGCGTTAGAGTCCCCGGAATGGGAGACGCTCTTCCTGAAGTTTGTGGCGTAATCTACACAACATTTTGCTTCCTAATGCTGATGCGTGGTGTTTGCTGTACAGGATAGGCGAAGATGCCATGTTCCATCTATTCACTGAGACGTCAGTATTCGTGCCGCTGCCTAACGAATGTCTTTGCCAGATGATAGGAGAGCCTATCATACATTTGAAACCTCCTCCGATCGTGAATTTCTCACACGCACTTCAAGAGCACGATTCCATACACCAAGATGTCTGCCCTTCACCCCGCGATGTCAAGCGAAAGACACCAACTCCAGCCACAGATGACAGGCCAAGTAAGCGGTTGAAGACACAACAGATCAGTCCTGCCGAGTCGTTTGCCTCGTCTATCAGCTCTGTCACTGCATCGGCTCCTCAGCGGTAGGTCAGCGGCTACTTCGTACTTGGCCGCTGCTCATTGTCAACCAGGCGCACACCAGCCGATATTATATTTTCCCGTTCCCGCATGTTCTATTCTTGGCCATACTTCGTCCCTCATGCAAATCATGTTGCTATCGGTCTGCCACCCAAACGTACGTGTAACTGGTCGCTCACTTAGTTGTGTGTCCTAGCCGACTTGCTCTTCAGATATCCTCCATCGCATCAAGCCGTCGTATGGCCGGAAGGTTAAGGTCTTACCAGGACAATGGACTGACCCGGATCCAGTAGCAAGAGCTGAGGATGTAAGACATTTATCGAAATATGTCTTCCCTAGACAATATGGCCTAGCTAGTCCGTTTGTATCGTCGGAGCGACCGGTGTTTCAGCCGCAGAAAGCCCCTGACTATCTCGAGAGGGAGGTCGAGATACAGGTAGGCTATCAGCAGAGTAAATTACTGTCTACTGAGCTCAGCTCACCGATAATAGAAGAAAGGCCCATGCAAGACACCAAAGCGCCTGAAGCCAATCCTAGACCTACTGGATAAAGTAATCTGGAAACATGGGAAGTGCAGGTACAAGTCGTTGTTGGATATGGCATGCCCCTCGAAGGTGGGTTTATGCTGCAAAGGGGTTCATGAACCCTCCTGAAACATCCCAGATTCAAGACGAACGAAACAAACCATTGGATTCCAGCATTATTCTGGTCAGTGTGATCTTTGTGGGCGGGGTCACTGCTTCATGGTTTCTCTCTTCCTTTCCGGACAGGAAATGATGTCAGAGACATCCATCGATTTGCGTTCTCAGCCGACGCTAGCGGACATCAATATCTCCATTGATTCGGACGGCGGGCGCATTGCTCCTCTCGGTCTGTCTCAAGCCCAGAGATATGCAAGACAGAAGCCAAGATTCGTTGAATTCGCCTGCTCTTTCGCGGAGGTTTGCTTGCATCCTCGTCGGCAAATGGAGGGTGTTCTAAGCTAATCCACGAGGATAGGTCTATCGTTATGCCATACTAGTGACGAAGGCGGTCATCCCAGACGCTTTCTGGGGATGTGAAAAGAACAGGAAACTCATACATCAGCGTGAGCTACTGTCGCGGCGTTTCATACAACGGTAGCTCATTTTATACAGATATCAAGTGGTTCATCACGGGAAGGCGATATGAGACGACAACGTTGCACAATATCCTACAGGGTTTCAGCCTGATGGATTGCGATTGGCTAGCCCCGGATACTGCCAGTGCCAGAGCTCAGCACAGGGTTTCCGCGACTGACGTAGCAAAACGAAGGGAGCTACTAGAAGAGTATATCTTCTGGTACTTTGATTCGTTCCTTATCCCTCTGCTCAAGGTACGCCGTTATTCCGTCCATCCTCGGGTACCAAAAATTGATCTGTCAGACCACGTTCTACATAACCGAATCTTCCGCGTATCGGAGGAGGATTCTGTACTTCCGTCAAGATGACTGGTCTGCGCTATGTGCCCCGCTCATAGAAAAGCTCAGTGCAGACACATTTCAGCGTATCGAGCAAGCGAGTAGTGTTGATTGAATGTGCACGCTCTGATATTCTAACTCTGACTGCTATGGCCAGCACGAAGCAGAGGAAATCCTGCGCCAACGGAAGCTAGGATTCTCATTCGTTCGTCTTCTTCCCAAAGAAACTGGCGTTCGGCCCATCGTAAATCTGCGACGGCGGAAGATAGTCAAAGTTGACATTCATGCCGACTATGCTCTGGAAGGTACTGACTATCTGCGTGCAGGGTCCCTTCAGCAGACCTGAACCGTCCATCAACCAGATCCTTCAAGCTGCATTCCATATCCTGACATATGAGAAGGTTGCATATATTCCACAATGGAGGCCTGTTTCTGGCTGATCTCGTGGCGATTCACAGGATCGTTGCCCAGAGACCCTTGGCGCATCCGTCTTCGGCTCAAATGAGATCTATACGAAACTGAAGGCCTATAAGTCCCGTCTCCTAGAAGCGAGCCCAAACCGGATACTGTACGTAAAATAGTGTACCGCTCAGACTTCACCAATGACTGTGCATGCAGGCCGAAGTTCTATTTTGTAAAGGTTGACGTTCAAGCGTGCTTCGACACAATCGAGCAGACGAAGCTCCTCGCCATCCTGCGTGACGTGTTATCAGAGGTACACTTGTCACTGATATTAGGAAATAACCATGCAATGAGACTGACGCTGATCACCTAAACCAGGACGGCTATATGATGCAGCGATACGGACAGATAAACTGTGTAGGCTCAAAGCTACGCCGGAAATACGCAAAGAAAGCACAGCCCGAAGGTGCGATTAATCTGTCAGATAACTACGCAGTACTCACTCTGCACAGATGAGGATCAGCATTTCTTAGGCACTGCGATACAGCTCGCAGAGGCGCTTCGTCATACTATCTTCGTGGATCAGGTCCGTCTCCAAACGTCTTTCCCTGCGCCTTCGTATGTTGAGTGGCATAACACAGGTTGTCTATCCTTTTTCTAGGAAGCAGAATATCATTGAGCTCCTCGAAGAGCATATCACCGAGAACCTCGTCAAGGTAAACTCGGTTTCGGACTCTCGGATAAAGTCATTTCTGACAAACTACTCGCCCAGATCGGCGAAGGTTACTATCGTCAGGTCGTAGGCATACCACAAGGCTCGGTTTTGTCCGCCCTATTGTGCTCCATCTTTTATGGCGACCTCGAGCGCTGCAAGCTCAAGCTCACCGATGATACCGAGAGTGTACGTTGGACGTATTTTGACGTTTGCATTGATCTGACTTGCCTGCGTGGCGGGCATAGCTGCTGCTAAGGCTGATTGACGACTACCTATTCATCACCACTGACCTCGACCGAGCCAGGCAATTTTTAGGGATGATGGTTCAAGGTGAGGAATCAAATAGTCATTTGGTCTAGCCCTGATGCGCTACGCGATAGGCCATCCGGAGTATGGATGCTTTATTTCCAAGGAGAAGACGCTGACGAACTTTGACTACGACCCTAACATGAACATCACGGATCCTCACCAGAAGAGTGAGACCTTCGGTAATAAGATGTTTGACTGCTGGCTGACGACTGTCTAGCGTTTCCTTGGTGCGGCTACATGATCGACATGACCGACCTGTCTGTCTCTGCGGACTACACTCGATATCACGACACATGTGAGTTATGTACCAAACAAGTATCGCTGGTATGAGCTGATTTATGGAACAGATCTCCTGGACTCGCTCACGGTGGAAAGGGGTCGTCGGCCTGGGGTCACGTTCGTTCACAAGATGATGCAGTGCGTCGAATGAGTTCTGTCCGCGGAGGCCGTCTAGATATCCACTGACCCGGGCGTGCAGGTTGACAAAGGCCAAGAGCCACATCATCTTCTGCGACTCGCATCTCAACTCCCCCCGCGCGATCTATCTCAATATATACCAGAACTTCCTGCTGTCCGCTATGAAGATGCACCACTACCTGCGGCAGTGGGGCATCAACGTGTCGAAGGGCACGACGTTCCTCCGCAGTATGTGTTCGCGTCACGTTGGAGATACCTAGGGTTGCGACTCAATACGCTTCATAGATACAATTCAGCAGATGATCAGGTATACGTACGCGACGATGCGGAACAAGGCCTCCAACAAGGTGGCGAAGGCGAGCGGCGGGTGTTGCACGGTGCAGCAGGCACAGGTGACATGGTGTGTGTTTCGCACCTTCCCTCGCGTCTCATCCAAGCTCACAGCGGCAGGCTGGGCACCCACGCGTTTCACGCGGTCCTGACACGGAAGCCGCACATGTACCCGCAGCTCATCAAATGGCTGAACTTCGAACTCGCTCGGCCCCGACATCGGCGATTAAAGAAGCAGTTCCGGGGAATTGTCAAGGAGGGATTGAACACGCTGACTGTGTTGGCCTTCTAGTAGTAGAAAAGGAATATTTGCGAGTATCTTATGCTACGTCTGTCACTTTGACTATAATTGCGACGTGGGCTTCATTTGTGAACAGTCGAGCTTGATGCTGTACTCTTCCCTTTCTCCACCATATATTGTTGTGAACTCGGTGTCCTACGCCGGCGATTGCACTTCAAACACGAACAATTGCTTTGGGATCATGATGCACTCGGTGATTAGTCGTTCCCAATAGCCACCATCTCGTTGGGCAGAAGTGAGACAAGTTATGGAGGCTACCGACGATCACCCACATTTGGACTTTGCATGTGAACTCGCCATTCCTACGCGGAAGCACCGATGCAGCTGACATCATGCTGCTGCTGCGTTCCGTCCGCACCGGTCTGACAACTCCCGGACCATCCCGCTCCTTGACCACCGTTGCCCGGATTTCTGGCAGCCTCATATTCACATCCAAGTGGTTGCTGTTGCGTTCACATCTTTGCCCAGACGGTCTCACTCGCGCGCACATTGCAGTTGCTCCCCCTTCTCGCCGCACTATTCACATTCACGACGCGAAGGCAAACCTGACTCACAACAGTACCATGTCTACCTTCTACGATCTCAAGGCCGAGCTGCCTGGCGGGAAGACATACGACTTTAGCGAGCTGCGCGGCAAAGTTGTCCTCATCGTTAATGTCGCGTCCAAATGGTGCGCACCACGCTGTACGGTATCCCCTGCCGTCTTGCTCACGATCTGATCTGATCGGCTGCTACTCAGTGGGTTCACCCCACAATACAAAGGTGCGCTCGTCGGTTGCTGTCTTAGGGTATAATGTTGTTGATGGCTGTCCCTGTGCCAACCCCGTCCTACGTCTGAACGCCAGGCCTCCAGACACTGTACGAGAAGCACAAGGACCAGGGCTTTGTCATCCTCGGCTTCCCCTGCAACCAGGTGGGCCATGCATCTCTCCTAACATTTTGGCTTCCTATCCCTTACGCGCATCCCACCTGTTCCCCTTGCGCAGTTCGGTGGCCAAGAGCCCGAGAACGATGAGGCGATCGGCCAATTCTGCCAGCTGAACCACGGCGTATCGTTCCCGTTGATGAAAAAGTCGGACGTGAACGGCGACGGCGCCAACGACGTATACAAGTACCTCAAGACCCAGAAGGCGGGATTGTTGGGTCTCACAAGGATAAAGGTGCGTCCGCGTTTTGCATTAATTTGATGTGCCATGTGCGAGGCCGGCTGACTGGGTGGCCGCGGCACGCAGTGGAACTTTGAAAAGTTCCTGATTGACAAGAACGGGAACGTCGTGCAGCGCTGGGCGTCGACGACGTCGCCCGACGCGATCGACGCTGAGGTCGCGAAGTTATTGTGACTACGTGGACAGGACGGGGCTAGGCGCGGAGGCTGCGAGCACAAGCTGTAGCTCCTCACATACTTTGCGCCTGAGAGGTGTGCAGAAAGTAAACATTATGTACGTATACGACATGAGAAGCACATGTACTAGGAGCGGCGATGGCCGGTCAGTTTAATTCGTATCGAATTACAGTCTTTCTTGTGGCAGCCTGTATTTGTTGCAGCTCGCGACATTCCGACAAGATGGCTGTTCAAGGCGCCACTGGTACTATTTCGACCGGCATTGAACTACAGTCCGAACCATCCCTGTGTTTGCTCACATCTACCATTGCGAGAATACAGCAAGACGCAGTGAGTTTTAGGTATGCGAGCGCATTTCCTCATCACTTAGCTCAAGGTCCCAGAGCTGGCGTTTCTCACGAGCCAGTCTGGACGTGGTATGTTGTCTAATCGTCCGATGTATGCCGATCCTTACAATCATGACCCAAGCTCCGCCATATACTAGCCCTCCTCATCCCTTTCCTGGCCGACATCTGCACAAATACAAATGCACGCGCGGCCATCAACCCTCCTTCCAAATGAACTTTTGGACCTCATACTCAAATACTATGTTGCGCCCGTGGGCCATCATATGGGCAGCTACATTCTGAGTGCCGTGTTCTCGCAACGGGTCTGCCGACTCTGGTGCAATGTCGTGCGCAGTATTCCAGCCCTTTGGACATCATTTAAACATCGCTTGCATCTTCCATCACTGGTATTCATCGCCCTCCCGATATGCCAGTCTTGGGCCTCACGCCTCGCTTTTGCTCACTGCATATGTATGGATCCCATGCACATATGCAACCGGGGAATCCTCATCCTTCAGAAGCTATCGACGCTTCGTATCTACGTCGATTCAAAGGCGACAGCCCGGGATGCCGCGAAGAGTGTCATTGCTATGCGTCCCCTCGTCGAAATCCAAGACGTGGTCATGATGCATCTGGCACATTGTGTGGCTGAAGTAAAGGCGCTGTTCATGCGTGATCCACAACTGTCGACCGTGCGGTACTTACAAACAACCGAAACCGCCGCTTCGTGCGCCTTCCAAACCAACGTGTAGGGCTAGAGTGCGTCATGGCTGCACACAACAAACAGTTGATAAGCTCATGTTCCAACATGATCAATTAGCCATGGATGCCGTAGATTGGACAGGAACTAGCAGACGACAGTTGTTGCTCTGTTAACTACTATGAAGGTGAGTGGGATGGTTGCTCATCCCAAAACAATCACCGGCGTAAATGCATGGTTTATTACTGCTTGTGTTTCAGCTCGGCTAAGACAGGCTCGCTGTGATCATGGATGCGGCTGACAGGAGGTTTGCGTCTCTGTGCTCGTCATCCTTAGAACATGCTCTGTATATAATGTATTCTCGAATGTTTGGCAGTGTAACTGCTGTCCGATGTCTTTGGCGTACTGCCTGTGTCTGATGCAGTAGTACACTTTATTTGTGGATCGCGGTCAAACGCCAGACACAGACTGATTGACTTACTATATGGTGTGCCGTTGCAGAAATACTGGCCCGGTATGTTCGGTAAAATCCCGGTAACCAAAGATTGATGTGACGGTGTGGCTGAGATTAAGCGCTAGACACTGTTTCCCGCCATCTTGCTTTGAAGCCTTCCTCTTCATTACAGTCTATCTCATGGTCGACATTCCCCAAACTGATGTGTCGCGGCCAGCAGCACTTCCTACTGCAAAGCTGCTGCAACGAAGCGCAGTCCCGTCCATAGACCAGAATTCGAGCGAATATCTGGACTCAATTGAGGAGGAATGGAACAAGAAAGTGGACGTCGAGATTGACACGTTGGTGGACGGCATGGTCGACCTCGTTGGACTGGCTTCTGTGCGTTCTACGCCTTATAAACCGACCATGGAAGCAGCACTAATACTGCTATGTAGATCGGCGAGAAGGACAAGTTCAAGATTGCACAGGAGGCATACCAGGCAGAATGTCGCGCTGAATCTATGGCGAGTCTAAGCCCCTTACACTTACTGCGCCTTGTTGTACTTACGCGTCCAATCAAGCGCAGATTCGGGCGGCCCATTCCCTTCTGTCCGTCATCCACTCTATGAAGCTGCTCCTGTTGTTGTCAGACGAGTCGCAAATCGCAAACCGTCGGGATGCTGAAATGCGCGTGGTGCAGTCAGACAAGGAGAATTTGCAGAAACAAGTGGCATCTATGCTCGACGACCTGTTGCATCCTCGCAAACCCGGTTCTGAAGGGGACACTTCACAACCACTTATGGACACATCGTGAATTTTCTCGAGAGTTTAGCCACGACCGGGTAGTAAGTTACTTCACCATTGAAGAGATACGACTCGTTAACTTACAGCCTCACTAGCTTCAATCCATGCAGCAAGGCATTAAGCCATAGTAGCCTCGCAGTCTAACACCACTGTCGATGATCCCACGCCTCTTGGGCAGCACTTACGTTCACGCACTTCGCCGCCGCATGTCAGTCCTCCCTTGGTTTCTGCATCCAGCTTTATCCACAGTGGACCTTTACGCGGCCACTCCACAACCTCACGGGCCACGCGTGTACATGTCGGGCGATCGCGTTCTCATTATGTCGTTGTGTAGCACTACTATGACTATCCGAAACGATACGTTTATATGTTGTCATATCCGATTCTCAGGTACAGACTATGCTACTCGGCTCTCGACGTCACCGCTCATTATACATCATAAGTACTACTATATAAATGTGCCGGGGCAAAAATCACATGCCTCGGAAGCCACATCCCCACCGGCATGTCTGTGTGCGCTCCTGATCCCAAATGCGTGGAAGCGAGTGAGCTCAACCCCAACCCGTTGTACTTTATCTCGCGCTTCGACGTCTCGAGCGACTCAGACTACCCCCGTCCCGAAGATCCACCATGTCTGACATCAAGGTCGACGGATTCAAGGTGTGTGTGCTCGTCGTGCCGATGAGACCCTCGCATCGGCGTCGTCTGATGTACTCTCGCAGTCCTCTGGCATCCTTGCAGGTCTTGCGACTGTCTTTGATAGCTACAATGACGAGGAGAAGAAGGCCCAGATCAAGAAGGTGCGTGTTGCAACCGTTTAGCCCGAGACCAGCAGTCCCGATCGTCGTGAATCCCCCCAGACGAATGGCATCTTCGAGTTGCGCGTGAAGAACATGGAGGGCCAGGAGGCGGTGTGGACCATTGATATGAAGACGTCCGGATCCGTGTACAAGGGCGAGTCGAAGACGAAGCCAAACGTCACGCTTATCATGTCGGATGAGACCTTCCAGCAATTGGCGGAGGGCAAGGTGAGGTTCAGCGTTACAGGCAGTCCCGAGCTATTCGTAACCGTTCGCCCTCGCGCAGCTGGACGGACAGAAGGCCTTCATGACGGGCAAGCTGAAGACGAAGGGCAACATGATGTTTGCAACCAAGCTCGACGGCGTGTTGAAGGTACATATTCACTGAACAAACATCCCACCTGACTCTGACCAATAGTTGAACAGGCTGCAAAAACCAAGGCGAAGTTGTGATCATGTTAGTGGATGTCTGTATCATTATACACGTTGCCTATTTCTCCATCTCCAAGAGATACCCACTATCGCTGAGTCGGGAGGTATACTGTACGAACGCAATAGCCAGCGCTACAATATGAAGATCCGGGTCCGAAGGGAAGATAGTCTAGTCAAACATCCCTCCAAATAGTCCGCGTTGTCGACGGGCTGTGGGCTGGACATCTGGTCTGAGTGTTGCCAAGCTGTTCAACTGCTTCATGACCTAGCGAGCAATGTCAGACCATGCAGTCCACCTGTCAGTCGGAGCACAGCTTACCTCCTCCAGCTTGTCTTTACGTTCTTGGAGATCGAGGTGTCGTCTCACCACGGGATTCTCCCGCGCAAACTCTACAATCTCACGGCGGTCGAGGTCGTATAGCAGTCGCGAGTCGATCTCACGGGGGAACTGCATAATCAAGTGTGTCAGTCAGATGTAAGGCTGGACAGTCCGCAACCACATACCGTGTAGAAGAAGTGGTCTAGCAGCTCAATGTTGATGAACATAGCCGACGTATATGCCAGCTTATCTGCGACTGCATTAAGGAATATTTCAGGGCAGAAGACCTCGCTCTCAGGCCCGGCCTTGCAGCGTTTCGACTTGAGGGCAGTTAGACGCAGCTTGAGAATACTAAGCCGGTCGTTGCAGAGCATCGCGTGGCGGGCTACAAGCCAGAGAATGAGTTAATCATTGCAGCACGTTGGTCAAACTCAACTCACCATCGAGAATTTGCGCTGGGGGGTATCGATATTCATCTTCTGTCAAGCCCGCAGCACTGTCGAGGTCCTCCGCGCCACTCAAGCGCAGCTGCTTCCTCTGGCTCTCCTTCTCCTCCAGGCTCTTCACGTACGACATCAGGTTACTCAGCCTACGGCTCCCGCCGACCTTCTTCCGGATCTCCTGCAGCTTCTTCTCGCACATCTCCGCCTCCTTCTCGAACAGCGTCATCGCCTGCGTGCGCCCCGCCTCCCACTCGCGCGGGTCGACGTCAACCTCGTACTTGTACGGCTTGATGCAGTTTTCCACCTGGTCCGACGTGATCCCGATCCGCTCGCGCAGGATCGTGTGCGAGAACTCAATGAGCCGCTCCGCGGCGCGCGGGTGGAACGTGAACGGCTCGCCCGCGGCGATCGAGTCGATCACCGCGCGCAGCCCGTGCGCGACGAGCAGCGTCGCGTCGCGCCCGACGCCGGACTTGGTAAGCAGCGACGCCGCGGCGTCGAGCTTGTACTTCCAGTACGGCTCGACCATCTCCGGCTTCACCTTCGGGTCCGCGGCGAGCGCGCTCAGCTCCGGCGTGCGCTTGTCCGACCAGTAGAGCTGCTCGAGCACGTTGAGCACTTTTTCGTCGAGCATCGCCTTGAGCTTTGCGCGGACCTGCGGCTTGCGGAACTGCACGATGAACTCGCTGAAACGCGCCTTGAGCTCATCCATCGTCTCCGCGACGTACGACTCGGCTGTGATCCGGCGGTCGTTATATTGCACCTTGAACTGGTACTGCGCCTCCTCGAGCTCGAGTTGTACCGCGTTAGTGATGCCGTGCAGCGAAGAGGCCATGGACGACTCGAGCACCTCCATGAGGCGGCGACGGAGGGTGCTCGTGCCCACCATGAGGCTTGACGCTGAGCCGTAGTGTTCCCGGTTAGAACGGAAATAGTCGTCCTCACCATTCCGTGCAATAAGTGCGGAGGACGACGGCTTCTTGCCTGAGGGCTTGCAGACGACGCCGACGTAGCCGAGGTGTAGAGGATACCGGTTGCCTGACAAGATCGTTGCACCCTGCTCCGGAGGAACCAGATCCATCTTGGTGATTACACCGATTGTACGGAGGCCGAGCGGGTCGACCTTTCTGCTAGCGCGCAATGCTGGGGAGTTCGCCAAGTCGACGTCGGCTGCGCAAACGGCTAGGATGATGTTGGGCTCGCGGATGTACCTCTCGCAAAGCCCGGCGATCTTCTCCTTCAACGTCTCAGGTTGGTCCAAAGAGGGGATCTGGATGTAGCCAGGCAAGTCGATCAGCGTGAGGTCAGGGACACGCGAGCTGTAGATTCTGAGGTCAATGGGCTCGTTGGAGACGGCGTCTGATGCGGGAACAGCGAGGTTCAGGTCGGTCAGAGTGCGCTGTATGCTCCCAAAGTCGGTAATCCTTCCGAGTCCCAGACTGGGGAACTCGCCGTATTCCTCAGTCGCACCGGGAGTGTGGATGAGAGTGAGCTCAATGGGGCGCCGGGTAACCATGTTGTTGCCTCTACGCACATCGTTCAGCGGGTTTGACACATGTGTATGCAAACCACTCACTTGGGTAGGAATTCATGCCCTACGATGGCCTCCAGCACTGAACTTTTGCCTGAGCTCTGGCTGCCGATGACGACAATACTTGGCAGCTTCAGCGCGTCGCTTTGATCTATGCTCAGAAGCATGGACCGGATCTCAATAAGCTTCCGCGTCAGATGCATGAGACCGTTCTGTCGGACGTCGGGAGGTACGTTGTCGTCGTTAGCCTTGGAGTCCGAAGCAGAGAGGTTTGCGGCTGCCATTAGTGCAGCCAACGCTGCTGCGTCGTCGCCGTCCGGGTGTTTCCTCCCTTGAGAGTCTGACCCGGCTTTGCTACTCCCTCCATTATCCCCCGCCGACTCCGATGAGAATAGGTCCTTCAAGAACTGGGGTGCTTCGAGATCAGGGAGCTTCACCTGGGGGAGTTTAACGTCGGCTACCCGAGACGACACAGTCTTCAATGCCCCAGATGCAGTGTCTAAAAGGTCGGAAGCGGTGTCTTGTACCGACGCGATCCAATCCGAGGACTGCTTCCTGAATTCTTGCAGCACATTTAAGCCGTCAGTCTCCCGGACGTGCACGCCGGATGGGAACATGAATCACCTTCAAACTTGTAGTTGGCATATGTCAGCCCTCCAGCTCCCACTGTTGCTGTTGCTATAGGCACTCTGAACGCTCGGAGAACGAACCTTGGAATGGACGAGTATGAAAGGGCACGAACGTGCATATGACGAAGAGCAGCGGGCGAAGGCGCATAGCGTGGGCGAGACCTGAGGTGATTGGAAGTTAACAGAGTAGAGAACTGCTTGTGAACCGGGCGCGCCGACTCCAGCCGCTTGCTTGCGCCAGACTTTAAGCCATAGGCGACATGCTTGTTAAGTGAGAGGGCGGACGACAGTCGGCGGCGTAGTGCAGTATACATGGACAGTGCGATTGAGAGGCGCGTCGTCTGGAGTGTACTTTTGGTGCACAACTAGTCACACCTGAGAGAGCCTTGCGCTTAACAACGCGGAGACAGAGCAAGGATGCATGCTGCAGCGATCGCCGCCGCTGTACGCGAATGGCCGTGGCTGCTGACTAAGCCAGGTCCCTTCCGGAAAATATAGCCATAGTCAAAATTTACCCTTGAAATCCGTAGGGTTGGAGCAGGCGGCATGCAATTTCGCTGAGGGCATGTATTTCTTCTTAACTCACCAAGAGCTGTAATCAAGAAGAGCATTCAGACCAGAAGTGGCAGCTTTTCAGAACTGCTTAATTAGGAAAAGAGCGGGCCGGACTCTGCACCAACAACAGCATTTCCATCTCGACAGGATGCAAGTTACAGACTGTAACTCAAGGTTGTGATAACACGGCAAAAGCGAGTTGCTTAACGAGTCCGTGATACCGCAGACGCAAGAGACGTTTGATCGCAAAGCACCCGATATAGCAATCCGCCTACCGCAAAGAGACTCTTACCGAATAACACCACATGTATCCACTTCATCGACAGTCTCAGAACAACTGGGCATTTACTGCAACGTCCAAGAGAGCAATATGCCTTAACCGAAATCCTCGGTGCGCCCGGGCGAAGAACATACCGGAGATCCAGGGCGAGATTTAGACCAGATAAGATGAACTGATCGTTCCCGCCGAATCCTGTTCGGCAACTTCATTTTCACCAGAGTCTGGTGTATACAGCACACTTCATTAGCAAGCTTGACCGAAGCCACCCTGGGGAATTTCTCGACCCGCGAACCACATCCAGGAGTACTCCCATAACGCACACTGTTGCGTCTTTCCCCAGGATCGTCGTCTCATGATCAACGACCTGCACAGGACGGAAGGGTCGGCAACCCGGCGGACCAACTAGTCTCCGCACTCGTATGCATTCTCTATCGCGATGACTCCAGCGAGCGATACGACGTTAAATAGGCCAGCCATGCATTGTCGCGACAACACACGATGGCCCCCAACAGCACCCCTCCCCCGTCCGGCGTCTACGTTCCCGCTGTCCTCTTCTTCGACGAGAACGAGGATCTCGATGTTCCCGCCATCAAAGCGCACGTCCTGAGATTGGCGAAGGTCAGATTCGCCCGCCGATCGCTCGATCCGCGCACTCACCTGAGATCTATGTGCGGGAATTTATCTGCCTGTAGGGAGGCGTGACCGGGATCCTCGTCCAGGGCAGCAACGGCGAGGCACAGCACCTCTCCCATGACGAGCGGAAGGAGGCGATCCGGCTGACGAGGCAGACGCTCAATGAGAACGGCTTCGAGCAGGTCGTGATCATAGCAGGCACGGGCGCGCAGTCAACCCGCGAGACCAAGAAGCTCTGCGCGGACGCAGCGGAGGCGGGCGCAGCCTACTGCCTAGTGCTCACACCAGGCGTGTGGCCCGGCCAGATGACGCCCGCCAATATTCTCAAATTCCACCGCGACGTGAGCACTGACACAACCTCGATTTATCATCCTCCCTCACGTCTGATGCACAGGTCGCCGACGCGTCCCCGATCCCCACTATGGTGTACAACTTCCCCGTGGTCACCGCAGGCCTTAACCTTGATTCCGACATCATCGGCGAGCTCGCGCAGCACCCGAACATCGTCGGCACCAAGCTGTCCTGTGGGACCATCGGCAAGCTGCACCGCCTGACGTCCACCGTACCCGCCTCGAAGTTTGCCACCTTCCCAGGCGTGTCCGACGTCTTCCTCCAGGGCCTCGTGTCCGGGAGCGCAGGCCTTATCGGCGCGCTCCCGAACGTCGCGCCCAAGGCGCATATGGAGGTGTACCGGCTGTACAAGGCGGGTAAGCTCCAGGAGGCGGAGAAGATTCAGGCACTGCTGGGGCAGGCCGATTGGGAGCTGGGAAAACTGGGTAGTATCGGGGGAATCAAGGCGGTGGTATCAAAGAGCTTTGGGTACGGCAACACCAACGTGCGCGGCCCACTCAGTGCTGCTGCAGTCACGCCGTCGAGTACCCTGAAGTTGGAGGAGCTCATCACATTTGAGAAGTCCCTGTAGTTGAACATAAGAATAACCATGTAGCATACTTGCTGTTTGTAGCGTTATGCGCTATTTTCCCAAGCTTGCCCTGCACTCGAGCGGAAAGCATGCGTGTGCACTAGCCATTCCACCACCACCGTAAGGATACCCCGGCAAGTATGTTAGGTTATGGACGTACTCTGGATGAGAAGACTGTTTACCCAGATGTAGACTTCCCCTGTTGCAGCCACGGACTCCAGATGATAGACCACACACACCGCCTTGAACCGAAGAAGGTACCAATCACTGTCGGCAGGCGAGGTTGCCATGCGTGGGGGTACAGACACAGTAAGTACCTTTACTGACTTAGAATGTTTAGACCCCTTTGTCATTACGAGCGCAGCACTGATTCGTGTAGTGAGGGAACATACAGATCGATAGACAGGATCCAGGCCGAGGGGAGCCGACGCACAAGACTGAAGCGCGTATCAACCTGCCCAGAAGTCGCTTGACAAGAAGTAAATGGGCAACTCGCCCATTTGCATGTTGTCAAGCCTGTGTTTGATGAGACAATCACAAGAGCACTGCCAATACGACCTAGTGTGCACGCATGATCTCGTCACTCATCCAAGGTTGCCAGTAATGAATAGTATGTACCTGGTTCGGGGCTTGATCCTCGTGTCAGGCAACCACAACGAAACCCTTAGTTACATAGTTATGTAAAGTAGATCGGCTCTAGCGTCGCAAAACAGGACCGGTATGAGGGCCCCATGACAAGCCTCTGTCACGGCACCATCTCTCTTGTGCCTTGTACCGATATTCAGCAGGCCGCGTAATTACCATGAGGAACTCGATAAAGGCCATCAGGTTTGACGCACGAGGCGGGATGACTCGGTGCATCGAGGTCGCTTGACTGAAGGGTGTAAGCATTAAGGAAGGTCACCGCACGAGTTGAGACGAGATGATGCGGCCCGTAAGGAAGTGAGGGCCAGCGAAGGGACACCTGCAAACAGCATTTGCCACTCCGCTGCGGTTTGGACTGTAGCGCGTGGCGTTCGCTGGCGTTTCGCTTCTTTGCACGCGTGCTTGTCAACCTTGTTCTGTACTGATTCTTCCCAGCGTCTTCCAGGCCAGCGTTGGTTCTGTCAAAGCCGGGTCGCCTGTGATCCCCATTGAAGCGTTAGTCTTCTGATTTCAAACGCCGTTTGCTATAATCCCTGACTATCAAAGTAGATCCATCATTTAGGCGCCGATTGTGTAACAGCTGGTAGTACTCCCTTTCCTCATGGACAGGCCATATGGGCGCGGTGGTGGGTGCATGCTAGGTAGGTCAGCTTTTCCCTACGAATGTACTCGCAGAGTCCGCGGCCTTGCAAGATCACGGAGGCGTATTCAAAGTCCGTAGCGCTCCATATGGCATATTGCTATTGATCGCCAATCTCTTGGCAGCATTCAACCCGGCTAGCATCTCTGTCGCGCGTGATGGCGATCTGAGCAATGCTTCGTCGAGAACTCCCACGGAGGCGGGGTTTTCGATTGCCCTTCATTTATTAAGACCGCGTAGCCAGGCGTTACCCCATACAGCGTGCTAGTGTACTTGCCTCTACTCCTCATTCCTCCTCGGATGTCGGATACGTCGCCGCCTCGTTCAGACATTTATAGCGTAGACATCACACGAGCACTACCGTTGTCAGGTGTGCAGCGCGCCGCTATCTCTCTGTCACGTCTACGCGCATGTCCTCCAATGCCTCATCTATCACGGACGCGGATATCACTGCTCTTCGTTTAACGTGAGCATCTCATCTAGTCGTTTGCGCACAAATGACTTACTGCGATCTTCCCCAGATTCATCAACACTTGTTGTCAGGTAGCTGCCAGCAGTAAGCAGCAGACTTAACGGACCTGTGTTGTGGGCTGCGCTGACCTCATGCGCACGCACTGTCCGCTCAGCGATGATCTTTCACGAACACATGATGACTTTGTCTGACGAGATACGACTCGTTTGGAGCCACAAATTCAGTGGTGCCACACTCGTGTTCCTTCTCAACCGATATCTCGTATTGTCTCTTGGTGTAGCAATCGTGCTTCAGACAGGTGTCTGGGACACCGCTCTCGTAAGTACTCTGGCTACTTTCAGCCACAATATTCTCTCACAGTCATATCTGTTACTCCACAGAGGTATGTGCTACTTGCTTAATAATGTCAACTCAGAAACTCACCTGCAGCCAGTTGCGAAGCAACGATTATCTTGTACGATATCGTGAGCATATTACTGACTGTGATCACAGCAGGTAGGCCATCAGTCCCTGTGGTAACACGTCTGTTCTCCATTAATCAAGAAGCCGCTGTAGTCTTCTCAGCGCTTCGAGCATATGCTATCGGCGGGCTGGTCTGGTTTCCGGCCGCAGTCACGCTATTTTTGGGTCTGCTACCCGCAATCGTCGCCATAGTAAGCACTGTGTCATCATTCTCAATCGTCGCATTCTAAGTAGCAACAGTATTTTATGTCTAGGTCGTCGTACGCGTATGTGTTGGTCGTCAGCGGCTCACCTGTATGCGATTATAATGAATATTATCCAATTCAAACTTACAATCAGCAAGTCGATCGGTCCTTCCCTCTGCGTGGTTTGATGTTAACGTCATGTGCAGATGTATTTGATTTTCCTGAAGTCTTCGCAGGCAATGACTAACAGACAACCCGTCAGTAATATTGGCTAGCCGCGCGTGTGCAATTGCCGCGGACGTGATTGTCCTGGCGGTCACATGGATACACACGTATAGGACTCGGAAAGCTGCACACCGGGGAGTCTTCAAGACAGGCTTGACCACGTTACTAGCAAGAGATGGTACGTGAATAATATGTATGTACTATTGAAACACATCGCTCAATGGCAACCCGGCATTAGGTACGATCTTTTTTGTGTACGTTCCATTTGTCCCGCAGGAACCCTGCCAACGCTGAATGAATGGTACAAGTCTACTGCTCGCCTTGAATATCATGCAGATGACGATCAAGTCGGTGGGCGGCGTGAGTGCCATGCCATTCTTCTGGAATACCTTCTTGACTGAGCTTTGTAACAGCCTATGACAAATTTTGCTTCCACTTTCACACCTCCGTAAGCAAGCTGCTTGATTCCATCGGATTCCTCCGAGTCAGTGCTGACGGATCCTGCGTAGAGTTGCCGGCATCCTCATCTCAAGATTCATGCTCAATCTGCGGCACATTTATTACCTACAAAGTATGGGGATCACCGCCAGTTTCATCGGTAACCTGGGCGCGCCCCTCTACGATGTAGCGGACGAATCACGCAGTCATACCGCTACTTTGAGTACATTCCACACGTCGGATTTGGTGATTGTCGGGCAAGAAGACCCCAGATCGTTCGAGCTTACAGAAATTAGCTCTGTTTCTGTGTAGAATTCATCTTTAACACTCTTTTTCTGTGTAAGATTTATCTCTAGCAACTGGATTGTACATTAGGCAAGGACCATACAGGTTCGAAATCAATCATCTTTCAATTCGGAACCCCGATCAAGATGTTCAGCCGCAGCAAGAACGCACGTGGTTGACTGATTGATAGCTAGCTCTGCATGCTGTAAGATGCGAATATAATGCTACCTATGCATGGGATTCAGAATACTTGGATGCGCCTCCGATAGGTCCTGGCGGCCGAATGAAGGATATGCCCGTGCTACAAAGCAACGTGCGCGGAAGATCGCGCCGAAAGGGGCAAGCCAAACGTCATGTTTATTTGGTCGCCGATACCGCGGGCGCCCCGCCCCTTTATCATCGCCCCCGGGTTTCGCGACACGCCTCGCCACTTGCACACCGCGTGCACGCTGCATATCCTAACATCCTCAAGACACACGCCCCGACGACAACGACGACGACAACGACCTGGTACGACGACCTCACCACACGCTCTACTGCAGGATGAAATACATCGAGATACCGGAGCTCGCGCGCCTTGCGCAGGTGCTCACCCACGAAGGCCCCGAATGCTCCGTCCACACCCGCATCGAGGCCTACAGCTGCAAGAACATCAAGCGTGACAAGAAGCTCTTCCGCTCGCTCGAGAGCGCATACAATGACGAGGTCTCCCATTCGCCGCCCGTGCCCTCTTTCATCACGCTCGACCACGAGTCCGAGATCACCCCCTTTGGACCCATGAAAGAGCAGAACTCCCGCAAGACCCTCTACCTACTCATCGCGACGCTCAACGTTGCGTTTCCGGATCACGAGTTCTCCGACGTCCGCCCATGGCAGTTTAGTCGTGAGGAGAGTGGCGCCAGCGTGCTGACCTCGCTTAGCACCACGCTCGTCTCGCCGAATCGTGCGGGCATGTCGGCCCCGCGCACGTACTCCGCATACCCACCTGCCTCGTCCGACTTCTTCCCGTCGTCGGTGCCCACGTCATCGTCGCCCGTCAACTTCACGAAGCCGAGCCCGCACGCACCGCCGAAGGTCATGTCGGGCACGCACCCCACGCTTTTCCGGATGTTGGACAACGTGATCGGCTTGTCGGAATGCGAGGTCTACTCATACACGCCGAACATCGAGCATGACCCGCATGCGGACGACTATTCGGATGACGAAGACGATGTTGCGTCGGTGGGGGACGAGGAACCGTCGACGGACGAGGAGGAGCTGTTCCCATTTGACGAGTACGACGCGGACAGCATGCCGCGGCACTCGTCCTGGCAGAGCGCGATGAGCGGGCGTCCGGGATCCAGCGACGAGTCGGACGAGATGCCGATACGTACGATCTCGCCGACGCACGTCCGGATGAAGCGGCGGGGTGCGCTGCTCTGGAGCTCGCACTGGTTCTTCCTGAACAGAAAGCTCAAGCGCATATTGCTCATCACCACCTGGGCGCGATCCAAGAACGTACGGTCTTGGGTCGACGAGGAGATGTTTGTTGATGAGAAAGCGACCGAGAGGTTCTTGGGATGGGAGGGCGCTATTGGTGCCGGGGCCCGCGCGTTGGGTCTCGGTGCTTCAATCTGAACTCGTATTGGTGGGGTTATTACCGGTGAGACCTAGTTCCTGTCAGTCACATAAGCGGTCGAATTGACCACCGTACGTGTTAGTGACTACGACGCACCTTGATCATGCTCCTTTTCAATTATCTTGGTAATTTAGCTGGACTTTCGGATTGCGCACCTTATACTATGTCTCATCTATCTGCTCCCCTGTACATGTAGCCTGTCACGACAGTAATTCACATACCAGACACTGCGTGTCATCATAGGACTCAGTAACGCCTGGGACGCCGTTGGCGAAGGTTCATTCGAATAATTTAGGTGACAGGTCCGAGTGGACAGGATCGACCTCTTCGACCATAAGATAAGGATCAAGTGGATGAAATTTAGACGGTGGGCGGGCTCATATACAACGTGCTAGATGGTGTGAGGGGAGTGCAGTCTGATGGGATGACTCTACTCGGTTGTGATGAGTCGAGTCAAAGGCTGTTTCTGAGTTCATATTGGCGGAGTGGGGCAATGAGACGAGGGAAGAGAGGAGGGCTCAGGAGAACAAGCAAAATTCGCGGGGCCTTGTACATAATTATATTATAGCCATCGCCACATCGATAACAAGAGCGAATGAGAATCCTGGGCCATGTAATTTCCGTCGAGGCACTCATCGACATCGATTCCCAAATCCGGCTCCGAGGGTGTCTCCATCAATTACGTAATTGTTTGGCAACAGCCTCGGATCCTAACAACCGCCGCCACGTGCTCGACCATCGCGAAACTAATACTCAAGTACTTGTGCTCTGGAATGATTCCTCGCTACTCAAATCCTCACTTCCTCAGTGCCTCTCTGGAATCTACCTCACGTGCACAGCTTGTAGATGATGAGACTTCAGCCGAAGTGCGAGACGATAGGGAGCGCACCACGATGTTGGCTCAACTGGAGCAAATGTTAAAGAGATCAATCGGCAATCTTGATCTGCAGCAAGATACGAATTCAGACGGGAATGCGCATAGAAAAAAGAGAAGACGAAAGGACGGTGCAGCCGAACCTGCCTCAGTCGAAGCAATGCGTGTGTCTCTTGTAGACTTTCTACTTCTATCACGCTAACATCATTCAAGCTTTCCGTCTAGTCTCGCGAACCATCGCCCCGAAGGCTATCCAGCTGCGTGAAAAGACGCCTCCACCAATAAAGTGAGTCTCAAACAGCGGCCGCTCAAAATCATGCTCATCCACAACAGGGTTAAAGAACCGCCATGCGAAGATGACGCGAATGAGGCCAAGATTCGTCGGCAACAGGCACAAGCAGTCGCTGTTGACATGGATTGGCTGCTTAGCGAATCTCGAAGACCACACCTCGTATGATCTTTATGCGAATGGTACTTGGATCATAACACTGACCCGCTCCTAGTCTCACAAGCCTGATAACAACATCGTCCACATCGATGCGGCCCTGCCATTACCAGAAGCCGGTGTCATGATCGTCGAACGGCCGAAGCCTGCAATTAAGCCGCTCAGAAGAGTCGCTCGTGCGCCTTCTGCGCAGGCTCGGCCGTCTCCGCATGAGCTGAAGTACGAGACAATACACTGCCCGATAGTCAACTCAAAGCCCTCTGAGACCACATCACGGAAAGTCAAGAAGCGACGAAAAGCGTCTCATCCCACTCCTCCTCGACCGCCCGCCATGTTCTGGCGTCCGCTGCGAGGATGGGGCCCGAAGGTAATGGGCTACGCCATGGGATATGAAGGCAGCTGGGCTGTCTTTGAGGACGATCCACAGCGGTACCACTACCAGCGAGACACAATGCGCAAAGGTATACTGTTGCAATAAAGATGTCTGCGTCGCGTCAATCAGATCCTTTCGGTACTCATACACGGTATCGGAGTCAGCATCTACTGCACAATCCACACAACAATCATTAAAAGTTCCATCAACCCTCATGCATCTCATCGTCCGCGTCTTTTTGCTTGGGCTGGGGGTAATCTCGCGTGACCACTTGCTTGCCCTTGTCTCTGTCCCGGTGCTCCCGCATTTTCTGCGCCCACGCATCTTCTCCACCGGGCACACCCTTGATGCCAAACGTGCCAATCTCCGCGCTCGCCTCTAGCGCGAGCTCGAGGAGCTCGAGGACCTGCCCGTTGATCGGATCGAGGCTCAGCGTCTGCCAATGTTGGCGTTACAACCTGCATCGTGCACACAAAATGCGATGTGGACGTACCTCATGGTACTTGACGATTGCCGCCTCGATTTCCCCCAGTAGATGGTACGTGATGCCTAGGAAGGCCAGCGCTGTCTGGTTCCGGGGGTCAATCTCGATGACCTTTTGGTACGCTGCCTTGGCTTCTTGGAGCCGTCTGAGGAAGGCGTTAGGTCCCATGCGTGCGCTCAGGGGCGATCATAGACCTACCCGAGTCTGCGATATGCGGTGCCCAGATTCAGATAGGTGTTCTTCCACGCCCGCTGTGAGGTCTGTACGATTTTCGCAAGGTCCAATGCATGCGCGAACATGGCCGCTGCTGCTTCGAAACTGTGTGCAATCTGTCAAACACAAGCCTAGTCTAGTGTTCGTAGAGTACCTACTCTTCGCGGTTGTAGGCCATGACAGCGCGTTCGTTTACGAGTAGCGGGTCACTGTCGCATATACTATACGCGGCATTGAGAGCTTCGTCGGCCAACGACCGATTGGACAGCACGATGTGCTCCATGCCTACGAACATTAGCGGCAGGTGTGATCTGATAAGAGCGTCATTCCGAGGTCGCCGAATCAAAGACCAGGGAGTGAGAAGCATACCCCGTGAACATACGCGCGCACGTCGAGTACGCGGTCACCGCATGGTCGTGCTCGCCCTCCAGCGCAAATGTGTGTGCGAACGCGATCCACGCGGGTGCGAACCGTGGATCCATGAGCGACGTCTTACTTTCGTTGGAATGATGGACTTGTTAGGGCACAGTCAGCGCATCCAGATGCAACCTCACCTGAAGTATGTCCGTGCCTCTGCCCATTTTTTCGCGGATAGATACCACGCGCCGACCGCGTACCAGCTAATTGGGGACTCGGGCTCCTTGTCGACAAGTTCGTGCGCAAGGATGAAAAGCTTCGAGTTGAGGTGGGAGAGATGGTGCATGCACGCGATGTGGAGCGGCATTGTGGGTGCGTGCACCGACACCAGACCGAGGATTCTGCTCTGTTGTGAGTGGACGGTCTCGTTCACGAGCGCTATCTACGAACCTCGTCGTGACGGCGAAGCAATCTGCCCAGCGAAACTGCGCATACAGCGCGTCGGCGAAGCTATACAGTACGTCGGGGTTGTCCCCCAGGCCGTACTCATCGACCAGACGCGTCCGTGCAAGCGCATGCTCTTCGGCATGTTTGAACTTGCGCAATCGCGAAGTGTACATGAGCCGGATAAATTCCCCATCCTCCGGTGTTTGTTCTCGGTACGCGAGGCTTTGCACAAAATTCCACTCTGCCTTCGCGTAAGGTATAATCGAAAGTCAAGGGTAATCACAATGCACACACCCTCGTCCGGGGTCATCATCTCCCCTGTTACAAGTTGCTCGAAGGACTCATAGCACTTCACGTCAAGTGCGAGCGCTTCCATAAAGCAGGTTTTTGCCTGGTCACCTCGGTTCAACTTCAGCATGAGCAAGCCGCGCAGATGACACATAGATGCTTCGATCTGCAACTCAATCAAGCATCCGGCACGCGCAACAAGACATACACATACCTTGATGCCGCCGTCGATGTTAGGAATGTCGCGGCCGCTCCGTCCAGAGCCCCGAAACGGGTTCGCTTCGCCAAGTATCTCCGTAGCCTCGGTCCACTTACCCTGACGGACCTGGCACTGCGCACAGAGGTATCGGCACGCGACGCTCATGTCGACAAGGCGCGACACACCCTCTTGGAACCGCACCGCGACGTCAACCATCTCACTGGGGCCGACGGGCAGACGTTCAATTATGGGCGCAAGGGGTGGTGCCACGGTCATGGGAATCTCGCGCCCCTTACCCTTTACGCTGGCGTTGGCGGACGGCATGTCGAGGTGGCCGTTGCTGAGGACACCCTGCGTAGGCGCATTCTTCGGTGGCGAGGTGGGAAACGGGCGCGTGAGCAGCCGCTCTGCGCGGGAGTACTGGTGCGTGAGGAAGAACGTTTGCGCGAGCCAAAACGCGTCATTGGGGTCGTCTGTGCGCTGTGGGATGTAGCCACCCGTGACCGCGACTGCACAGAAGACTCACTCGTCCAGCTGACAATCTTGTCCCCCCAGAATGCGGCCGTGTCGTACAGGTGCTGCATGAGCGCGTCATGCCGCCACAGACGCATGCGATCGACAATGGTGAAGGATAAGTCTTCGGAGGGGTGCTCGCTCGCGTCGTCTTGGAAGACATCCGTGGTGTCGGTGGCCAGCGGATGCCTACTTGTGCTCGTCTTTGTTCTACGGGGTACGCGTGGAGAAGAGCATAGTGGCGATGCCTGCAGAATAGATCGGTTTGGGTCAAGTGCGAACGAACGCGGATTTGACGCGGTGCTAGTATTGGCTTCGGCAAGGGAGTCTACAAGGGACTGTGGGCCAAAGGAGAAGGACGAGTTGAGAGAATGTCGAGGACGCGAGCTGGAGGGGGATGGCATTCTGGGTGCGGGCGACCGCCAGTGGCAGATGATTGTGAACGCGTCGCTCGACAGTGCTTGCTCGCTGATATTGTATGGCACTGTTTGGCACTGGAGGCGCTCGTGAATAGAGCCACGTGCTCGATCTCGATCATTGTCTGTAAATGGTCCAAAATTTCTAACTTACTGCTCACCAGTCCCGCTGATCCCCCTCCACCATGTCTTCTGCTCCAGTCGCGCTGCCAGCTAAGGCTCCTAGAAAACGCAAATCTCATGCAAAGCTCGCCGATCCGAGCGCAGCTCCCGCGCCGGTACTTGCTGAGCAGCAAGAGCAGTCCAAGGCACCCAGAAAACCTCGCAAGTCACACACTGCAGTCCAGGTCACAGAGACCGCGCCCGCTCCACCCGAACCCACGTCTGTCGCTCCTGATGCTGCTGTAGCAGAAGCGCCACCCAAGAAGCTGAAGCGGAAGGTCTTACGAGCACTTGCTGCAGCTGCATCAGCAGAAGCGGCACCAGTAGAGGCTGAGGATAAGCCTGCTGCTGCCGGGCAAGTGACGGAGGGCGCCGAGAAGACGAAGAAGCGGAAACGCAAGCAGAAGGCTGGTGGCGTTGCGGTAGACGCGACCAGCGAGAAACAAACAGCCCCCATTGCAACGCCATCCGCATCTGGAATCGAGGATGCACCGCCCGCCACCGCAGAAGCCGCGGCGAAGGAACCCGAGACTCTTGTACAAGGCAAAAAGCGCAAGCGGAAAGCTGGTGCAAGCAACGGCATTGACGCGAACGAGCCCACAGCAAAGGCTGAGGTAGTAGCCAAGCAGGCGCAACCGGCGACGAAGCCTGTAGAGGCAATTGCAACAGCTGAAGCGCAGGAGGGTCCAAATGGTGCTCAGGAGAAGCCGAGAAAGCGGAAGAAGGCAAGGGCGGACGACGCTGCTACTCTCGCACCGGCATCGCAGCTAGACGAGGCGTCGAAGACAGAGAGCGAGGCGAAACCTGAAAAGAAGCCCAAGCGCAAACACCTGAGAGCAGAGGCTGCCGCGCTTGCGGCGGCGACAGCCACCAAGCAGGACGAGAAGGAGGAACCCACCACACAGCCGACACCGGCGGAGGAAGCGGCGCCCTCGCGTCCCACCACACTGATCACGCAGAAAGTGAAGCCCGGCGCGAGCTCATCTAAGGCAAAAACGCCCGCCGCCAAAATACCCACGCCCGCGGTGGACCCCGAGCCTGTTCAGTCCGACGACGACGAGGCGGTCCGGGCGGGAAGCGACGTCGAGGCCGAGGAGGACGAGCACCTTTGGGGCTTCTCGACAGACGATGAGGACTCGTCCGACGACGACATGGAGGAGCAGTGGACCGGCCTCGATGCGGCTCAGCTGCCGACCGTGGCGAAAGACGACGCAGTCGTGAAGCAAAAGCTCGCAAAAGCTCAGCGGCAGCCGGTACGCCCCGCGCTGCGTGCGATGTTCTGTACCCACTCACAAGTTGCGCGTACACACAGACCGGGGACCGCGGTGTGATCTATCTCGGACGGGTCCCGCATGGGTTCTACGAGGAGCAGATGCGGGCGTACTTCGCGCAGTTCGGGACCGTCACCCGTCTGCGGCTCTCGCGCAACAAGAAGGTACGCGTCCTGCCCCCGCCGTCGCGCGCGTCCGTTCAGCCGTAACTCACCGCGCGGAATCCGCTGATATCGCCCTAGACGGGACGTTCCAAGCACTACGCGTTCATCGAGTTCGACTCGTCCTCCGTCGCCAAAATCGTCGCGGAGACGATGGACAACTACCTGCTCATGGGCCACATCCTGACGTGCAAGGTGATCCCCAAGGAGAAGGTGCACCCCGAGCTCTGGGTCGGCTCGAACAAAAAATGGCGCGCCGTGCCCCGGGACCGGCTCGCGCGTGTGCAGCACAACAAGGTGCGTGCATCCTGCGTGCTGACGCCCACAAGCTGGCTGATAGGGCATCATTTCCAGCCCCGCACCGCGGAGGAGCAGCAGAAGGCAGAGAAGCGGCTGCTCCAGCGGCAGGAGAGCAAGAAGCGCAAGCTCAAGGAAGCGGGCATTAAATACGACATCGACGCCGTGTCATATGTGCGTCGCGCGCCCTTTGGTCATCGCGTGTGCTGATTGTTCCCTGTAGAAAAAGAGGGCCAAGGCTGCAGAAGCGTAAGACTTCGTGGATGCATGCTCCCCCAACGTCGTGTATTCTGCTCTCTGCTTATGCGATACCACTGCATGTATGCTCTGCATGATGACCGCATGATATTGACGGTCGATAACCATGCTTTTGTTTCGGTCATTGTCTCTGTTGGGGTATGATCATGTAATGCACTGCTCGCACTTTGCTTTTTGCGGGTGCGCTGTCCGGTGCGTCCTGCTTGCCTCTGTTCACCATACTACGTCATGTGGGCTACTTGTCTGATTCTTCTCGCTTAATTCTGACGTGGTTGTACTGAGCGGTGTTTGCTCAACCTCTGACATCTTCTAGCCATATCTGCAACAGCCTGACGGTTATTAGGTTCAGGTCGATGGGTCAGTGACCATTCACGCATTGAAATAACGACCGTGTCGCTTCTCCTCTGACGCCGCAGCGCGCACGCGATACGGCTGGCCCTGGTCGTGCCTGTTCCTGGCAGTGGCCCGATGTACACCGCCGAGCCAGAGTGACGTGCCTGCCGCGCTAGCGAACGAACGTGCTTGCACTCGCACAAGATACCCTCGTATTCTCAACGGTCATCTATTCCTGTGCACGACAGGCGACGACAGGCCTGTGCTCGTCCGTGGCGCATCAGGCATATGGGTGCCGCATACGCCTCATTTTATTAATGGTACCCTGAATCGGCGGCCAGCACCGTGCGTACTCAGCAGTGCCTTGCTGTCAAGCGCATGCAGCGCATGCACCTGCTGAGTCACACTTGCTAACCTCGTAGTGTGCTGCTCTTCGTGCCTCCTGTATCCGTTGAGTTCAGCGTGCATCCGGTGGCAAACACAGGCTGATGGTTCCGGCCGTGGTATGTATGTTCAGATACGCTGCGATCTTTGCGCGAAAGCGACATCTCGACACACGGCTCTCCGAACAGACATCACATGTGAACACGTACATCCCTCACGGCTCTCGAGCACCCGGCTACGGACCGTGCTCCATGAACGTACTCCCCAATCTTGCGCGGCAGACAAATTGACGTAACGATGTCATTCTCCCTCGAATATATTTCCCTCCCAGACGCGTGTGCTACTACAATTTCGCTTTGCGCCCATTGGCAGACGGCTTCTCCGCATCCGAGTCTTCCCCAGCGCGATGCTCCGAGGGCCCTCCAGAATCAGAATGGCCTTGCGCGCGGTCCACCGCCTGCTCCCCCTTCTTGTGCGCGATGACCTGGGGGTTCTCCTCTTGCTCCGAAACGACCAGCTGCTTGGGCTTGTCTTCGGGCTTCACGTCAGAAGGCTCCGACGGCTCCTGGAAGCGGCCAGCCGGGATCTGCTCGGCCTTGACTTTCGAGACCATCCTCGCGCGCTGTGTGCACGGTCCCAGTCAGAGCTCGAACATGCATATTTACGGGGACGTACCGAGACTAACCACCAGCGATGTACAAGTACCAAGACGTGGTAATTTGTCTCTGAGTAGTTCCCCGTGAACAAGGCGTACAATGAGTAGGCTTCTAGCTGTGAGTGTTGCAACTTGAGAGGCAGAGTACTGGAGTGTTCGTGCACACCGTAAGCGGACCACCTGCGTGTCCTCAGCATCCTAAGGGAGCATACGTCACCGACGCATCAAATATTATCATAAATTCACCCCTCCGCCCGATCTTCCTCGCCTACCAAATTGGGCTTTGCACTGCGCTCGCTCGCCTGACGGTCGTCGTCGCTGAAACACTCGGGCCTCGGACAACGAACGTTCTGAACATTTGAACGGACAAACAAGGCCGCTTACAATAAAATCTTGGATATGAATTGCATTACGCCTAACGAGTGTGAGAAAGAGTGATGCATTCATGCTGAATACACGGGTATGCCAGGCGCATCCGGCGCACAACGTGCTCTGCCCACACGCGACGCCAATAGTAGAACACTCTAGTATAACATGCGTTTTGTGACATTACACCCGTGAGACGAGTCGAGGAGCGCGGTCGTGCCGATGAGGGAGCCAATATATATAAATCATGTCAGAGAGACAGAGAGAGTCGGGGAGAGCAGCGGGAGGGAACAGCGCGAGATGCAAGATGGAGACATATGCACGCGGCCTACACTGGCTCGCCGAGTGGTGCGACACCTGTAGTGACGGATGGGTGAGCAGGAGCCCAAACACACCAGACGAAGCGTTAGTACCTTCGATGAACCCATCCTGCCTCTCGTTCGAGATGTCTTCTAGCGACTGCTGCTTCGTCTCCTTGATCAGCAGCGTCGAGAACACGCCCGTCAACATGAAGAACGCCAGGATCTCGATGCTGCAAAGTCACCGTCAGCGCGCCGCACGCAACATGTGCACGAGTTCAGGGGGACAACGCACATGTGCTTCACAAACTTGTTCGTCCCGCCGATGTTCGCCATCTGCGCGAAGCCGACCTGCGAGATGACCGCACCGAGCTTGCCGCTCGCCGCGGCGATACCGTGGCTCGTCGAGCGGTAGCGCGTCGGGAACGCCTCGCCGGGCACGATGAACGTCGTCGTGTTCGGCCCGAAGTTCTCGAAGAAGTTCGCGAGGCAGTACAGGAACACAAACGCCTTCTTCCCCGCGGACGTCGCCGTCAGCGCGTCGTAGCCGAAGCCCATGATGATGAACAGGATCGTCAGCATGATGAAGCCCATCAGCTGGATCGGCTTGCGGCCCCACGAGTCGATCACGAGGAACGACGCCCAGTACCCCGGGATGAGCCCCGCCACGGTCAGGATGATGTTCCCGACGCAGATGTTCTTCAGGTTCGTGTAGATCTTGAGCGTGCCCTTCAGGTCGGAGCTCGGAGAGCCGAATCCGATGGCCTCGAGGATGATAGCTGAGTTCAAGCCCAGGCCGTAGAACGCAATCTGCGGCACCCGTCAGCCTGGGTGCATCGCGGACACCGCGCATGCATGAACTTACATCGAGTGCAAACCATGAGTATGCGCAGCCAATAAGCTGGCGCGCGTTCTCCCACTTCGAATAGTACGCAAAGAAGTCCCTGCGGGTGGCCTTGGGTGCTTGCACGCGCTGCACAACGGCGTCGGGGTCGACGTAGTAGCTGCCGGTCGTGAGGAAGTTCTCGACGTCCTGCGCGGCCTGCTTGACATTGCGCTCGACGTCCATGGTGAACCGCGGCGTCTCAGGGATGGTGAGCCGGAAGTAGAGGGCAATCGCGCCTGGCACACAGCCAAGCCCGATCAGGATGCGCCACATGAAGTCGATCGAGCGCAGGTTGTCCGTGGTCTCGCTCAAAAGGTCATCCTTGTAGGCAGCAACGACGACGTACGCGACGATTGCGCCGGCTGCGGAGCTCCAGCGTGAGCGCATTGGAGGGATAATGCGTGAATGAGCGACTTACCGAGCTGGCCCCAGCCCTGGTTCGCGAAAACGGCGGTCATCAGCCGACCACGACTGCGAGTCGAGGCGAACTCGGACGAGATCACGGCACTAAGAGGGTAATCACCACCGATACCTATGCCCATCTAAATTTCCATAACGTTATCTCAGCGACGTTGCCCGCACAGTGTCTGCAGTGATGCGCACCAGAACTCGCCATGCTATGATGACGCCGAGGACATTGACTGCGCGCGCTTGACCGGCGACGGCCTGTCCGAATGTCGCAACGATGATAATCATAAGCTCAATACCGTCTGTCAATAGACAATTAGTTAGCTGCGAAGATGTGCGCCGAGGAGACTGGCGACGGGCGGTAAAGCTTTGGACTCACACATTCGCTTACGACCGACGACATCCGCCATCCAACCGAAGAAGAATTGACCGAAGATGTTGCCAATAGGAGTCGCCACTTTGACACCCAGACTCTCGTTCGAGCTCAGCGCAAAGCCACTTGCAGCTAGCGAGACAGACCACCGTCACCCATCAGATGGAGGACAAGGTTGGATTGTTCACTTACCACTACCAGCTAGCAGAGCGCGTCAGCGACATGAGTAGGATAAAGTATAGTAGGAGTACTTACTCCTGCCGTAGACGTAGCCCAACATTGTTGCGGCAATGTTGATGGCGAAGATGTCATAGCTAGATGTCTGCTTAACACGAATCCTCAAGTGACACAGGATTGATTCAACTCACGCATCGGTGAAGAAGCCCACGCCAGCAACGAGAGAAACCTTTACATGGAACCACCTGACAATAAAGGCATCAACTCGAGCAGTCAGGAAATGCAGCGCGAGCGTACTGACCCGAATTTGGCGTTGTCGACCTCCGACAAGGCCGCTCGTCGTTTCTCGTCGAGCGCATATGCTATGCTGCTGACGGGGACCTTCTCCCCATGGCCTGAACTGCTCGACGACACGATCTCTGTAGCCATCTCGCAAGGGAGCGAAGGGAGGGGAATTGGCGAAGAGAGATGAGAGGGCGCCCGATAGCGCTGCGGGTCTTTTAACTCGCCCTTCTAAGTCCATTTCGGCACTCTATGTTCCGAGGGGCAATTGGCACAGCTGGGCCCGGGGACCACGCTACGCACCTACGTTCCTTGCACGTTCGTAGTCTGCAGCCAATCGGCGCGCTGCATTCTGTGGTGGCGTGTTGGCGCCGCCTTCCATTCTGGGCGTGGAGAAGTTGATGCAGATGGGCTGCGAGCACGTTCTCAAGCCTCTCCGCCCCTCGATCGTCTCCAAATCTTCCTGTGCCTTGTCTCTGCGCGCGAAAGCGGTCCTGCCGAGCATTATCTTCTCTCCGCGACGCTGCTGTCGGTACCGGATGTCGCGTATGCGGTACTCGTTGGAGACTGTCACCCCTTGACGACTTGGACGCATTCTCGCAGCCTGTCCAGACTCGGAGTCACATTGCATGTGGTTGACAGGTCTTCTTGCTAGCGAGAATACACCCACGGGACGCCCCCTCCGCGCGAAGAGCCGCCCTGCCCGCATGCTTATGTACGCATAGAAGGAGACACATCGAGGCAGCGAGCTAGCCCACAGCCTCGGTGCGATCCCACACTCTCGTCATCGAGCCGCGGCACCTATGTTTGGGACTTCTCGGATGTCCGTGCCTGATTGTGGCAATTCAGTATCCGGCTTCTTGACGCAACTCTCTTTTCAATGAAGTGTGCCGTGATTTGGCACCGCTTATGGCGATCTGCACTCTACCCGGTCGCACACGTTGCACGTGCCTTATATAGAGTGTACTGTACAAGGCTACGTGCGCCGGCCACCACGTCTAGCCGATTGCACTCGGTGCAATCAACGTCACTTCCCGCACGAACATGGACCAAATATACAACGAAATGCATCAAATATCTGGGGACTATCCTCGGAGATCCAGAAATTGCTGATCGGAGCTTGCTGCTGATTGGCTAGTGAGCACCAAAGATCGGTTCCTTCTGTTCGTTACAATGTCGGTCAGAATGTATACCGCGTTTCTGACTGCACTAGATATATTATTGATCTGCTCAAAATCGACATTGGATTCCGGTGATAGCTTCTTGAGCGGAGCGTGTTCCAAGGGGAGATGCCCGATGGCAGAGATCTAGTCGAGAAGAATGCGGAATTCTTCTATTCCCTGATGTTACGAGGTCAGTGCGGTTGATCATCCAATACAGTGCACCGTATGAGCGTGCTTTATTCTGCCCTCGTACATGGTTGGGGCTGAGTCAAATGCTTCTGATGACGTAGCAGGCGACAGATCGCGCGGAGAAGTTCAACGTTCACATGCTGGCCTGCCTTGTGTTTGGAAGTTCAATATTTCAGCATCGGTATACCTACTTCCGTCTGTATTCGGGATACACTTCCGGGGCCATTACGTGGGGTCCCTCATAGCTGCGTTATCAAAGGACTTCTTCGGAAGGGCACCACGGGCACTACGTGCCCAAGAAGCTTCGGCTTCGGCTTCGTCGGGGCAGCACCAAGGTTCAAAATGTCATTTCACTGGTAAGATGCTGTCCTATGGGTAGGGGTGACTAATACATCCGTCGCAATCTGTCAACGCCTGCTCAATCGATCACACGTGCTAATGTCATGTTTATGCACAAGCTAGCTTACAGCAGTGCCCTCGTCTGGCGCACTCGCTCTAGGAGCCGTCGGCCGGCCTAGCGCATCTACTCGCTGGGCTCATCATCCGTTGTCGTCTTACTGTCATCCAGGTGAAATAGTTCAGTACATCATTGCATGCTATGCTGACGATCGCAGTATTTCAGACACTCGGCTTGGGCCACCGCTGCGCGGCATACTGTCCACAATTTCTACTGTCAGTGTTTTTACTGATCCGTGCGCCCACTTAGGATGCGCATCAAAAGCGCGCCATCCGCCTCCTCTCGGATGCGCTTAATATTATCACGTTCCGTGACAGGGCGATGCGGCATATGCGCCGCTGTCAACACTTCATTCCTTCTCGATTCTCGATTCTCGCAGCATCGCCGCAATGACTGTTCAACATCGACCGTCTGAACCTTGATGTTCCTCATAATAACAAAGATTGCACCGCCCCTCCCTCCCTACCAGTCCAGAACTGCTCCTCGATTACCCATCCTCGACTACCCATCTCCTTCTCCCACTTCGCTACCGCGCACTCCGGCATTCTTCCTTATGTACCCTCGGCTGGCGTCGGACCGTATACCTTGTTCCAGGACGCGCGGCGTAATTGTGTACGCAGAACTGCTTCAATCTGTCTACTAGTCCTTGCTGCGTGATTAATATGCAGTAGGGTATTCCAAGCCTTCCTCGGATCTGGCGGTGTCCACGGTCCACGGATCCATCGCTTGTTCATCGTCGTAATCGAGGCTCGCTCTCTCGGCCTTGTCGTCGTGGGGCTGTTGAGCGCAGTGCGCACTGGATGAGCAGACCATATTGTGTACTGCCTTGCGTTCCCGCTAGGAGCGACTTTTTCCCGCACACGAGGCACGATCTACGGACTCACTTGGGCCCATTACTGGCAGTGCCATCCATGCGATCATACTTCTACAAAGTCATGCATCGCTATGAGTACTCTCAGCCTGTACCGGCCAGGGACCCCTGGGTGATCAGTACAGGAAATCTGTCGAACCCCCGCAGAAGCTTTTGGCAGGTGTTGCGGAGACCTCAGAGTTGCGCCCCCGTATAGACTTTTTGGCACGTCCACATCCTTGCTCATCTAGAACGGGGTCTGATATAGCATTATCGCTGCATCATCTCAACAAGGACACCAAATCACACTGCCCAGTGGCGTATCTTTTTTTGGCGGCGTATTGTGCACTGCCAAGTCGCTCAGACAGACGCTTGACCATCCAGTATTATCTTATCCTCCTCTACTTATCAGATCAATAGAAGCGGAAGCAATCCTCCCCGTTGGTCCAATCCTCACTACCGCAAAAATATGTTCATTTTCTTAACCGTTGGGACCTGCTCACGCCACCACTCCTCGATCTCAAAACTTCACGCTCTACTAATGCAGAAGAAGCCGATTACGTCTCTCGCTATAGGGAATCTGGTGTCCCCATCTATGTCTGCGCACTGTCTGGAGCATCTTGCGGCGAAAGCCCCTTCTGGTTTGGCAGATTCAAGATCTCTTTGCTGGGTGTTCCCGGTATATGTCGCGCGCCGAATCCTGCCGCTAGACAGCGGCGCATGTTGAATCAGCGACGGCGTCGCGAGCAATGAGTTTACCGAACAAATCAGGTTCGCATGCTGTCCGTCGCACCAGATTGTAGCCATTGTGCCTGTCTCGCTGGATTATCACCACCTTCGCCGCAGACAGACATCTACATACACCGTTGAACAGATATTTATCCCGATAAGCACGCACTGTCCGAGGACATGGCTCTTGACGAGAACGCGATGTAATGGCTGCGTTTGCTCAACTTGCTAAGTTTACATGACATGTCTTTGATCATGTTTCAGTGGCAGCATCTGGATCTGTATGCTGTCGGCCGCCTCTGGGATGCACCTGACGGTATCATAGGCGAGCGTTTCTGGCCACCCTTATGGTATTCCTTAGTACTTACGATGCTGGACAGATGCGGAATTGGCTCATTGGAGCAAGTTCTCCTATCACTCCAACTCAATGCTCATCTTGAATCGAACCATGGCAGGACCCTACACACAAATTCGCTTCCTGGCCTCAGGCCCGCAAAATAGCTTAACGAAAGAGGGTACATCTTAAACAATCATCCTGGGATGACGGTTGTCAGGAACCCGGGGCGATCTTGGCAATTGCTACAGAAATAAACGATACGATGGATTCCCCTGAGTTGTGAGAATTCATACCACTGCACCGTTGAACACGGATGTCGACCGTACTACCGTGGAGCTGCCAGGTTTGAAGTAAAATGCCTTACCAAGGGTTCGAGTCAGTTAGCGAGAAACCCGCACAGAGCTAGCCGTGAACACTGTCCCCGTTACTTTGAGTTCTCGGCCGTGCGATCTCTTTCTGTGCACGAAGAGAAAGCCCCTGAAACTGTCCACGTTCAATCGCCACCGAAGGCTGGCTTCTCCGACGTAGGACAATTTACGGAGCTCATGCGCAGGAATTCCACCTTCCCCGGGACACAGTATACCTGTAGATGGACATTGTAAAAGGGTGTTCGTACCTCTCTTTCCTCAATACGTTTTTGTGCTCATTCATCGGCACCCCCGAGGTAATATTGGGTTTCTGATGCGCCCGCATCTCGACATAAGGCTACGCACGACCCGCAGAGGATATGGCCCTTCTCCCTGCACCAAGCTTGGGTGCAAACGACACGGATCAAGTCTTCCGTTGACCCTCTAGTAGTACTGTGGGCTCGTGCACATCTGAAGGTGGGTTCTTTCAGATTGTCCCTGAGGGGGATGATGCAGCCCGTCTTTGTCGGAGGGTGCGTCTCTCGCTGCAATATCAAACCCCTGAAACTTCCTATGACTAATACTCAGTGCCCCCTCCCCTTATCACACCAGTAGAAACGGGAGCAGTCTTCCTACTGTTCGCAACCTCCCCTCCTTTGGATCAATCCTCATTTCCGCGGGAATATGTTCCTTATTCCATCGATTGGATCGTGCTCATGCGACCGCCTATTCCTCAGTCCCAAACAGTCATGCTCTACTGAACCGAAGAACCCGATTATGTCACTTGCTATGTACCCCGACGATAAAGGGAATCGCGTGTCCACAATCTATGTCTGCGCACTTGCTAGAGTACCTTGCGGTGAAAGTCTTCTCTGGGTTAGTTGACTGGTCTCTTTGCTGTGAATGCTCCGAGGGTACGTGTCATGCGCCGAGGAGCGCCACTAGACAGCGGCGCATGTTGAATCAGCGGTGGCACTGTGAGCAGCCTGTTGGAAGTACAATCGATACTTACTGTAGTAGATCACATAACCTCATATGGTACTCACACCGTTCGTTTTGAAGTTTGTGCTTTGATACTTTGTTCCTGTAACGCTTCACTCACCCCAGCCCCGGTATGCGCTGTATCCAATCCCTATATTCTAGAGAAGTCTACAGGAGTGCATACATAGAGGCATAGAGTAAGAGACAGCTGCCTGTCAGAGGACGCGAATCGCGGCCGCCACGAAACCCATCCTCGAGGCAAACAATGCCAAACTCATCGGATCTCTGTACTAGATTAGTTACAGTTCCTTACGTGTTTGCTGGCTACAGGCCGGGTCAAACACGAATCTAGTTTCGTCGGCTTCAGTCTCAAACCCTGCCAGAAATCTAGTCTACTAGAGGTGAGCTTCGTATCTGCAATGCTTGTTAAAGCCAGGGCCATCGCACTAGACTGCAGCCATTTTGCCTGTTCCGTTGAATGATCAATACCCTCGCCACGAACAGACAATCACACTCACAGTTGAACAAATGACTTGCTCGATGAGCACACACTGTACGAGCATATAGTCGTTGACGAAAACGCAAGATATTGGCTGTGTTCACGCAACTCGCTATATCTTCTCGGTCATGATTTCGCGTCGGGATCGGTATACTGTCGGCCGCCTCTAGTTTGCACCTGATGATATCATGGGCGAGCGTTTCTGATCGCCCTTCTGGGATCCCTTACGATGCTGGGCAGGTACGGAACTTGCTGTAGTCTTCGACTCAATGCTCGCTTCGTACAGTGGCAGCCTTACTCACAAGTTCGCTACCTGGCCTCAGGCCCGTGAAATAGCATACCCAAAGATGGTACATTGCAAATAATCATCCTAGAATGACGCTACTCAGGAACCCGGAGCGATCGTGGCAATTGCGGCGGAAATAAACGATACGTTGGATTCCCCTGGAACGTGAGAATTCATACCGCTGTTCACCACGTATGTCGACACTACCGTTGAAATACTAGGTTTTCGAGTACCACAATGTCTCGTGAATAGTCGAAAGACCTGCAAGATGACACCCACAGCCAGTTTGAGCTCCAGTCGTGCAATCTCTGCTCTATGCAGCTGCCGCACGAAGAGACAAGCCCCTATCAGGGCCGTAGTAAGGAGGCGTCTCTGGGCACGAACGTGCGTAGTACTAGGCGCTAGCCGATCAGCCTGCGCCTTCCGCCACACTTCTTGAGCGCCTGATGGCGCTACTCATTCTGGGCAATTTGGCTGTGGCTGGATGCTATGCATCAGCATCGCAACGGAAATTGCAGAATACTTGTTGGCTGTCGGCACCAGGACCACGACTGGGCCTCCCTCACACTGACACCCGCTCCCATGATGATGGAACTTGAAGACTCAAAATGGTTGTTCCGTTATGCAAGGTTACGGTTCAGGAGTAACCCGGGTCTCAGCTGCTATCCGATGCTAAAACGGAGGTGGTATCTATCACATGGAAGCTCCTTTAGGTGGACATATTGAACAGGCCCAATCTTCTCTGCCGCCTACCGCCGCGCTGCAGGGTTTATTCGAGGAGACCCAGGGTCCCGAGCCAAGGGTATTTGGCAAGACACTGATCCTCGGGGCATCGAGGCCCTGCATACGGGCGCATCTCCCGCTGTTGCTTGCCCAGGCACATCGCCGTTCAGTCTCTGTTTGGTTGTGCTAGCGGTTCCTAGCCGCCCTGCGAATACCGGCGGTTTAACCGCATGTATAAAGCGTCTGTAGCGCAAAATAGCCGGCGGCGATCTCTTGCCTTATAGTGCACTTCACCACGCGGACCCACCAGGGCTCCGGGCCTGCACTCATGGCGACTTCATCAAAGGTCACTGTGTTTCATAGAACATCTACGCAGGAGCTCCACAGCTATGTGGTTACACCGGCTGAGCATGATGCTGTACACTTGCTTGACGAACGACGCCGCGCAGTTCTATCCGAAATCGACAACGCTCGATTCTCGTTAGTGGTGTCTCGAGCAACAGTGCTAGCTCTTGCTGATCCATCACACGCTATGCTAGATGGTTCCATATTAAGGTGGCGTTCGTCTCTGGCGCCGGCTTCTTCACAGACGCGTAAGTGATGCATCGTGCCCCTATATACTTCCAGAAACTCATGTGTAATCGGGCCCCGCTGTCGTAGCTATGATATTTTCGCGATCAACATAGTCGCGGGAATGCTGGGCTATCTCTATGGCTCAGGCAAGTAGCCTCGAACATGATCATGCAAGTGCTATGCGCTGACCTTCAACAGCGCCAGAGGGCTCATCGGACATTGCAGAGCGACAGCTGACTGCTATGGAGCAACTCGGCATCAAGGTAGCCACGCCAGTCGGTATCATCATTGGCCAGCTACTATTCGGGTGGCTGGGCGATCTTCTCGGCCGTAAGCGTATCTGTGAGTAGTCGAAGCGCTCCAAGATTTGATTGTCATACTCAGCATGGCACGCATGAACAGACGGCGTGGAGCTTTTGTTGATGATAGTCGGTACCTTTGGTCAGACACTTGCAGCACCAGCATACGGAATTAGCGTCGTCGGCGTCCTGATAGTCTGGCGGGTGTTTGTGAGTGAAAATCACTTTTTCCCGTGCGCTGTATTCATCACCCAGATCAGATGGGCATAGGGGTCGGAGGCGATTACCCACTCAGCGCAGTGATATCGTCGGAGTTCTCCTCTGTCCACATACGCGGACGCGTCATGACTGCTGTGTTTGCTAACCAGGGCTGGGGGCAATTAGGTGAGTTAACATTGCTTGGAACCGCAGGTCAACCTTGACGACAGAATGTCCTCCACAGCTGCGACTGCTATCTCCTGCATAGCGGTCAGATGCTACAAACTGAACATGCTGGACGATACCTCCAAGCTGCTCAAGGACGTCGACCAGATCTGGCGCATCATCATTGGCCTTGGTTGTGTCCCCGGCGCTATTGCGCTTTATTTTCGGCTGACTATCCCTGAAACTCCCCGCTTTACCATGGATATTGAGCGCAATGTACAAAAAGCCACACAGGACGTCGACGCGTTTCTCACGCCTGTAAACTATACCGTCGACCCAGAGGTGGCCTTCCAGCGTCTCTCGGCGCGCACCGCAAGCAAACAGGACTTTCAGTCGTACTTCTCTAAATGGGAGAATCTCAAAGTCCTGCTTGGCACGTCCTACTCGTGGTTTGCGCTCGATGTATGTGTGGCGTTCGCGAGAGAAGTGTGCGATGACGCTGATAGTATGCACGGGGCTGTCTAGATTGCGTTTTATGGCCTCGGGTTGAACTCTTCCATAATTCTGGATGCTATCGGCTTCGGGTCTCCGCAAAAGGGTCTGACCGGCGCTGCTTCAATATATGAGAACCTAACGAATACCTCCCTCGGCAATCTCATACTAACCGTCGCCGGCTTCATCCCTGGCTATTGGCTTGCGTTTATATTTATTGACCGATGGGGCAGGAAGCCTATTCAGCTGATGGGATTTGCCGTTCTCTTTGTTCTCCTTATCGTCATGGGTGCGTGCACCCACAATCACCTTGCCCTCGTGTATTCTCATGATGAACGTCAGGGTCCGCATACGAGAAGCTGATTGCGACGACTCGTGGCCGGAACGTCTTTGTATTCCTCTACTGCCTTGCGAACGTCTTCGAGAACTTTGGGCCCAATACCACGACGTTCATCGTCCCCGGAGAGGTCTTCCCTACGCGATACCGGTCAACTGCACACGGTATATCAGCCGCGAGTGGGAAGATTGGGGCTGTCGTTGCCCAGATCGCCTTTCAGTGGATGAAAGATATCGGGGGCAGCAACGCGTTCATTGGCCACATGTATGCGCTGTGCATCTTCATCATGATCTAAAACTTGGTTTGACTGTATGCTTTGTGCAGCCTCCAGATTTTCAGTTTCTTTATGCTCACCGGTCTTGCCTCAACGCTCCTGATACCGGAGACGAGTCACAAGACGCTGGAGAGGCTCTCCAACGAGAGGCAAGATGGCTTCTTCAGGCATAAAGGTGAGCGCGGGGGCTGGAAGTGCCGAATTGCAACTTGACGTCGCCCTATTAGACATTCACCGTCGGTTTAGCATGCGGACGTTAGGAGACTCGTTTCCCATGGGCACAATACGTTTGGCACCTTTGAACAGCACCGTACAGGAGCCCGACACCGCTGTCGTGTCGGGCAAGGGGGTGCATCGGACCCAATCCATCTCATGGCCAGTCACAACCTCCTTGCTATCAGAAAACACCATTACCGCTTGATTCGTTCTTTACATGCTAGCGGCATTCAGTCACTCGTTTCTAATTTATTCGATAATCTGTACAGTCCGGGCTGTAGGCTATTGCAATCCCCCGCGCCCAGGTAGACTCCTTGAATTTTGTGATGGATATGCGGCGGTCTTTGGATATGTAGTCATGGCCGTTTCTCTTCCATGCTGTAGCTCACGCGGTGGAAGGACAGATGGTGTGATTATTATAGTTCTCTTGGACTGAGACGCGGGCCATGAGATGTATCATACCCGCGAGGAGCTATCATCCTCGCGCGTTCTCCTCGTATTCCGCATTATAGAAACCATGCCTTTCAATACCTGGTTCGCGCTCAGCCGCCATCCACTTTTATCGCCAAACGCCTATCCTTCGTTCTTGCCTCCAATAGCCTGAGCGTACGAGATCATACGGCCCTGATTTGTGCCCTGTTGTGTAGATCGCTTACAATATTCCGGTCGATCCCACCTCATTCGGCCGCCAAGACCTATCGGAGGCGTATCCAAGTATTCTGAATCCCATGCATAGGTAGCATTATATTAGCCCCCTACAGCATGCAGAATGCCAGGCTAGGTCCGAGGTTGCGCCCGTCTCCTCAAGAGAGAGCGCATTACGTTCGAAAGCTGTCAATCAATCAACCACGTGCATTCCTGCCGCAGCTGATCATCTTAATCGGGGTTCGTTGCAAGATGATTGACTTCGAACCAGGAACCTATCTGCGTATATGCATCATGATCTTGCCTAATGTACAATTCCTTTGCTATAATTTCTACACAGGAACAGAGCTCATATCTACAAGCTCCAACGACGCGGGGTCCTCTTCTTGTCCGACAATCGCCAGATCCGACGCCTGGGATGTACTCAGAGTGGCCGTATGACGTGATTCATCCACTACATCGTAGAGAGGTGCGCCTAGGTTACCGATGACACTGGCAGTGATCCCCATGCTTTGTAGGTAATGAATGTGTCTTAGATTTAGCATGAATCTTGAGATGAGGATGCCGGCAACTCTGCGCAGGATCCGTCAGTACTGAGTAACCCGATGAAATCGAGCAGCTTGCTTACGGAGTTGTGAAAGTGGAAGCAAAATTCGTCAGAGGCTGTTTCGAAGCTCGGTCAAGAAGATATTCCAGAAGAATGACATGGCACTCACGCCGCCCACCGACTTGATCGTCATCTGCATGATATTCAAGGCGAGCAGTAGACTTGTACCATTCATTCAGCGTTGGAAGAGTTCCTGCGCGACAAATGGAACGTACACGAAATATATCGTACCTAATTCCACGGTTGCCATTGAGCGATGTGCTTTAATCGTACATAACATTCACATACCATCTCGTGCTAGTAATGTGGTCAAACCTCCCTTTAAAATTCCCTGGTGTGCAGTTTGCCGAGTTCTATACGTGTGTATCCATGTGACCGCCAGGACAATCACGTCCGCGGCAATTGCACACGCGCGACTAGCAAATATTACTGACGATTCGTTGGTAAGTCATTACCTGCGAAGAAAAGAGGGAATTTGTATACATCTGCGAATGAGGTCAACATTGAAGGACGCGGAGGAGAAGGCCGATCAGACTTGCCGATTGTAAGTTTGAATTGGATAATATTCATTATAATCACATAGGGGTGAGCCGTTGACGACAAACACATACGCGTACGACGACCTAGACATGAAATACTGTTGCTACTTAGAATGCGACGATTGAGAATGATGACACAGTGCTTACTATGGCGACGATTGCGGGTAGCAGACCCAAAAATAGCGTGACTGCGGCCGGAAACAAGACCAGCCCGCCGATAGCATATGCTCGAAGCGCTGAGAAGACTACAGCGGCTTCTTGATTAATGGAGAACAGACGTGTTACCACAGGGACTGATGGCCTACCTGCTGTGATCACAGTCAGTAATATGCTCACGATATCGTACAAGATAATTGTTGCTTCGCAACTGGCTGCAGGTGAGTTTCTGAATTGACATTATTAAGCAAGTAGCACATACCTCTGTGGAGTAACAGATATGACTGTGAGAGAATATTGTGGCTGAAAGTAGCCAGAGTACTTACGAGAGCGGTGTCCCAGACACCTGTCTGAAGCACGATTGCTACACCAAGAGACAATACGAGATATCGGTTGAGAAGGAACACGAGTGTGGCACCACTGAATTTGTGGCTCCAAACGAGTCGTATCTCGTCAGACAAAGTCATCATGTGTTCGTGAAAGATCATCGCTGAGCGGATAGTGCATGCGCATGAGGTCAGCGCAGCCCACAACACAGGTCCGTTAAGTCTGCTGCTTACTGCTGGCAGCTAACTGACAACTAGTACCGATGAATCTAAGGAAGGTCGCAGTAAGTCATTTGTGCACAAACGACTAGATGAAATGCTCACGTTAAACGAAGAGCATTAATATCCGCGTTCGTGATAGGTGAGGCATTGGAGGACATGCGCGTAGACGTGACAGCGGGACAGCGACGCGCTGCACACCTGACAATGGTAGTGCTCGTGTGATGTCTGCGCTATAAATTTGTGAACGAGACGGCGACGTATTCGATATCGGAGGAGGAACGAGGAGTAGAGGCAAGTACACTAGCACGCTGTATGGGGTAACGCCTGGCTACGCGGTCTTAATAAATGAAGGGCAATTGAAAACCTTGTTCCCGTGGGAGTTCTCAACGAGGTGTTGCTCAGATCGCTATCATACGCGCGACAGAGATGCTGACCGAGTTGAATGCTGCCAAGAGATTGGATATCAATATGGAGCGTCACGGACTTTGACAGCTGATTCCATATCGTTAGACCTACCCGAGAATATTTGTGCACAAGTGGAGTTGATGCGGGATTTGGAACCAACGGTCGTGACCATGGTCCCGACATGACTGGGCCCGGCAAAGTATCGTCACAGCCACAATTTACCACAGTAGGCCGTTTTTGCAGGCCCCGCTCATTCCCACCCGAGTCCGCTTGCGCACACATTGAGTTCAACAGGTCTAACAGTATAAATCAGCTGGAATACGCTTCCGGAATCCGTGATCTCGCAAGGCCGCGGGCTCTGCGAGTACATTTGTAGGAAAAGGCTTTCCTACCTAGTATGCACCCACCACCACCGTCGGTATGTCCTGAAATGGAGTACCAGCAAATGTTAGTGTTGCACACACTGCATGCAAGGATCGATGTGTTTGTCCAAAAGATTGAATTTAGCTTACATTTGAAGTGAGTAGCCCATGTTGGTCTTATTAAGGAGAAGATTGAATGGAACCCGATGGCAGGTTGAATGAAACAACGGATGCCTTCCCGCAGCGTCTGGACACGATTACAGAATAGAATTAAGCTCTAAATCGTGTCAGCAACACGGGTGACTGGCCTCAAAAATGTTGCCGTGCTATTAGACGCCGAAAAGTCTGGATTGTCACGATTGCATCTAGAGGAGAGGAACCTCCCTAGGCTACATTGAGCTTTGCAGACGTTGTTTTCGGGCTCGGATCTGGCTCAAGCACGATCATTCTGCTTACCTTATCCATTCCCGCCCTCGTAAGTCATTTGTTGGTAACGGCTGCTCTCCGGGCGCCTTTCTTCTGCCAAACGGCACGGACCGCCATAACGGGCCTATTTCAAAGTCCGGGTTGTATCTGCAAACCATCCAGATCCTGCGGGAAGGCATCCGCTGATTATTCCCAAACACTGTATGTAATGATCAATCTATTGTACCAAAAGATTGAATCAAGATTGAAAGAAGAGTGAATCTGCCTGTTTAGTATTCTGGTGCATAATGGATGCCTTCACCATCCACTGTATCGCCAACCGCCTATCATTCGTTCTTGCTTTCAATGGCCTGAGCGAAGCGACGGTATGTTTAGTGTACATGCAGACAATGATGAGCGCAGGTCTTCCTTTGAGAAGGCGCCTACCAAGGACAAAAGCATGTACCTAAGCGGCAACACAGTGACACAAAAGGTCCCGATAACTCTCGAGTGAAGGGGGAGGTCTGGTTGCCTCGAAGAAGCTCGTAGTCTATACTACAACTATAGCCACGGTCAGCCAAATATGATCGAGAGGTGCACGACGGCACAGGCCGCAAAGAACACACACTAGCCATGGTCTATCGCCTGTATCAACTCGAGCATCATGCATTCAATATCGAGTGACTCAGACGCTGCTACCAGCGCAATGCTAGTACTTCTCAAGCACCTTATGGAGACCTCATGGACAGATAGATAGCAAGAGGTATGCGTGACAATAACGTGACAGTTACACGATAGCAGCACAACAACTAAAACGATAGTACGAAAGCAGCGATAGCAATATGAAAGCAGCGATAGCAATACGAAAGCAACGATAGCATAACACGAATCACTCACGGCAACCACACACAAACCGTCTGGTCCACACTTCCTGTGGCCAACACGTTCATCCGCCTCTCAGTGTCTGCACCAGTGCCCCTCAAGTTCCCGGAGCCTGAGGCAGCCTTAATGTCTCCGCCTGCCTGCACGGGCGGGCCCCATGCCAGGCAGGTGATGAAATGGGAGTGCGCCTCTACCACTTTCATGCAGCGCCCCGTGGAAAGTTCCCAGACGCGGATCGTCTTGTCATCCGATGCGGAGAGCAGGTGCTTACCCGAAGGATGGAAGACAAGCCCCCGTATCCAGTCGTTGTGGCCGCTCTAATGGGGCAAGGGTAGTATATCAGAGTTCGTCGATTGGGGCTTGTCAATTGGAGGATAGACGCACCAACGTCCTCAGTTCCTGCCCGCTATGGACATCCCATATCTTGACCGTTTTGTCCCGAGAGCCCGTGGCAATATATGCGCCCGGAGCTTTCGTAGCCGCCTTTGCCAACGTCAATAAGGAGACCAAACGCGGGGAGAAGTGGAGCGTACCTTCAATCCCGCAAGCTCGCGAATTGCGGCGTACGATGCGAGCGGAGCAAATGCAATCACCTCGACTATATGACCGTGCCCTCTGAACTCCATCTTCATGACGCCTGATGTTGGATCCCATACACGTGCGGTCTGTTGAGGAGGTATTAATACTAGTAGTGGATGTGCGAACTGGAGTACTACACGTTATCGCTCGAGCAGCTTCCAAGTAGCGTCCCATCGGTGGATGGCACAGTCATGCGCACCCAATCTTCGTGGCCAGTGATCATTCTAATACAAAAGCTGCAACCAGGGAGTGGTGCGATGAGCTTTTTGCGATAAAGGATCAGGGGATGTCACGCCTACGTTGTTGCAACCTCCCAGATCCTGATTGTCTTGTCCCTGCTAGCACTTGCGATAAGGTCGTCCCCAGGCAAGAACTTGACAGTCGACACCGTATGCTCGTGTCCGCGCAGGGTCTTTCCGCTATATCCGGCATTGTCCCACTGCTGCGTGTCCCACACCTTGATGCTGAGGTCCGATGAGCACGTCGCTAGTGTCGCGCACAAGGCTCATGAGCCTGCAGCGCTCTGACAAGACTGTGTCCACATTACGCACCGAGAAACGACCCCTTGGAATCGAAATCGACGCCCCACACCTCCCTCGTGTGTCCCTTGAGCGTCCGCTCAAAGCTGCCCGTCTCCCAGTCCCATATCTTCACCGTCGTGTCTTCGCTGGCAGACGCAAGCAGCGAGAATGTGGGATGGAATGCGACACGTGTGATGGGCGCACGATGGCTAGTTAGCGTGTACCGTGCGGGCGCGGTGGGCAGCCAATCAACTTGGGCATCCCTACGGCGTGCTGGTCCCGCAGCAATATCTTCTTGCAGCGCAGTGTAACGGTTCTCGGATTCAATAAGCTGCCATGCAGGAGTGCGCTGAGCATCAGGTAGTCGACGCGTGCGCCAGCACGCACTTTCTTCTGTAGCCGGATTACGCTGACCCACTTCTTCTCTAACAAACCCGCATACTTTGAGTTTGGCTCAGACTTATAGTCGAGACTCAGCCGAGCGCATAGGCTGTCGGCAATCTCTGTAAGGTCTTGTGCATACAGATACTCCGCAATGGATTTATTGCTGTTGTGATTGTCAAACTTGTTACTACCCAGGAGTCATATAGGTACGCACAGATCGTCCTTTTGACGTTCAGACAGTATAGACATGGGAGTGGAATAGAGAATGTATCATGCTGCATGATGCCATGGGAATATTTGGAACTCCGGTAGTACTCCCGACCTTATCCTGGGCGCCAACGCGTTGATTAGGCGTCGCGACCCACGTGCTAATCACATGGACGCGTCACCTACCGACGCCCATAAGTCCCACTCCTTCCTCTACGTTTACGCTCCGGTCTGTCTTGAGTCACATAACGTCGTAACTCGGGGGCACCGGAACTCTGCAGCTTTCTTCTCTTCATGTTCGTTCATATGGATGGTGGCAATATGCCGATGACATTCCGGAAGCACAGTGTATACGTATAAACTCATTACAGGGGTATGGGACACATATAAAACATCAAAATTGGATTTATGACCTTCCAGTGAGCACCTTCAGCTTTGCTTCGCGCTCGCGCTACACGTAGGACGCCATCAGTGTTGCATAGACACATGTGACACACTACTCACATCGTCCGCGGCCTTCTGTGCCCGCAGCCATTCCACCTCTTGGTTCTTCTCCTGCAACCTGTCTGTCACCTCCGCTGCGTGCTGCCTTGCTGAGTCCCTCATGTCTTCCCAAGTCTGCAGTTCTGCTTGTGCACGTTCGTACTTCGCACGCGCCGCAAGGTACTCTAGCTCGTCTTTGTGGAATTGCCTGAGAGCCTTTGCATGCGTGGACACCGTCTTGCTCTCCTCTTTGATCGCCTGCCGCTGCATCCTCTGGACGTCCGCGAGCTCGCGGATCGCCTGTTCTATGGCTGCCTTTTCGGCCTTCGCTTCGGCCTTGATAACCTTCGCGACGCGTTTACCATCTTTCGCTGCAACATTCATACAGTAGTGAGTCAATGATGCTGTATGGGTACGCTGGCCGACCTACTATTGACCTTCTGGATGCGTGAGCGTTGCTTGGGCGTGAGCTCCGCGTCTACGCTTTTGCTGCGCGCATGGAAGCTAGCCGTGTCCTCCGGGCGAAGTGTAGAGCCAGGTCCTATCGTCCCCGCGCCTGCAGCGAACGAACCGCCGCTCAGGCTGATGCGCCGACGGCGCTCGGAGAAGCGCGACGCAGGTCTGCTCCGGATGCTCGCCTGATCACGATCACGAGTACGCGTCGTCTCGCGATCCGCTGACGAGCGAACGGAGCGCATGGACGATACTCGTCGCGCGTTGCTGCCGAAAGATTGACCCGCCGGTAGGTTGTCATCGTCATCTTCTGAACCAGCGGCACGCTGAGGTCTCTCGCTGTTGTCTGACCAGACGACAGGCACGGCCTCGATGTTGGCGCTGCGGCGCGTGTTGCGTGAGGGCGAGCGAGGAGCATCATCAGCTCTCACTGCCGATGGCGGTGAAGATCCGTAGCCCGAATCTGGTGGAGGGCTCATGGATGTCCCTCGAGAGGTCTTCTGAATTGGTGCCGCCCGCTGACCGTCAGGCACTTCTTCCGTTGCGTAGTCTCGCGATTCGGCCACGACGGGGTCGGCTGGTATGGTGACAGATCGCTTGCGAATGAGATTACTTTCCTCTTCACCGGAGTCTTGGGGCTTGTCTTGCTGCCTCACAGACCCGACTGAATCCTGGGTGCTAGCATTGCCCGTAACCAAGTCGTCGCTACTGTCTTTCTTCTTGGTGAAAAAATGCATAAGGGGTGCGTCGAAGTACACGCTGTGTTCGCTCGCAGGGGAAGACTGGATTGCAGGTTGAGAATCGAAGGTAATAGACATACAGGGTTTGGAGGGTGGCGGAAGCGGAAAGCGAGCTATGTACTCGTGGAGCGCGACTGTTAGGGCTTAGACCGAGGCATTGCGGGACCGCGGATGAGCGTCATTGGAGTATGCGCCCCACACCCGATCGCCTTGTTCGATCATCCCGCTCTGCATCAGTCCTATTTAGGAAGCCGAGCTTCCATAGCGGGTAATTACGTGCTATGACATAATGTCCAGTCCAACGAGCAACCTCAAGAGTCTTTGAGAGGGTTTAAACATTAGGCGGTTCGGGATTGAAAGCTCTAGACCTGGCAATTATTTTCCTTTCATGTATAGTATGCATAGGCACACTTTATGTGCTCGACTTGTGTGGGCACGGGACACAAAACCAAATGAACGTGCTGCAGTCATTGAATCATCTCAAAACACATCTTACTACTATGTAAGTGAGCCCTTGTCCTCGTTCCGTCTGCCCAAAATCTATATCAACCCCACACTGAGAGGCATCTGTGACTTGAGCGAGTCTCTCCCTATGGACGGGAACGCGACAGGTGCGAAATTCCAGATTATAGGCTTTTCTGTGGGGCCAAAGGTGAAAGTGGGGAGCAGCACAGACAGGACGACCTCTGACAAGGTAAGTCAATACACAAGACTGTCTGCAGATGATGTGCATGCCACTCACTCATCTCCATCTCTGAAAACTTGAATCCGCTGCCGCCGCAAATTTGATCAGTACGACGACTGCAGTAGTCATTGTGGGACGTAAAGGCTTACATGCACGAGCGCTTGCCTCCAATGAACGTCATCCTGCACGATCATGAGTATCACATCAGTAATGAATATACTAGTATGCTCGGCTGGAGACTTGCAGATTCGCAAATACACCGGGAGTCGACACCTCCGTAACGGCGGCGGGCAGTGGCGAAAGCCAGCGTTCTGGCTTCCACTCGAGCGCGTCTTCGCCCCACTTCGCCTTGTTCGTGTTGGCACCAAGAACGCCCACAAAAGTTGTGGTTCCCTTTGGAACGACGATCTCGCTGATCATCTTGCCGTTGACGCCTTGAATGGGCTGTGATAATGGCAAAACAACGTCTTCCCGATTCCTGTGTAGCACCGTTAGTCAACCAACCAGGGAGGGGCAATACTCAACATGAGGGTTCACTGACACACGCGTTATCGTTGTCAGGGGTGGATGGCTGCTCTATGCGCATCAGACTCAGAAGCTCTCGCGTAAAATAATACCACGCACAGCCGCAAAGTCTCCCGGACCACGGCATCAAGGTACGGCAGCTGCATCAACTCGTCGTACGACAGCTCGCCGGCTTGGAAGGCTTTGGCCAATTCTTCGCGGAGCTTGCCTTGAACATCAGGATGCTCTGCGAGCAGTTGAAGTATGAGTGTGAGTGTGCTAGATGTGGTGTCAGTTGCGGCGAAGACGAGGGTTCTATTATTTATTATTGAGCCAACGTCAGTTCGCTCCGGGTGGCTGATGCTTACACCAGTTGAGCGATGACCTCGTCTTCGGGGAGTCTGTCTGCTTCCGCTACTTCCCTGTTTGCTCTCACTGCATGGCATGAGCATGAGAGGGCGAAGGTGCACGAAGACAGCATAACATACTTAGGATGCTCATGATATCCTTTCCCTCCCCTGCGTGCTGCGACATATCCCCGTCGCCTTTCTCCAACGCGGCCTTCTTCGTCTCAAAAATGTCAATCGCTCTCCGCGTCATGATGTCCACGCTCGAGATCATTTGCTTGACGGCTCGACTCGGTAACATCTCCAGGATCCAGCGTCGGAAACGAGGGCTGCCTATGGAGTCAACATACGGAATCAGTTGCTGCCATATAATCACATCCTGCAGAGAGGGACTATCAAGGACGTGTGAGCGCCCGCGAGAAGGACACAAAACGTCGGACACTGACAAGAGGTATTTCATAGCGGCTCCAAACGGATCCTTCACATCGGACACTAGTGGGTCGAACGAGTGCCCGAGGCCGCCTTGCCCAATGAGCTCTAGGGCCGCACGGCCGACCCAAGACATCATGTCTACTTCCTGGGGTCCGCCTTGCAGCTTTGACGCTATGGCAGTGCGCAGCTACCAAAGCGTTAATACGGGATCCATCCATGTAACATGACACTAAAACATGCCTTGTATGCAACTCTGTAAAATATCGGTAGCATGTGTCGCATGTGGTTCGCAGAGAAGACAGGGTTCAGCATTTTTCGTTGCCTGCGATGCTGATCGCCTGGAATATTTTAGAGATGGTATGTATACGTCGAGATAGACCAGGCCATACCCGCGGTTGACAGCAAGCCAGGCCCAAAGAAATGCGTGTTGATTCTGCCATGCAATAGCGGTCAGCCAACGAATGGGGAATTTCGAGTGGCGGCCATACCTTAGAAACGAGTCAGTTTCTTCAAAGACATCACCGTACTTGATCAGTATATTGTGCATCGCCTTCGGGTCAAATATATAGAGTCTCTGGGACTGCAGGCAATCCATAATAAATTAACGGGTGGCAGCGTGGACGTGGTACTGTCTTACGCCAAGAAACCCGTCCAACTTCACGACGGGGCCGTAGTCCTGCGCAATGCTCTCGCGGAACTTGTGGCCGTGCCTATCGAAGTATTGTTCCATGTGGCCTGGAAGAAATCAGACAAAATAAGAGTAGCAAAGATGAAGACGACTGGCCACTCCAGAACGACTGAGCCGGGGGACCAGGAATGTTGTTGAATGGGAGGCTAACGACTCTAGTCTTCACGAAGTAGAGGAGAGCCCCAACGACGCTACATAATAAGAGCGCGTCTGGAAGCGTGATGGCGTATGCCATGAGGGACAGAGTCGAGAGATATGAGCATCGATGAGAAGAGAAGTGGGCTTTTAACGACCGTAAAGACGCGCAAATGAGCGTCAGGCAAGAGATCCCTGAACCTACACAGTGATGCACCAAAGTGACCGCCAGCGGCGTTAATGTACATGCATTTGGCACTTGCTGGATCGGCAAACTCGGTGTACATCAGCACTGGACATAAGCAATGACAAATACCGACACGGAATTACTCACGCAGCGTCTTACCGATGCGATTTTCAATGGCAATCACCAATGAGAAACTCTTCCATCTTCACAACATCAAATTCAGCGCTTCTTTCCATAAATAATGTCAAATACCTGAAATGTGACATAAGTCGTATTAGGACATCACGAATGCGCCGCGGTATATCCGGCCGAGAAGACGCGTACTTGCATCCTTGTTTTAGATAGGGTCGGCTTGAAAAATCGGTACGTACGATTTTGTTTCCGTGTGACGTTTGACGAACAATCAAAGACCACCGAGTATCTGGGTTAACTAGAAATGCTCTATATGTAGTCTGAACTCTCGGTGGACCCGCTGAGACGTCTCAGCTAGCACAACGTAGTTTTCGACACATGTGGACTGGAACGACAAGCTTGATGTGGATATGAAACCACATTGCCGGAGAGACGTGCAGTCGGACAGCTAGACGTCTTCTGAGTAGCTGCCACATCCTGACTTTCAAGGTCGGAAGCAGACCCTAAAACGATCAATTTAGACTCTTGCGGGTATATTGCTCGAATACAGCATGCTACACAGGCCCAATACATACACAGTCCCTCAATTCATTGAAAAATCACCTTGGAGTTCCCGCACATCATCTGCGAGAATCTCTCTTCTATGCTTGTAAACCGCGGTCACGACCTCGCGCTCTCGCCATCCACGCTCTGACGTGGGCGTCAGAGTGTAGTCAATCGACAACGCGGAGAGCACTCCGCCATAGGCATGGCAGATCCCTGCGCCACATCATCGTGAATGAATGACCGGGAGCATAAAGAGAGAGCAGGCGCATAGCGAATACTCCAGACAATCACGCACCTGTGTCTATGATGACGATCTTCCCACCACATCGCGAAACGATCCGCTGCGCATGACACGCACTCAGCGAATGATTCACGATATGCAATTCGAAATAGAGCCTTACTTCGAAGTCCGGTGTGTGCCCCATGACCATCCGCCGCGTGCCGGTCTTCTCCAGCACCTCGTCTACCTTGGCACACACCTCCGCCTCCGGGTCCACCGCCCACCCGCGATACCACAGCGGCCCGTCTGTAGCATACAATCTGTGCTCTGACGGCGTCGCATCCTCCGGCAGGCCGGGGTACGGGTGCGGGGGATGCGGCGGAGGTGGGTCGCGCGCCTGGAGCTTGTGCAAGAGCGAGTGGCCGAGCGCATTGATGCGCGACGGGAACGGCGTCAGGTCGGGGTAGGACGGCGCGAGCCCGCCGTGCACGAAGGAGAGCGCAGCGTGCGAGAGCGGGGAGCGTGCGAGGGCGGGGTCGTAGTCCGTGTTGGGTGGGCCGAGAGCAGGATGCAACGGCACGCGGCTGGTGACCGTGTAGTTGGCGGCCCAACTCTTGCCGATGGACCCGCTCGAGAGCATCTTCTGGCGCTTAGCGATGGAGCCGAAGGTCTTTATCTCGGAAGGAAATACATATCTGCATATGCAAAGGCAAGATGTGAGAACGTGCAAACGTGCAGTCCGAGGAGAGCGTGCGCTCACCTCCAATCACCTAGGCAGCGCAGAATAGCTAGTGAGTGCGGGTCCTGATGCGACAGAGAAGACATACCGATGACGTTCATCCACTCATGGTTCCCCAGATGCGAGAGGACCATTCCGCCTGCAGCTTGCGCTTCGTCGCGTAGCTGGTCCATCCAGTGGTACAGCTTAATTGTGTCGTCTCCTCTGTTGATTGCATGAGCACTAGAATGACGCATACATCGACGGTGGCAGCTAGTCGGGCATGCCCGCCCTCCTCTGAATCATGCCATATCAATGTATGTGTACTCACCGGTCTATGATGTCGCCCGTCTGCACGAACAAATCAACATCTCCCGTCCAGTGCCCTCCTGAGTCGACAACCCCTGCCATCTCCAGGACTGTCTGAGCATTAGGCATGTCGCCATGTAGGTCGCCGACAGCGACAATCTTGCGCCTGAATTCGCGTGCCCCTGCTTCGAACAGAAGCCCCACATCAGGAGAGTGCGTCGGCTTCCGGTCAAATGTAGTCGCGAAGAGTGAATACAACTTGAAAGGCACATCCTGGCTCCTCGCGTAAGGCGCGAGATACAAGGCAAGACCGCATATAGGGGTCAGAAGTGCGAGTAGCAGGAGAAGACGCGGCATGGTTGACCGTGTACCAGCGATTCGGGTGGTTAGCGCTTCAGCTTCAGCACTTCAGCCGGCTATAGTTGCGGATCAAAGTGATGCGCCTTTTGCTGAGTCATCAATGCTTCAGATCGACTCTGCGATCCCTGAGCAGGACTTGCGTCACACACCGTCTTGGGTCATTTCCACGTGGCGGATTCCCTGCGTCTATATGGCTCACTTTCCCCCTTGTATAGTTCCTGGGTTTCTTGTCACCTATTTCCCTCGAAGTCTACTATCGCTGTGCCGTGCAAATGCAACCCCAACGCTCGCCCTACGCGACTCGTTTAAGATCCGCCAAGTCTCGCCGACCGAAAGAAACCCCAGATGACATTACATCGGTGCCCACACAAGCCAAGACCATTCCACCCGGGAACTTCTATGTCGACATCCCGCCACGCCCAGTGTCTGCTATTCGCAAGCGGATCTCGCAAGGACAGACCATAGGCCACCCCTCTGTGGAAGACGCCCCAGCTGGTATTTCTTCTGCGGCACAGGATGTCATTTGTGTTTTGCCAAGCCAACCCGACGCTAGTAAGTGCCAACGTGCACTCTTAATCACTTCCAAGCTTCATTTCGTCCCACAATTCTCCCTTCTCCCTTACTTGTCGTTCCTGCTGTCTCTCTTACTGTCTGCCCAGATGCTACTGCAACTCCTTCCCCCGTTGGCTCTCCCGGTCCCTCTATGTTGCTTGTGGCTAATTCTGCTTCCGGAAATGCGCCCCGAACATCTTCCTCTGCTCTCCATTGCTTTAGTTCCCCGCTGTCAGACTTGCGTGGGTCGCGTCCAATGTCTCCTGGCACTCTTCCTATCACAAACCCAGTTTCTGTTACGATGAGACTCGCTACTCCGCCGCCACTCGCGCTTACACCTGCATCGTCCAAGACGTTCAGTGCAACTAGATCGCAATCTCTGGACAGATATTTTGGCTTCTCTCCCGAATCCAATCGCTCTGGCTTTCCGATCACGCCACTCCGACGGACTGGTACCTTGCCAGCCGAGTCTCCTACTCCAGTCATATTCAATACGAGCGTGACTGCTACGCGCGCTACACAGCAAGCAACTGATCCTGACACGCCGACCCCTCACAGAGGGCACGCACCATCGGCATGTTTGTCCACGCCTCCGATGTTTCGGCCTTCGTCCAGCTTGCTGACTCACGCTTCGTTCGTCTCGTCACTGCCCGAGACGTCCAGAGGTTGGACGACGCCATCGCACACCAGCACTCCTTACACCCTTGTGGATACCACTGGAGATGTCTCAAGGGACTCCGCATTTGCTTCAAGCGCCACGATCAGCAAGCTGGACAAGCCTTCCGCGGTAGAAAACCCCACAGTTGTTACAACGTCTGCGAACAACATGGTAGACGTCGGCACGGTAGACTGTAATGTCGGATCCTGGACCCCTTTGCGACGATACGTGCTGTTGGTCATTCTGTGCCTGGCTACTCTTCTTCGTTTGATCGACTGGCTATGGGTGCTCATACGTAAACTCCCTCTGCCTGTCCATATTGCTGTTGCCGTCATCGTGCATGTGTGCATCTTTTTCTCCCACATTGCCTGGTATTGCCTTAAAAGCGGCCCCTGAACACGTCTGCAAAAATATTGTTACCTCGCTTTCGTATGAATGTTGCGGGCCTTTCGCTATCTTCTGTTTCTATGATTATTGCATAAATTGATTCATGTGTTGATTTTGATAAATTGATCCCTCGCAGTGACCAAAGGGACATCGAAGACTGGGAGGGCGCAGGTGAGAACTTATAATCCGTCTATGTCTGAATATGACCAATATAGTGTTGGCGGCATGCCGCATGACATTCCGACTGCAAAGGCACAATTTACATGTATTGAAGTTCGTCTGAGACCCGGAGCATGTAGCACAGTGGCTTCAGATTACACTGTCAGTCATGCTGTCGATGAGCGCCAATTTAGCTTGCTCTGATCGTGGGCGAAATGTACATTTAACATCCTCAGGGTATCTAGACACAGCAGCATTGTGTAGTCAGGTATCGGCGCACCGGTCACTGGATAATATTCACTCACAGAATAGACTTCGTTGGATATTTGACATCGGGAATGATCTCTTGTCCATGATCATCGACGACGGGCACTATGTCGCACGTTGCGAGCATGGTAACGACCATTGAGAATGTTGTGCCTTGGGAGAGATGGAATCCGGGGCATGCGCGTCGGCCGAATCCAAATGCGACGTCTGTCACCTTCTTCATCTCGATGTCGCTACCGCCATACCGCTCGGGTTTGAACACGTCCGGCTCGGGGTAGACGTCAGGGTCATGCAGCATGTGCCTGGAGATGCGCTCACGTTTTAAACACAACAAGACGGAGAGGCCGCCCAGACTCACCACACATTCGGTAAGAGTATCGAGCCTTTGTGCAGGAAAATACCGTCATAAACGTCGTCTTCGTCAAGTGCGTGTGGAGCACCTGCAAAATACATAGTTAACATGGTACCTGAGTGCCTGCGCAAAAGCATATACTCAGAGGACCAGCGGGAAGCCAGCGGTATACCTCAGCAATGAGGCTCCTGATATACGGTAGCGACGGTCTGTCCGATGTTTGCGGGAGCCGTTCGCTCCCCACTACGGCATCAATCTCAGCCTGCGCTTTCTTCTGCACGTCGGGAAAACGCAGCATGGCCAGAATGAACGATAGAATCGTTGCGGTATTCTTCAACGTGTTATGGTGAGACGCTCAATCTGACACATATGAAGAACAGACCTACTGTATCTAGACCACCTCCTAGAACGGTAATTGCCGCCCACATAAGGTATTCCTCCAGCTGAAGGGTCGCCTTTCCCTCCGCTTCTGCCAGGACTGACGCACACAGATTAGGCACGCGCGCTGTGCCATTTTCCTGGAGACAAGCAGTGTTATTGATAACCCCAGAAAGAACATGAGGATTTGTCAAACCGAGTGTTCCTTGCTCCACTGGTACAGTTCTCTATTGGTCGTATAAAGTAGCTTGCGCCACGCCTTTGCTGTCTTGAGGAACGTGAAACCCGGCATCCACGACGGAAAATACTTAACTAGCATATGGTCAAGCAGTGTAGATAATTCAGAGCAGCCAATCAATGACTTACGCTGAGGAATCATGTCCACCAGCCATGTTCCGGGCATTTCTGCCAGGGTGAGGTTCTCTAAGACCTCGATTGCCCTCTCAACGAACACGTCTTCCGTGCCTTTAACCGTGTAACCATATGTCACGAGCATGATAAGGCTCGCTATGCTCCTGGACGTTGCCCAACAGAATATATATCAGCACTGCCGGGCTCGGATGGGAGAGCATCTCACGTTCGAACCTGGCTCTCGAGCAGGCTAGGATTGTCAATGACCCTGAGTACGAGTCGACGAGCTTCTGCTTCCTGAATGTCGTAGTACTGTCCGATAGTGGAGATGCTGAGGGTCTGCGATATGAGCCGTCGTTGTTGCCGTAACTCATCGCCGTAAGGTTGCATGAGAAGTATCTTGTTGTACCCTGCGCTACGTGAAGGTCAGCCCCTCTAGAACGTTTGCAACGCGCTACATCAGGGAAAATGTGCTGCGCCCCGGCCTTAGGAAGAATGTACTAACAGGTCTCCCAGCATGGTCTAAATTACGCATGAGCATGAACTGGATATCATGCGCAATGACACAGCACATACGAGATGTGGTCTCCCAGAATAGATCGACGATCGCTTGTCGAGCAGTTCCCGCGCAACCTTGGCGCTGTTGATCACGATTATATGCTGACCGAGAGCGTCGAGGTACAATATGTCGCCTATGGATCTATAGTTGCATTACGATAATCCTCACATGGGGTGCATGTTACATACCGTACACACGCGCCCAACGTGAATACGTGAGCCATGGATGGACTTGCGGCATTTGAAGGGCGTTTCCTATTAGGGGCCACCGGAACGGCCCAGGCGGCATAGATCGCCGCTTTGAGTATGCAGAGAGTTCACGAACCAGTAGAGCCGCGAGCAGCGTCACAGCAGCGACAGCCAATGCAGCATAGCTCGCTGCAAAAGGGACACCTGGTTGCCCTGGTGTAGGGTCTGATGCTTGCATCGTTCACTAGATGGGTGCGGTGACACAAGTGCGGACGCGATGGGCAACAGAGGGGATGGCACGCTTAAATAGAAGGGATGAGAAGAAAGCACACAAAAGGGCAAGGGAACAAGAATATGGACATCATGCAGGGCGACCAATGCTATCTCACGCAATGAGCCAAGCTGGGAGACCGCTGACCCATATTCGCTTGGGATCCACATCTTATTCAGTTCTGACGCCAATTCCGACGTGCTGTTGCGACGCCGTCGGGCGTGCCTGTCAAACCCAAAGGTTTTAAGTCAGTTCAATCCCATGTCGGGAAGAAGCGCTGTTGCAGCTACACACATGGGTTGACGTTCCTGAGCAGGTTATCGCGATGATTGGCGCACCCGTCCTGGGTTCCTTCCCAGTCAACGTAACATTCGTAAGCAAGCCAGCAAACGGGGCAGATACGAGACGCCACAGACGGGCACTGTAAACGCCACACAGAAGACAAGGTAGTATCACGATAATTCTATCAGGATTCGTTGACATGGACCAGCGCACACTGCAACAAGGGACTTCGAACTGAATCCATGGCACACTGAAGCTCGCGTGGCCCGGGGGTGTTAGTGGGTGCATATGTGCTGCATTGAGGAATGTGTAAATCCATTACCGTTTGATAGATCTAAGTTTGGTGCTGTGCCGAGCATTTCGCACTCCCTCATACACCGCGACCGAATGCAGCGCTAATCCCTGGAATAAGTTGATTTCCGTGTCGGCCGGGCATTGACTTGTTCCACGCATACAATGAGTCCAAGAATGTTTCACTTACCCCTCCCAGACCTGGAATCGAGTAGTTTGAGACCCGACTCCATCATGTAGGAGACAGCAAGAAGATTGGAAGAGTGCCACCGCCGACTGTGACCCTCTTTCTCTCTCTCTCTCTCTCTCTCTCTCTCTCTCTTTCTGCTCCGCAGTATCAAAGGAAAAGACGGACGATGCCACTCCTGACAGAGGTTATTGCATCGTCACCTCGCTTTCGTATGGTTGTTGCAGGCCTTTCGCTATCTTCTGTTTCTATAATTATTGCATAAGTATGACATCGCTTCATTATTGGTTTTGGTATATTGACCGCTCCCAGCGAGATGTTCGGCTCATCTTTCGAAGGACGGTGACGGGTTCAATGTGTTTGACATTGGGCACAATCGCCCCCGACGTGCGTCCCCAATCTTGCGGTCTGAAGTTCGGGCGCAGCTCAATCCCCATCTGGACGAGAGAATGAAATATTCCGCTTGGGTTAAGTCTCTGCTAGACAAACCCTTTCCGATGGAGGACAGGACGGTTATGATACAGCAAAATACACTGCATGCGAGGACTGATCTTCTTGTCTAAAAGATTAGATCAAAAGTGTTTTATCCTACCAATGAAAAGATTGAAGAAACTCGAATGAAAATTGAATACACATAAGCGGCTGCCGCTTTTCGCTTGTGGCCTAACCTCGGGCGCCTGTTCTCAGCCACACCTTGCACCATTACTTGCGCCGTTCGCAACTCGTTCATCCGTCCGTGAATACGGTCGTCTATCTAGTGTCCTGTGTTTTACCGTGCACATCAACACTGTGCCCAGCAATAGAAGGCAATTGTCTTCGTCCGGATGCGGTTGCAACTCCTAGTGCCCCCACTGCCTCAAACTCTCGTTGATGCCCTCACCAGTCTGAACATAAGAACGGATGCAGAACTCCTTTTTTCTGGCCGCCCAGCTGATATATTTCGCAAACTCCCCCCTGGCACTGTTGACTACCAAGAGTTTATCGACCTTGTCTCTCAGGTCACTGAGCGGGCTGCGGCCCCTGCAATCCGCGGCGACCAGCTTTGGGACGCCGTGAAGAGACGCCGTGAAGACAATGAGTTCTGCCTGCTATCTACTGGTGTCCCAGAGCTAGACACGCTTCTGGATGGTATGCATCCGCCTCGAGTCATCGAGGTCTCTGGCGACCGGGGTTCCGGCAAGACGGTAAGTACTGGCCTAACGCGCGCTCGAATCCCGTGTTTGGCATTGAATATCACCAGTCTCTGGCCCTGCAAGTTGTGCTCCGGCACCTCTCCACTGTATTCGACTCCAGCGCCCTCTGGATTGACACCACCGGGGATTTCGCTCCGGAGCGGATTCCCGCTATGCTAGAGCACTATACCGGCCAGGTGCTCATGTCTCTTGTGTTCTCATGGACTAGTCTTGACATGACCAGGCGGCTTCCACTGTGCTGGAGCGGTTGCAAGTCGCACTGGCGTTCGACATTGAGGCTGCACACGAGGTTCTGGACGAGCTTTACGCCTCCCTCGCCGTACGTCATCACAAAAACTCATGTTACAGACGCAAGTGCACGAACTTGAATGCAGGACGACTTGTCTACCGGCTCAACTATGCGCTGTGTCGTGATCGACGCTGTCACACCATTACTTGGGCCTCTTCTCAGCGCCGTTTCATCACAAGGTATAAGCTTCATGCTGGACTCGTCCTATAACCATAGATATTCATTCTGTCTCAAGGACATGCTGTCATGACCGCATTTATGCGGCAACTGCGTGCTTTGGCGGAAACGTTTTCCTTGACGGTCCTTGTAAGCTATTCCTATTCAAGCCAATTGGAATATTCTGATGTTGTACTAGGTCATCAACTCGTCTACAATGTCGTCCCCTCTCAATCCCGATTCAGCGTTTCTGACCACCAATAGAAAGCCGGCCCTGGGTCCATCCTTTACGTTCCTGACAGATACTAGCCTTTGGCTAGGCAAGTTCCTCCCCGAAGATGGCACTCGTGACTCTAGTGATCAGACAACATACATCGCTGAGATATTCCGTTCAAGAGTCGCGGTGCGTACACTTGTGTAGCAGCTGCCTTCGATATTATCTTCGTGTTTGAACTCACGATTGTATGCTCACTTCTAGTATTCGAAGACGTGGTGCTGTTTCCGGATAGTCGACGGGATCCTTTCTGCCCCTTGATGCTGCTCCAGTCCTCCTGTAGGTGGCAGCAAATTGGGACCAGGTGTCCAAAATATGACCACTAAACATCGTTTGTATCCCCATTTCCTGTGTCCCGCTAGCAGCAATGTTATTCAGACTCAGATGGGCAGCGCGAGTATCGAGACTGCCGAGCCTCGACATCGAGTAAAATACACAAGGTAACTAAAATATACAGTTTACTTACTCATGCTAGAAGTCATCAAACCTGTAGCTGACGTCAGTATCGGGACCACGAGATGTCGAGAAGAAACTCACCGATCTGGCATGAGCACAGGCGCGAGCAAGCTCCAGATGTACAAAAGCATGCAGACCCAACCGGAGACAATCCGCATCCACATCGCCACCTCCGAACGCCCGATGTAGACATCATCGACCTCACCCTTGTTTGCCTTGACGACGTTCCTACAGTGGATGGACCGTGTAAGGGTTGCAAAGAGGAATAAGGAACAGATCAACGCACCAATCGGTAAGAAGCATTGCCACATACATCGCACCAATGGCGAAAATGAGATGGAACCACGAGTACTATGTGAGATATAGTCAAGCAAGTTGCACCATCCGGTCGAAGCGCGAAGCACGTACATTGTACCGTGTACCGGTACGCTCGTCGTCCCGCGTCTCACCTACGATCTCGTCCTCATCGTCTTCATCCTCCTCGTCAAGCGCTGACGCGGGGATGGCACTTATGGCGTGCGTCAGTCAGGGCATGCACAAGCACGTTCAGCGGTTGAGAACCCACCCAGCTTCTACGGCAGCAAGCAGCGCCTGATAGCGAGGCGATTCCATCCGACTCGGTTGTGTGTTGACGACACCCATTTCCGCGTGTCCATCTGAATCGATCGGCAGCTGCACCGCACCGCCCGAGCGGCCCTTTCCCACGAGCGCTCTGCTCTGCGTCGCTGCACGGCTCGTTGAATATGCGATCGCGAGGAACGTGAATAGCGCGCCAAGGACGACTGTTGTCGTGCGTGTGCCCTCGCCGAGGCCTCCGCGCCGCAAGGGGTTACACTGCGCGTGCTCGTGATTGCCTATAGCGGACATGACGAGGTATGTGCAGTACGCGGCGACCATGCTCGCCTGCGCGAGGCCGGAGCGCGGGTTGTGCTCCTGCACGGTCGGGTGTACACAGAGGACTGTGATGAGAATGCAGAGCGCGAGGTTGAAGCCGATGAAGAAGCGGTTGAGCGTGCAGCCGGACGACGAGAAGAAGGCGAAGAGCACGCCCGTGAGCGTGATCGCCGTGGAGTACATGCCCGCCGTGCTACCGATGAGGATCCACTGCCAGGTGTTCGAGTTCGAGGCCTCCCAGTTCTCGAGGCATGTCTCGGACCAGGAGTGCGCGAAGTCAACGAGGAGGACGAGACCCAGGAGGATGAAGATCGTTGCACCAATGAGGGCGATATAGTTCCCCCATACCATGAAGAAGCCGTTGGGGATAAAGAAGGATACCCCGACCAAGATGAGCCAAAGCAGGACCTTCGGACCCCACCATCTGTGGGACGTTAGTGTTTGTATAAATCAGATTACGGACAAAACGTACCCATTCTGAATAGAGGCACGCTTGTCTTTGGTATCCTTCACGCCAATGAGCAACGCGCCCAGTATGAAGTGGAGCAGTGAGAGCGCAAAACAAATGCGGTGTACCTGCACAAATCGTAAGAGTTCAGTATAAGGCCTGCGCATATATCGGCGGCGCACATGGAGGCATTATAGTACGCACCGCAAGTACACCATAACACTTCCCCCCTTCACAATCCATCTCCAGGTACCCATGGCTCCAACGCTCTATCGTCTGTATCGCAAGCGGAGTCTTCATAAGCCATGCAAACATGGAGTTCAAACAGAAGATGATCTACACGCCGAGCAGAGAAGGGACATGTCAGCCTGCGCCGGGTCGTATACTGTCATGCGAGAACATACGGCGAACCCGACACGCGTTGCGATGGACGAGTTACAGTTGCATGACTTGAAGAACATGGATGCTACATATCAGAAGTTTAACATGGACGCTCCGCTCGCTATGTGTTACTCACCAGCGGTTGAAGTGAAGCAGAACGCAATGCCTGCAATGGACGACGTAACCACCGTCCCGAGAATGCCTGTGAAAGGCAGGGATAGCAGGATACCCATCCTGAAACAGCGCTCTACGAAGTCTCAGACAGTCTAAGTAGCGCAGGGAGGGTTGGCGGAGGGAGTTCGGTAGAGTACAGTTGCAACTTGAGCTGGTTAGAGTAACTGCGAACTGCGAAGGGCGGTGACGATAGATTACGTAATCAGAACGATCATCCAATATATATACACCGTACTAGCTTCTCGTCTGTTGCATATATTCCAGGTTCCAGGACGAGAAAACGGAAGTGACCATACTAGAAGACCGAACCAAATCGTACAATATCAACAGCAACAGGATAGTTTACCTCCAAAGTGCCACATCCCCTATCACGCCTCCCTTCACCCGTCTCACTGTGATCCCCGCTCTATGTGGAGGCAACAGGCAGATCATCGCCTGGCTTCGCGCTTGAAGTAATCGCTATTGACCGCACTTCCTTGGATCATATCGAATATCGTCTCGCCAATGCCGAGGAACCGCTCTGCGGTAGAACGCAAGGTGGGTTCAGAAATGGCGTTTGTGTCGGGTCTGCATGGATATTAATTGTCGACTACTGGGCATCGACGCAAGGACGCGGGCCAGGAGACTCACGCAAACCCGCTTGATCGTCTGACCCCCGCGACGACGGTCGAGATGAGAACCGCGTCGAGTGCGTAGTGGAAGACGCGTCCGAGCACCATCGTATATCAGTCGATGCTCAGCGCAACAGGAGCAAAGCGTGGTGTCGCAGATTGTCTGCGGCCGAGTAACAGTTTTGTGATTAAGAGACTGACAATCCTGGAGCCTGCGAGTAGCCGGTAAGGTGAGAGGGCGACGAACTCGGACGGCCGAGCGGCATCCGCGCACGTGGTAATGCCCGACGACAACTCCGGCGGTCACTTGCCTCTCTCAAGGTGAGAGTGTGTGTAACCTCGTCGCGGAGGAGCTGATAGGCGTGCAGGGGCTACCTGAGCAGGATCCGGCGTGGAATACTCTGCGCTGTGTACCAGGCAGTCAGCTGGTGCCCCTAACCCCGCTCGTCAAGATCGAGATCGAGATCAAGTTTGTACGAACCGCCTGGTTGGCGCCCTAGAGTTTAGGTTGGCAAGTAAGTCTAACACGCCTCGAGACATGTTTCAGGGCTAAGCCTAAATTTAGACATGTTCTGAAGCTAAGCTTATATTTGAACTGGCAAAGGTGCAATTTGACAAAATATATTCCTCACATAATGCAGCATAATCATTGAAGGATGTAGCACATTCTCTCCCACCTCTAACTTTATACAACTGCGCAGGCCCTGACTGCCATTCTCACCAAAGGATACACACAGTAAGGAAGCGACCTGCGAGGCTTCTGTAGCTCGTATCTATCCCCACGACGAAGATGTGGAGTGGGAGACATCAGACAAAGAACTGTCATGCGTTCGGCCTCTTGATATAGGCCTGTGCCCAAGTACCAATACTCTATACTCGCTTCTTCTCCAAACTAATCAAGGAGGTCCACACCGGGAATAGATGACGTCATGCGTATTCTGGGTAGGCCGAGCTTCACTGATAGATGGATTTCGGCGAAGACAGCCTCGCCTTGAGATCCGGATGCCAACGACTAACATGGACAGAGATGAGGCGGGCGGGCCTAGGGTTCTGCTTGGTATCGACGTGAACAGCATGTATGAATACAGCTGCGGTGAGCAATTGGGCGCGTCGATGTAACTAGAAAACGAGATGTACCATAGACCAAATGATGCATTCGCCGTCTTATTACCCACGCGACAACACTCAAGCACTCCGACATGCCACATTCGCATACTGGAGGTTTGCCCGAGCCACCCAAGGACCTAAGCCTTGTCCAGCTGACTATGCCATGAGCGCTTGGACACACGGACATCATGTTGTCCGCCAACACGACTGCCCCGCCGCCGCAAAGTCAAATTGATCCGTTGCGAGGTCGCAGCATGTGGCCGGTGGGCTGCTTCGTGGCCTCGAACCGTGTGCATCTCCGTGCTAAAAGGAGATGATCGGGGCTGTGTCACAGTGTCGAGGGGGGAATGCGATGACACGCACGCCCGGGCGCGTGGGAGCACACCGGGAGCACGTAGAGGCGAAGGGGGGACGCAAACGGGACCTGAGAGTGCCTGAGAGGAGGATAGCGGGAAAGAGCAGACGCGGCGATGCTCGCGTGCAGGGCTCGAGGTCATACGAGCCGTGCAGCGGCACCAGAACGGCAGTACAACCGCATACACGTCGTGCATGCTGCATCCAGGGCGTCCCTGAGCAGCCATGTAGTCCCACGCCATGCGCTCCAGAGTCATGCTGGGCTGCGCAAATGGACTTGTGTTGAGTTTGTCCTCGGCTGACGACCGGCACTGGTTGTCTGTCTCATGCGAACGCGTGCTCTCTGACGCCAATGGACAGGAGATCTTCTGCAGCGAGTCAGGTGGGCCTCAACCAGGAGTTCAGGTAGATTCGAACGAAAACATATACCTCTCCGGCGCATCTGCGTTGCCGCGAAGCCACAATCAATGTGTCTGGCCACACATACCTGAAAGAAGAGGCCCACCGAGGTAGTACGCGCCCCCAGGTTTCTGGAAAAGAACGCTATCTCCTGACTCGACCACATGCCAGAATGCCGTACACGACGCGTTTAAAAGGAGTAATATACGTTGACTCGTGTTGACTGGCGAGATTGCATCGTATGCGACAGCCTGATCTTTGCCCGATGTGCCCGCCATAGATATGCGACGTACATATGCTCTAGGCGCTACAGAGGTGAAGCACGCGGACTTTGATTATCTTTAAGGGCATAGTATGCGGGTGTTTCCAATACTAACCACAAGCTGCACATTGAGCGTTGATATTGAATTGGTGGGTTGCATGTGCCAACAGTGTCGGGCAAAGACCGACAACGATTATATGATCATACGACGCTGCAGCGGCTGACACAGCGCCGCCGGCATCGGGAGAAAGATGCTATTGCAGAAGAGGCAGGGAAGAGATCAGACAATGAGCGAGCGAAGTGTGGTTGGAGAGAAATATGCCGACGCCGCAGGCGACGACGTCGAGGGCGAGTTGTGGATCGAGCGATCGACCCGGATGATCTCGCCGTGACATTATGATAGGCGCCCACAGTAAGTAGACTCGAGATTGAGCGCTATCGGGCTTGGTTCCTCTGCGTACACTACTGTTACCGCGACGGGCACCCTGGTTTCCTCCCTATCAAGCTCACGCAGGCTTATCGCTGACGAAATAGAATGTCGCTGCGCCGGCACACATTCCGGGATGTCTTCCATATTACTGATCAGGCAGGTAGGTGCATGCACGGTCATATGCAAGTAGTACCTAACCGACCGATACAATGCTCGAACGTGAATTTAGTGACATTGCCAAGGCCGAATAACGCACCAGACGTAATCCGCCCGGAGCGCCTTGCCTCCGAAATGTGTGCGTCCGGAATTCATTCTTCGCTTCGTTTGTACCTCACCTGTCGACTGTGACAGGAGATCGCCTTGGACGGGCGCGGGTGTCTCCTCTGATCAGGCAGCCCCCCGCCGACCGGCAGAAGCCACCCCCATCTCTCCGTGGGATCCCCTTAATGTACGTCTCTCTCTCGCAATCACCCATTCCTGCGCTTATCTCGCGAACGCCAGGCTTCCTCGCATCTGCACAGATTGACACCGTCCCCCTGCCACGATGGGCTGCGTCCCGCATGGTCGGCCTTTCCCCTAGAAGAGCTTCTTCTGGCGATAATCACGGTCCTGATCCTATCTGCGTGCGCACACTGCTCGGGAAGGCGCCACGCGCTTCACATGCGCTATTGTGAGCATGGTGTCTGCAGAGGTGTGCACACCCGAGGCCTACAGCATGCTTCGCAGCGCCCTCCATGCTTTAAAGCACGCACGATCGCTGTCTGGAGAGCTCACCCCCCTCCTCCCCGCGGTGTCTCAGCATGGTTTCCGGTCGATCTTCATACGCCGCTGCTCTTGGCTTGTCGGTCTTGGCCTCTAGCCTTCTATCGGTCAGAGCTTACGACAACAGTCGATCGGACAACGTGCGTATCCGCGAACCTTGCCGTCTTTCGTGAAACTAATGGATGTTTGTTGTGTAGCTTGCCGTGTAAGTATCATAACATAGATTATATGCGCAGGTTCTTATGCCTTGATCCAGCTACTGGGGCCAAAACTCCTATGGGGCGACGGGCAGCAATACCGCTGATTACCAGAAGAACCTGTCCTACTACTGCCAGGTGTGTTATGTTCACTAACCTTCACGAACGTCGAGTGACCCAAGTACCATGTAGGATGACGTGATCAACGCGTTCCCTCTCGCGTTCCTCAACGTCTTCTTTGGCGAGGGCGGAGAACCATCCCTCGACCTGGCCAATGTATGTCGCCTCTCCCTGCACTCTGCACGCGTCTCGCTGACTATATGCGTTCCAGATTTGCAGCACCGCAAATGACCCGGTCTTCGAGGGCACGCAGCTGCCCGAGTGCAGCTTCATGGCGTCCAACATCCAGACGTGCCAGAACGCAGGCAAGATCGTGACCATCAGTCTCGGTGGCGCGACCGGCTCGGCGGGCTTCAGCAATGCGAGCCAGGCGGAGGGCTTTGCGAACACGATCTGGAACCTGTTCCTCGGAGGCTCCAGCAGCACGCGTCCGTTTGGCGATGCTGTGCTGGATGGGTGAGCATGGATTCGCTGAAAAAAGAGAGGTGGTCGCTCACGAGTGTGATAGGGTTGACCTCGATATCGAGGGCGGCTCCACGGAGTACTTTACCAACTTCGTCTCCACGCTCCGCTCCCTGATGAACTCAGGAAGTAAGAGGTGCGTGCGATTCAAGTTGTGCCCCGTTGCAATTGTGGAATAACACGTTCGTTCTCCAGCTACTACCTGACGGCTGCCCCGCAATGCCCCTTCCCTGACGCATACGTCGGAAGGTCAGTCGGTCGCGTTACGGGCGCATATATGTAGGTGCTGACACTCATACTAGCGTCATCGACGCGGAGTCGTTCGACGCGGTCTACGTGCAGTTCTGTGAGCACACTGAACACCTATGCAGACTCATCGGTCTCACATATCACTCTAGACAACAACTATTGCGGGCTGACAAACTATGACAACTCGAACGACTGGGATTTCAGCACATGGTGGGTGCCCAGCTCCGTCGCATCCTGGACACCAGCTGACGAGACGTTCCAGGGACAACTGGGCGAAGAACACGTCGCCCAACCCCAACGTGAAGGTCTATATCGGAGCCCCTGCCGCCTCCGCGGCCGCTGGATCGGGCTACGTCGACGCGGCAACGCTCGGCCAGATTGCCGTCGACACGCGCAACTCGTACTCGTCGTTCGGCGGCATCATGCTGTGGGACGCTTCTCAGGCGTACGGTACGTGGAGTGCCTCGTCGCCCGGGCGAGAAATCAGACGCTGATCTGAGATCCGCACGCAGCAAACGACCGCTTTGACGCGGCAGTCAAGAGCTCGATCACAGAGAACGGGAACACAGCGCCAGCGCCGAGCACGACATACTCGTCCGCGACGTCGACGGCCTCGGCCACGCCTACGACTGCACCTGCGCCCTCGACGACGTCCACGCCAGCCGCTCCCAGCAGCTCGTCTACAGGCAGCGCAGGGGACTGCGCGGGCGTCGCCACCTGGGTCGCGAACGTCGCCTATGAGGGCGGCGACCAGGTCGTGTACAACGGCAATCTCTACACTGCCAACTGGTGGAGCTACGCGGATACCCCTGGCGGTGCGTCTCTCGGCTCGATACAGGGTTAGGACGCCTGATTGATCGTATTTTTCGGCCAGGATCCGCCGGGGACTGGACCGAGGACGGGGCGTGTGGCGCGTCCAGCGACGCGACGGCCGTCAAGGTCGCCTACCAGAGCAAGGTCGCGCCCACGAACGTCGGGCCCAAGGTGGCGGCCGTGCCGAACCTCTCCCTGTCATCCGCGCTCGCCGCGCAGACAGCACCTCCGTCGCGGAGGAACTCGCGTTTCTTCCGATACTGAAAGTGTCTGCGCCCTTCATGATTATGACCGACCAAACACGGCAACGCTTGCTCCTGACTGACGTATTCGCCCCTCGATCGCAAGTATTCTTATACATCTTTCATCCACGCGCGCGCCGGTCTGAGACTGGCGCGGGTATGTATCCCACCTGCTCTGTTGCTGTATTTGTTTTTTTTACATGGCTTTCCAACATGTATTTTTGGAATCCAATGGCATTGGGGTTGTATCTGGAATAGCTCCTAGGCGTGTCGAGTGACAGCGGTGCGATTCAGACTGATCGGCGGGGAAATGACGTTGTTTCTCCATAAGCTACCGGGAGTTTCAAGGTCTCATTCGCCCACTTGCTCCACCTAGCATCTTTGTCCGCGGCAGGATCAAAGACGCACCCTATTTTGTCTGATTCATTTCCTGCGACTGCGACACTGATTGAGATGGACTTCTCGAGAGAGCCCGCGCATTCCGATCAATTACAGGTCAGGAAGGCCCATCCGTGGAACGCCGAGCCGGATGTTGCTACCCTCGTCGAACATCCTCTCACACCAGAGCATCTGGTCTACTGCCGTAACCACTGTGAGCGAACAAGCTGCTCTCACAAATCGCTGAGCGCGTGACACCGTGCAGGCCCCGTCGAAGCTCTCGATGGCAGTACATTCAAAATCACGATCGACGGGCTTGTGCAACATGCGCAAGCGTATACACTGGCCGACCTCGCAGCCCAGTTCCCAAAGAAGGAGATCGTCGCCGCCTTACAGGTGCGTCAGGCACGATTGTGCTGAGCGCACCGCCTTAGCCCCTGCACCGGTAGTGCGCAGGCAACCGGCGCAAGACCATGCAAGACCGGAAGCACCACGACGTCGAAGGTGTGCTGTGGGAGGAAGGCACGATTTGCAATTGCCGGTGGGCGGGCGTGAGCATGCGCGAACTCCTGCTGCGCGCAGGGGCACCGGCGGTAGCCGTTGGCAAGAAAGGCGAGGAACAGCGCATGCAGAGTCTGCACCTGTGCTTCGCGTCGCACGCGCCGTGCGAGGACGAGGACTGGTTCGGTGCCTCGATACCGCTCGCGAAGGTGCTCGATGAGGAAGGGGACGTGCTCGTTGCGTACGAGGTGCGTGGGTGCTGCGGCGGAATGAATAGACTCGGGCTGACGGGAATGGCTCCCGGGGTGCACAGATGAACGGACGGCCGCTGTCCCCGGACCACGGCTATCCGTTCCGAGTCGTCGTGCCGGGCTACACAGGTGCGCGGTGGGTGAAGTGGGTCGACCACATTAGTGTCGCCGAGCGGGAATCCGAGAATTTCTACCAGCAGAGGGACTACAAGGTGCTTCCGACGAAGGTGGGCAGCCTCTATGAAATGTGCCCGAGTTAATGCAACAGTCAGAACAGATTCAGACACACGAGCAGGCAGACAAAGAGGACTGGTGGTCGAAGGTGCCCCCGATCCTGGCTAATCCTCTGAACTCAGTTGTCGCGGTCGTGCAGTTCGAGCCTCCGAGAACCTTGTTCGTCAAGGGGTACGCCGTCCGGGGTCCCTCCGGCCAGGTGAGCAGGGTAGAGGTCAGCATAGACGAAGGAACAACGTGGCGGGGGACGAGGATAACGTATCAAGAGGGCCGCTGGAGCTGGACTTTGTGGGAAGCTGTAATTGGATTGCCGGAGACATACCAGGGTCGAGAGGGCAAGATTCGGAGTCGGGCGATCGACGAGAGCGGCGAGACCCAACAGCCAGATATGGACTGGAATCTGCGGGGTGTATCGTATTCTGCTGTAGGGGAGAAAGAGTTCAGGACATGAACCACAATTTGTTAGAGTTTACATGAGACCTCCAGGTTCCGCAACGACGGAACGCGCACAGCCTGTGCATTTGACATACCTGCCAATCCTTCCTCATATCATACCGCCCGATGCATTTCCGCCTCCGCCCCCAGCGTTGCTGTCATCTCCGCACACTGTTCGAATACCTTCTACCAGCGCGCCAGTTCAGTCGCTCCGCCAGTTCGATCGCTATGGTGAGCAATCTACGATCATTGAGAAGTGTCTGAGTCCTTCAAACAGTTCAGCAATGCTCATACCAGTCAGCTGGTCAACGCCTGGTCCTCGTCAAGGTAGTGGAAGAAAGCAAGCCGGAAATGGGCGGCTGTCGAACGCTGGCGTCTTCGCGCACGTTGCGAGAGCGAGGCAGGAGACACGGCTTTGCTTTGCTCCTCCCCCCGCTTTTCCCTCATATCGCGCCACATCACAGCGATAACCTTCCGATACTCACGATAGAACCTGGAGACCGCTGAAAAACGGTCTATTCTGGATACAGTGACGACGGAGCCGCTTACACGGTCGATGTCGCGCACGCCTCGTTGCATACATCGCCTGCTGACGGATGAAGACACCGCCGACCGCTGATGAACTCGCTCTGGAACTTCCTTGATTGGATTCTGCCCTCAGTACGATTATCTGACGATCTGGAGGACCCTTACTACGCCTTAACGGACGACGGTTTCTCCGTGGCGACCAGGCCGCGCAGCCACTACGCCAGCTACGACCCCCGCCGCGACTGGACCAGGGACAGTCTAAGGGACCGCGACCAGCGCCAGCGCGCCGCCGTGCAGGAGCGAGAGCACGATCGACAGCGCATACAGGCCCTTGAGCGCGAGAACGCCGCCCTCCACCAGCGACTCGCCACGCTCGAACATGACCTGCAGTCGGCGCGGCAGTCGGTAGCCACATTCTCTCTTCTCTCCTCTCCCATGCCACCAACACCCGCCTCGGCGAACACACCACAAATATACAAGCCCACGCCCGATTCGATCAACGAGTCGCTGATGAGTTCGTACATGCTCGCGAAGCGTGCACTTCATGAACGCAACGAGGAGGTCGCGAGCCTCAAGTCGTTCCTGAGCAAGACAGATGAATGGTCGGGCGCACAGCTCATACAGGCGCTGCGGGATCTCAATTCGGAGATCATGCAGCTCGCCGCCTCCGTCGCGGAGGAGTTCTCGCCGTCGCTGGACCGCCGCGTCGACCTGTCGCGCCAGTCTGACCGCGAGCTCGTCAACAGTGCGCTCGGTCCCATCATGACGAATCTGCTTGCCACTCGCGACCACGTGGGCGACCCTACGCTCGTGCAGTTTGCGATCCAGGCGTGGGAGGTGTGCTGCGTCGGCCGGGTGCTCGACGCGTTCTGCTTTGGCCTGCCGGCAGAGATCGACCAATTCCTGTCGAGTGTGTTCGAGCGCATGCACCGCATCGGTCAGTTCTCATCATATGTGTCCGTGTGCACCCCTTCACGCGTGCCTGGATAGAGCCCCAGCCGACAACCTCGCGATGGCGTGCGCTCACGTACATGCACGCCCGCGCGCTGCTCCCGCCCTCGCCACACGCACCGGGCACGCCACCGTCCCCCTTCCAGGCGCTCAACGAGACAAACCTTCGCGGGCTGCTCGCGATCCTCGCGCTGTCCGGCTGCACGGACTCGCGCGGTGTGCGCCGCGATCCGTTGCGCACACGCTTCGGAGCGTCCATTGCGCGGATCAGCGAGCGCACGGAGCGCATCGCGAGTGTGGTCAAGGAGGGCACGATGAGCGGCGTCTTCGAGATCACCTGGGTCGGGTCGAAGGGCGCCGGCGCTGATGGTGCGCGCAGAGATAAGGTGGAGCGGTGGTTCGACTGGGCGACGATGGAGAACGTGTACGCCGGGCATGGATCGGACCGCAGCAAGGTCCTGTGCACTGTCGAGTTTGGGCTTGCGTGCGTGCGACGCGAGGGCTGGACGAGTACGGAGGACGATTCTGTCGAGGACGACGGGCGCATGGATAGCACGCCGAGGGTGAATGGCCATACGACACCTGTGACGAACGGCAATGGGCGCGCTGCGGCGAATGGCGTCAAACCGGAGGGCGTGTTGACGCGCAGTCTACTCATGAAACCGAAAGTGCTTTTGGAGTCGGTCGCGGATTTAGTGTGAGGTGAGTTGGTAACACCTCTCCAGCTTCGTCAATCCATGATTTAGACCATCGATAGGTCTGATGAGCAGTCACACTAGTAGATATCATGCAACCCTTTCATATTTGCATACTGTTTGCTAGAATCTACTGTGACCATGCTTTCACGACGTTTGGTGCCCATTTGCTTGGACATTCCTAAAATATTCTGTGACAGTTCTCTGTCCTGGAATACATGTCTTGGAGACACGGTTGTGTCTGGTTCGTCGTTATTATCATTATAGGTGTACTAATGTGTATGCTACATATTGCTTGGGTATGCTTTCGATATAGCTGTCGACAAAGTTTATTCCCCTTGAAGGGATTATTGCGTGGAAAGACAGTGGCGACGGTGAGAGGTGGCGATGTAATAACCTCTGCTAGGAGTAGCACTGTCGTTCCTTTTATTTGATACTGCGGAGCAGAACGAGAGACAGACATTCACGATTTGCGGTAGCACTTGTGCAATATTCTCGCTGCCACATATGATGAATAGGGTGTCAAGCTGTCCGATTACGGGTCTGAGAGGAATGAAACATACTACTGGGCCCCACAAGTCCGCAGGCGTGCCGCCAATCAGAGAGCAGGACATCCCGGGATCTCTCGGGATGTTCGCAATCCGATCAATAAGTTTGGGCCCTGGGCCAATCAGGCGAGGATACTGCCGACTGCCCGGGTAGGCCTAGTATCTTGGACTCTTGTATGCGCGGAAACAGCCAATGCTCGGCCGACACAGAAATCAGCTCCTTCCAGGGACTGGCGCTGCATCCGGTCAGTGTACGAGGGGTCCAAACATAGACTTATCAAACAGTAACCACGTTCTTCGATGCTGCATATATGTGTGGTCTGCTGACTGCTTCAGTGCTTCCAACAGCTGGTGTTTCCCGCATCTTGATACGCATGTGTTTCACATGTTCAATCTCCTAGATTCTAGAGCTTGTGGAAACCCTTGATAGGCCTATTGGTGGAAGACTGCGCTTTGCAAGACTTCTGTAACTCTGTTAGCATGAGGTTTAACATGCCCTGCAATCCACCCGCCCTTCTTGTCCGCCTTTCACACCAAGCTATCGCTTGTGTCCTGAGCTATGGTTTCTGGGAAGGTGTTTGTGTTTGACCACAGTGTAGGCATTATCCACCCCCGTTCTGTTTCGATCTCACCTGTTTCTAAACATCCCGAATGCCGAGATAACATACCCAATATCGTGAAGGGCACTTAAGAGACGCGGGCCTCATGTTGAGCCCTGACTGGCGCGGTGGGCATGAGCGATGGGGATGATTTACTATATAATGTATATTTGCCTTGTCCGCTGCATTGTCACCGTCCCATACACCCCCAGTGCCTCAGGGCACTATGTCTTCGGCGTCACTCCCTTCCAAGCTACTACTTGTCTTCTGTGATGGAACTGCATGCGACGGGACTTTAACTAGCTCCAGCAGTATGTATGCTTTCCAACTTCTGCTTTCATTGCCTTCACCATCTCGATGTAAGGTTCTCCTGCTATCTTCTCCACGCCAGAACAATTACAAGCAGGTGACTCCCCCCTTGGTGAATATCCCATTAACCATAACTCTCAACTTTTTTTAGCAGTGAGCGGCTCTGCAAGGCACCCCCAATTATCCGATTATGGGGAGTCGGGTATGATCATATGTACCAGCATATGATCCCTCTCCTTATGCCATTCTCTAGCGACCAAAGCCAAAGGAAGTGTTCAGTATGCAACGAATGTCTATCGTTTATGTGAGCTAATACTAAGATTTTGTGCGAATTTGTTTTACTGAGAACATAAATACAGCACGCGCTGTCATGCCATATGCCAAGTAAGTCCCCCTGCGTGCAAACAGCGTTATCACTGATATTGTCACAAAGGGATAAAATACGTCAGCAGATTGTTTTGTACCAGCGCGGGGTCGGCAGTGAGACGGATTTCCGAGGCTCTCCTGGTCCTGGAAATATCACATCCCGTCTGTGTTACATTCAATATTGAACGATGACAAGGTGTGTTGAATGCTAACCGTTCTGATATGGCACCAGAAATCCTTGGCGCTCCAGTTGGTGAGCTCATTTTCCCATCGTGCATGGTTCAATTTTGACGAAATTATATTGCACCAGCCAGCAAGATACGTGATGCCTATGTATTTCTTGCGCAGAATTTCGAAGTAGGAGATGAAATCTGCCTCTTTGGGTGAGCCTAAAGTCTATCAACATCGAACTCGGGCTATTTACCCACACGTATCGAGTCAGATTCTCTAGGTGAGTTTCGGGCAATTGAAGGGTGATCACCTCTAAATTTGACTGCAACAACCCAGGGGCGCATATTCCGTGAGAAAGCTTGCGGGACTGATTGTACGTTTATATTTGCGGGCGTTGCATCCCCATTTCACACTATATAGGACAAGATCGGCTTACTTTCGCGCGTGAACCTGGATCGGTTTTGGGATATCTGGTGCAGACTCCTTAGCAGCCAACCATATGCGCTTCCTTCCGACACAAGGATGGCCAGGATCAGGTTCGTTTTACGCTTTATTTTCTGGGACATAATTTACGTTTGAGCAGGTTGGTAGGAGTTTGGGACACTGTTGGCTATGTGGGCAAGCGCGATGCACTCCAAATTAAGGACAGCAGCCTTCCTGCCGCCGTCGACATTGCCCTCCATGCTCTTTCCATACATGAGAATAGGAATGCCTTTCGAGCTATCCTGTGGGCGAAATGTGGATTACGCCCCAATCAAACTCTCAAACAAGCATGTATTCAGTTGAAGTTTCGTCAGACCGCACCGCTCATCGCAGACTACTTATAGGTTTGGTTCCCTGGCGATCACTCTGACGTGGGTGGAGGGCATCCACGTCACGAGCTTGCTGACGTGTCATTGTTCTGGATGGCGGTAGGTACAGGTTATTTACTTTGAGGCATTGGTTATAATTATAGTATTGACTAGGGTGAGATCGAAGATATTGTACATCTCGATCTCTACCATCTCTGGATGAGTCGACAGGATGATCCCGAACCATGGGGATCATCTCAGCCACATAACGCACACATGGAAATGATGTCTAGAATACATCTCCCCATACGTCATGGAACACGACTCGAACTCAAGCAATTGAATGCCCTCTCCACACTCCACTTGAGCTGGAACAATACACCAGAAACTTTAAAATACCCGAGGTTCATGATAACTGCTGACGCGGTGAGACAGACCCGTGCAAATTCATCGCCACCGGTGCCATCTCTCAACCAGTTCGAGATTCATTGTATGAACCATTGGCGTGATACCCAGGTGAGTAATTTGCATACTAGATTGTCGATCGAGATTGATCTAAGCATACAATAGACACGAATGGCCCCTCAATGGGTACGGGTCAAGCTTAGTACCTGTTGCCAACGTCTACCAGCTGACTTGTATATAATAGATTCGTGGGGAACTAGGCCTCGTGCCATCAAATGCTGTTATAGGTGGCAGAGAACCGGATGGTTCACCTTTGTACATTGCCCGTGCTTCTTATCATGTGAGTACGATCTCGCATTGGTTTCTTACACGCATTGGCTCATTGCGTGTTTCTATCAGGGAATCCGTATGTTGCCCTCTCCATTTTCATGTCCCGTCGAGCTGACACAACATATACCTCGATATAGATCCCGGAAAGGCGAGCTCGTATTGCGTCTCTATCAGTTATGGTGGCCTCGAGCTCCATGTGAGTAACAGCGGCCCGTGGAACTTCCGACTGCTACTGAAGACATCAACCGTGAAACACACAAACAGATGTCATATTCTCAGTTCGATATACTAGTTGCAGACGCTAGATCCGTGGGATGGATCAAGGTCAAAGGGCGGCTCTCCCTCAAGAGTCTCGGGGCTACGCCTGTGATGTGAGACAACCGTCACTAATATACGATTGTGTGCAGAACACTGAGATACCTACACAGCGGAGGTCATGAAGAAGACGGAGAACCACTTTATATTACCCGGACGCCATACAAAAAGGGTGTATACTGTGGCAAAGTCTGGGCCAATTCTCATGGTGAGCCATAACCACGATCAACATGCGCTATTTACTAACGCAACTGCACAAACGCAGCGCACTTTCCATACGGAGGACAAGAAATCATAATGGTCAAGAAACCATATTATGTTCTTGTCCATATATAATGTTCTGTCTTCAGCCCGGGGGTCATCAGCTTGCACGTACACGGGTGGTCTTCTTCTGTCAGTCGATAGGCAGGCTTACATATCTGACCGGCAGGCTTACAGTCTCTTTGCTTTCCAGAAATTATATAGTGGACATATTCGAGGGCTCGAGTTTCCCTCTATGTCATGTATTTCTTCCGCTTCACGTTTGATCAACTACAGATCTTGGGCATATCTCACGTACACTAAATTAATCCGTTGCTTACGATGCTGCTCCAACTTCAGCATAGCATCCCATGCAGATGCGGTCTTCGCTCAATGACTGTTGGGTACTGCTGTAACATGCAACATTGAGTAAACTTACAGTTTGAACTGCATGAGACCACGTACGAGCTGTGCCCGATGTTTACGGAAGTTGCGGAGACGGTCCTTCCTGGATCTTCGAGTTGATCCCAATAACCCACGGATTCTCAAAACCGAAACTTATGTCAGGGTTAATTTGTTCCATCAGGTGCGTCATGGTCCGTGTTATTGGCATAGGACTTGCTTGTACTTTCACCTTACCATCCGTCTGAGATCTTGCCATGGTGCACTCGAGTGACACAAAATTGCGTTCAAGGAACAAGAGCACCTCCAGGGACGGGCAGTACGCGGCGAACAATCGTCCATATGACTCCCAGTCGTAAATATAGAAGTCGTCCGCGCGTTCCCACCAGGGCAATTCGTCAGGATACCCCTCCTCCAGGCAAGGTAGGTCGAACGCACTCCCGTCAATCAGTGAGATTGCAAAGTTCCAGCTAAACATTTTGAGAGAGCGGAAAGCAGCGAGATGCTGGGCGTACTCCCACGATGGACCGGGCCAGACGCTAGGCTTGCATTCGCGCTGTAAGAGATTCTGACGATGAACCAGCGTTAGGGTGTGTAGGTCTGGGAACAACCGAGCGATCGCTTCAAATAGGTCCGCTCCCGCATACGATAGTCCGTCGAGTGATAGAGTATGGAGAGCAGCTCCTTCTAGCGACGAGATCAAGTCCATGAGGACGTCGCGCTTGAGTCCGACTTCGGTCATTAATTTGAAGTGTGTCAATCGGAGCGACTCGCCAGATCTCTTCGCTGCTCGGATCCACGCACTCAAGAGTGGGACTTCTTCGTGATCTAGGTGGGTGACGACCACACGCTCGAGGGTCCTGAAGGGATTGCAGCGCGCACGGAAGGCCTCATCCAGGAGTCCGAGTTCCTGTCTTGTAAAGCCCGTCACGGCAAGCATGCGCAAATTGGGAAAGAGTCGAAGGCAGCGGAGAGAGGAGTGGTCCGAAATATCGTGAGTCTGAGCGAGAATTACATTGACTACCTGTGGCAGGTAAGGGAAATTGTCTAACGATTGGTCGATGGCCACAGTGCAAGTGTGTAGCTTGAGCGTGTGAAGCATAGGTAGTCCGACCATCGTCGTGAGCAGGGACTGCGTCAGCTGCACTGACATGCAGTACAGGTTTGACACATTGACTGCACGCGGAAGGACTTCCTCGAAGCCAGCCCATACCGGACGGAGAAACGACGTGTACTCTGGCGTGCCTATGTCTATGCCCGCCCATTCTAAATGGCGTTGCGACCATGCGACGCCGATGGTGAGATTCTGTATGCGCGGGATGATGTCGAGGCGGGACAGGAGGAATATGGCGTCCTTCAGCAACTTCTTCTGCATGTCCTGCGCATGCGACCTAGCATATGCACCTGCTGCTTCTCGTTTGAGTTGCTCTCCGTTTGCGTCTCGCAGTGTGGGCGAGAACTCCATGACGAGACGCCGACTCTGTAGAAGCCGGTCAGCCAAAATCTCAGAGGCCATGGGCGACGAACCTGGTAAATATATGATAATGATACTGTTCGTAGTGAACGGCAAGTAGCAGCAAGATGACGTGCTCCATGAACACCAGAGAGTTCCATTATGTGCAAAATTAGCTCAGGAGGCAAGTCCAACAGATATAATTTCTGAAAGACTGGTGTGGAGCCGTCCAGCAGTAGGCTCTTCACTTCGTCTAATTCCGCCAATTCATGCATCTATGTAAGCCAATATATGATGCTACAAAACATTTGATACATTACACACCTGCTTCCCGGAACAGCTCGTCAAGCCAAACATCGCTGAGTTTGTACTTCGCATGGAACTCGGACAGTAGGGACCGAGGCGTGATCTTGTAATCGACCTCTACAACAATTTGGTCGATTATCTGCCTGCGCTTCTCATGTCTGGTAGAATGGCGCCTTCGATTTTCGACGTCCTCAAGAAAAAGGGCCATGCGAGACTTCAGAGACGAGTACCGTCTCTCACTGCGACCAGTGAGATCCAGACTGCCCTATATCGGAGTAGTCAGACTCGTTGTCCTCCGTGATTTTAGAGAGATAGATATACAAGACTCACTTCGTGAAACTTCTTGAAACTTCTCATAAATCTCCGCAGGCGCCACAAGCTTGAATAGTCCGGCCTTTTCTCCCCTTCATTGGTATTATTCTCCACCGATTGGAACCAGTCGGAATTATACTTCTCCTCAACCTCTTTATCCTCATAGAATCTAAGGAGAACTTCAGGCTTGATAGCTATCACGTCGGTAGGTAGTAGTGTTAGTGGTACACCAGTAGCTCAGCAAACTCCAAAATAGGCGACAGTGTACGTACGAAAGTAAAAGCCCTTTAACTTCTGCTTTTCCTCTTTTTCGTACTGTCTCTCATCCTCTGAGTCCATGTTGGTGCTGGAAAGAGAATGTAATGTAATGTACGCGCGGTGATGACGGAACCTCCCCTCGTTGGCCTGGGTGCGGGAGTGGCCGGGGCACAAAATAATGGAGGACAAGGGGCTGGGCAGGCACGATCACATGACCGCGTTTGATCGATCGCGAACTATCGACAGCCGTCTGAATTTCGTCCTCGCGGATTCGTGCCGATACAAACACCACTTATTATATTGCGCTGAAGATATTTACAGTGGTAGAGAAGATCTCAACGCATCTATTGACGCAAAAAAGATGCAGTGGTTCGTGAACCCGAGGCTTGCGAATGCGGCCATGTTACGCATACTGAGTATGTACCCCGAGCCTATTGTATATGTCCGTTGCTTGCCGGTGTTTGCGTAACGCTCTCTAGTAGTAGCCTAGAGCCTGTGCATGTTCAAGGAGAAGCACAGGCAATCATTCTGGTATTCATGACCGACTTAGCCATGAAGACATTCCTGGACTTACAGATTATGATTTGCAACCCGAGAAACGGCGCCGGCCCAAGTATGCATTCCACAGGAAGGAGTGTTTCTGATACTGATGCAGGGGAACACGCACTAAGTGAGCATCCTTCGTTCACATGTGCATTGCAATGATTCACTGAAGTCTTGACAATTCTGTCAAATAAACTTGTATCTTTTCGGCGCTGACTATAATGCTCTTCCTGGGACACCATTGGGAAGTCGTGCTGATCTAGCGCAGTCGAGCTCATAAAAAAGTACCTTGGTAGGCTCATTAGTGGAGCGATGTAGCGAGATGTACAGTGGTGCATAGGTGGATAATCTGCATGTGTCTAGCTATGAGGTAGCGCCGTCACAATAACGATTTCCTCAACCCAAGTAGATCCTAATGCGTACAGATCAATGACTCAACGGCGACTCAGGGATGTCACAGCTGCCCAGCTTCGGCGGAGCACCCGAAGCCGGTGCAAGCATCAGCTAGGATTGCAGAACGTCAGCTCTCGTTTGATAATGTGATAGGAACATGGGCATACATTGACAGTCTGGATTGTCGTGTAAGCCGCGGCGACTGTACCAAATATCATCAACGCAATGTCAGCTATCTTCTGCCTGCGTGTATGCGCGCAGGCCTTGTAGTGGAGCATCGCCGGGTAGACATAGCACAGCGGGACGCTATGCGAGACCCCTCAGCACACATGAATATGGTATGGTATAAGTCTGAGCACCCACCAAGCGAAGCTTCCGACGAACGAGACGAACTTGTCCAGATCGGCGGCGCCCGCCCAACTGAGGAACGAGCAGAAGATGACCACGCAGAGGCGGAACAGGTTCTTCAGCCACTTCACGCGCGTGTCTGCCTTTCCGCTGCGCTCGAACAGCCCGTTCTCCATGATGCGCACGGCGGGGAAGAGCTGCAGCGGCACCGAGAGCATGATCGCGAGCGAGTACAGGAGCTGCACGACCTGCGTGAACCGACTGGTCGTGTCGAGGTTGACAATGACGACGGTCTGGACGTCCGCGCCGAAGGTCAGGTACGACATGACACCACCACCGCAGAACAAAACTGGAAGCGCACAGCTCGTAAGCATGGTCCTGGGAGGCGCGTACAATGTAGAGCATACCCATGAGGAACAGCATGACACCAGTCAGGACTTTGGGGAACTTGCGCGGCTCCTTCATGGCATCTGTAATAGGGATGACCTGCAGGGTCGTCAGTACAAATTACGTACAAACAAACGAGCATGCTCACGAGACCAATTCCCTCAAAAGAGAATACAGCAGTTCTGGGTACATAGACAGCAAAGGTAAGCATCGAGTATCAACACACTATCACACGAGACCTACCCGATCAGCAGCGGCCAATCCCTCGCATTGAACAGTTCGACATGTGCGTGGCCTTGCTTGGCCATGATACCGGCCTCGCTTCCGAAGATGTAGATCAGCCCCGTGAGGATGAACGCGTCCGCCACGAGCGCGGTCGTGCTCAGCTTAGCCAGGTTGCGGATCAGCGCGAGCGGCACGAAGATGAACATCTGCAGGAGGATGAAGTACTGGATGCCGAGCTGTGTCGCGCAGTTGGTGACCGCGAGCACGAACGCCTGCAGGTTCTCCGAGACGAAGATGATGTAGGCGGAGACGAAGCCGACCTGTGAGATTGTGATAGAGCCGAGGATGGCATATCGCATCCAGGGTCCGTACAGAGTCCCGCCGATGTCTGCATACGGGTTATGCTTCTCGACGTCAAGTACAGGCAGGATGTGCACATACCACCAAAGCTGCCTGACACAACGAACTTGGTCTTGACCAACAATAGGAATGAGTAGAGTGAGATAAGAGCAATGAATGTGAGAACGGCGCTCGAGAACAGAATGCCACCGTTGAAGAACCTGTGAGGTAGTCCCAATTAAAGACAAGCCCTCCGTGATGATAACGACATGTCGACCTACGCTTTCCCAAGGAACAGAATCCCCGTTCCAACAAACGACTTCAGCAACTGTATTGGCGTCGTTAACACACGTCACTTCACTGCATATAGGAGCATATTAACCATAAGCACAGCCTGTGTGACCGTGGCATCTCCATGCGGACCCGTGCTCGCGGCGCGTTTCCGCCTTGACCGCGACCGCGAGCGACCCAACAACGGAGAGCGCTCCCCGGCTTTGTGCAGATCCGTAGCAGTTTCTGGTGGCAGGCCTATCGACAGTGGGGCCGTCTCAGCAAATCCACGCTCCGCCAGCGCAGGCTCTCCGGCTTGTGCCTCTTCATCCTGCCATTGTTCCATGTACTCGTCCTCCTCGTCGATCTCCTCGAGGTCTTCTCCGGCCTAGCGAGCGTACACCTGTCAGTGTAGCACAAAAGAGAACACAATGGGTGTAGTACGCACGAAGTGCCCGAAAAGGTAGAGGAACTCGATGAAGTTGCGCGGGACAGCGTGCGGGAGCTCGCCGTGCTCGTTACCGCTGCGTGTGAGAAGGTAGTTCCGGCGAAAACCGCCAGGCTCGTGGAGATGCTGGAAGACGGGGTCGGGCGTTGAGTTGTGCGAGCCGGAGAAGGACGCGGCGCGTGGGCGTGCAGCCTGTCGACGCTTGTCGGCCTGCCATTTGTAGATGTTATGACTGTAACAGATTGTCAATACAACGGACTATAGGAGAGCTGTTGGATAACATGTGACGGCAGACAAGACAGTCCCCTTAACCTGTGATGCCACGATACTATCAATGAAAGCAAGCAGGCAAGCTTGAGACAACGCGGTGAGCTACAAGCAGTTTCATGATCTGCGGAAGGCTTCTTCGACTCGGCATACACGTGCACCGGATAACCTTCCTCTAGAGCATACAACAGTGGCAATGCCAAAAACGTCTGTCCATGCTTCGGCCGTGATAGAACATAAAAAGACCCGTAATCTCGGTTGACAGGATCGACACTGGTCACGATAGGCCGGCGACGCTCACATCCTGAGGAAATGATGAAGAAAGGCACAACAATACTTACGTCACATCTGCACCGGGAGCATGATATGTTACAGGGAAGGGCTCTGTGTCCTCTCTCTCGATGCGTAGATGAGACACGGACGACCGCTTAGACATAGCACCATGTTCAGAGCCGCCGCTAATGGACCCGCGGGACGAGGCCTGGCCGTCACGTTCTCCTCGTGAGACAAGATGACGTCTCAATATCCTCGCTTTCTCTTCATCAGTGAGTTCGTCGAGAGCATTGGACTCGACACCGCTGCCAGGAGTGCCCGATACGGGTCGACGAGCGCTGATACCGCCCAATGAGGACGGCTCGCCCGCACTAGCAAACGGTATGGACAGTAATAGCGGCGAGCTACCCGCCGCGCTCGGCGTGCCTATTGGCGTTCCGCGCCGGGGAATGTTGGGCGGCGGGGGCGTGCCAGCATACTGCGCACGAAGAAACCTAGGACTTGGAGAGCCAGAGATAGCGGCTGGCACGTTCGGAGGCGTTCCTCGCAGCGGTGCGCTGGAACGAGGACTGGCGATATCGAGTGGTCTAGATGGGGACGACATGATGGTGGGAGGGAGGTCTTGCGAGCGAGCAGGCGAGGGAATCGGTTGCGCTCCGAGCGGGGCGGCAGTCATCCCATTTCGGGCGGATCTTATCACGCATAGATGTGACTCGGGCTCAGCGCACCGTCTGTGCTTGCTGTTTTCTCCCAGATGCCACCTCCTGCTGCGTCCGTTGATGCGTATTCCAGCAAGGATGTCTCAGTTCTTGCTTCTTGGCAGATGATCGCGCCTTGGGCCGGTGTCTTTAATAGTTTAGTACTTTCCTCGTCCACGTGGCTCAGCGCTTGTATATAATACCTGCGGCAGTCTGACTTTCGTTCATAGCCTATCGAGAGACCTGGGTTATAACTGGCTGCTATTTTCAATAACTCTAGACTCTGCAATGTGGTGACGACTGGTGCTTTCTCTCCCTAGGCAATGTCTTCATCTACAAACGTGCTCACATTCAGAAAGCGTCCAAGACTTCCTTCTCCTTTGGTCTCGCGTTCAGCTTCGGAACGTGTGCCCATGTTGGACCCACATTACACAAACCACCCAAACCTACGATTGCGGTGCGTACTAAGCTATCCTGGATGCCGCATCCCTTTATCCAATTACATGGCCTAGGTTAGAACTATTTATACAGGTCCCCATTCATTCATTCCGGAGCTATTGATGCGACGCCTGCTGCAGGCACCGCTTCTCTATGTATTTCCACAGGAAGTTTTCGACTCGAGGCGATTACACTACGGTATTTTCACACGATCTATCGCCGTCGATCCCTTTGCGATGAGCATTGATTGCGCTGTAGTCTGAATACCATCATAGGTAGCTATGTTCGCAACCCAGTTACCAGCCTCGTTGGGCTGTGTCAGGGCGCGCTCAATCAACATATACTTTGTATTGCCACTATTGCACAGAAAGGTGAATTTGATAAGACAAGTCGCACCATCACGGGAGCTGTCGACTTGAGTGAGCGCTGCCCTTGGGCATGTGGATCTAGGCTTCCAGCAGCGTGTTTTCCTCAAGTGCAACCCCACCTTCACAATGAGGCCTGCAAACGAGTGTGCGACGGCTGCAGGGGCAGGCTTACACGCGCGGCTCCCATCACCCTCAAATCCCTCCTCTGATGTCCCATCCCCCCTCTGGTTGACCTCAACCGGGCAGTGCGCCCATCGTCCACACTCCCCTTGCTATGTCGAAAGTCCGCCGCAAACCCGCACCCACATTCCCCTACTCTCCACGATATCCGATACCCGACCCGACCGACCCCTTCGTTCCGCTCAAGGTATTACGCGAACGCGCGTCGTCCAACAACGCGACACTCAACTTTTCTTCGGATAATTCATCTTTCGGCAATGGCACCCTGGACCGCGATGGCTTCTACCTCACAGTTAATTCCGACGAACACGGGCAAGGTCTTGACATAGCTTATCCTCCGAGTAGCACTGACCACCACGAGCCGCTCACACCCCCGTCCGTCTGGCCAGAACGTCTTGGTGGCTATTATTCAGACAATATTCCCGCGAAACGACAGCGTCCCCCTCGCTCCCGACCCAAGCCGAGCCGAGAATCAAGGACCTACTTCTCTGACGCCGATCTTCCGGCAAGTTCACCAAACCAATTCCTCCAAGACCAGCATCCGCGCCATCGTGAGAAGCCAGTTGAGCCGCAGGTACTACAATATCGCAGACGGTCCAAGTCCGCCTTTCTCGCGCCGCCGCCGAGTCAGAACCACAGCCAGGGTCAACGCGAGGAACTCTCTGCGGCTGGCTTCACTGCGTCTCAGTCTAATGTTGATCTTCCCAGGTCAGTACACTCTGAGGTGGAAGAGGTGCAACCGCCTCCACCTCCGCCCCCAGAGCCAAAGCCAGACGTGATGCAGACGCGACAGTACACTTACGATGATCGTCAGTCGCACGGGTATCTAATCGGCGCGCCCAGTAGCGACTTCGACATACACGAGCCTCTCCCTACGGATGCTCAGTCGCATTCACAGTCGCTGCGTTCCACGACGCCGCCAATGACCCCGGACGACACCCTCAGCCTGAGCAGCTCTAGCGCGCGGGACCGCTCAGCGTCGCTCTCCCCGCGCTCATTGTTGGTATTCCGCGACCTCCCTCGAGTCACGTCGAGGCCTGTACTGGACACGAGCTTCTCGGTGCTGGAGGACCGCAAGGGTGCTGTGGAGCTAGATCAGGAGACCCCTACGACGGCGCCGTTGCACAGTAAAGACTTCCCGCTGTTGCGCGTCACATCTGCGCCGCCATCCCCGGAAGCTTCTCCTACTGTTGTTGCGTCGGCCCCTTCTTATGTACCTGAGGAATCTTATCCTGCCAGCGAACCGGAGCCGGAATCGAGGCCTAGGCGCGGCAGGACGGAGAGCGCGAGCAAGCGGCATACCATCCACCATAGGGTCCGTAAAACGTCCAGCATCAGCAGCGCACGCTGGAGGAAGCAGTCGTATCCTGGGCACCGTCCTGCCACCAGGAAGCAGTCAACGGAAAGTGAGTCCTCTCTCTCAGCTGCGCTTGCGGCCGTGCAGGCCCTCGTGGAGTCGCCCACTTCAGAAACCCCGGAGCGGGCTGACGCAAATGCCGCGCCCGCTGTGAGTAGCGGACCCTCGTCATTCCCTGCCGCGCTCGTGCACGCGCAGGGGACCACAAGGCCGTTGCAGCCACAGGCGAAGCGCGCGTCCATTGTGCCGCCGGCAGACAACGCGGGGACGGAGAGCGATCCGGGTCCGGGCTCCAGGACGACGCGCTTCATCCTGCACAAACCGAAGAAGAGTCTGTCCCACGTCAGTCTTGTGCTGGCGGGCTTGCCGAACGTGAGCATGGGCCCGACGATCGCGCCCAGCGCCAACACCAGCATCGGCAGTGCCATGACGGTAGGTGGGGGGTTCGGCAGCGTAGGTAGTTTGAGTCGGGAGGACCTCAACAGGCACACGCAGGAGTTCGCGCTGCTGCGTCCTCCTCCGATGGCACATCCACAGTTTCTCGTGCGCTCGCAAGCTGTTTCGCATTCGCAGGCGGTCCCACACTCGCAGCTCGTTGGGCATCCGCAACCTATCGTGGATCGACAGCCTGTGCGCGAGTCGGAGAAGCCGAAGCCGCCTGAGCGAAGCGCAAGGCGGCTCTCGTCGTTCCCCATCCTCGACGATGACGGCGTGCCGGCTGAGCTCAAACGTGACCTTGAGGACTCTTCGCCGATTGAGACATCGACGCCTGCGTTTGAGGCGATGGCAAGAGTCGCGCGCCCGCACACACCTATTCCTATGACACCTATCACATCGCGAGCGCCGTCTGCGGCCGGAATGCACTCTGAGTCCCAAACGCAGGCAGCGCAGCGCGAGCCCACACCGCCTCCGGTGCAAACGTTCACCAGCCCGCTCCCCCCGATACCCACACACATCCACCATGAAGCAGCTCCCGAGCATGTCCGTCCCTCTTACTATCAGTCTGCTCTTGCCCCTCCGCGAGGGCCCTCGCCGGGTTCTTATGTCTCGCCCACACCTCCGTCTGAAGTTGCTGCGCCCGCACCGCTCCCTATGTCTCCGCCACAACCCTCCGAGCCCCCGACTCCCCTTCCTCTCCCTACCCCGCGTGTCAAGTCTCCCATGCCGCCCCCGCCCTCTCTGCCGAGAGAAGTGCAGAGCGCCGTACCTAAAGTTCTCCGCAATGAGGTGATGCAGTCTCGAGGCGAGTTACCAGAGCAGCCCCTCCCTCCCCTTGCTCAAAGTCCTCCTGTCGAGAGGAGGCCGCGTAAGAGAGAGACGATGAGAGAGGAAGAGAGAATGTCTGCTTACTTGCCAGTCGCCCAGCTCCGGCCGCAGGTTCATGCGCAGGTGCAGACACGGGAACAGGAGCCTGAACCTGCCGCACAGACGTTGGCACGTAAACGCATCAGTACAGCGCAGATATCAGGGCCGGTGAGGCAGCCAACTCCTCCGTCACAAGCACAACACAGGAGTCGTTCTACCTTCTTGGCACCGCAGCCACACCATCGGTCTCAAACGCCTCCAATCGATGGGCACTACCGCTCCAGGACGTCCACTGTACCTGCACCTCCCCGATCGCAGTCTCCGCCGCCGGTCCCGGAATTCCGCGCGCAATCTCCGCCCCCGGCCATGGCTCACTCCCGCGTTCGTTCACCTACTGCGTACACTCAGGCCCGTGCCCAATCGCCTCCTCCACGTGTACCCTCTCGCGCCAGGTCGCCGACCTCATCTCAGGATCATGGAATCCGTCACGGCCGTAGCCAAGAGCAGTCGTTCTTTCAGCTCACGCGAGCGGGGACAAGCCGCAGTGGTGGCACGCATTCCTCGTCGCATAACACGCGTCGGCGTGAGACTGCACCCTCTACCCCGGTGCCGCAGTACACGAGCCCGTCACCGTCTACGACGTATTCGCAGCCACAACCCGCCCCACGAGCGGAGCGGCGCTCTAGATCGCAGGCGCCGACCTCGCATAGGGTCCAGCGGCACCAGCAACGGCCTCAGACACCTGTTGCAAACCTTAGGTTTGACGAGTACGCAATCCCGACTCGGGAGCAGCTTAAACATGCCGCATCGCTTCCTGTGGTTGCGCAGAATGGAATCCGGGTGCAGTTTGGAGAGCTGTTCAAATCTAGGAGGACCGTCATCTGTTTCCTGAGACATTTCTGGTGAGGACTGCATCTTGCGGGTAAATCGCAAAGTGTTGAACTAATGCATGTTATAGGTGCCCTGCTGACCAAGACTACATGTATTCAGTCGCCAGAGAAGTTGACCCCGAGGCACTCAGGCATGCGGGTCTTGACCTTGTATTCGTTGGATTAGGCTCGCCGGCTATGATCAAGTCATATAAACGTATGCAGGGCTTCCCCTTTCCCTTCTATGCAAGCGTGATCTGATGTCGTACCTACAGAGATTTGGCGCATGCCGTTCCTGATATTCACCGACCCCACCCTGCGTCTTCACGCGGCGCTTGGGATGACGCGGCGCACACAAGACGCAGGCTCCGAGTTCGAGAGAGGAGAATATGCCAGACACGGGCCGCTTGGGGGCCTTGCAATGGTGGTCAGGAACGCTATACGCGTGGGCATGCCCGTTTGGGAGAAAGGCGGTGATGTCACTCAGCTTGGCGGAGAGTTCGTCCTCGGCCCTGGGTGAGTGTAATCCTCCTTCCATCTCGTTCGTTGCATCTGAATGTGCCCCCCGTTCAGACCGACGTGCCTCTACACGCATCGCATGCGCACGACACGCTCGCACGCGCCCATCTTACACGTCCTCTCGGCTGCTGGCCTCTCCACGGGCCTCCGCGGTGCCTCGCCCTCCCTCGCGCCCAACGACGAGGAACAATGGATGGAGGAGCGCCGACGCAGCTACGCGCGCATGCAGGCACGCCGCGAGAAGCGGCGCGAGGGCGGCGAGCAGTGGCGGCGCGAGGACTCGACGGACATGGCGTACGGCAGCGACACCGGCAGCGCCAGCGTGAGCGGGTGCTGGGGCACGAACATGCCGCGGGAGGATGCCCCCGCGGGCACGGGCACGGACGTTGGCGCGGGCAGGGGCGACGGGGAGCGGAAGCGGCCCGTACGGAGCTTCCACATTGCAAACCCAGATCCTCACAACCACCGATACCTGCCACCGACGCCGGTTGACGAGGAGCACACGGCCGGGGACCACGGGTGGGACGCGGACGTGTCGGATCTGCCGTACCTGCATGGGATTGTGCGCGACCGCGCCGAACCGTTCAGGCTGACGGAGGAAGTGCTCGCGTATCCGTATGGGAAATCGTGAGTAGGGTGCTACGCAATCAGCTAGCTTGACTCTGGCAGTCGGATGGACTTACATAGGGTAGTAAATTATCAACCTGTCATCACGTTCTGTATGTATCACCAGCTGTTAAGTAAGTGCTGTCGTAGTTATTTCGAATTAAGCCCACAGGGTATAGGTAGTCGATCTCATCACAATACACATTTCACGACACGCCTCACATCAGTTTTCATACTCGAACTGCCAAACCTTCTAACCGCCTCCACCCCTCGCCTCGTCCTCTACTTCGCAAATCTCCTGCACGCCTTCTCGGAAAAACACGACATTGTATTCTACCAGTCCGCGGCGCGCCTCGAACACCGCACTAGGAATGATCGCCAGTAGCGCGAGCTTGCGCGTGATGAGTTGATACGTGAGCGTCATCCCTGCGCCTGTGTTTGCGGACGCGGGCGCGATCACAACAGACGCACTCGGGTAAAATAGTGTTTTGGTAATGGGGGCTTGGCGGGTGTTATCTGCGGTATTGATGGTGGGGGCAAGTGCAGATGGGCGCGTGGACGAGAGGAATGGCGAGCGGGGTGCAGATGCCGGATGTGAGCTAGCTGAACGGGATAGGGTGGGCGGGGATGTGGATTGTGAGTGTACTAGTATAGTAGGCGGGGGTGTCGGTGGTCGATGCCGTTTCGGACTTGCTGTTACAGATCTGCAGTTCGTTAGGTACGCGCGCGTAATTGGAGGACAACGAGCATACCTGTACAGAGGCCCAAATGAGTTTAGCATGAGCAGGTAGTCGCTGCAGAGGTTGTGCGTGGGCGGGTCGACCGGCGACGCGTCCGTCGCCACATACAGACGTGATTTAAGATCAAACAGGAAGGCCTTGGATGATTGCGAATTCTACAGATCGTAGCGTGAGACCAGGATCGCTCATCAGAGGCAGAAGACGTCTCACATAGCAGAAGATGTTCAGGAGATCTTCGAGATACGGAAGCGACTCGATAGACTTATGCAGCGTGCGAGAGAAGGCGTCGTGCAGAGAGTGGTCGTGGATCGACGTGAGCGCGAAGTTCATCTGGATCTGCTCGTATTCGGATGAGATGTCGATTAACTCGTCGAGGATGTGCTGCTGGAGGAAGCGATAGTTGTCTGTGAGTATTTGGTCAGCGTGAGAGCGTATGGTGGGCAGTATGGGAGACAGCGAAGAAGTGACAAAGTCTGTGAGCTGTGCGTGCATATAGGTCGTTCGCCCTCTCCGCTTGGATTGGATACACAATGGTCATCTGGTCGGTGCATGGAAGCTATAACGCTAGTGACAGCTGTAACTTTGATTTGCCGCGGATGAACTGCGTATCTCCCACTCTCACGGCGAAGTGAATGTCGGTTACAATGTCAACTCTGCCCGCGCAGACCACACACTCGATATGATGCACTCGCGGACTACTCGTAGGTCTACTCAAACAATGGCTCGCTATGCATGGCCAGCAGGGTGTGTTCAGAGAATGGGAGACGCACCGATCCTGTACTCCTCTGAGAGCGCATCTGCCTTGTGCACGAAGACTTCGAGGTTAGTTTGTGGACTCTGGTCATACGCTGCAATGACGAAGCTGACGAGCTTCGTGATCGGGGGCTGGTAGAGATCCTGTGAAGGCGAAGCAGCGAGTGAGAACAGGCCGACGTCAGGGCGCGTGCCGTGGGTACCTGGATGTCCATGACGAAGATGATGGTGGCAAAGTGGGACAGCGGCGTGTCGAGGGCCTCGAGGGCCTCAAGGGTGATGTCTCCTGGGCAGTCCCATATCTCAAGTGGTATGACTGTGCTGGTGCAAGCAGCGGGCGGACGTCAGAGCGCGCGACGGGCAGGCGGGGGCGACGCACTCGTAGGTGTGCTTGGTCACGCGCGTGGTGCGCTCGATGTAGAGCGTGTCCTTGGGGCCGCAGTCGTTGAAGAGCACGTCGAGGATGGATGTCTTGCCCGTTCTGATAGGTCGACGTCAGCTGCGTGCATGAGGCAGTCGCGAGCAGTCCACACCTGCGCTGACCCAGGAGGAGGATCTTTGTCCGCGCCAGGTCTCCGCTGCTAGTCCGCCGACCATTGGTGCTGGGCTGCGAGTCGTACTTTGGCATCATCGTAGGCATCCTCGACGCCGCGGCAGACGATGAGCTCGGGAGTGGAGACGGCTACGAGCGCTCGCGGATGGCCGGAGCCGATGCCGCTGGGTTTGGAATTGATCGCCACTCACGGGACGGTGGGTGGCAGAAGAAGCATAGACGCGACCACGCACGTTCGTAGGTCCTTTGCACCGAATTGGCTGAGCTCTGCTGCACAACTGAAGCCATGTTCCAGCTTCCCCCGTCCGGCCCTCTTCCTCCAACGCTCACCTCGCGCCCATGAAGTTCGGCCGCAAGATCTCCGTGCGTCTGCTCCTCACTTTCTGCCCCTTCGACCCCCCTCTGACCCTCTTTCGGCAGCATGACCTCTACAACGAATGGAGACCGTTCTACATCAACTATAATCAGCTAAAGCACGAGCTCAAGGTGACATCAATTCACTACGTTCCATTCTTGTGCAGCCACTGACGCTCGCTCTGCGCGCACCTTGCCTTTCTCGAATATGTTGTTTACAGGCGCGCACCACCTCGCGTGGTTGGACAGATGCAGATGAGCGCGAATTCACGGCCATGCTCGAGCAAGAGCTGGACAAGATCCACGACTTTCAGAAGACAAAGGTCGGCATGATTTAGACCTCCGCTGGGGTAGCACTTCTCAACCTCCTGAGCTTCCAGACCGCTGAACTGTCCACCCGCATCAAAGACGCAGAGAGGGCCGTCAAGCGTCTCGTCATAACCGAGTATACAGACGGGCATGATGCTCACGCGAGCACATCCGCTGACCCCGAACGGCAGCAGCGCCAGCCTATGGCACACCAGGACGCGGGCTCCGATGACGATGACGACACGGACGATGAAGGCAGCGACGCCATGTCGATAGATGCCTTAGAGGACCAGTTCCTCGTTCTCGAGGAGGAAGTCGCAACCCTCGTCGCCGACGTACATGACCTTGCACTGTATACCAAGCTCAACATTACTGGATTCATGAAAATTCTCAAGGTACGTGCCTGCATTAATTGCACGGCTCCCCGCGACATGAGCGCCCAGCTGACTGGCTGTCACACGACCTCTATATTTTCCTTCTCCAGAAACATGACGTACGTCTGGGGCGCATATATTGAGATATTATATCGCTCAATTATTCCCAAACCACGTTTACCTCTAGAAACAAACAAACCGCCCACTCAAGCCCACATTCATTCAAGAGTACCTGGAGAAGCGACCGTTCTATAAGTACAACTGGGACGGTCTCATAGTCAAACTGTCCAAGTTGTATGACCTTGTCCGCACAAGAGGCCATCCCGTCCAGGGCGATGCCAGTGCGGGTGGAAACCAGAGCGCATTCGTACGGCAGACGACCAAGTATTGGGTAGGAATATACATGCTAACCTCGAGCGCTTTGACATGCATGTTGATAGGCATACTCATAGGTCCACCCAGATAACTTAGTCCACCTCAAGTTGGCAATACTGCGGCACTTGCCTGTGCTAGGTTTGTCACTCAATCAGTCATGTAGTAAACATCTACCGACCTATTAAAGTGTTCAATCCGGATAAGGAGTTTGAACAGAGGGACGCCGGTGAGCAGGGAAGCTCGGTGTATATCCTTTTTTTTCTGATGGCGTCCTCCAGCCATCACGTCTATCTATTTTGACAATGAGGACCTCGAGCTCTACCTAGGCCGTCTCGAGAAGACGGAAGGTGCTGAAGCTGTTCGACTGCGCTGGTATGGCGACGTCGATACCAAGACAGTATGTCCAGCCCATATCACTCGGGCGATTTACTCGACTTCCGGGTAGTCTTGCTGATAGTAGGTCACCTCTGTGCAACGACCCAGATCTTCGTCGAGCGGAAGACGCACCGCGAAGACTGGACGGGAGAGAAGTCCGTCAAAGCGCGCTTCCCGATCAAAGAGCATCTCGTGAACGCCTTCCTGCGCGGCGAGTACACCATGGACAATGAGTTCCAGGAGCTCGTCGCGAAGGGCAAGAAGACGCAGCAGGAGGTGGACTCAATGATTCAGCTCGCGAACGAGGTGCAGTACGCGGCCCTCACGAAGAAGCTCAAGCCAGGTGGGTGTTCCTGCGCATATAGGTGATGCTGCGTGAATGCTGACGCATGATGGTGCCATGACGCAGTAATGCGCACGTTCTACAACCGCACGGCTTTCCAGCTGCCCGGTGACGCGCGCGTACGTATATCCCTGGATACGGAGCTGACGATGGTCCGCGAGGACAACTGGGACGGGCGTGTGCGCGCGGGGGATAACTGGCGGCGAACGGATATCGGTATCGATCATCCTTTCGAGCAACTGCCCCCCGATGATAAGGAGCTCTTCAAGTAGGTGACACTCATGTTGATGTTCCGCCCGTACCGCAGTATTGTGGGATATACAGCTGCTAACTGCCTGGCCGTAGGTATGGAGTCTTGGAAGTCAAGTTGCAGACGCAGTACGGACAGGAACCACCGAAGTGGGTTGCAGATCTCGTCTCGTCTCATCTTGTAGAGGCCGTGCCGAAGGTAAGGCTCAGATGTTTGTTCTGGTAGTCGCTCGATCTTGACCATCACCTCGCAATCTTTGTAGTTTAGGTATGTGGAACTACCAGCACTCTAGAGAGTCTTTAGCGAATTCACACATCGTCACAGTAAATTCATTCATGGCTGCGCGACGCTTCTGCCTAACCGAGTTGACCTCGTTCCATTCTGGCTGCCTCAGAGTACGTCACAAGTACCCGTTGGGTAAGTGGCGTATGGCTAACCACCCACACCCTCAGTGGATACCGACATCCTGAAGCCTGATACGGGCTCCCTCACAATCGAACGTCCTCTGCAGACTTCATCGAAGGGGACGTCCGAGCTATCGACAGGACGGGAATCCTCTGGAGATGCAACTCCGGAACACGGTCGTGTCGTATACGTGGAACCTGTATCTGAAGGTGAGGAGGACGAGGACATGGACATGGCCCCAGGTGTGTTCATAATTCAGAGTTGCGCGCCGAGGGCTTACGCCAGGCGCAGCGAGAGACGAGCATAAGCGTACCGGTCTGTCGGGAGACGAGGTGGCTGCTGCGATCGCTTACCGCGAGAAATTGCTGAAGCAGCAGAGCGAGGCGGATCTGCGGAATCGGACGAGTCAAACATCGTCGCAGGCGTCGAGCTCGCGCCATGCGACGGCAGACGATGAGGGCACTGACGGGGACGATGAGGATGAGGCTGATGAGCGGACCCCGCTCATCAATGCATCGAATGGGGCAGCCGTGCTAGACGACCGCAATCGGACTCAAGTGCGGTCTTTGTCCATTGACCCGCTTGCGTCCTCACAAGCATTCGATGAGACGCTTCGTGACCGCCTGAGGGTGGACGCGGAGCGTCGGATGCGCGATGACGAGGAAGCTGTAGACGACGATGAGGAAGAGGACAGCCGGATGGAAGGATCGTCAATCAGACGTGACAGTGAGCGTCTTCTCGAGCGTGGCTGGGTTGCGCCACCTGGAAAGCGCATCGCCGTGCCGGTTCGCGTCGAGCCGAAGGTGTACTTCGCCGCTGAGAGGACGTTCCTGGTAAGACCACCCATCCCTCTGCGCGTCTAGTCCCGCTCACATGCCGAACTAAACCAGAAATGGCTGCACTTCGCTATCTATATGGGCACGATCGCGACGACGCTGCTGAACTTTGTGCCTCCGCGCGACACGGTGGGCCTGATCAGCGCGGGGCTTTTCACGCTTGCGGCTCTAGTGGCGATCGCGTACTCGGCGATCATCTTCGTGTATCGCGCCCTGAATCTCCGGAAGCGCCGCGCGGAGGGTATGTACTACGACAAGTATGGACCGACTGTGCTGTCGTTCTTGTTGCTTACAGCGCTTGGGACGAATATTGTGCTGAGGATGCGGGAAATGGCGGGGGATGTCCCGTAGTGCTGGAATTTCCGTGCTTGTCTTGTTAGCTAGGGCGTGCATGCCTGCTGCAATCTATGATGTTAGTTTATACACAAGGCGACGTTAGAGCTCAAAAATAGTCAAGGTGGGGTAAGTGCGGTTGAGCAAGGGTACTCAGACTCGAACCTAAGGAGTATAGTTGGGGTGAATTTGATGTCGATTTCGCCGATTTTGTTGTGTTGTGATAACCACGTGGTACAGAATGTCAAACATGGCAATTTTCCAATGCGGCGCTTATTCACTCATCCTCTGCCTGCAACTGCTACATGGTGTGTACCAGGTATGTCGCATCTCCCCGCTTTTCATTGTTCACTTTGGCATTTTATGTCCGTATGATGTTTTATTACAATCTTATCTACATTGTCCGATTGGGGTCACCCAAACAGACGACTCTTCATAATTCTCTGACACCATTTTACCCTCAGTTTGTGCACATTCCTCGTTGCTGATATCCTCCCGACAGGCAATGCGCTGTATAGCTCGAAGACTAGTAAGGGGTTGAGGGTCCTTGTCGCATAGTTATGTACTGTACAGCAATACTTTATCATTTGTCGAGTACAGGCTGATGCCTTGTGTTTCTGTAATAGTACCGCGCTATGAATTTCTACTTTGAAGCTGCTAAAGTCTTGGATAAGCTCGATGCAAAGAAAGGCTCCATTAAAGGCGTCATCGCGACCGTGGCTGAGAAAGACAGGAAACGGACGGCGGCTGTCGTTATCGAGACCTTGAAGTGTGAGCGCTGAGCTTCAGCCGTGCAAATACAGTGGGAACTAACACTGTGACGGGGCACCAGATAAACCAGTGCTGGTTGAGATCATTGACGCTGCAAAGCTCTTGAAGGAAGAGCGTAAGATTTCTTCACGGAATTTGGCCCTGGTTCTTGTCCACGACCTCCTACTTGCAAATGGCATCCAGGCCGGAGATGGTCCTGTGAAGCAAGCCATATTACGCCACAAGACACGACTCCACAGCGAGTTCACGCGAATTAAGATCAAGCGCGGCGCGAAATCGCACAGTGAGCTGGCACAGACCGATGACTCACGAGCAGGTACGCTGACGGATTTTGGTGTAAGACCAGACTAAGCTCTGACACTCGCTGCAGCACTCATACCTCGATACGTCCGCGTGAATACGGCATGCTGGACAAGCGAGGAGGCAATCCAGACCTTCATCTCCCGTGGGTACCAGCTGTCAGGACCGTTCCAGTCAGAGTGAGTTCTGCACACCTGTTCGGTATCCGCCCGGTCTAGCTCTGGCGTCTCACATTGCGTAGGCAAGGCTTTTCTCGCGACGGGCACATCCCCAACCTACTAGCCTTCAACCCCAAAACGCAGTTCGCCGATGACCCGTTATACAAGGCGGGAAAGATCATTCTCCAAGATAAGGCGTCATGCTTCCCAGCTCACATTCTAGCGCCACCATCAAGGGACGACTGTGTGGTTATCGATGCTACTGCTGCTCCGGGCAACAAGACTTCCCATCTGAGTGCACTCATGGGCAACAAGGGCAAAGTGGGTGCTTGGCATTGCTTTTGCTCTCTCCGAATGTCACATTTTGCGTACCTCTCAAGCTATTTGCCTTCGAGCGTGACCGCAAACGTTATAGCACTCTACAGGCAATGCTGTCCAGGGCGCACTGCCAAAATGTGGAGACGGTCAACGCGGATTTTTTGACGGTGTCGCCGGCGGACGACAGGTACCGCGCGGTCACGCATATGTAAGTCTCCCTGTCGAACGGATCATCTCCCATTGCCTGCCATGTGGTCCGCTTCTGACCGTGTGTTCTCCTTACAGCCTGCTTGACCCGTCGTGCAGCGGTTCGGGTATTGTGAACCGTCTAGACCATCTTCTGGAGGCAGGTCAGATACCGCCGGCCTCTGACTGTGCGGATTAGACCACTGACTGCGGCTCACATAGAGGATGAGAATGACGACGGGCAAGAGCGCCTGAACAAATTGGCGGCATTTCAGCTGTCGATGATCAGACACGCTATGAAATGTATTTGCTCGCATCTATCCGCTCGATGGCTCTTTCTGACAGAATCTAGTTCCCTTGGTGCAGAGAATTGTCTACTCGACATGCAGCATCCACGCCACAGAAAATGAACACGTCGTCCGGGACGTTCTGAAGACCGAAGAGGCCCTCAGCGGTAGATTCACACTTGCACCGCCAAAAGAAGTACTGCCAAGTTGGCAGCGCCGAGGCCTAGCCGAGGAGGTTGACAATCCTGGTTAGCCTTTCACATCTCCCAAGAGCATCATGCTGACTGATTACCCTCATGAGCAGACTACGCGGCATCGCTTGTACGCTGTTCTCCTGACGAAGACGCAACGAACGGCTTCTTCGTGAGCATGTTCATCCGAACCGACCCTGACCGCAAGGACAACGAACACGACCCCTCGGAGATCGGAACACGAAAAAGGCCAGTAAGGGAGGACGAAGAGACGCCTGGTGAGAACGCAAGGCACCGGAAAAGAAAAAAGAAAAAGAGCTCTAGAGTCGCATAATCGTCTTCTGATGTCGCCACCAGTAAACTCAGGCAAGTAAATGTAGTCGCACTCGAGTACGTCACACGAATGGCATTTTAGTTAGAGAATACAAATGCAAGAGTTAAGACAACCGTGAGCTACATCTCGGATACCCACAAGTGGAGCGCGCTGAATTATTCCCGACGGTCAGTTACAATCGAATACAAACCCGTGCGATCGGATGTAGTGAGGTGAGTTTAATCGATGACTGCAGAGCCGTCAGAGCGGAACAGAAAGTCCGAAATCGAAACCTTGACAAGTGCTTCTGCGCTGGGTGAGAAAGCTGGAGAAGTCGCGGAAGTAAGTTTATCGAGCGGGGGTTAGAACGCGAAATCGCATCAATTGGCCGGGGTACCGGCTTGTTGAGAGTACTGGTTTTGGTAGTATTGAGCATAGCTAGCGGCGTAATCTGTGGGCTGCTGGTAGTAACCGCCGGCTTGACCATATCCAGCTTGACCACCCCATTGTTGCCCAGTGGCAGTGGCGGGGTAGCCACCACTAGCGGGAGCGCCGTAGCCGGCGTATGGCGTTTGAGGGGGACGGTAGCCGTTATTCTGCGGGTTAGGGAGGGCACTGCTCTGCCAGACCTCAGGACGGCGCCAAGGAGGAATGTTAGATCCACCAGCTGTAATGTCATGACCCGCAGACCCTGCCCATGGTGCCCTTCCACTGTCGCCCCCAGGTCCCTTCCCGGACTCGCCCAGCTCTGCCATGAGACTGGCGTACTCGGAATCGAAGCCACCCTTCATGGGAGGTGGGTCTGGGCTGTGAACGACATTCGGGTCCCTGTTAACTGTGCAGTCACGGGCCATGTGCCCTGCACTTCCGCACACGCGGCAGATAATATTGGCAGTGAAGTTACGTTGCTCCGGGCAGTCATACTTGCGGTGACCAACACCACCGCAGTTTTGACAGATCTGGTTTTCGTCATCGCGAAGGGTTCCGTTCAAGGCGGCGAGCTCGCGAAGCTGATTGCGCTTGTGGTCGTTCTGGCCCTCGGGAGTGGACGCAGCCTAGATTGAGAAGTAATGAGAATGACACATACTCTATTCCCAGAAGACGATAATACGCACCGTCTCGATAACCTTGTTGATCAGCTTGACACAAAGAGTCACCTTGTCGTCGGTGTCAGCAGTGACAAGACAATGAAGATCTTCCTCGGCGTCCTCGGCGTACTGCTCTGGTCTAGCCTTGCCCTCCTTCACACTCCCCTTTCCCCTGATACTAATCTTCGCGCCACTGTCCCTCTCCATCTTCTTCAGACTGTTCCCCCGAGGTCCAACAAGTAGACCGAAGAAGTTGATCTCAGGGAACTCCTTCACCGGAATGTAGACTTTCTCGGAGGGGCGTTGAGACCGCTTCTGCTGGTGGTATTCGACGGGGGGCCGAAAGTTGGGGTCGTTCTTCATGGCACGATCGACAAGGCGAATGCGCTCGTCTTCCAACTTTTTGCGATAGCGGACTTCACGGGTGTTAGTACGGCGACCATGCGCGTCGTAGGTAGGAGGCGGGGATGGCGATCTATTCGGTACATGAATCAGAGGTGAGACAAGGCGCATATATCGATATGTACTTACCGTTCCCGCTCGGGCGGGACAAAGTCATTGAGTCTCAGTTTGCGATTGATCTCTTCCAACCTGAGGTGAATGGCGTAATTGTCCAGATGAGCCTGGGAAACACCATTGGCTTGGATGGCGGTGGGCAGCCCAGGAATCTCGGTCTTAGCATCACCCCAGCGACTGCGACGCTTGCGAGGTGCATTAGGATCAGCTAGTTAGGGTTGACAACAAACGCGCAAAGTTAGGTTAGTAAATGGTCACGGTGACGGTCAGTGGATCAGTGCGAGTTGCAAGAGGGGAGTGCATGAGCCCGTTACGGTCGTGGACAATCTACGGCAATACACGAAGCACAAGAGACCCGATGGTGAGTCCTCATCAATCGCTAGGCTTACCTCCATTGGTAGACGATGGAGTCTCTCCTCGATCCTGCCTAGAGCTATCTCGGTCGCTTTGAGGAGGGGGACGAGGGTAGGCAGAAGGAGAAGGCTGGGCCAGTTGAGGAGGCGCGGTCTCCTCCACAGGCGCAGGACCGAACCGACGTCGATTGCCCAACGGCGCTGCAAATATTGACATCAGATGTATTCCATATGGAAAAAATCACATTGCGTACTATCATTTGTGCCAGTAACTTCGCGAGTGGCAGGCCTCCACATTTTGTGAAAACAAGAAGAAAGAGCAAGAAAAGAGGGCGAGCTGATGACTGATTGGTGCAAGGTACACGCCGTGGTCCGTGCCTGCATCCCGAGCAAGTTTAAGCTCCGCTTCAAGATCGGTGGCGTAAGAAAGGCCCAATTGGTCATGGCGGCCAACCACTCAGCACACTGCCTCTCGGTGCCTCCTTCACTCGTTCCTGGTTCATAAAGGATAACTGTTGCCTACTGGGGGCTTTCATTGCGGACGGACTGATCAATCTCGCTGCGAAGCACTATGCCTAAACGCGTCGCGGAAGGTGAGGGTGATCGAATGGCTGACTGAGCAGGTAGTCCTGAATTTTGCAACACGCAGGACCCGCAGAATCCTCATATGCCACGAAACGCTCTAAGAAGTCAAGAGACAACGATGACTACGTCAACGTCGATGATGAGGACTGGGCGGAACAGTCTAGCGATGCTGTTGTCCCCCGAGGAGCCACTATCAAGTTCAGTGCACTCACGCGCAAACTTGCTGAGATCCGGAAACCTGGGGACGGGGAGGACGAGCAGGTTGCGAGCAACCTAAACTCGCATCGTAATCAAAAAGATACCCTCGTCTCGCACATGTTCATAGACCAGGATTTCTCGTGGCTTCATCTGAAACCTGACCACGCTTCACGTCCTATCTGGATCAGCCCCGAGGATGGCCACATCATCCTCGAAGCATTCTCGCCCATCGCTGAACAGGCACAAGACTTTCTTGTAGCAATAAGCGAGCCTGTCAGCAGGTATGCTTATCGCTTTGGTCCAGTAGGATTAGAACTAGACAGATACCAACAGACCTGCCTTCATTCACGAATACAAACTCACGTCGTATTCATTGTATGCCGCCGTCTCGGTCGGCCTCCAGACAGAGGACATAATAGAAGTTCGTGCGCCTCGCGCCTTTCTGTCTCCATCCAGACACTAATTTATGAGTGTATGACAAGGTTCTGAACAGATTATCCAAGGTTAGTTTCTTCTCTCACAGGAAGTGTTCCTTGTCTTCACTTCGGAAACGAAGGTTCCCGTACCCGAAAGCATTGTCTCATTCATCCGGGAGCGAACGTTGTCATACGGGAAAGTCAAGCTTGTACTCAAGCACAACAAGTACTTTGTCGAATCGACACATCCAGAAACCCTGCAGGTGTTGCTGAAAGACAAGATCATTCGCGAAGCTCGAGTTCATTCCCAGCAAACCGACAACAGTATCAAGGCTGCCACATTCACGACATCTAAGGCACCGGTCAAGGGTAACCTAGTAATTCCTGGTACGAAGGAAATGGACAAGAAGAGGGACGACGCAGCAAGTGGCAAAGGCACTGCGCCTGCAGGCAGCTCAGCCACGGATGCTGATCTATTCACGTCTGTTGTCGGCGTGGATGCAGGTGCGTCCCCGCAAAGCGGCTGCAGACCGCGTAAATATTCATCCGCGCAGATGAGGTGGATGAGGACGACGAGAACGTGCACGCCTTTGAGATAGACGATGCCAAAATCGACGTAGGTCTCGAAATCTGTCCAATAAGCTCACGCTGTTGACTGAGTTCCCAGGATGTCAAGAAGCGCTGTAACGAATTGGAATATCCTATGCTGGAGGAATACGACTTCCGCAATGATACTATCAACGCGAATCTCGATATCGACCTGAAGCCTTCCACTGTCATTCGGCCATATCAAGAGACGAGCCTCAGCAAAATGTTCGGCAATGGGTGCGTACCGAGGATTTGCACGCCACAGGTAATTGATAGTGTCCTAGCCGTGCCCGTTCCGGCATCATCGTGCTGCCCTGCGGGGCCGGGAAAACGCTGGTCGGAATCACCGCTGCGTGCACCATCAAGAAGTCATGTCTCGTGTTGTGCACGTCTTCGTGAGTGCAACCGCGCCAGGCCTAGATCCCGTTCATCTGGACTATTCAAATTTTTTAGGGTGTCGGTGATGCAATGGAAGCAGCAGTTCATGCAGTGGTCGAACGTTACCGATCGCCAGATCGCCGTCTTCACCGCCGACCAAAAGGAAAAGGTAAGAGGCACTCTCTCGCCGTACGAGATGCGTGGCTTATCTGCTTCGCTCGCGGCCTAGTTCGCGGGCGATAGTGGTATCGTCATTTCGACGTATTCCATGGTCGCTAACACCCATAATCGATCACATGAGTCGAAGAAGATGATGGAGTTCCTGACGTCCAGAGAATGGGGGTTCATTCTGTTGGACGAGGTGCACGTCGTACCTGCAGCCATGTTCCGCAGAGTCGTGACTACCATCAAGGCACACTCGAAGCTGGGGCTGACAGGTAGGCGAGGCGCTAATGCGACCTGCAGTGCGGCGGTATTGATCAAGCTTTCCAGCGACGCTTGTCCGGGAGGACGATAAGATCGCCGACCTAAATTACATGATCGGACCGAAGCTGTATGAGGCCAACTGGATGGACCTCGCCGCCAAGGGTCATATTGCGAACGTTCAGGTACGTTGTCATGGAGCCTATGGTATGCTTCTTCTGATGGGACGTACGTCCGTCGCTGCGCAGTGCGCCGAGGTGTGGTGCCCGATGACACCGGAATTCTACCGTGAATACCTGCGCGAGCAGTCACGGAAGCGTATGCTGCTCTATTGCATGAACCCGCGCAAGTTCCAGGCCTGCCAGTTTCTGATCAAGTACCATGAGGATCGCGGTGATAAAATCATCGTCTTCTCAGACAATGTCTTTGCCCTCGAGGTGCGTCGCTTTCTGCCTGACTGTCGTGTGTCTTGAATGAGCGCGTGCCTGACGCCGGCTGTCCACTTCGCGTGCAGGCATACGCTAAGAAGCTGGGCAAGCTGTACATCCATGGCGGCACCGGTCAAGTCGAGCGAATGAGAATTTTGCAGCACTTCCAGCACAGCCCGGAAGTGAACACCATATTCCTGTCCAAAGTGGGTATCCTGATCCGTCGAGCCGGACCATTCATCCTGAGCTGATGCTGTCGCTCGTCGTTAGGTGGGCGACACTTCCATTGACCTGCCAGAGGCAACGTGCCTCATCCAGATATCCTCCCACTTCGGCTCCCGGAGGCAGGAGGCCCAGCGACTAGGTAGGTTTACCCGTTATGAGCGCCTGGCTTGGCGGGCTCACACACATCACCGCCGACCAGGGCGTATCCTCCGTGCTAAGCGGCGCAACGACGAGGGCTTCAACGCGTTCTTCTATTCGCTCGTCTCTAAGGATACGCAGGAGATGTTCTACAGCACCAAGCGGCAGCAGTTCCTCATCGATCAGGGGTACGCGTTCAAGGTCATCACGCATCTCGACGGCCTGGAGACCCTCCCCGAGCTCGTCTACCGCTCGCGCGACGAGCAGATCGAGCTGCTCTCCTCGGTGCTGCTCGCGAACGAGAGCGAGGCGGACCTCGGCACGGACGTGCGCGCGGGCGAGGGCGACCTCGCGGGCACGATCACGTCGAAGGACTTTGGGCCGCTGTCCAAGTTCCCCGGGGTGCAGCGCACGGCGGGCTCGCTGACCGCGCTCAGCGGCGCGCAGCACATGTCGTACGTCGAGCAGAACAAGTCGGCGAACAAGAAGCTCGCGCGGGAGGCGGCGCCGCGGCACAAGCTGTTCGCCAAGCGGGACAAGGAGCTGGCCACCGCGCGCAAGGAGGCGAGGTCTGCGGCCAAGGCGCAGGGGTCATAGCGCAAGCGGAGGTGTAGACGCGTCCGGGACTGGGCGGGTGATTCAATAGAGTACTGTACCCTAGATAATTTGCGCTTCTGGTTTTTGGCACGGTGATTGTAAGAGCACGCTACCTCCGAGGTGTCGCGGAGTGCTCTCGAGGGGGCTACGCTTCGTGGTGTCGGTGAGAATATTTTTGCATTGTGTTTGTGGTGCGTGCGCCTCGCCGCCCGTCAACCACCTCGGATGCATTGTCTCAGACGCGTTGAGATAACGCGAAACCCGCACGAGGCGGGGCTGATCTCAGCAGATCTAAATCTGACTATCGAGCAGGATTGACCGCTCTTCCCTGCCCCGCACTCGATCATGCCTCGATATTTGTTATTATGTGTCGTATTACCAATTGTCGTCAATGAGGCCACCAAGGTCTTCTTGACCACGGATACTCCTCGAGGACAATGCGAGCTCTGTATGATTGAATGCAACTGCTGCCGAGACGTCATGTAAACTGCATCGAGGCGCGCAGGCATGTTCCCTTGGCGAAAACAACCCGAGGGTGCCAGCGAAGCAGCGAAAATTGCGCTGCAAGCTCAAGCTCTACCGACGCGGCCTGTGAGGGTATTGGCTGAAGATAGAGGATGCTCGGGGCGAGATCAGTTGTTTGTGCAAGATGGTGAGAACGCGGGGCGGCTTCTTGTGGACCGGGGCCTTTCTGCTCCACTGCAGCTTCCACGCGACCGTGTCCTTCGCCGGTTCTGGGGACGGAGCACTGCATGTCCTCGACGGGGCCAGGAATAAGTAGGACGAGCAAATTTGAATCATGAATAACATTTAGAGTTTGTGGCGCAGGGATCCATGACGACTCGGCAAGCAAGGTTCGGACGGAAGAAGCTGGGAAGCCACGTGGGTTGTGGGCGGTGACGCAGAGGTGTTACCCAATTGCCATCGCATCAGGCCTTCATTTTGTTTGTTCGCCGAGCCAGGGTAGGCAGGGTGCCTGGGAAATGTCAGGGTCTCGGTGCATCCGCATGGGGGACGCTGCGCGAGGCTGCGGTGTCGGCTGGATGCGAGAGCTGGCCGCAGCTGCCCGTGTCGGCCGAGAAGACAAGAAGGCAGCACACAGTTCTCTGGACCCGACGAGAGCGCGTCCGACGAGAACACCGTAAATACGCGGAGTCAGTGGCGGGCGCCAAAGATACCGCCGGCAGGCGGTGCAGCCGCTGTGGGGGGCCGACACATCACATGGGGCTGGGATTACGCTATTCGAGGAGGCGAGAGCGGGTCGCAGCAGCGGTAGGCGGCATCTCAGACCGTGAAACAGATGCTCGCGCAGATGCAGGCGCACACGCAGATGCAGACTTTGGCGCACACTTTTGCGCCTGGAGACGGCCTGGGGAAGAATTCCTTCCTCGGTCAGGCCCATCTGGCCCGTCCGCATGCTGATCGACGCGCCCTCCCAGTCACCCTCGAACACTCAATGTCCCTTTGGCGCCTCTATATCTGTCACATGCATCTGCGCCCTCGTCCTCTCTCCTCGCAACCACCACCAACCCGCAAGCCCGCCTGCTGTCCCCCCCATCTACATGTCCTCCAAGCGCGGCCGTAAGCGCAACGACAATCTCCCCCCAAACCGCGCACGAGACGTCCAGCGAGCGTTTCGCGCCCGCCGCGCAGCACATCTCGAGGTCTGTTCCCCGCCCCCGTCTCGCACGTCTCCAGCTCACCTCGCTCATTCCTGTCCGCCACAGGCCTTAGAACAGCGCGTCGCAGAGCTCGAGGAGGAGAACAACGCCCTCCGCGCCGCACTAGCTCTTCCGCCCGCTAATCGCCTCCCGCTGGGCAAGGGCCCCACCGGGAAGGACAAACCAAAATCCGGTGCTCACCAAGCATCGTCCGGCTCAGGCCCCTCGTCCCTTCCACCCCTCTCTGCGCTTCCGCACCTCTCCCCGACGTCTTCACTGCCGTCGGGGAGTCGTACAGATTCGCCCTCATCAAATTCAACCCGCACGCACTCCCTTTCGCCCACCGGCATGAATGCCTCGCTCGGACATGCACCAAATCCCTTGCCCAACATAGACAGCGGCTGGGACGACCCCATGTTCATGCCTAAAGAACAGCCTGAAGCTGGGTCCTCGTCACAGACCACTTCTTATACTGTCCCGCCCGTTCCGGGCCCTTCGTCGCATTCCCCGTCCTACTCTTCCTCCACTCGACAGACAATGGAGGACATGTACATGCCCATGCCATCCAACTACTCAAGCACCGTGGACAGACCCATGCCGAGCGCCACAGACATCTACTCCGGGGGTAGCTCAGGGTTCCTCCTGCGCGATGAGCGCCGCACCTTCTCATACTCACAGCCCTCATTTCCCACGCACGCCAACCACATGCATGCTCATTCGTCCCCCGCCTCCGCCGTGTCGCCCACCATGCCGCCGCCGACTGGCGGACTGTCCATGCAGTCCCCCGTGCAGTACGCGCATCGCCGATCGATTACCGAGCCGCACGGGTATCGCTCTGCCATGGGCGGCCAGATCCCCTCCATCCCGCAGATGCGCCTGCCGCAGCCGACACCCCATCCGCTGCGCATACCGTCTCCATCGCAGCTGGCGGGCAACGGGGCGCCGTCCCAGCTCTCTGGGTACGACGTGAGTGGAGAGAGACGGATGGACCGCTCTGGCATGCGGTAGCCATAGAGCGCCTGCGCTGCTACATTTTCTTGGTTACCATAATTTTGGTCGCACCCGTGTTGTCGCATTCCCGCAAGAACATTGCATTTCGTCATATGACAAATTGTATCCGTACTCACAAGACCTGTCTCCAGTGCAGCTGCTTTCCCCTGCTATCATACATGTACATCGCAGCGCCATAGTTAGACCTGCCTACACCGAGGCTAGCCCTCGTAATAAATAATATGCATAGGTGCGATGCTTCAACACCTTGTCCGCATTGCTGACGGAACCTGGCTCGTGACAGTCGGCCTGAGGAGGGCTGCGGGTGCCAGGATCAAGGATCAAGACCGCCGAACCTTGCGCGGGCATGATCGGGTTAGCGCACCACTCCATCCAGGCACCGCCGAGCGGTCTCCCCGGGACTTGCCTTGCCTGTAGCAACTGGGAACATAGGGCTTGACACCAACGCCGACGCGGAGGTTCTTGCGTAATCATGTGCGTTACGGGGTATATACAAGCAGACTCAACACACAAAGCAAGCTTAGTACGTCGTATGCGTCCCACGGACGTCGCCCGAATCGATCCCTGATGAACACAGCCGCGCTACGCCGATAACGACACACCGTGCTTCGGGCTCGGGAGTGGCGCCCTCTGCTCGTTCCGTGCCCATCCAATTTTGTTTGCGGCGCGGGGGTAGTGAGCGGAGGGAGGGAAGCTGCGGTGGTTGATGGGCGCCGAGATGACCGACCTGTCGATATGTACATATGGTTCCGTCTATTCATTTGGATATCCTCCTAGAGCGAGATTATCAGCGTGCCCGCTGATATGACCGCGGGAATGTGACTGATCCAGTGTCGCCCGTCAGGGAGCAATCGAGACGCCGCGGATGACTTACGTTGATTTTAGCTGTTGGAATGAAGATGGGCGCGCCGTCACAACTTGTGCCACTCCACGCGGCCGTCCTCGCCGTACTTCTGCTCCAGCCAATCGTTGGCCTTCTTGAAGTGCCCGTTCCCCAAGAAGCCCCTGCTCGCGCTCAGCGGCGACGGATGCTGTCAGAGGCGTGACGGTGCTTATGTGAGCTTTCGTGCGTCATGCTTGACCCGAGTACGTATCCGAAGCAGCAGGGCGACTTACCGCACTCGTCAGAATAAGGTGCTTTTTCTGCACGCAGGGAGGCACGGGACATCAGCGTCGAACGCAAGCGGCGAGAAGCCAGCCACAGGGCACAGACCTTGTCTAGCTTCGCGACGCGTTTGGCGGCCCAGGCCCCCCAGGCGAGAAAGACGATGCCGCGGCCGCGGCCGCTCGCGCCAGACGCGTTGGCGAGATTGGCGCCGCCGAACTTGTCCACGACGTCGACGACCTTGTCCGTGAACGTCTCCCAGCCCTTGCCGGAGTGGGAGCCGGCCTCGCCGGCCTTGACCGTCAGGCAGGTGTTGAGGAGCAACACGCCGTTCTCCGCCCACGCCGTAAGGTTGCTGCGGGAATGGTGTTAGCGGGAGAACATCGCGCGCGTTTGCGGCCGCAGTCGATCACGGATGATTGGACGTGGGTGGTACATACCCGTGTTTAGGAGGCTCGAATTCTGGGTACTCGGCCCTTATTTCTGCATAGATCTGTGCCGGGAAGAGTTCAGCGAACCCGCCAGCGGCGCATCCCATCTCGATGGCTTACGTTGCGCAGGGACGGCGGTACGGCCACTCCAGGGGGCACGGAGAAGCACAACCCTGCAGCAAACGAGTCACTTGCATCAGGTATCATGTCACGTAAGCCAAGGGGGTGTCCCGACCATGGGCTTGCCCGGGACCGTGATACGGATCCTGCCCGATGATGACGACCTTGACGCGGCCCAAGGGTGTAAGATTCGACCATGCGTAGATGTTCTTCGCTGTCCCGAGGAGAAGATCCGTGTGAGGTCGGAGCTTGAGAGATGTTCGTAACGAGGACTCACGCGCCGGATACACTTTGAGGTTTTGGGCGCTGTCGTTGGCACCTTTGACGCCGGCGTCGTACAGGAACTGCTTCAATTTGAGGAAATAGGCCTTACGCATTTCGTCTTTGAGCACCTTGAGCCTGCCACCGAGCGGCACGCTTCATCAGTTCTGTCCGGTGAAACGATGTGGTACGCGGCGCACCAGCTCTTGCCCATGGTATCGCACTCGAGGGCGAGCAGCTTGCGTTCCTCATCAGACAGCTGCTCTTGGAATGCAGACAGGGAGAACGGAATAGAGTTCAGAGATCCCTGGGATGTCAGCGCGGTGCCAGCACTCGCGGTCGTGTCGGACCCAGCGAGCTTGATTTTTTTCGCCGCGGGTCCAGTGCTCGGCGCGGGATCAGAGAACATGTCCATGAGGGTCCTCTGCCTCTTCACTGTCGTGGGCTTGGCCGCTTTCTCCTCTGCCACCGTCACCTTTGCTTCCACCTTGAGTGCCACAGTGGCGCCGGACTCTGCAACGTCCGGGGCCTTCTGCACTGCATCTGCCGTTATTTTCGACGGTCCGTCGATGTCTTCGAGGTATACGGCGCGTCCAGTGCTGGCCATTTTGAGATGCAGATGCAGGAAAGGCCGAAAGACGCGTGAAGAGCAGCAAGTGCGACGCATCGGCGCGTCGAGCGCGTATTATCAGCCACCTTGAATTCTAAAAAGGGAAATGCCGATCACGTGGCAAATTTGACTCGTAGCGCCGCGTCTGACGCATCGCGAGTCGTGCATTCTTCCGCCAACCGTCCAATGTTGCTGCTTTTCGTGCCAGTCCGTACTGCTGTTTAGCGGTCTCTTCCCCCGGAGGCGGGCTGTTATGTACCCCAGGATTGCTTTATTAAGCCGATTTGGTAGTTAGGTTAGGTGCTTCAATACATATCAAAATGGGTGTGCCCACTTGATCTGGGGTTTGATCGTTGCAGCGAATGGTTGTAAATGTCACTGCTGGATCGTTTACAATCCCTTAAAGGGCCATACTAATAGGATATGTGCAATATTCAAAGGCCAAACATATTGTGTACAAGACCTAGCAGTGGTGGCCTGAGCGACTCAATTTCTACATCCTTCACGGAGAATTGTTCTAATTGAAACTGTGGGGTTTGTCAAACTGCATTAGAGTGGCCAATCACATCAAGGGCATTGGAAGACATGATAAGCCCACAACAATTTCTCCGATAGTCTGAGCTTACTCTTAACTCACTCATACAGCCCCTCCAACCTCAAAGATCGAGTTGAAATCAAACTATGAGTTAATGATACCTATTGATCTTACGAAGGAACAGATTGAATGAGACCGAAGAATGAACAAACCGATTACATGATTAACGTATTTCGATTTGTACCCACCTTTCTCCAACCCGAATTCGATCTTATGTGCAAAAAGGCTGATTATTGAGTACCGTGGGAGAACGTTAAGCAAATGTACTGATCATGAACAACGTGGCAAATTAGCGCGACTTGAGCCCCATATCGGGACATGGCCATCTAGTTGCTATTACAAGAAGCGAGTGCTTACCGAGGATCATCGTAGGGATATGCCCTTTGCATTCATTCTGTATGCCCTCGTCTCGTTGGGGTGCGCGTCGGACGCGAATAACATCGAGGACGCCTTACGCGCGACGCGCACCAAGCCGCCGGTAACTGAGCGCACGTGAAAAGCCGAGGCCCCAGCAGTCCGGCCCCGCTCTGGGGAGCTCGAGCTAGAGGGTCTGCTGCCACTCCCATCCGTTGACGCGTCTGTCGTGCGCTCTTCACGACGCTATTCTACACGTTCCCTACTGAAAGGAAGTCACGCTGCCTCGCTCACCGTCCTCGCCTTCTCCGCCCAGACAGCTCCCAGGACGCGCCGAGTCGTCCAGGAAGGCTGCGGCTGCGCGCAGACATCAGCGCACCTCGAGCGCGTCCGCTGGCCCGCCCGAGCGGCCGCCGCATTCAGAATGGAGCTCTAGCTATCAGGCCGGGTCCTCAGGGTATGCTGACTCAAATCTCCGAGGCGCATAATCTTGTTTGACGGCCGTGCCATAGCTCCGAGTCCGAATCGAGCTCAGCTGATGAGTCGGACAACACAGACACAGACCTGAGGCGGGGCAGGTCCCTGAACCAGCATGCCCTAGGCAATGGCAGCAGGAATGTGAAGGACCTGGCCATTTCTTCGAACAGGACAGGGCACGGAGGTCGATCACCTTCGTCTCGGCGTGGAGGGTCCCGACAGAGCAGTCCTGCCAAGCCGTATGAGCGCAAACCATTCACTCGCTCAAAGTCTCCGGCTGTACATAACAGAGGGTACTCAAGTGGTCAGTCGCTGCCTCCGCGACCGATGTCCCCGTCAATATTTGCTCGCCAGAAGGTGGCGCTCTCGGAAATCCGACATTTGCTTCCTAGCTTCTTGTACTTTCCTGTACGCGTATTACCATGGGCGACAAAGTGGAAAGTCACTCTAGACTTGCGGCAAGGCATCGAGAATGGCCTTCTCATTTGCTCTCTCGGATTCGCGGCTGTGAAAATGAGGGGGCGCACACCTCAGCACCTGTCCCCCGAAATGTGGAATACCCGTGACAAGCTCTCTCCGGAAATGTGGATTTCATTAGGTGCCGCCCTATACCCTGTTGACGCTGGGAATCTACTCACTCCTTGGACTCTAGAACTTGCTTTATTGACGGTTGCATGCAGTATTTATTTTGTTTTGACGCGTTTGTCTTGGAATAAAGTAGCCCCAACTACCGATACCAGCTCGAGGCAGACTAACCAGCCCGATAGACCTGCTTCACCTCGTTTTGGGGAGGCCCGTGACAGCAGACGTACTCCGATACTTCCACCGAATAGTCTATCACGGAGCAGCTACTTTGGCTTCGTGTGGATGACTGTACCAAAAAACTACAGGTAATGCTCCCGATGTCTTCCTAGTAACCCTTACTTCATCTCCGTGGCAACAGGGACTCCGCCGACGATGGCGTCTTGACCGGGCTCATAACCGGCCCTCTCATGTCGGCTGGATTCCTTTACCTGTCAGAAAATGCAGCCGCTGTAACTCCGCCTACAAACCCCCTTCCAGCCGCTTGGCAGATAGAACAGCCGAAGGTTCTCAGTAATACGCAACATCCGCTGACGGCCCTGGACGCCTTACTTCTTTCACGGCGCAACTTGGTGAACATGGCAACGGTCTGTTCCACCATCGTCATCATCCATGTGATCGCGTCGTGGATGACGGAACGGCGACATCGACGCAAGGTCCAGGTCCCCGAGGGCGAGGTAAGCTCCGTGCCTCGGAAGGAAGGGCGCCGCACATACCTGTATGCGCTATTCAGTATCTCAGTGAGCCTGTGGGTTCTCTGCTCGCGGATTGCCTTGTCTGAGATGAGGATGGGAATATGGCAAAGTACGTTACGCGCGGCTACTGATATCACTACCCCGTAATTCAGGGACCTTACCTTGTCAGACATCAACTACTATGAAATCACGGCGTGTTCGTTGTTTTTCCAGTTCTCCCTATACATTTCCATCCGCATGGCACACCACGGCTTCACACTCGGGGAGCTGACCGTGGTGTGCTTTGGCGCGACGGTGCTCTTCATGGAAGCCCTCAACCTCACTTTCGCTAGTGTATGTTCCGCGGTTACCCTAATTCTCGTAAAGGGCACACGTGCTGACGCCGCAGTAGATATGGCCAATTACCACGCCATTCATCAAAACGTACCGCCTTCCCACCCCGCTGCTCGTCTTTCAAATCGCTCTAATCCCCGGCTCTCTGCTTGTGGGCTTCCTGCTCTCACCCCTGCTCTACCTCTCGCGGCACATTGCCCAGCAGCCCGTGCGCCGGCTGCGCTTCCCTGAAGAAAAGCAGAAGCACCGTCGCCTGTTGGCCCTCGGTTTTTACGCGGGCACCGTGCTTATCGTTGGGGGGCTCATCGGCTTCTGGACTCGCTGGTGCCTCGGGAACCGCGACCCATGGCTGTGGGCGCTCTTCTGGATCCTGGAGGGCAAGACGAAATGGACGCGGCCGGCACTCCTCACATACTGGGGTGCGCTCGGTAGCATCAGCGTCGCGGGCTGGAACAGGCAGCTGGCGCGCTCGCGGCGGTATCGACACCGCAACGTGATGAATGGCGCGGGCGAGCTGATGCTGAACCACCACGGCACCTTTGAAGGCGCGGGCGCACGGACTTCGATCATCGGCCTTGAGGGAAGCGACCCCAGCACACCGTCGACGCCGCCGACTGAGTCGGTCGGGCCGCTAGGACTCAGCTTCCCGAATTTGGCAAATTTACCTACGTTGCCCAACCTGCCCAACGGGACGAACATGTCGAACGTGGCAACGGATTGGCTGGACGCGGCCAATAAGCACGTACCAACTCTCAGTGTGAATGCCCGCCGAAAGTATTTCCATGCACTTGCTGTGGTGATGTTCCTTCCTGGGATTATCGTGGACGTGAGTGAATATCGCTGCAGCGTCTATTCATCCTAGTAATTGGATTTGCTCGACGGACGATGTGCACAGCCTGCGTTTTCCCATCTGGCCTTCAGCGCGGCATTTGCCTTGTTCACCTTTGCGGAGTACGTGCGATATTTCGCGCTGTACCCGTTCGGTGCATCTGTGCATGTCTTCATGAACGAGTTCCTGGACCAGAAGGACAGCGGGACTGCGATACTGAGCCATTTCTACCTGCTCATCGGGTGTGCAGGTACTGTGTGGTTTGAAGGGTGGGTTTGCATTTTTATTCTCGCGATCGCCGAGTACAGCGCTGACGTCACGGCTGGGCGTCTGCAGCCCATCACAGCTGCTCCAATACACGGGTACACTGGTCTTGGGCGTGGGTGACGCATTGGTAAGTGGGAGTGTGCGGCGTTCGCTGGGTGCCAATGATCTGAGCGCAATTCAGGCTTCTATTGTCGGTAAGCGGCTGGGGCGGCACCGGTGGCTGGCTACGAGCCCGAAGACTGTGGAGGGTAGTGCGGCCTTTGCGCTGTCCATCGTGGTGTGTGCATGGGTGTTACGTGTGCTCGGGTTCAGTGAGCATTTTTCGGTAAGGCAGTGTCTGAGAGGTTAGCGTGCAGGTGGAGCTGACGGGCCGGTTGTTTCAGGTTGCGAAATATGCGGTGGTAGCGGTGCTGGCGTCGGTGCTGGAGGCGTTCTCTGTGCAGAACGACAATGTGATACTGCCGCTGTATATGTGGAGCATGCTTGTATTTGCGGAGGTGTAGTTTATTGAATGGCTGCTGGTGTTCCTGGGAGGGACAGCCGAGGATGGTTCTGGACACGTGAGAACGCATATTCGCGGAGAGCCAAAGACGGATCGGAGATTGAGATGACGTTTTTCGGGTGGCTGGCCAGGGCGAGACCAATAACGTTCCTAGCTCCCGATAGACGCCGGCACCAGACCGTGTATCGCTTCACGCTGCCTCCACTCTCTGCTCCAGCCTTGCCGCCGGGCGCCCATGCCGCGCTCCTGCTTGCTCACTGTCCATCTTCGACGACGCCCTGTTCGCCATCGACGGCCATTCTCCCTTCCTGACGACCTCCAGCACGCGTCTCGCGTCTCATGGACCGCCTTCCGGAGGCCCACCATCGGGATACTGACCAGCTTACCACCGCCGTCTCCAACCTCTCCTTAAATGACCTTTCCCTGTCCCTCGCTTCCACCCCGGTGGCATACCCTCTCCCCGCCATACCCCGCCTTTCGCTGCCGGTCAGGTCGGGGTCGGGGTCGGGGAAGGCGCCCCGCCGGCCGTCTACCGCCTCTTCTGCCGAAGAGCGGTCCATCCTGCTGCCCGCCTCGTTTGCAAGCGCTAGCGAACATTCAAGCACAGTGGTGACACCAGCGAGTAGCACAACAGAGCCTATGGTGAGCATCGATGTGCCGGACACTTGCACCGCGGATAACCCTGAAGACACTCCCATTCGTGAGATGAACCGAAGAGCGCACGCGGCGGTGGAGGGACTCCGGGCGGAGGCATCACGCTTGTCAAATCCAGGCGAGTACCGCTATGTCCGCTGAATCGTCTTCATCTAACTCCCCATATTCCGATCGTCGGCATCTCGCGCACATCTCAGTTGAAATGCTTTCGTCGCCTTTTGATTCCCCGCCCCCGGACGATCACATATCCACTTGTCAATCTACCGTGGAGACCGAGGCGGAGACGGACTACGACTGGGCGACGTTCATCAGCGCCTACGCCCTCGGGCGATGGGACCCGTTGAGGACGCCGCACCCACCACGATCGCATCTACAGGCCCCGAGTCACCCACGTGCTTCTGGGGCGGGCTCGCAAGTGCCGCTGCTGGGTAATTCTACAGACCACTTCTGCCACTCACCGGTCACAGAACCGTCCGAGGTGCCGCGGGCATCTTGGTCCGAGTTGGTGCCGGAGGCTAGCAGCGATCATGTCAATGGCGCTGATCTGGTAGACTTTGACGACTACTCGACGTCCGCAGGGGAATTTACAGGACCGCAGTCGGCGCTCGCTGTGCAGCCGTCTGCTGACGATATGGAGCCGGCAAATGCGCCAAAGCGCCTGAATGTGCCTTTCAGTCTTGGGTCGTTCTCCCACCGTCTGAGAAGTTCATTCTCGGACCTTCGCCAATCGGCCTCGTCGTCATCTTCAGGTGAAAGCTCACGTCATTCGAGCATCCCCATTGCGGATGCGGCAACGTCAGCCGCAGCGATCCGGTGGGCAGGCGCACGCGTATCTGTCGCGCCACTTGCGCTTCCATCGCCAGAGCACGAACTGACGGATCCGATGCGCGGTGTCACCGCAACTATTCCCGGGTCGCGCCCGTCCGATTTCTCAGCCCCAGAGTCCCCCCTGATGTCTCCAAACACTATTCGTAAGACGCGGCTGAGCAGCTTCTGGCAGGGTACCCAGGATGTCGAGGACTACCGGCTACCCACGATCCAGCAGAGCCCGCCATCGCCGGCACCGATCGAGAATGCGAAGCCTAAAGCCACGAACTCAGACAGTGCGGTTGATAAACCACGCCGGCACTCGTCATTCGGCCTGACTGGGCCAATTGCACCGCCCGCAACTGCGCCTGTCAAGGTCTCGTCGGAGCCTCTCGAGGAGGATTACTTCGGGAACATGGAGCCATCGCGCATCGAAAGCCTGATCGCGGCAGGGGAGCATCCCACGCGGGCAATATCGCGCCCGCCCCACCCGCCGCCGGAGCGCCAGATTTCGGCGCCGCCGTTCGAAATCGACCCGATGACTGTCCCCGCGCTCCCGCGCAGGATCTGCCTGACGCGCCAGACGAGCGCGCCACTGCCGACGGCATCCTTGTATGAGCGACGACTGCGCTCGGCTCGCCCGGCGTCAGAGAGCCTCGTGTCGGGATTGACCGGGCGGGCGGCGAAGGAGGAGCAGATGTATTCGGAACTGGGGTACCTCGCCCCGCCGAACCCGCCGGACGAGCTCGAACGGCGGCGGGCGTTGTACAAGTGCGTAGTCCCTCGCCTTGTGTTATCAAGTGCCTGCTGACCTTGCGCCTTCCCGCGAAGATTCAATATCTGGGGTACGGGGCGAGATCCGAATTTCGATCGCATAGCCCATCTGGTGAAACTGGTCTTCAGTACCAAGATTGTGACCATCTCGCTTGTGGATGGGACGGAGGAGTAAGTACAGATATTGATATTCGTGGTATAGCAAGTTGTCTAATATAGGGCGTGCATTGTTTAGATTTTTCAAATCGGAATGTAAGGCGTTGTGACATGTGATACTCGAGGCATACTGAAAGTAGGGGTCGCGCAGCTGGGTTTGGCACACAGAACATGGCACGGAGTACCTCCTTCGATGCTCATACTATCTTGCAACGGTCAGTATATTATATGCTGTTGCCACATGATGTTGACGCCTTTGCAGGGATGATGAACCAATGGTGGTGCTCGATGCACAGGAGGACTGGCGATTTGCAAAGAATGTGCGTTATTGATTTACGCGCACCTTCGGCAACAGACCATGACCAAGTCTGTAGCCCCTTGTCATTGGAGATCCCTACATCCGCTTTTATGCTGGTTGTCCGCTACGTACACATGATGGCTTCAACATTGGGGTGTGAGTACTGTTGGTAGCCGGCCAAATCTCAGCACTGACATGCTGTAGGTTGTCGATAATCGATGACACCCCAAGGCGGGAGTTCAGCCCTCGACAACGACATACCCTAAAGGAGTTTGCGGTGCGTATTGCTATATGTACAGCGGGCGCTGAGACTCATACTCACCCAGCAAATCGCCATGCGAGAACTGGAACTTTGGAAAGATAAAGTGAACAGAAGTGCCAAGCTCTTGCGCTACAAGTACTTACGTAGATTTAGATCCAACTGCGCATTAGAGATCGCATTCAGACATCGGTGCGTCCCTGATCGAGGTCTCGACGGTTTGTTAACTAACCTATGGCATCTCTAGATGGAGCAATTCACTCGGGAGTGTCTCGATCTGGACAAGGAAGCCGAAGGGGACAAGGGGTTGTTTGTCGGTACCTCAATGGAGCAAATCTACGAACGCGCGGCTCGGCTTGTGAAGCGAACTCTGGACGTGGAGGGGGCTATCGTCCTCGACGTCTCCCATGTAGACATGCTTGAGACCGTTGGCGCCGAGAGCACAATCTCCATTACCCTACATAATGCTGACAAGCAGATGGGCTCGGGAACGAGCAGCAAGTCACTGAACAAAGAGGAGTACTCCCGGCTTACCGAGTTCTTCAAAAAGAATCCCGAGGGAAAGATTTGCGAGGGAATCGTTCCAGCTACCCTACGGCCCTTCTTGCCTACACGGATACAGTACGCGCTTGGTGCGTGTCATACATGCGTCAATGTATATACTGTGATATGGAAGGCTCTCGCGCAGCTGTCCCTATATTCAACATTGACAAGCAGCCGTTCGCATTACTCTGCGCGTATAGTACAGGAGAGCGCACAACACCATTCGTGAGACCACTTTGCAGGGCCGTGTGCAAATGCTGACTTGAGACGCAGTTGGAAGGCCATGAACTGTCATACTTGCGGGCAATAGGTGTGTACCTCGTGTCGTTCGTTGGATAATCGACTCCAATTGTTTATGACAGGCGTGATCATTTTATCTGCTGTCCTGAAGCGGAGGATGATCCTTGCCGATAAGGCGAAGAGTCTGTTCATTTCAAAGTGAGTGAGCCGATATACATGCAGGACCGGTCCCTGAATGCGTGATTTCCTAGTATTTCCCATGAACTGCGCACGCCGTTGCACGGGGTAAGTTGGCGCTTGTCGCTGCTCAGCCATGTGGCTCAAAATTCCTGTAGATATTGGCTTCCGCAGAGCTACTGTCTGAGACCCCACTCGACCATAGCCAGGCGTCATTCCTCCAGACTGTACAAGCATGCGGGACCTCGCTTGTGGAGACCGTGAACCACGTATTGGACTTCACCAAACTGAGCGGGAACTCAAAGTCTGGTGGCGTGGAGCACGCCATTCAACTTAGCAAGTAAGCGTCAGGTTTCATGGGTGCTCATCGACAGTTTGCTGACGCTGCTGCAGGGTCGATCTTATGCAATTGGTCGAGGAAGCCACCGAAGGATGCTGGATCGGGCATCGAGCCCGGATGTTTACCTCCGAGATCGGTAGTGTGTACTCGCCCCCGAAGCAGGATCGTCAGGCACTTCTTCAAGAGCCAGCGCCACGGCATGTGGAGACGGTCATCGACATCGGGAACTGTAAAACTGTACGCCGATCGCTGTTCCGAGATCTCGCCAACGCTGATGCCTTCGCTCAGGGCTGGACATTCCTATGCGAGAAAGGTGGGATACGTCGCATTCTCATGAACGTCTTCGGGAACAGCCTGAAATTCACATCGGTAAGCGAAAATTCAAATCCATCACTCCCGCGGTAGTTGACCATTGGAACTAGGACGGTTTCGTGCATGTCATGCTCCGGCAGTTGCCACCGACGAGTGAAACCCATGGGAACAAAGTCAGGGTAGAGTTGTCTGTCATAGATACCGGGAAGGTCAGTCGGATATGGCTGCTTGATTGGATCCCTATTTTGCCCAGTATTGAATGCCCCATGACACAGGGAATTAGTCAACAATTTCTCAAGGTAAAGTCTGCTCTCCAGGACTTTTCGGGCATTGTTTTGAACTCGTGATCTTTCAGAATCAACTCTTCCATCCCTTCTCTCAGGAGAACCCGCTACAGACAGGCACGGGCCTCGGCCTTGCTATCGTCAACAGTATTGTCCGCTCGCCAAGCGTGGATGGCAAAGTAGACGTCTGGAGTGCGGAGGGAGTCGGTACCGAGATCAAGGTCACGTTTACCGCAGAGACTGTGGAAGACGAGCAGATCTCGACCGCAGATGATGAACTCGTGAAGGTGTACGACCATCTCAAGAGGCCGACCATATCGCTGCACGGGTTCAATGACTCGCACCGAGGAGTGCAACTACTGCGCTCGGTCATGTACTCTTATCTGGTGACTCGGTGGGGCTTCGCAATCGCAGCGGACGACGAGCACGGTCATATCGTCATAGCCAATGGCGATCTGACGCCCGTCGAGGAAGCGATCGAGAGCAAGCGGGCGACTCAGCCCTTCATTCTCCTATCTCCACTGCGCGGTGAACCCAGACTGATGAGCGTCGTCAACGAATACGAGCGGATGGGTGGCTTCTGCCGTATCGTTTACAAGCCCGTAGGCCCGATCCGACTGCATGCCGCGCTCAGGATGTGCTTGCACGTGCTGAACATGTCCCGCACTTCCCGCACGAAGGCGGCTACGCTTGGACCCCTGGACCCCTCTCTGCCTCTCTCATCGTCGCTCCTTGAAGAAACGCGTGCAATGTTGCAGGATGGGCTGCCGCGGCGTTTGTCCGAGGAGTCGGGTCCCAAAGTGCATCGACCAAGGCCACCGCTCCGCCAGCGGGCCATTACCGCTCATCCGCTTGCTACGGTGTCGTCGCTGCCGTTGTATGCAGAGCCTGCTGATATGGAGCCAGAGTTCATAGGCTCACCAGGACCGGCATCTGCCCCAACAAGCCCGACGATCTCCATTGGCCAGGGAGGCACCCTGCTGAGGTCCTCCGTTGGCACGCTGGAAGCACAAGGTCCGCTGCGGGTGCTCGTCATTGAGGACAACAGTATTCTCCGGAACTTGCTGTATGTGGTACTTTTTAATGCACGCGCACGTTTCATGGGCTAATCGTAAAACGCTACCAGTGTCAAGTGGCTCAGAAACAAGGTAAGCTCCTCCTCGCTTGTTATGAATGCGGGTAAGCTGAAGATGTTTGTAGGGCTATGATTTCCGAGAAGCCGTTGATGGAGAGGAAGGTGTTCGGATCTTCGAGTCCGACGGCCACTTTGAGTGCGTTGATTCTTCCAAGTCCTGAAGCAAAGCTCACGCGTTAAGTGCAGTGTTGTCCTCGTCGACCTGTCGATGCCTGTCCTTGATGGTGTGTCGGTATGACTGTTTTACGTTGTCTTGTTTTCTGACTCTTTGCTAGGCGTCGGAGCCACGACACAGATGCGGTCGATTGAGCTAGCGCGAAGTATGAACGGCTTCCCTTCGAGCTCGGCCGAAAGCTCGGCGCATGCTGCACGAATCTTAGCGTTGACCGGCATGTCCTCATTAGAAGACAAACGCCGCGCATTCGAAGCAGGCGTCGATGGATAGTAAGTTCCGGCCCATCTTCCTGGTTGTCTTCCGTTGACTTGGTGATAGCTTGGTGAAGCCCGTCGCCTTCAAAACCCTGGACACCATATTTCACAAGCTAGAGATAGCCTCATGACACCTCAGATCCCGGGTGCTGCACCACGCAGGATGTTTCCTTGGACCTCTTCCGCTTCTGCCACCCCTCAGTACTCAGTACTCACACGTCTAGTATGCCCCACAGTCTTGTCACGTCCGCTCGCTCGCTCGCTGCCTCAGGGCCATGTACCTTCTTTTCCGCTCGCGCTGCTCGTCGTATCATAAGTTACTACCCCACTGGTCCTCGCTCATTGTCTGCATAGTCCATAACCCATCGTCCACTGTAGCCTCCTAGTCCACTACTTCTTCACTGATCATTGCATAATGTTATTCTACACACTGTGACGTTGGGAGGTAATCTATAGAGTCGAATTGGTTTCGAAGGCACCGGTATCCGGATGACATAACAAGCAGGCAAAGACTAGTCTTGAAGTAAGTTGGCGGATGACGTGGACAACCCGTGTCGCAATTCGGGCTTTGTTTTATATAAATTATGATGGTTGGTGGCCGCTTTCCCTCCTAGACTGTAGCGGGAGGAATATTCAGCGCGCCAGTTTCGTACATTGTGAGTATGAAGGAAGCTTGAAGAGGGTGGCTACGCACCGTATTACATTGGGCTATTTTTACGGCACGCGATGTCTTTGAGTGTGGTCTCATTACTATTTTGGCAGTGAGCTGAATCGCATTGGGGTAATTAAGAGTCGGGTATACAGGGTGAGACGTTACTGCGCCACATGGCTGGAAGAGGAGAACTTGGTTTAAAAAAATCAAATCACTCTCCGTTCGCATCGTGTCTCGTTGTGTACACCTTCGCAGTTCATATCGCAGTAGGGCATAGCGCATCTCTTGCATTTGTACTTGCCCCAGTAGCCGCACACAGAGCATAACAGACGCGGCGGTTCGCGGGGCGGCGGGACGACTGCGGTGAGGTAGGTGGGGACGTCCGACGGGTAATTGGCTATGCCCTGCAAGTGAAGAGCATTGCGCTGCGTTACACAAGTTGAGTGGACGCTTGGCCGCGGCAGCTTACCGACTCGTCGATGAGGGTCGCGAGACTCTTCTTGTACAGGACGGCCGTGCGGACGTTCATGGTGGACTTTTTCTTTTTCAGTCCGGCCCATTCGCGCTTGTCCGAGATGGTCTGGCGGGCGCGGCCCTTGGCGGAGCGACCGCCGCCCGCCTCGTCGTCGTCATCGAGGGCGAAGAGGTTGCCAGAGGGCTCAGCATAGTTGGAGCGCTGTAGGAGATGTGCGCGTAACGGGTCCGAAGGTGGATGAGAATGCGTGTCATGCGCGAAGGCGTGTGTGTGAACGCACCTCGAGTTCGTCAAGATGACGTTTTGTGCGCTTGGCGATGACTTCAAGGTCGAGCTGGTGGGAGGCGGCGTGCGCCTTGCGGGCAGCTGGGGGCGTGGTGAGGAGGGCGTGGCGAGGGGAAGAGCACGAGGAGATGCGCACGCTGTCTGCGGGGCATGGTGGTTGTACGTTTACAGGATAAGTAATTGGGTAATTGATGGGTGCAAGCAGCAGTCGATCAACGATCGAGTCAAGAAGCAGCGATGGCGCGATATTCCATGAGAGCCTCACGTGATTTGTCTCTCCCCGCAATGCACCCTCAGCGGAATGGTGAGATTCAGCCATCCCAAAACCGCCAGTCGTGCGGACATAAAACCACCTCCCATCTTTCCCCTCCCCCCTGCTCTCTATTCCCTCTCTTCCCACCGTCATGTCCGCCGACAACGTGGTGAAGATACCACCCGCGCACGACCTCCCGACCCCGGAGCCCGAGTCACCCTCCATCCCTCGCTCCCGCCAGCCTTACCGCTTCTCCACGCTTTGTGCGACTGTCGAGACACCAGACGCCGGGCATAAAGATCAGCATGGCAGCTCTAGCGTACCCATCTACCAGACTGCTACCTTCAAGGGTGTAGGTGGACACTACGACTATACCCGCAGCGGGAACCCCACGAGGACGCATTTGGGTGAGTGTCGATCGTTCTACATACGCGCAAGCTTCAGCACTGTTCATAATTCCATATCTCTCGGTAACAATTGCCCTGACCACATCTCTGTCACTCTAGAGCATCACATTGCAAAAATATCCTCTGCAGAGCATGCGTTCGTTGTATCGTCCGGCATGGCCGCACTTGATGTCATCACCCGCATACTCAAGCCCGACACCGAAGTCATTGCCGGTGACGACATATACGGCGGCACGCACCGCCTCCTCACCTACCTGCGCACTCACATGGGGGTGACCGTGCACCATGTCGACACCACCGAGCCTACATCTGTCCTTCCCCATCTCAATCCCGGAAAGACCGCTATGGTCCTCCTAGAAACGCCGACGAACCCGCTACTCAAGATTGTCGACATTGCGCGCATCAGCGCACTAGTCAAGGAGAAGTGTCCCGATGCGACCATTGTAGTTGACAACACCATGATGAGCCCGTATCTCCAGAGACCACTCGAGCACGGTGCGGACATTGTGTACGACAGCGCCACCAAGTACTTGAGCGGGCATCACGACCTTATGGCCGGCGCCATTGTCTGTAATCGAGACGATCTGGCCAAGGTTCGTTTCCATCTCATTGAAGTTGGGTGATAGCCAACTGACGTGGGCATCTGAACACCAGCAAATGGCGTTTATAATCAACTCTGTTGGAAACGCACTCACCCCTTTTGACTCGTTTTTACTTCTCAGAGGGATCAAGACCCTTGCTATCCGCATGGATCGCCAGCAGTCTACCGCAATGCTCGTTGCCCAGTTGCTATCCCGCCTCGGCTTTGTGACACACTACCCTGGTCTGCCAAACCACCCGGGCAAAGAGGTTCATGAACGTATCGCTGATGGTAAGGCCGTCGCCTGACTACTGTGGGATTTCGTGCTAAGAATCTGAACAGGGTACGGCGCGGTCCTTTCTTTCCAGACCGGGGACGTGGCGCTCAGTGAGCGCATTGTCGCTGCAACTCGACTCTGGGGCATCAGTGTGAGCTTTGGCTGCGTGAACAGTCTGATCAGCATGCCCTGCGTCATGTCGTATGTGACATTAGAATGAGCTCTTCCTGCGCTGCATACTCATCCCTTCGCCCAGGCATGCCTCCATTGACCCGGCGACTCGCGCTGCACGCGGACTCCCGGAGGACCTGATTCGCCTGTGCGTCGGGATCGAGGATCCCGCTGATCTGATTGACGACCTGCAGCACGCACTGCTTGAGGCGGGCGCAATCATGTTCGCTGCGAATGACTACGTGCGCATACCGAACCCGATCAGTCGCGCTGTGGAAAAACTCGCGCTGGGCGAGCCGAGGCGCAACGATGCGCGTCCACGGGAGGACAGAGAGTGGTTCGTGAGCGCGCCGGGCAAGGTGATACTGTTCGGCGAGCATGCGGTCGTGCACGGAGTAGTGCGTTGTCTAGCCTTTTGCGACGTACGTGAGGATGCTCATATCTTTTTGTTTCGCCAGACGGCCATTGCTGCCTCCGTAGACCTGCGCTGCTACGGGCTGACGTCTCCGCGACACGACGGCAAGCTGTCGGTTCACCTGACCGACATTGGGGACTATCGTCACGAGTGGGACGTTGATGACCTGCCCTGGGACGCGGTCACGCCCATTCCCCCAGGAGAGCCACACCCGGACCAGCTCGACCCGAGGCTCATGGAGGCGATCAGCGCGCGCGCGCTGCCCCCTGCAGACGAGATGCCCCGGCAGACACACGGATCGCTGGTCGCGTTCCTCTACCTATACATGACCCTGGCGCATGGCGGCCATCGGTAAGCGGTGCTCGCGCCGAGGTCTTCGCTCTGTCTGACACGGTCTCCAGGCCATCCTTCCACTACGTCACGCGCACGACGCTCCCCATCGGCGCGGGCCTTGGGTCGTCCGCGTGCTACTCGGTGTGCATCGCCACCGCGCTGCTGCTGCTGCACCAGCGTATTTCGGTGCCCCCGCTGCCCGCGCCGACGCGCGCGCCGGGCGCGGGCGACCCGGGGCACGTGCACGTGTCGCACCAGGGGCGGCGCGCGATCCCCGCGGTCGCGGCGGAGGAGGCGAACCGGTGGGCGTTCGTCGCGGAGAAGGTGCTGCACGGCAACCCGAGCGGCGTGGACAACTCGGTCGCGGTGTTTGGCGGCGCGCTCGCGTACACGCGGCCGGGCTTTGGGCGGAAGAGCGGCATGGAGCCGATTCAAGGGTGAGCGCGGGTGCCAGTCTCAATGTAGGTTGGGTGTGGCTGCTGATGCGGACGGGCGTGTGCTGTGTGCTAGCTTCAAGTCGCTGCGCTTCCTGCTCGTGGATTCGAAGGTCCCGCGGGACACGAAGAAGCTTGTCGCTGGTGTCGCGCTGAAGAAGCTGGAGGTGCGCCTATTCAGTTTGAGGGTCAGCATAAGTGCCAAATGCTTACTATGCCCCCTTGTAGGACCCTGAGGCCATCAACAAGATCATGGACTCCATCCAAAGCATCAGCGACGAGGCGCGTCGGGCCTTGGCGGACCCTGAGCTATCTCGGACGTCGTTGCTTTCCGCACTTGCTGTAAGCTGACTTGTATGCTGGCTATGGTGCCAGGCCCGTACTGATGGCGATGCAGGCGTTGATTAACGAGAACCACGCTCACCTGGTTTCGCTGGGTGTGTCGCATCGCTCGCTGGAGACTATCCGCTCCACCACGGCCGCAGAGCAGTTCCGGTTGAGCACTAAGCTGACGGGTGCCGGCGGCGGGGGTTGTGCAGTTACGCTTGTTCCGGATGGTGCGTGTTCATGCACTGGTGTGGGATCTGTTCAAACCTCATGGGTGTGCATCACAGACTTCTCGGACTCGTCGCTCCGGGCGCTCGTCTCTGCACTGCAGGCAGCTGGCTTTGGAACCTACTCGACATCCGTGGGGGGCTCCGGGCTGGGCATCCTGTCTCCGTACAACCACAAGGAGACGCGGGCACCCGTGACCCCGCCAGAGACGCCTGCTGAGAGCGACGACAGCGTGGACGGCACAAGTTCGTTACGACAGTACTTCGAGAGCATCGACGGAAGCACACTCTCAAGCTGGGCGGACGAGTGTGGTCGCTGGGCCTATGTGTAGGGCCACCCCCATCTTTCGCCCTCGATGTTGTATGCGGTTTCTGTATATTGTTACACTGCTGTATTTGTGCACGCTCCCACAGCTTGAAGACTATGGGAAACCTAATGTATGCCAGGTACAACACTAAAATGTCCCCTTTCTCACTCAGCATGACACGAGAACCAATCTATAACCGGTACGTGAATTTCACCAACGGATGACGTCTGCTTCCGCTTCGCCGAACAAGCTGGTTTTTTTGACATCAAAGCCTTCTTCCGGCTCGTCTGCCGTCTGCTCGCCCTGTGCGGTTTGGTAATATGTGGGGAACTCGCGCCTCAAGAACTGCAGGATGTGCCCGTTGATGAGCTCGAACTCAAGCAGGAACCCGTCGTGGCCCTCGGGTGACGGTATGATCACGCATTCCGCCCCGGGCACATACTCCGCAATCTCCTGCTGCTCCGATGGCGTGAACAGTCCGTCGGTCTGGATGCCAATAACGAGTGCACGGGGTGGGAGTGTGGCCAGGACGCGCGCAAGCGCGTGACCCTCGTCCTCGTCCTCGGAAAGGAGACGGCCGCGTGCGACATCGTGCGTGTCCATCTTGCGCGTGATGTGGATGTAGCAGTTCGCGTCGAAGCGCGAGATGAACTTGTCGCCCTGGTAGCGCAGGTAGGACTGTGCGGAGAAGATGGGCTTGCGTGGCGTCGGCGAGAGCGGGCGGGAGGACTGTGGCGTGCCTGCGTTGGAGGGCGGCGCGCTGCGGTAGCGCTGGCCGTCGTTGTGCGCGGCGAGGGCGTCGTCGACATCGGTCGTGACAGGGGAGCGCGGGGGAGTGGGTACGGCATCTGTGGCGAGCTTTTGTGGCTTACGCCCGAACCGCCGCTCGAACGAGTCGCGGGAGCGGAAGGTGAGCAGCGCGGCCATTCTGGCGGCGGCGAGTCCGGAGGCGGGCTGCGTGTGGTAGTAGCCGTCTTCGTAGTGAGGGTCGCTGTAGATGCTCTGCCGTTGGGCCTCGCCCCAGCTGATGCACCACGCAGAATGTCGGGCAGATGTTGCAATGGCGACGACATGTTTGATGTAGCCGGGTGGTGTGCATAGAGGCCATTCGAGTACGGCCATCCCACCCATAGAACCTCCAATGGCAACTGCTACTGAGCGCACACCGAGACGATCGAGTACGAGCTTGTGCAGTCTTCGGGGCGAGAGGTCACTATAAACACCTCAACCGTGCTGGAGGCATCGCTCACCTAACGTCGTCGCGGATAGTTGTTGCGGGGAATTCAGGCCCATATGGCTTTCCCGTCTCTGAGTTCACGGTGACGGGGGACGCAGAGCCATATGGCGAGCCCATGGTATTTGCACAGAAAATGAAATAACGACTGGGGTCAAAGGCCTTCCCTCTGCCCATCAGTGGGCCCCACCTGCGTGCCCTCTGTGAAACACTCTCCTTAGTGCAAGGTACAAAGAAAACTCACCAATCCTCAACGTCCGCGCTCCCGGTGAAGGCATGGCAGATGATCATGACATTGTCCCTCGTCTCGTTCAATGTCCCCCATGTTTTGTAGGCTACTGGCACCTCCTTCAGCACTCTCCCCGACTCGAGAGTGAACGAGGGCACAGTATGATAGTTTTGGTCGATGAGAGTAGCGAATGGGGACGTCATAGTTAAAGCACAGATGTGGGGAATCGAGACCTGCCAAGAATTGTATTGCGGAAATGACTCGTGCAGAGGTGAGATCACGCTAGACAACTGGGCACTTTTCTAGGGCTTTCAGCAGACATTCCCACTGTGAGATGAGACATGGCCGACATTCACAGAACAACAGTGTAAAAAAGCCGTGCAAAGGAGAGAACGTTGATTCGGACTCAGAGGTGCGGTAGACTGATCGTGTGCGAATTCGCTTGAACACCACGGCCATGTCCTCGGTCGCCTCCCATTTATCCACCAAACTCTCACCTCTGGGTACTCTCCTTGCTCTAGCCCTTCCGCTTGTCGTAATTTCCTACCGCGTTTTACGTGTTCCACGCCGTGCTGCGAAAGTCGCACGAACAGACGAGAGGGTTCTAATACTCGGAGGTTCTAGTGGAATAGGCCGGGCAATTGCGCGCGAATATGCTACAAGGGGGGCCCGCGTATGTCTTGTTGCGCGGCGGGAAGAGGAACTCAGAAGGGTGGTAGACGAATGCGCTGCTCTGTGTCCAGAGAAGAGCAGCCATGAAGGCGAGAGAGTAATCAGCGTGGTCGCTGATTTCACGAATGTAGATGATATGGTGACTGTGCGAGGGGTTGTAGAGCACAGTAAGTATCAAACCAGTTCCAATATCCATTGCGTGCCTCAGCTGGTACACAGAATGGCAGGGAATCGACACTTTGATGGTGTCTGCGGGCGCGTCAGCTCTACGGCCCCTCATGGAGGTCGCGGGTCTTGAGAGATTGGGAACATCGTTCACCCCTCCGCAAGCTAATGTAGAGGGATTGCGGCGAGCCGTCGAAGTTGCTAATGCTGCGGCGAGAATCAACTACACTGGACCGCTTGTATCCGCCGCCACCTTTGTGGGTACCGCTCCGTCTCTGTTATATTTTGATCTCATCCCACCCCAGCTTCCCCTCCTCCAGTCCAACTCTCCCGCTCCAGCTATCCTTCTCATCTCCTCGCTCGGCGCTGTCGTGCCCGCGCCAACCCGTTCTATCTATGCGTCAACGAAAAGCGCGTCGCTTGTGCTTTACGAATGCCTCGCCATCGAGCACCCCGCCGTCGCCTTTTCCTTCGCCATTCTCGCCACCGTGCAGGGCGACTTCCGGGCGTCCGCCGTCGACGCGGGTCCTGTACGGGAATCAGACCCAAACAGACATGGCCTGCTGCCAGAGGACGTCGCACAGCGCTGCGTGCGCGCTGTGGATACGGGCGAGAAATTCTTCTGGATGCCGTATTTATATAGCAGGCTAGGCCACGCATTGTACTGGATCGTGCCGTCGTTTGTGGAGTGGCGGGCCGGCGTAAAGTACAAATTTTCCCCTCAAGCATGATCTAGTGGCGCTGGGGAAGCTGGTGGTGAGCTCGTATGCACATGTTCTCCGTGTAGCCGCTATATGGTCATTGGACGACGCAGCAAACGTGCAGTCCCTCGGGATGGCCTCACAAGCTACGCACGCGCGCATGGACATTGCTTTGTGCGTGTAAGAGCCTTCGATATTGAGGGCACGCCCCGTAGGGCTGATCATTTGTTAAAATTCTTGCACGCGAAACAGCTATGACCGCGGGGAACGAACAGCCGTCGGGCAAGCCGTATGGAGTCGTCTGCAGTACTGCGTAGGTCTCACGTCATCATCTCACCCAAGGAGAACGCAGATGCGCCACGGCGCTGTTTATTTGGCAAGCACTTGTTCAGGTCGCTTGACGTCTTCCTTGCATACCGGAGGTTCAGTTCGTTACACCAGCGGCTACATGCAGGTAATGCAGTATGCGGCTGATTGACTTTTCTGTATATCAGACTCTTTGTACAGAAATGTGCCTGGATGGTCAGTCTAAACTGGTATGATCGGGTGTTCCCTAAGCAGCATGAAGTACTTAAGCGTGCAGCTTCTGTCCTCTGGGATCATGCCAGAACGTTAGCCAAGACGATCAAATCGGTAGCCAAATTGTTCATGAGATCATTGGCAAATGATATTCTGACATGGCATCCCGTTATCCAAAGTGCGTCGTAGTCCTAACCTCTTTGTTCGCATGTCTTCTGCCAGACGTAGCGGAGCAAGCAAAGAACACCGATGGCAGAAAAGTTGGCGTAAGTGAAGCAGCTTTCTTAATTCAACTCAATTCCATCTTTTATATTCGGCATGACGCAGGTACATGTAGAGTGAAGCCGACCTCCACTGGCTTTTGCATAATGGGCTCCGCGCCCTCGCACGGATACACCCACCGAGTGCGTATCTCACGGTATCTGGACAAAACCCTACGCTTTTCGGACGAACAAGGCGCGTAACCCGCCCTTAGTTGACTGCTGTTTTCCTCTTGTGAGGCATGCCCTCGAAAGCGATGTGCCTGAGGAGGGTGGGGTGGGGCCGCCTATTGCCCCCACTCACTGTTAATTCTTATTTATCTATCATTATCTAGGTGCTTTCGAGAGCCAAAGAACTTATGCTGTCAGAGCACCTAGTATTCCGCTGCGCTCCCCAATTGATCCGAGCTTGATCAGACTTTCAGGAAGACAGGAAAATGCATAACGCCCATAGTGATGTCGGCGATGTTACGTATGGTTTTATTGACGCACCTGGGGCTCATCGGCGATACAGTCGCGGGTTGAAGGAAAGCAATGGAGTACTGGGGAATTCAAGCCTGAAGTAGAGCATTTGAAAGGCATTGATGCTTCAGCATCGCTGGGTGTCAAAGTCATGTGCGTTGTCAAACTGTTCTATTGGCAGATAGACGATGGGAGAGGTGCAGTCTGTTACCAAACATGCCTTCCCTTGCTCTCCATGTCTAGTCCATTACAGCGAGGCAGTCCTACCATGCATGTTCTATGCCGCTCGGATCTAGAATGTTACGATAGCTAGTTCACTATTTGCGCCTCGGCGGTGGCCCCAGCACGATAACAGCAATACCAATTCCGAGGGGATTACACACAGCCCAGGGCGGAATATCAAATGGCAGCCTCTCTACGTCATATCACCGGGCTCCACTGTGGGCCGCGATGCGAGACTGGCGATGGTCCAGACTTTGAGCTCTGCACCGCTGGGAGGTCAGTCAGTATTGCCAGTGGTATTACCGGAAGACATTTCAATGTACAACTCTGCATAAGGAGTATTTCATACTGGTCCTTCCCCGAGATGTTACAATAAGAAGGCTGCCAGCATGTTGACACTCGCCAAACAAAGTTCAGACACTTCACCCCGGGACAGCGGCGCCGCTGCTTAGATCTTTGAGAAGATGATTCGACCAATTGTCCAACATCCGTTACCGTGACGGCTATTCAGTCTCATCGCCGCTCGGCGATTAAGATATTGATTGTTTCCAGGGTCAATAAACTCGAGACATGGACCCACACCAAGACTTCTCGCACACGCTGCCTGACCCCACGAAGGTCGAATGGCTGTATTGTCTGCTGGAAAAATGATTGCTGCGCCAGCTGATCTCATATTGTTAGACCCTTTGAACTCGATGTGTGCGTTTAGACTTCCGGCCGGGATGAGTGGGCCCTGGAAACAATGAATTGTGGCCGTTACAATACTTTGCTGGGTTCAGCCAGGTTGGGACCCGACACTTCCGAAATCCACGTCAACCCCGCTTATGTAAAAATATTCTCGGGTAGGTCCATCTATATGGAATCAATTAGCATTTCCCTGTCCACAATTTTGAATCAGCATGGGCAAAATTTGGTCTCTGACCGTGCGAGTTGAAAGGGTGTGGCGGAGATCTGTACGATTGAATCTCCCAGGAACCCGATCGATCGGCGTGTACCGATGAGAACATACCAGAAATGTTTGCTACCGTTGGTTCGTCTCTGAGGGCATCTTCCATCGCAGCACTCAACCAAGATCAGTTTGACATTTGTATCTTTACATGCGCTCCGTACAACAGTGCTCAGAGAGATCAGAAATTTCGCAGGTCAGAAAGCGGTGCATATCAGTAGCATTGCGCCAAGCGTCGACACTACTCCAAGTCTGTGTCTTTCGCCACTTGAGCCATATCGTCCAAGCAGTCCTTGAGACCTGAATAGAAGGACTCTCCAAAATCTTCTTCAATCGCTCCCTGCGACCACGATACAGTCAGCCCAAGACCGCCACCAGGAGTCCCCACCACGTTCATGTGGATCGCAGCCATGAATGCTGCTTGGGATTGAACAAAGTACATTTCGTCGATGTTCCACTTTCCGGCCTCGCCATCGGATGCAACACGATGATCCGAATCGCAACTTCTCCAAGGATACGTGCCCAAATTGGATATTTCTATGGTAGCATTGCGCTTCTTGGAATAAAACCCCTTGAGGTACGCCTCGTAATCAGGTAGGAATTTCAGCAAGCCAAGTTGTTGAGTAGATTGTGGCGCGTGACGTCGCAGGTCTCTCGTCAGCTCTGCTGCTAGTTCCCAATGAAAGCTGTCAGAAAGGAGGCCTCCATCAGGGGGTGTCGGTGGATCCAACGGGATGAGTCGATTTATTGAGGAAACCTCGCTGCAGAACACATCTTCTGGCGTCTTGGTCAGTCCGCGTAACGACACTGGCACTAGGGCCACAATGGATTTGTAGCGCCCGTTGAGTGATTGGTCCGCGGCGATGAGTCGGGAGATGACTCTGGCCGACAACGCCATGAGGAACCCGGTGATCGTCGAATCATTTGCTCGGCAGAGCCGTAGCAATGTCTCAGTGGCGTCACGATTGTAGTGAACGAGTCGAACTGTGGCGAGCAACGAGTCGTGGTCAGGAACCGGATGACCCGTCCAGGCATGATAGGAAGCCTTCCACGAATCAGGCATTAGAAGCTGTAAGACCTGGCGGCACAGCGTCAACGGAGAGACGGCTGTACTGATGATATTCTCAACAGGTTCGACGAGAGAGAGGTTCGGTGGGACGATGACACTTGTGCATGGATCCCGTGGCGGACCCTCGGTATCGACTTCGTTCAGCGCTTCTAGCAGAGAGTGGTGAAACGCCAGGCCACTTCGACCATCGCCAATTGCGTGGTGCCAAGCGAACGTGACGATCCCATCGCGTGATATTCGCAGACGCCAGAGAGGGTCTGCTGGCTCGGATTGAGTGCGAAATCTGTGTGCGATCTCTGATTCGAACACTGTCCGAATGTTGGCCTGCGTGTCGTCCGAGAAATTAACGACACGCGTCAGGTCGACTTTCTCTAGGCGGACCCATGCGGGTTTTCCTGAAGCTTCTCCAGAGAGGGTGACGCATAATGCGGCATGCCTTCGAATCACTTTATCCAGCGCGGGAAACAGGGTGTTGGCATCGAGGCTAATGCCGCTGCGCTCTCCGTATCTTGCGGAAATGGCGACACATGCATACATCTCGAGGTAATGGCGAACGATGAACCATCGTTCAAAAGGACCTGAGAGGACAGTCCGCATTAGCAAACATCAAAGCTTCACGACACTTCGTGTGCATTGTCGTTACCTGCATAACGAACAACGTCCGGTTCCGGCATGTTTGTGGCGAGTGTCTTGGGTTAGTAGTAACTCAGTCGCCCTGTATTATTTATAAGCGCCACGAATTAAACATGTGATAATCGTGCGGAAGGGAATAATGACATGCTCATAATACCCGAAGCCTCAATTGTTTGAGTGGCGATGGTGCCGCAGCGAAGCGCAGCGGTTGTCGCTCTAGGTCATGATGGCTCAGGAACAGATGTCACGGCTAATTGAGCAGTGCATTCAGGGGCTGCGGGAATGCACTGGGTCAATGGGTCGACGGAAGATCTCGATACCGTCAAAGCTATTGACCTCTTGCCAATACTATGGTTTACCAGTGGATGCCCCCCCCCCCTCTGGATGGCCAGGTTTGTGATGGCGCAACAACCGGGCACTCTCCTGCCCTCGAAATTATATGGACACCTACGTTTTCGTATGCCTGCTCTCACCTCCAACTTGAATGAGTCCCTTCTTTCGGGGATTTGATGGCGATGTCACATCCAAGAGCACGATGGCCACGGCGGACGCGAGCGGAGTTACAAAATTGACCTGTCGGTCGCTGTGGGGACACATGCCGCTGAGCTAGAGTTCAGGCCCCAGCCCTGTGAGCCGAGAGGACCTCTGAATCGGCATCGTCACATTAATATTGATGTGATGAAGTGTTACCTGGCCATCAAGAGGGGGGCATCCACTGGTAAACCATAGTACGCTTTGAACATGCATAGTCGTGCGCGAGCGGAGTTGATGATGCGGAATTCAAAATTATTGGTTGAAATCATGAATCCGATCCGGCATTATTACTCCATGTTCTTCGAGCTCATTCGGCAGGCACATAGCTTGAACACTGTGTCTAAAATTGGGTCACGGTCTATCTGACTAGTACATCTGGAGACTGGTTTTGGAGTCGACTGATGCTCTACACTACATACATGGCACAATTACCGCGAGCAAATTTTGACAAACTTGAGAGTAAGAGATAGGAGGACAGTTTGAAAGGTAAGGCTGATTCCCTGTTATTTCAATGAACATTAGGCCTATCTAGGGGCCGATAAGATTTCGGCGCACTCACTTCAGGCTATGTCCTCCAGCAGTTTAGGTCGGAGTCTCACGACGCGTGTCTTCTTGACCTCTTCGCGCTCCGGACCGAAATAGCGCAACGTTGCAAAACTCCATTCGCAGTTTCCCACCGCCCAACTCTCCATGGCCATCACGAACTGCGACACGGCGTGGTCTAATTCGGGACCCCACGATGGGAGTTGTGCCTTGTCAGACAAGAAACTGTCCAACAACGTCTTGAAATGTACTCCAACGTGGTCGGATGCCTGCTGCAGCGTCCAGTGATTCTGCTCCATAAGCACGGTCAGAACGTTGTTGCCGGTAAGCCCAGAAAGCTGCTCCATCTTGTACGAATAGAGATCCTGTTTACGGATGACTGAGGATATTGCTGCCGGTGGAAGCGAATGGAACTTACATTAGACCAACACACCATATCGACCGCTGCGAGATGCATGCGCATGAATACGGGATGTTCAAAGATGCTGTCCGGAAGATCGATGCCGAGAACATAGCCGAAGAGGCCGAAGCAGCATCGAACGGCGCTGTTCTCTCGACGGAGGCGGATGTACGAGTCAATGTCAAGGATCTCGTCGCGTTCACGGAGCTCTGCCTCGACTGAGAATGCGTTGACGTAGCTCTCGCAGTGTTTGAAGAGGCGATTGTGGCAGGCTGGAACATCCACCTTCATGATGCGTTCTCTGAACCTGCAGAGAGAAAATGTCAGTCCAAGCCACTCGGCATGTGAATACACCCACTCTTTCGTCATTTTGGCGATTGCCGACCCGTCGTTCCACTCGGCATATCGCAACGCGTCGAGGAAGACGCGTCCGGTAGCATAGGCGTCCTTTCCTGTTTGCTCGTCGCTGATCTCGTCGACGGCAAACAGGATGTGGACGAAGTCGCAGCAGGTGCGCAGCTGCTCTAGACTAGCGTACGGATACGCGTGTGCACAAAGCAACTCGCTACCAGACTGAAGGAAGGCAGTGCGTTTGCGTTCTGGCACTACTTTGTAGCTCTCTGCCCAGGCGGCAGATGCGGTAGCGGCCTCGAGATAGTGCGGGTTGAAGGAACCCTTGAACGGGATGAGAGGCAAGAGGTCCGGAAGGACGTATTGTTGAGGCGTGTTCAGCATTGTTAGGAGAGGGTTTGAGGACAGAGGACTCGGAAGAGTGTGCAGAGGGAATGGTGAATGGAATGGAATGAACTCATGACCTTTTATATCGTTCGACTGCAGCGTTACCTCCGCGTTAAGCAGCGCTCAATTGCATGTCGGGTTCCCGCCCTGGTCTTCGAGTTGTACTCCGTCATTGTGCCTCCACGCGCTAGTTAGAATGCCAGCGCCACAAAGGACGCGATCAGTCACAGCGATGATCCCCCTGGGCCCTGCATCCCTCCGGTCAAAGATGGCTACATTACCTTTGCCTCTTACGCCCCTTGTGTCCTCATCGGTTTGACCATCATGATCTCTCTGCCATTCAACTGGCCTCCCAATGACCACCCTCACGTCAAGGACGTCGCCAATGTAGTCGCCCGCCTCAAGCGCGCCCGACCGCTCTCCCGATAGTCTGTTCTACCATGCCTACCTGGTCCCAGTACATTCCGATCTTCAACGAGCGCCCACTGAGAGCTGGCGCCTTGGGCGCTACATGAGGTGGTCTGCCCGCATGGAGGCGCTACAATTGCGGAGGTCTACAGCGGTCAGCGATTACAGGAAGCGCCACTGCATTTTTATGCCACTTTCCAGTCGGAGAATGTCTTCACGTCGGCTCTTAGTGTGTGCGCTATCGCGGACGCTTAGATATCCGATGACAGAGCACTAGGTTCCGAATAACCGGTATTTCATTCCGGGATGTCAGTTGGTATTTCTCGGTAACGCACATCCAGAACGGGTAGAAGAGCGCACCAACACCGCTTTTATGAGCTGGTTCTGGGAATGAGGTAGCACGTCAGGCTTACATTTGTAATGTGCGGTTTGTGGCCATTGGCCCAGGACCGACGGTGCTAAAAAAAAACAGGTGAGTCTCCGTTCACGACACTCACGGAGAAGCAATACGGACAGTCGCCAGAAGTAAGAATTACCATTCTAGTAAGCATCGCTGCACTATTTCGCCGGTTCTGGAAAATGAGGAACGCTTCAGACCGCAACTGGTGAACTCGGAATGACGCACCGATCATGTTGTGGTACACGGAAGCAAGAAAGAGCGCAATTGCTCGCGGCGCCACAATATGGCTGGGCCTCGACCATGATGTATGATGATAGACTTCCATCTTCATGTCTAGACGCCAATGCAGTGCCCACTGAGCGTTTCATCAGAAGTACATTGAGAATAGAAATGAAATAGATGTCAGAGCTTGACTTAGATTTGGCGACGATCGACCAAGCTATGGCGCAGGTGCTGTACATTAGCTATAAGCAGGCAAGGGCTAGTGCATATCGACAACGAGTCCATATGCCACAACGAGGTAAGCCGCACTGGCCTTGATGAACAAGCAGCTTCTCTTGCATCAAGACACCATGCTGCGCCGGACGACACTAGACCCGTGCAGGCACAGCCTTTAGTACGCTTCCATGCACGTCACTGCTGCAAAAAATTGGTTGGTTACCGAGCCGGTGTCTTGATACTGGTTGATGTTGGCGGTCGGTTGAAGGGTTAGGTACCTGATGCTAATTGATCGAGCTCAAGACAGGCAAGATCGCGGATAGCACTCCCGCGAAGACGCTTCACGATAAGACGACCGCTCAGAGCGTCAGCGATGGCGCGGATCAAAGCGACGTACTAAGAATAGCAGTCATAGAGATATGTCGCCAGATGTCGCCGCGGTGGTTAGAGCTGTCGGATCGAAATGCTCACGCGGGGTCACCACTTAGCTCGCACCATATTGTATGAGAAGCAATGCGGTGGTTCTACATGAGCGTGTACGCAGGTCCGACACATGCATCGGAATGCCGACTATTTCCGGAGAGACATACGAGATGCTCTCGCCAACAATTCGGGGCAAAACAAGTGAAGGGTGTTAGCAAGCCGCAAGCGGACGGCCGACGGCGGGCAAAGCGAACGAGCAAATCATCGCGTTTTGCTTACTGCCTGTGGCACGTGACAGTACTCAATGACTCAAGCCGTCTGATATTTTGAAGTCTCAACCCAAGATGGATTCCTCGTCGATACCTCCCGCTTTTTCTCTTCGTTACCCTCGAACATCCAGCCGGGCCCCACGCCTTTCTGACACAAAATGTGCCCTCATGCTAACGGCGACGCACTTCCCAACGGCACTTCTCAGATGGTAGCCGTAGATATGTCTAACGGCGCAACACACACCTCTTCGGTCAAGTCGAATGGAGTAAATGGACATTCCAATGGCGTTAACGGCCATTCTAACGGCATTAACACTGGTGCCAAAATCCTTGAACAGCAACAAAGAAACCCATACGCTCCTCGAGCGTCTGACTTCTTGAGCAACGTATCTAACTTTAAGATCATTGAGAGTACACTACGAGGTTTGTCTGTCCAACATATTTTCATCCTAGTGTGCTCATTCTCCAGGGTAGAGGGCGAGCAGTTTGCAAATGCTTTCTTTGATACCAAGACCAAGATCGCAATTGCTAAGGCTCTTGACGCTTTCGGTGTTGAATACATCGAGTTGACGAGCCCTGCAGCGTCTGAGCAGTCCCGTGCAGGTGTGAGACGATGTCCTAGCTCAGTTAGTGGTTTTGAACCCCTATTCATCTAGACTGCGAGGCAATCTGCAAGCTCGGCCTTAAGGCTAAGATCTTGACCCACATCCGTTGTCACATGGATGATGCACGGATAGCAGTCGAGACTGGTATGTAAACCAACCCTAATCAAGTGGACCATTGTGTAATTATTTTTGGTAGGCGTTGATGGTGTGGACGTTGTCATCGGCACATCATCATTCCTTCGTGAATTTTCGCACGGCAAGGATATGGCCTACATCACCAAGACTGCTATCGAAGTTATCGAGTTCGTAAAGACCAAGGGTGCGATAACCTCAATTGCGTCTTCAGTTTCTCTGGCTGATAGATCGGTCCTTGTTCGTTTATAGGCATCGAGGTCCGATTCTCATCGGAGGATTCCTTCCGCTCCGATCTCGTCGATTTGCTCTCGATCTACCAGACAGTCGACAAGATTGGCGTCAACCGAGTTGGCATTGCGGATACAGTTGGTTGCGCAAACCCTCGCCAGGTTTACGATCTTGTCCGTACTCTCCGCGGGGTTGTTCACTGTGACATCGAGATCCACTTGCACAATGATACCGGAATGGGTACGTGCCGAATTTGTAGTAGCCACTCGACGTTTGCATTTAATCATGCGGTCCTTGAATCAAGCGATCGCCAACGCCTACACGGCGCTCGAAGCCGGTGCGACACACATTGACACTTCCGTTCTCGGAATTGGTGAGCGAGTCGGAATAACCCCGCTTGGTGGGCTTGTTGCATGTCTATATGCGGCCAACCCCGAGTACGTCAAGAGCAAGTACAACCTGTCCATGCTCCGAGAGATCGAGAATTTGGTCGCGGAGGCAGTAGAAGTGAACGTCCCGTTCTCGAACCCCATTACGTAAGTCATTTCTACTGATGGTGGAGGGATCTAGCTGACATTGACGGCAGCGGGTATTGTGCGTTCACGCACAAGGCCGGTATTCACGCCAAGGCTATTCTGAACAACCCGTCCACCTATGAGATCTTGAAGCCTGAGGATTTCGGTCTCACGCGATATGTGTCTATCGGACACAGGCTCACGGGCTGGAACGCTGTCAAGAGTCGTGTGGAGCAGCTCGGACTCAAGCTTACCGACGAGGAGGTACATCTGCTGCGCTCTCTCTCGCCGAGTGGTACTTAATTTATCCGCACAGGTCAAGGATGCCACTGCGAAGATCAAGGAACTCGCGGACGTTCGCACACAATCTATGGATGATGTCGACTCGTTGCTCCGTGTGTACCACTCCGGTATTCAGTCTGGCGAACTCGCAGTTGGTCAGAAGGAGGCGCTAGATAGGCTGCTGCGCAAGCACCGCGAGGAGAGACAGCGCGCCCGCGACGCATCTGCCAGCCGTGACGCAAGCCCTGTGCCGGTCGCGGCATGAGTCATCGGGTTTGGCTTGACTGGATAAAAAGGCGGTTCAAAGGGGAGAACGACTGCGGATGCATTATCTTGTGAAAGTTTTTCGTAGCTTCAGGTTCACCTGGTGTTCCTGCCCATTCAATAGACTGCGATTGGCAGAGCCGCCCCTGCAACAGATCTGTTAGCTTGCTGCTCACTAATCCGAGCGGGCGCTCCGAAGTGCTAGTGTACCGGCACGCGTGATCTCCGGTTGTGAATGTACTCCGTGCATCGCCCAACTGTACCTATCATGTGTAGCTTGGACCTTATCGACCGCTGAAGTGGCGTTCAAGCGGAATGGATTCCGTGGTTACGCGGGTACAGTGCGCGGCAGGCAGTCCAGACGAGGTGGCTGGCCGGTGATATGCCCGTTGACATCGTTTGTCCACTCGGTTGATGGCCAGCGACTATGGGACAAAAGCTTCGTTGAAGGTCCAGCGTGGTCCAACGATGATGATGTGTTCATGTACCACACGGGTTTAGCCTGTGATCCGGACCCAGCGGGATGATCCACTAAGTATAACTACTGATTGACAGCCCATCGTCGCCTGCAGGCATGCCAGGAACATCTCGTGGCGTCAGCGCAATAATCTTCCATGTTTGTGACAAGAGCTGCTGGCCTGTCGTTCATGCATGCGAGGCACTACCCGCTATAATCAGTAACCCGGTTATTAGTGTGCAATAATGCGTTGTCACCATGGATGACCTCACGCTGTGCTCGTTCATACGGACGCTGGACAGCTGACAATGTGCTGGTAAAGTAAAGCCGTGCAATTCCATTGGTCGATATAGAGATACAGATGGACTGCTTTAAGAGATAGAACGGATCCAACATCTATAGATATCCGGAGTATCGTTACAAAGGTTAACCAAGAATATAGATGGACAGATGGACAGCAGAGGAAGTGATAAATATGGATAGAATATGTATGATAGCACGGTGTGGATGGTGGGCGTATCGCACTGCTATCAATCCTGGTAGGGAGTTCTGGTGAGAAGGGGCCCGTTAGGAAACATCCTAGATGACGGACCTTAATCCTCGTCTATCTCCCGGGGGCGTAGCATAACGACACGAGTGGCTTTGACCTCCGCGTGAACGGCGCCGAAGTATCGCTGTGTCTCAAAGCTCCACTCCAGGTTTCCAATGATCCAATGCTCCATCGCCTGCACGTAGCCCGCGACCGCATCATCAACAGACGGGCCCCAGCTCGGCAGCTTCTCTTTGGCGTCTAAGTAGCGCTCCATGAGAAGTTTGCAGTGTTCGCCGACGGCGTCGCAGGCTGCCTGCACATCGATGCCTTTCGCTTGCATGAGCACGGTTACAATGTTGTTACCGCCGATGCCCTTGGCTTGCTCCATGTTATACGAGTAGACGTCCTGCACGGCCTGTGTCAGATATATTACAAAAAGGTAAGCCCATGACTTACATTTGACCAGCAGACCATGTCGGCAGCAGCCCAGTACAGCGTCATGAAGGTCGGGTCTTCGAAGACGTACTCCGGAAGATCAACACCGAGACAATATTCAAATAGGCCGAAGCAGAGCCGGATGGCGCTATTCTCACGGCGGAGCGTTTCAAAGGACGCCATATCAAGGACGACGCCACACTCGCGATACTCGGCCTCCTTGGCGACAGCTTCGACGTAGTCCTCGCAGTGTTTCAGGAAGCGGGCATAGCAGCCCGGCCCCGCATACTGCAGGAGACGTGCCCTGAATCTAAAAGGCCCGCGATTAGCTTGGACGTGTGCGAATGTGAAGAATGAAGTCGTACTCTTTGGTCATTTTAGCGAGCACGGAGCCGTCGTTCCACTCGGGGTCACGCATGGCTTTCAGGTACACATTGCCAGTGTGGCGCGCGTCCTTGCCGTTCTGCTCGTCGCTGACCTCGTCGACGACGAAGAGCAAATTGACAAAGTCGCAGCACGTGCGGAATTGTTCGTAGCCAGCGTAAGGGTAGGTGTGAGAGACGAGAAGCTCATTGCTGCCTTGGATAAAGAAGGCGCGTTTCCTGTCTGTGAAGACGTTGTAGCTGTTAATCCAGGCGGAGGATTCGGCGGCAGCCTTGACGTAGTGTGGGTTGGTTGAGCCCTTGAAGGGGACAAGGGGGAACAAGTCAGGGAGGACGAATTGGCGAGGAGTGGAAGGCATGGCTCGAAGGGTAGCTGAGTGGAATGTCGTTCTGCCAGGCCATGAATATCTTTTATACATCTGTCACTCCCTCTCCCCGTTGTGTACCTGCCCGGGAGCGACTAAACGCTTGTCAGATGAACACGGATCTGACAGTAATTCTGGCTATACTTGCTCACGGCCCGTTTTCGGAGATTGAGACCCGTTAAGGTCTGCTGTCTGCAATCCACGTAAGGAATGGAGCATCACAACGAACCCGCCGGTGGATACTGACAAAGCTAAGGGTCCAGGAACGTTCGATGATTCCTGCAGCCGGTATCAGTGGGAAAGGGACATCTGAGAACAGGCTATACCGTGCACTGTAAAATGTGGGCCTCAACTTTACGCAGCATAATCGTGAAGGATCACGCTCGATCTCTGCCAAGCATCTGTAAACAACTCTCCTGAACGCTATCGTCGGGGGTGGTAAGCAACTCTTCCGGTTGTATTGGAGATGCATGACGCAGCCCCTAGACAGAGTAAGCGAGGATCAAGACGCGATTTTGGAGAGACAAAGCAATACAACGCAATTGCACTGGAATCACCGAGAACCGATTGATAGATCGAAGGGGTAGTCCATAAGATCCGGCCACAACGTGGCTGCCGCCAGATCCCGCCACTTCGCCTGAGTGCCACAACGACATTTCGCCGTCAACTGTAAGCGCCTGGCTTAGGGCGCACCTCTTTGAGCGTGCACTGGATGTTGGTTTCAGTAGGTCCATAAATGCGCAGATTCATACATGCGTAGAAGGGTTCACTGCCACTGGCCGTCGAGGGCGCGGCCTCGGGCACCAGCCGAGAGTGTAGCGCTGGGCAAGCGCCTGGGCGCTGGAGATGGCAATGCACAAATCGGACGCAGATCGGGCAGCGCATCATCCGATCCTGTTTCCACGTGGTACAGATCCTGCTTCTCAAGGAGCTTTTGGAATCATACGAACAGTCGCCTAGTGTCCCTGAAGGGTCCTCCATTCCGCTGTTCTGCACAGCCAGCACCACTACCTCCTATTTCCAGACAAGGCTCTTGTCAAGGGCCGATGAGGAGCAAGCCATCCTGAAACAGCGGCATGCACTTGTCAGATTTTATCGGAAACCTTGAAGCTCTCAAGCCGCAGCGCGCGTTGAACGAAAATGCATTGGTGCAGAATTTCCACGGCTAGCTCATGCAAATCGTAGTACAGAACCTGTTTAACCTTGAGATTTCAAATAGTCAGACTAAGCCTTTGACCAAACGCTACTAACTGGCTGCAATACGGGAATCGTCTCAGCTTTTTCTCCGGACCTGAAAATGGAGCAATGATACAATACATGCCGCACTACCGTGACATTTGACCTGAAACGAACCTAATTTCTTGAGATCCGCACTATCTGAGCTGCTTTCCCTCCGATGAATGTGTACTTGACCTTGCGACAGCTTTATTCGGGCCGCAAATAGTCTGGGAGACTACGAACCATGACACTCGCTACTGTATGTCCAGTTTAGGAGCCGGTTGTTGTGCCTGCCCAGATTAATAGAACCGCAAGCGTGTCTTCGTTCGCACACAGTTTGCATTGACCTCTAGAAGAGCAAAAACCTGCGTCAGTATGCCTTATTCGCGCGTGATGTCCGACGTTAATTCTACTGACAGGGTAGCTGATAACACAACTCATGCCATCGCCTAATGTGTGGTTCACTTGCAGATTCTACTTGCCTTGCATCTGAAGACTGCGGTAGTATTCGTTGAGTCTTGAAAGATCCAAGACGGCATCCGGAGTATCGTAAGCCGGCGCCGCCGGTCAGTCACCTTCTGCTCCGGAGTGTATCTACTATAGATGTGCTGTAAATGGGTAGATGGGCGGCGTTTTGAGGTGCCTTGAGGTGAATGCAGCATCGACGCAATGGGATTGATGCTGCAGCAGGTGATCGGTCTTACCAAGCGACCTGATGGAATTTCTATGGTATGCACAACTCCTACGCAAGCGCACGACGACACTTGTGAGCCAACAATCGGTATCAGCTAATAGCGGAAACGATATTGATGCCCTGGACGCGCTGCTCCAGTTCAGAAATCGGAGTGGACTCGTTAGACCTTAGGTTTGCACTCATCAAGTCATTTAGAAAGAGGTTTTCCGGGCGTGAACCTCGGACGGACATCCTGCACGGTCGTTGCCTTGTCCCATGCCATAAAATCCCTTGCATACATGTGGCCAGGTCATTGGCTAGTGTCGATGGCATGCCGCATGATCGACCTAGGGGATCGCTTGTACGTACGGGATGCGAACTGCCCGCGATACTGTGGAATTCTGCCGCGCCTTTCCTAGGAAGGGCGAAAGAATGCAGGGGAAAATAACAGAGGGGAAAAACAAACAGTGGGATAGAAAGGCCATGCGGTAAAATAAATAAAAAACCCCACCCGATATCCCTTGTAAGGAGTGCATCATTCGATTGTGGCTGCTGGAGTAGTGTTGTCCATCCATCCTGGAGAGAAGCCCCTACCGATCGTCTGAGAAGACGGAATGGCGCAACCCGAGGAGATAACGCACACAGCCAAACACTGATGCCATAGACAAGACGTCTCCTCGGCCCCGACATGTCAAACATAAGGACCCTGAGAATGCGCTTAAGTGGCAACTTGACACACGCGATAGCGCACTGGGAGGGAGGGGGAGGGGTAAAACGGATCAACCAACGTGGATAGCTCAGAACGAAGAGCTGCGGTAGATTGGGGGACAGGAGTCCCTTGGGATCACCCTTCTCCTAGGCCCGCGTGTCGGCACTCAGGCGGGGAGGAGCTGCAGACCCTCAAGAAGCTAGAATGACGTGGATAGCATTGTGTATGATTCATCGAGATCTGTCAAGGCACCACTGCAACGCTAAGGGCGGTGTGGCGTCGAGAATTGAGAAGCAGATAACGGAACAGCCAACGGGGGCGTCGCGTAGAGCATAACGTGCGAGGAGCTCCCTTGGCGAACAGCTCCTGAGGGACCGCCCGGCAGCCTCAGCGATAGAGCACCGGTAGACTTGACGAGGAGCCACTGCGGGATGGAAGATGCAGACGGAAGCACGAGACGAGGGCGTTCCCGATCGAGCGAATTGGCATTGAGTCACAGTACTTGCTGCTAGAACGTTCGGCAAAACCAATAGTCACAACCCTGGCCTACGGCGACATTCCCTGCTTCATGTCAGACTGAGTTCCTGCAGCTGCTTACGATGGGTAAGTCGTCCCTCTCATCTGTCGGTCAGCGCGACACCAGATCCTCGTCAAGATCGGTGACATCCTTCCGCGCCGTTTGTCAAACGCGGTGCTGCCACACTCGGATTAGCTCAGTACCGCTAATGCACGGCTGCAGTATAAACTTTAGTATGCATTCTTACGAGCTTGAGGCACTCACCAGCGGCAGGCTATGTGTTTCATGTAGTACGCACAAAAATTAGCGAAAATCGGATCATGGTCTGTGACAGCAACGGCCAGACAATTGACATCGCTGACGGGTTCTCGAAAACGTCAGATACAATGCAGACGATGGACATTGTGAGATCGCAAGGGAAAGACCTGATAGAGCATGACAAAAGAAGTACAACAAGGACAACAGGGCGGGCCGTGAGCGGATCCAAGTAATCCTGTCCGCAACGGACCCAATTATGATAGATCAAAAGCATATGCGGTAGCTGGCATAGCGTCCAGCTGTCTCACTAGGTCTTGTGATTTTGACAACATTACCTCGCTTGAGGCCATAGTATCGGGCGACTGGGTCCATCAGCTGGATGCGCGGAAGTTGTGTCTCCTTTAGCCGGCTGCAAAAGTGGTTGAGCAAACCGCAATATCACGGAGCGCTGCTGTGGCGACGTACTAAGTTTCGAGGAGCTCTTTCTTCTCATCTGGCGTGAGGACCTCATGTTTTGGTACGAGCGTGTGGTGTGTGATGTTGACGAGGAGATCCGCTTCTGAAAATTCCTCCAGCCTGTACTGAGACGCCATAGCCGCAATAACCTAGTCGGGAGATTCAGGTGGGCGCCGTGGAAGCAGTAAGGCATAGCAGCCGACCTTTCGTGCCGACGGCGTCATGCTCCCCGGATAGACCATGATGCCTTGTTGTATGTTCTTCTCTTCCAGAATATGCAACATCCTGTGCATTCTATAAGCGACCACACAGGATATGTGGCGAACGCTTACTTCCGCATTGTCTTCACGCCAACACTCTTCTCCTCCGAGAAGAATATGAAGATGTGGGTCATTGGGTTATTTCGGTGGTTCGTGAAGAAATTGAGTTGTGTGCGGCTACATGCGGTGTCATCTGTGAGTTCGGGAAAGAGACTAATGATCACTCACTCCACACTGCCCATCTGGCTAGCATAGTGGCTCCGGAACGTCGCCAAGTCCATATTTATTTCATCATCGGATACTTGGAATCCCTGGGATTAAGAGGTGTAAATTGGACACTTTCCAACACAATTAATCCAAGCTCACTCTGTCCTTGACGAGCTCGTGGATAGTGCGGTTGACCTTCCAGAGTTTAGCAGATTCGTCCTGGTCGGCCATGGCGTACCGCGTCCAAGAAAGTAAGCGCGACTATGGGCGCCAAAAAGTCTGCTGAGCCGTTGAAACTCCGCGCCTCCCGTCCTCCGCGGCGCGCTCGCCACAGTGCCTGCTCACAGCAATGCCACCCTCGACAGCGACCACGGGCAACCATGATACTCCACCGCTTGCACTGACACCAGCCATGATGGTGAGCCGATCTCCCTGCACCGCTTCCGTCAATTACAACCCGCCGATCACAGGGGAGGCTGAAGCCTGCCAAAATCTTCAAGAATGCCGTCGAGCAGCAGCCCCCTTCGCCCGGGAATCAGTCCGGGAGACCTCAGAATACGGTTACGAGACACATCACGGGCATCAGCTTTGACGACAGAGGAGACCAGGTGGTCACGGCGTCCGAGGACGAAACATTCCGTCTGTACAACTGCAAAAGCGGCAAGCGAGTTCCCCGACTCCACAGTATGCGTCTGCTTCAACTGAGTATTCTTCGCACAGGCAAATCAAGACACTTCACTCAAAGAAATATGGTGTCGACCTGCCGCGTTTCACGCACAAAAACACAGCCATCGTGCACGCCTCTACGAAGGAGGACGATACTGTTCGCTACCACTCCCTACACGATAACAAGTACCTGCAGTACTTCAAGGGCCACAAAGCTCGCGTCGTTTCCTTGGAGGTCTCTCCCATCGACGATGGATTCATGTCCGGCTCCATGGACAAAACGGTGCGGCTCTGGGACCTACGCTCGCCAACGTGCCGGGGTCTCTTAAACCTACCTGCTTCGCCGATCGTTGCCTACGATGCGTCGGGGCTCGTTTTTGCTGTTGCCGTCAACCGCTACCAGCGTATATTACTCTACGACCAGGCGAACTTTGACAAGGCGCCATTCCTCGTGATCACGCTCGATGACCCAACGCTCGCGCTCATCAGCTTCCCTCCTCGCGCCATCTACATGACTTCGCTGACCTTCTCCTCGAATGGGAAATACTTGCTCGTCGGCTGCTCCGGCGACGCGCATTACATCGTGGATGCCTTCGAGGGCCACCTCCTGGCGAAGCTCGAAGGGCACGTTGGACTGGAGCGCAGAAGGCTGGGCACGCCGATTGGGATTGAACCGCAACGAGGTATCAGCGGAGAAGAAGTGTCTTGGACGCCGGACAGCAGGTTCGTTATTAGCGGGAGCCTAGATGGCAAGGTCGTTTTGTGGGACGTCCAGAAGCTGCCGGAGAAACAGGGAGACGTTGACCCGAAATCCCCGCCATTGCGCCTGCAGCCTCTGGTGAACCTGGAAGGACATCCGGGACCATCAAGGTGTGCGCGATTCAACCCCCGCTTCGCTATGATGGTCACAGCCGGCGCCGAACTTGTAAGTCTCACTCGCCCGTTGCTTGTTCGCCTTACGTAGCTGAGCATTCTCTCGATCTCCAAGGCATTCTGGCTGCCAGACCAATCCGGTGACCCAGACGATATCGCCAAAGAACTGCTGAAGAAGAGAGCAGGGTAGCTTAACATCCATTTCAGGAGGTTTACTGTATACAGACGGCGTTGGGCGCTGTAATGATGCTTGTACAGTAGCGGTTACATATGTATTGCATTCGGGACTTGAAATTTTGGAAGCTCGAGCGCGTCGATCGCAAACCAGTCCGGGGAAATTGACTGCGCTCGATTCGAACTCGATCAGGGGTGCGCGTCGGTCACGCGGCACACGCGGAACTGCCTGAATAGGCAGGTGCGCCAGGAGGACGTGGCAAACTTGGCGCGTCCGCGTCAGAGGTCGTGCAGCACTTCTCCTCTCCTCCATCCCTCGACGCGTTCGCTGGCAAGATGCGTCTCCAGACTTTGCTTGGTTCTCTCCTTGGCTTTGTGGCACTGCTGGCGGCGGCAGGTATGCAGTAGCTTCGATCGTCTAGGTGGCTGAGGTGCTAAGACACGTGTGGTGAACAGAGTCGACGGAGCCTGTCGTCTTGGCCATTGCTTCGTTCCCCGAAGATAATGCTTTCGGACGTGAGCAGTGCACCTTCTATTTTTCCGTGATGCACTTTTCATTCTCGACCCACAATAGAGATCGTGAACGGGGAACGTAACAAGATATTCCTGACCATCGAGAACCACTCAGATCAGAATATTACTATCAAGAACATTGCTGGCTCATTCTACAATCCAGACACGAATGCGCTTGTGAAGAACGTACGTATGCTGGTGGACACAAGGATACGCCGCGTTGACCGCACCGAAACAGACTAGCGCGTTGGCGTACGATGTCCTTCTACTCGAGGGTGCCAAGATGCAGCTCCCCTATACGTTCTATAGCGAGTAGGTGACTTCTCCTGTGTTGCAGTGCATGACTCCTGACATCCCGTTTTCAGGTTCAAAGTAGGCGCACACGACTGCTTAGTCTGTTATGGATGCTGATGGGTTGTCGTAGCCCGGCGACCTCAAGCTCAACATTTGGCTTGACCATGTCGCGGATGTACGTTGTCCCGTTCAGAGGCATATCTCACCACTCATACTCGTCTAGGGTGAAACCTACCGGGTGACCGCGTATGATTCGGTCGTCACCGTCGTGGAGCCAGAGGCGTCATGGCTTGACTTCAAGATGTCCGTCTCTTGCGCTATCATCCGCTCTACTGTCCTGGCTTGACTCACATTCATTCCAGGCTGTCAACCTACCTTGTTGTTTCTGTGCTGCTTGGTGGGCTAGGTTACTATACGTACCTCACGTTCGTCCCCCAGCCCAAGAAGCGCAAAACCCGCGCCACCACCACTGTCAGTGCCCCTGTGGGCACAGTGACTGCGACAGGTGCAGGTGGATACCAGGAGGAGTGGATCCCGGAGCACCACCTTAAGAAGTCAAAGGTTCGAAAGACGAAGTCTGGTGTAGCAACGAGTGGCGACGAGACGAGCGGGACAGAGATGAGTGGTGCAGAGAGTAGGAAGGGCAAGGGAAGGAAGTAGGCACTCAATTGGGACGCCAAAACGACACGCTGTCTAGGGACAGGTTGCATCACCTCTTTCTCACTCGCCTGCTGGTCAATGAGGACTCCGTGAGATATCTGCTTGTGTGACTTGAAGTCGGCATTCAGTCGCATATCTCGGTCTTGTGAAATGGCTACCACCGGTGGTTAGGCATCTGTGTGGTTCATGACCACAATAACACTATCATGAACCACATAACGACGCAAGTTGGTCAAGTGTGATGCAAACAAGATGCAGGCACGTATTGGGGCGTTTATTCTACATCAATGTGCTTGTAGCCCTTCACCTGTCGCCGGAGGTCAACCACCAACCGCCCGGATGCACGAGTCGCACACACCTTGTTCTCCTTCAGCATCTGCGCATATCGCTCGGCGAGATCCCTGCACTTCTCGTAATGGTTTACGCCCTCCAGGCGGTAGCACTTGGTCATGTTGTCGCGGACGATTTTGGCCTCCATGGCCCGCACCCAAGACTCGCGGATAATCTCGTCGCGCTCCTTCAGGCGGGCTGTATTCCACGCAGATGCGACGAGCACGAACGTCAGCCTCTCGAGCACCATATTTCCGCAGCGATTGGGCAGCGCACCTTGAAGCTCTGCCGCACGGGCTTCGTCAATGGCCATCGTCGAGATGCGTGCAGCAGGCAGGATTCGTTGGCACACAGGCGCCCGTTCGCGCGCCCCCGATCGGGGATATGGGCGCTTGCTACATTCAGCGGGCCCGACTTTCGGATGAGCTCAGACTCTCCTCCTTCAAGTGAAGCCGGGGATTTTACTTCTATCCTTCCTTCCTTCATGCTCGTGCAGACTGCGCGGAGCGCTGCGCCAGGGATGCACCGGGGCGGGCTTTGTGGTGTCTCCTAAACTATAGATGACGATGTGTTCCATCAGAGATGGTAATAACCTCGCCGGCGCTGCCTCTGCACCATCGCAGTCTTCCCAGGTCCGAAGCGGGCTTTCATCCTGGCGAGCGCCAGTATGTCCTACCCCATCCGCCTACCGTCCGATGGTCCGCTGGTCACCGTAACGCATCGTACGTGGCCCACGAGTATCACCGGTGTGCTAATCACCGATGCGCAGACGCCGGACTACTCACCAGCCACGCCCATTATCTGGCTGCTAGAGCTGCACAATGGCCTGGACAACCGCCTGACCGAAACGCTGCTCGCGAAAGCGCTGCTGCCTGCGCTGGACGCCGTGGAGAGGGCGTGGCGCGAGAGCTGGCGGGCCGCACAGAGCGCGAAGGATCCCGAAGGCGGCCGGGGCGCGCTGATCATTGTGGGGAACCGTGCGCAGAACAGGTTTTTCAGCAACGGTGAGTAATAGCGTATTTCAAATATTTATGCGGGAGAGCATTGTTGGATGTTGATGCTAATGGCCGAATGGCGCAGGTTTGGACTATGACAATACCATGAACACACCTTACTCGACGACCAACTTCATGCCGTGTACGTCCGAGTACATTTTCTGCATGGTATTGTGTCCTCATTCTAACATCTGAGCAGTGGTATTCTGCCCCGTCATGAGGAAACTCTTGACATTTCCTAGTGCGTATGTGTTCTTCCTGGAATATTGACGCGCGCACTCATACACCTGGTACAGTCCCGACTATCGCTGCTCTGAACGGACATGTCTTTGCGGCTGCCTTGATACTCTCGCTCTGTTGCGACTATCGCATCATGACAGACGGTAGCATCCGGCGAGCATGGATGTGTATGAATGAGGTTTGCTAATCTATAAATAGCACCCCTTCGTTCGCAACGGCTCACCCTCGCTTCCGACTTGTAGATTCACTTCGGTGCAGCAATACCGGTTGCCTTCACCGCGGTGATTCGCGCGAAGGTCAGCGACACCCATGCGCAACAGGCAATAACGCTCGAGGGCCGTCGCTTCTCCCCACAAGAAGCACATGAGGTGGGCCTGATTGACGACATCGTCAAGGGTGACACGGAAGCGGTCGTAGCGAGAGCACAGGAGGTAGCCGAGGGTAAGGCCGCATTTGCCAGAAGCGGTGCATACGGCGTGATCAAGGTGTGTTCTCCCGACAACGATAGATGGAAGTGTCTGATGCATGCCATTAGAGGGAGCTGTATCGCGACGTGTGGGAGGCAGGCTTGAGAGACCTGATTCTACCGAGTGTCGGCGCTGATGATGCGGCCGCGAAGGCGCGGTTGTGACTGGCTGGGATGTAAAGCAGTTGCTTTGAGGGCAACACAATGGGTCAACCGTGTTGGAGCAAACTATATCATACACAGGGGCTGCGGAGTATTCATATGGGCCTGCTCATTGGCAGGACTCGGTCTGCGCACGCCCATTGGCTGGACACGATGATCATTACGCTGTTTTGGCGCCCGAGAGACCGACTTCGGGGAGCCTTGACGACACGGACTATTGGGTTGACAGCAACCATGTGCGCTATGCTGCTGCATATAAGTCCACCCCCCGCGTCCCGCAGTTCTCTATCTTCCCCCTTTACTTTTCTCTCTTTTTTTGAGGCCGGGCCTTCAGCTGTGCTTTCTTTCTCGACAGCTGTCCTCTCTTTCTTGTCCTAGGTTTTCATTTCCCTGTCAGGTCACAGTCAAAGGCAGGTCCGCCATGCAGCTCGCTCTTTCTTTCGTGTTCCTTGCTTCGCTCCTCGTCTCGCTCTCGGTCCTCGGCGATGTCGCCCTGGCAGTTCCGACCAAGCGGGACCAGCTGGTCACGCTCCCTCTGAAGCGTATTCACAACACTCGGGACAGTAACCTGCACCCACAAGTGGTATGTGCCGAGTTTGCATGATATCGCGGATGTCTTGATTGTGATCACCTAATTCGCATTTACAGCTGCTGCAACAGCACATCAACCGCGGCTTGAAGCGCCATGCGCGCATGACCGGGCGTGTCCAGCCTGGCAAACGCGAACTGGAAGAGAAGATTAACAAGCGTCTTTACATCCCGCCCGTCGGCAGACAGAACCGCAAGCGCAAGGATGGCCTGTACCTCCATGGCAGCGTCGCGTATGTGGTTGTCTCGTCAGGAATCAATCTGTGCACTAATCCTCCCCCAAAGTGCCGCCAAGGACAAGAAGAAAGACAAGAAGAAGAAGGGTGCTGCCGCGGCAGGTGCTGCAGCGGGCGCTGCGGCGGGTGCTGCATCCAACTCGACCGCTGCAGGTGCAGCCGCATCCAACTCGACCGCGGCGGGTGCAGCTGCTTCCAACTCGACTGCTGCAGGTGCAGCCTCGTCTAACTCGACCGCGGCATCTACCTCCACCTCGTCATCGACGTCGGCAGGTGCTCCTGATGTTGCGGAAGGAATTCCCGCTATCGACGTCTCGGCTGCTACTAGCGGTGGTTTAACGGTTGCCAACGCTCCTACGGCTAGCAACTCACTCGGCCTTGACATTGAGTCCGTGAATACCAGCCGCAGATTGTGATCCTTAATTGACATTATGATACTTAGGGCGAACGACGTTGGTTATATCGCTACTGTGCAAATCGGTACTCCCGCGCAGGACTTCAAATTCCTCATGGACACCGGCTCCGCGGACATGTGGGTCGGCTCCGAGTCCTGCACCACGGAAGGCACAACCCAGGGCTGCGTATGTTCCTTTGCATTCAAGCGCTTTCCGATCAACGTTCTGACAACGTTTGCAGGGCAATCACACTTTCCTTGGCACACAGAGTTCATCATCTTTCGTCCAGATTGGGACCCAGTTCGAGGTCACATACGGAACAGGCCAAGTGCAGGGTGTGACCTGCAGCGACAACGTCAACATTGCTGGCCTTGCGCTCAACAACCACACGTTCGGTGTTGCGAACGTCGAGAGCAGTGACTTCTCTGCTGATGATATCCCCTTCGATGGCTTGATGGGTCTTGCGCAATCTGTACGGCCGCTCGTACTATCTGGTTCCTCCCACTTACTGATTGTTTTCTGACAGGGCCTCTCTGAGGAGGGAGTGTCAACTCCTGTCGAGTCGCTCGCATCGAACGGCCTCATTAGCGCGGCGATCGCCTCCTTCAAGATCTCGCGCCTCGCCGACCAGCTCAACGACGGCGAGATCACCTTCGGCGGGCTCGACGCATCCAAGTTCGTCGCAAACACCCTCGTCACCTTCCCCAACGTCAACACGGAGGGCTTCTGGGAGGGCGCGATGACCGCCGTCACGTCGAACGGGCAGGACCTGGGCCTCACGGGCCGCACCGCAATCCTCGACACGGGCACCACGCTCATCATCGCACCCCCGAGCGACGCGGAAGCGGTGCACGCTACGATTACCGGCGCGCAGTCTGACGGACAGGGCGGCTTCACGATCCCGTGCACCTCGAACACGAGCGTCGCGCTCACGTTTGGCGGGCAGTCGTTCGAGATTAACCCCCTCGACATGCTGTTCGCCCCCGTCAACGCGGATGACCTCACGGGCGACTGTGTATCTGGCATCTCCTCGGGAGAGGTCGGCGCCGCAACGGAATGGCTGGTGAGTGGTACACCTTTCTCGTGGCTCGCGATTGGGCTCTGATGTCGGACGTGATTGCAGGTCGGTGATGTGTTCCTCAAGAACGCGTATTTCTCCGTGAACCAGAACACGAACGAGATCTCTCTTGCTCAGCTGGCAGAGGATCCGTAAACGTTACTTTGCTGGATGTGATGCACGCTGCTTTCAGACTCGAGGACACTTCACGTAGCACTGATTTGAATGAGCTTTGTACTTGCTTGCATGTTTTCATCGACGGATAATTGCTGTGCAATCGACTTATTCCTGGGGACCCTAGCTGTGTGATCGCGTGCGCCTTCCGAGATTTATCAGCTAGCTCATTGCCGTTGCAGGACCGACACGGGTGCTTTCATAAGTGGTGACAAGGGGTTACCTTTGGGAGTTACAAAAGGAAGACTCACGGATGTCGGACAGGCAAGCCACAAGCGGTAATACATACGACAGTCATTTGCACTCTAGATAATTGAACCTGTGATTTAGACATGCCTTCAGCATAATTCACTGTGCTATTTGAGAGCCCTCAGTGAGAATAAACTCAGGTCTTCCCAATGATCATCATGGAATCTCTACGTTCTTCGCCGTTGCAACTGGACCGGAGCAAGGATACACCTTTTATGCCCCTCCCCGGGATGTTCCTGGGTTCCAGATTGCATGATCTGCGCGCATTGCGTCAAGGGAACAGTCAGTGCGAGAGTCAGCGAGACCCAAAAGACACCGCGCCCCAATTGGTCAGGTCGCGGGTCACCAGTCACGCCTTCAGGGAGCTTTAGACGTATACATCAGTGCAGATGCTGCGGCCGTGTTCCGAGGGAGCGGTCGAGACGCGTTCCCGGCGTGGGCACTGGGTTCGGGGCATCGGGAGAACGGGAGCGGACCGCGCACGGGCCACTCAGTGGGAGGTGGAACCCGCAGCACTTGCGGAATGTCGGGCAGGCTCCAAGGGGATGGTGACTAATTACCTGAAATATAGCTACACATTGACAGCCCTTCGGCAGAGACGTACTAGTACAAATGACGCCTCGGGTGTATGCCGGGAAGGCCTGGACTAGGGAGACAGATGGCATCTATCAATTCAGTACGAATATGTTAAAAGAAACAGACAAAAAAGGCCCTTGGGATAGATACACAAGGAAAACATTGTGACCGGGACAAGGAGGGTGGGACAAATGCGAAGGAAGGAGGGGGGATGCATCACAATGCAGGAAAACAAAAGGACAAGATGCGGCGCACTATGCATATAGTTGTACATGTGTAAGACCTCCGGAGACAGCGAGGACAGGTTGAGACAAGAGGAGAGCGACCGTACGACGACAAAGCATTACTAGGCTCATAAGCGGCGGTATACAAGGTCAGAGTGTGGCGGCCTGTCCGTAATCGTACCCAACGCAGACGGGGAGTTTGGAGACAAGGGCATATGGGCTTAATCATAGTTCATTTGGGACTTGGAGCGAGAAGTAGGGGTGGTTTAAAGCATCCCGAACGCGGATTCGTTGCGCGGGGTCGAAAGTAAGGAGCCTCCTGACGAGGTCCAGAAACTGTCGATTGACGTTGTCATGTGTTGGAATGATCTCCTGCTTATCGACGGTGTCCATCAGCATGCGAGTATGATGCAGAAATAAGGATAGTCGACCAACCTGTAGGCTGCGACACGCGCGCACTTCCTTCTTGCTCTGCCTCGAAGCCTTCGGCTTTGGCCAGTCAAGTTTACTTCCCTCTTTAAAGAACTCTGGCTTTGAACGGGCACCAGATCTCGCAAAACGCTCAGGCATCTTGCCCATAACCTGCTCCATCATGGCGAGGTGCTCGAGGTTATCGTGGGTTTGGAATAGAGCGACGCCGGTGTAGAACTCAACAAGGATGCAGCCCAGAGAGAATGCATCGCATGGATATGACCATCCGAGGCCTGGTAGAAGCTTGTCAGCAGAAGCCGCAAGGAATGACAACAGGACAGCTTACCAAGGATGATCTCCGGAGCGCGGTAATGCCGTGTTGAGACAACGCTAGAGTGGTATTCTTCCTCGAATGTTGCTGAGCCGAAATCAATTAGACGGATGTCCGTGGATTCAAGTAGCCGTTTTGTTCTAAGCTGCGTGTTGCGCTGGAATACACGTGTCAAGGGAAATTTTTCATGAGGAGACATGATGCTAACCCCCTTGCCAGCAACGGGAACTTGAGCAAGGCGATAGTCATTGTTAACCAATAAGATATTTTCGGGCTTCAAGTCCGTGTGAATGAGATGCAGGTCGTGAAGAACTGAATATAGGTGTCAGTATGCAAATGTGGCACAGAGGTAAGTGTACCGACATGCTACGCTGCCAAGAAGCTGTCTTGCAAAGGATTGGATATGTTGTCGTGGGAACGGTGCAAAGTCGTTTTCCTTGAGAAAGTCGTACACGCACATCCCCAGGAGCTCCGAGACGAGACAAATGTGGTTGCGGTGGTCGAACCATTGCAGGAGGTGTATACATTTGCTAACAGAGATTGGCCTCAGCTATCGATGTCATGCATGTTGTCGACAGACAGCCTACTTGTTATTTTTCGGATCCCGCTCTTTGAGCTTCTGCAGGACCCGCACCTCCATTTTGCTGGCATCACGGTACTTCGGTATCGCGCGAATAATCTTGATGGCAACACGTTTGTTTGTCTCGATGTCCACAGCTTCGACGACCTTGCCAAATGTCCCCTGGCCCAACAGCCGGACAGTACGATCTGAGGGGATGAGCTGAGAGTGCTGAAAATCAACATCTCAGACAATACTTACACCGTCGATAGATGATGTCGTCTGGGACAATGATATAGTGGCCCTCTTTGTCGTCGCATGGGACTTGCTCCTTAGATGCCTAATGATGGGGCGTCAGATATGGCCGTGACCATTGTCACGAAAGTGGGTGGGTGAACGCACATCGTCGACAGCAGTACCGCTACCGCTGGCGTATGGCTTGGTCGCGCTGAGGGCGGTCTGAAGGTGCCCATTTACTGGTCGCTTGCTGACAGAGCTCGCGTCATCGGCGATGTCTCGCCTCCGTTTCTTCGCCGCGGGAGGGGCTGCGATGGCCGAGGACGTGCTAGCGGATAGTGCTTGCGCCTCCGCCGCAGCGCGAGCCCTCGTGCGGACGGGTGCGGTGAAGACCGGGGGCTGATATGACGCCGAGTACAGGTGCGCGTGCGTGGATGCTGGGGAGACAGTCGATGGCGGGGGAGTGTCCTCGATGACGATGACATCGCGGACTCTGCCTGTATTGTCGACCTCTTGGACTTCGCTGTAGCTAACCGTATACTGGTGCGCACGCTTGCGCTTGCGCGTAACGGCCGGCGGTGTGGGCATGGCGTTGAGATTGCCGTTCAGGGAGCGATTAAGGGAGGGGTGAGGGTACTGGGGTAAGAGGTGCGGCGCCATGGTTTGCACCAGGGACTGCATAGTCAGGATGCTTGTGGACGACGTGGTGGTAGAGGAGAGAGGGAGCGACGGTCTATCTGCTGATATACACGGAGTCGAGGTTGCAACTGAGAGCGTCTCCCTTCGGTCTCCCCCAGCTCCTTATTTGTTTGTGAGCCACGGCTCAGCCACCCTTACAAAACCTCTCTCGGACCGCGGAGCACGTCGTCGCACGTCGCTATTCTCCTCTGCTCGACATCGCGGAGCCAGCTACTATACGGTTAGGGCCTTGCGGGTCCCTCTGATACAGTGGCAGCCCCCATCAGGGCAATATAGGCCGCATCGAGCTGTACTTACGTTTGGGCAGGAAGTGATGACGCCCATGTCGCACAAAACTTGCTAGTTCTCGAGGCACAATATCATTTCTTCGAGAGACGGCTCGCTCCATTGATGAACGTTGGTCGCTGGCTGCCCCGCCACACCAGTGTACTTATGCAGGGCGGCGTCCTTGTTCAAGAGGCTACGGCAGATGCGCACGTGGACGACACACTCGCGGCTGCGCGCTGCCGGCGGTGCCAGCCACTGTCACTGACCTTCTGTAAGTACCTGAGCAACGCGCATTGCCGTCAAGAGAAATTCTGCTCTACCTTGCCTACAATACGATACGCACGATAACGAATCGCGATGCGTAAGAGTAACGTCAACAAATGCAGCGGGCCCGCGAACGCGAACAATACACCGCTGTATTTGTCCAAGGCGCCAATGTGGGCCGGGAAACACAAACAAATCACAAAAATTATAAATGAGAGATTCGAAAAATGTGTTAAACCTGGAGTACTTTTGTTGCGAAATACGCTGCAGCTGCGGGAAGATTGCCATAAATATGCTCATGACCCCATTTCCGGTTGGCGCTTAGTTGCCCGGCGACCGTAGACAACCAACATTAGCTCTATATCTGATAGTAAGTCCATAAATATTGCTGTAAATAACTGTAAATACAACGTCATTTAATTATGAGTTAACAGACGCTGGTCGATGTTTGCACTTTGTTTGGCTAAGAGGGGGCCCGACTCTGCTCGCCGCCGACGGCGACGACGACAAGCTTATTCTTCTTGCTGCATGCGCTGTGCTGGCCTGCCGAAGTCATAAAGAGATGAGCGGACCCCTTCTCTCGGCTGAGAGCTCAGTCCTCCAGCCAGAGCCATACCCTCCGCTCTGCGGCAACGGCGACGACATCCCGATTGATCCTGCCCTTAGTGCGCCGCAAGTCGACCCAGCATTGTTAGCCGGAGGCAATGATGCTAGAAAGGTCGAGGTGAGTGCGTGTGTAGAAGGAGGCGTGGCCACCGACGCGTTATACACAAACGCGTCGCGTGTCGCGTCGCGGTCGCGATCATCTAGAGGCGTGCACCAAAACTGACTGACGACATCAAACACAGGTCGTCTCGCTTCCGGCACCCGTGCAGCCCAGTCCGACTCCGCAGCCGAGACAATACTCCCAGGGCCCGCAGGGCGACCCTTTTGCTCCTCAGCCTCCTGCGTATTTTCCCGTGGAGGAGCCTCCACCACAACCTGCAAAACCGGCTAAGAAGAAGCGCCAGCCTCGGCGGGAAGAGGAATGTGGGTTCTGTCACGGGAATGACAAGAAGAATAAGGTCGGAGAACCGGAGCTTATGGTGTCTTGTTCTAATTGCGGGCGAAGCGGTAAGTGCGCAGACCGAATCTCTGGCTGTTGGCTCATCTCGATGGTCAGCACATCCGAGCTGCATCGACTTTCCCGAGATGGGTGATGTCCTGCGCTCATATCTATGGCAATGTGCGAACTGCAAGAAGTGCGAGGTTTGCGACAAGGCGGAGGGTGATGTGAGTGAATCGTCCACACTTGCGCATAAGCAGTCCTGACTTTGTAGCGCAGAACAGGATGATTTTCTGCGATTATTGCGACAGGGGTTCGTAAAACTAGATCCAGGGAGACCGTAGGCTGATATATGCATAGGATGGCACTTGGATTGCCTTCACCCTCCCCTCTCCGCGGCACCGGAAGGTAAATGGCACTGCCCGCTTTGTCCGCCTCTCCCACATCCAGATCATGAATATCCGCCGGTCATGGATGTACACTATCCCACCAAGGTGTTCTCACCTCATGGGCACTTGGCCCCAAATGGAATAAACTCACCGCGCCAATTTCCAACCAAGGTGCATACTCCGCATGAGGCGTACCGCGAGATGTCTGTAGCGTCCTCGTCTCGCATCCCCGACAGCGCCACGACGCACATCACCATCTCAGGAGCCGAAGAGTCGGATGGCGAGGCTACGCCCACGGCGGCGCGGCGCAAGGGTACAAGGAAGTCGCGCTCGAAGGGCAAGACACCCTTGCGAGATCAGTCGGTTGACACTGACGCTACCCGCTCGGACTCGGTGCGCCCTGCGAAGCGGATGCGCCTCCGGCTGACCTCTCCCATTCCTCCTCAGAAGACTGTCCTGCGGCTGCGGTTACCCGCGCGGGACAAGGGCAAGGGGCGGGAAGAGGAGCCGAGCGACGGAGAGAAGGGCATGTTTGATGATATATTGTGTCCGGAAGATCGGGACACTGCGTCGACGTCTATCTCCAACGGTGATCGGCAGCGGTTCGATAGCAGTCGGGCTGTGGCAGAGGTACGCTGGACAAGTTTTTGTCGATAGCCCGGTCGCTTGACCCTCGTCCAGGAGAGGATGACACCTCGACCCCCACCACCTGAGATTCCTGAGACCGCGGGTGCAGGTCCTTCTACGAGACCATTGCGTTCAACGGCCCATCTGCGCTCGGAAGCTACTGCGCCCCCGGCGTCCGAGCGGTCGGAATCGCCTTCCCGGTCAACTCCCATGCCGCAGATGCAGCACCCACCTAACGGATTGCGCATCCGGCGGATACGCTTCGGTGAGTACGACATCGAGACGTGGTACGATGCGCCGTTCCCCGAGGAGTACGCGAACATCCCAGACGGGCGCCTGTGGTTATGCGAGTTTTGCTTGAAGTATATGAAGAGCGAATTTATATCGAGGCGGCATCAGGTAGACATGCTCTTCGATACCATCAACCCCGCAATTTTCATGACTTCTTCCCCCCTTTGTGCTACTGTAGTTGAAGTGCAAGATGAGACACCCGCCCGGCGACGAGATATACCGCGACAACGCAATATCAATATTCGAGGTCGACGGGCGCAAAAACAAGATCTACTGTCAGAATCTGTGCCTGCTTTCGAAGATGTTCCTGGACCACAAGTCCCTGTTCTACGACGTCGAGCCCTTCCTTTTTTACGTGATCACCCAATTTGACAGCCTGGGTGCTCGGTTCGTCGGATATTTCAGTAAGGAAAAGCGCAGTCCCAAAGACTACAACGTCAGTTGCATCATGACCTTACCCGTGCGACAGCGCCAGGGTTGGGGACAACTGCTCATTGACTTCAGTACGGACTGTTCAACACTCATTTAATACTTGCTCATACATCTTCATGATGCAGGCTATCTATTGTCAAAGAAGGAGCAGAGGTCGGGTTCGCCTGAGAAGCCGCTCTCTCCATTGGGTGCATTGGGCTACAAGAGCTATTGGACTTTTGCACTTATGCGATATTTCCGGACAGCACCACAGAATCCTCGTCTGGAAGGTCAGCCACTTTTCGCTGGCACGAAACAACCCCCCATTGATTATTTTCGTCGGTCGAAGTAGACATCACTGTCGCTACATCTATGACGATCGAGGACGCTTACAACACGCTCGTGCAGCTGAAGATGCTAACTGTCGACGACAGCTCGAGACGGCTGAAGCCAATGCCCGGCCAGACCATCAAGGTCCAGAAAGGGCGGAAAAGTGGGGTAGCGAGGAAACATTTACAGCGTACGCAGACCAATGACGACGAAAAGGTCAAAGGACCTTTCGTCCTCCCGACCAGTTATGAAATACACTGGGATCCGGACGAGGTAGAACAATACATGGCTCGCTGGGAAGCCAAAGGCTACCTGACGCTCAAGCCCGAGAAGCTCAAGTGGAGTCCGTTCATCGTAGCGAGGATGCGCAAGTCAGAGCAGCTATCGTCCGACCAGCCGCAACAAGCAGCGAAGGTGGATCTGGTAGCCGCAGAGGCGGGTGCAAGGCTGGATACATCGACGGAGACGCGCTCGACGAGTATCATTGCCACGAAATCACCGGCCTTTTCGTTATTCGATGATGACAATGTCATTACCATATCGTCGTCCCGCGAAGCATCAAGAGTCCAGCCCGATGCGGAAATCGCGCGCTCTCCAAGTGCGATCCCGGACTCGGAGGCACAGTCGACGCAGCAGGCATCGTCGGGCAATCCGCAAACTCCGCGGGGAACAAGACCGGAATCAGTCCATGAGAAGGAACGGGAAGTAGCAAGAGACTCACAAGCGGACGACCTGGATCAACTTGAGCTAGACAGGGCGTTTGCTGAGCAGCTGGCGAGAGACGAGTCCAGGAGCCGCTTGCGCAATCGGGTCCATTCAGAACCATCCGCGCCTATACCCCGTGATGAACCCACGACACGCAAAGGACGGCCTCCCGCAGGGCGCCGGGCGTCCACTCGCACAGGCGGAGACAATAGCGGCGCTCCCGTGGGCGACGACGCAGTCCTTGCAGCGCAGCTCGCACGAGAGGAGAGCACACGGCGCCTTCTGCGTGCACGGTCAAATACAGAGCAGCAGGACGCCAAGAGAGCGGATCCGACGCCCCGGTCAGCGTCGCCACGCAAACGCCGACGCGTCGACTCGCCGAACATGGATCGGACGCTTTCAACGTCCATGTCGCCACCAATAACGCGACGCAATAGCAGGCGAACTTTGGCCGACTCCTCGCTTTCGAAGGACACAACAGCACAGCGCAAGGCTTCGCGACGCTTAATGAACGGCACCGCTGGCATGGCCCCGCGACAACGGCAGGCCGCGACGCGGCCTACGTCGGGTACGAGTGGATCAGCTGTATTGATGTATGATCGTGAAGAGGAAGAAGAGTCCTCGGATGGGGAGACGCGTAAGCATGCGATGGCAGCAGATAAGGGACAGCGCGAACCTATCATCGATGTATCGGTGAACGAGCCAAAGTACGAAGATACGGGCACGCCACTCACTGCTACCACCGCACGACATAGCGCACCCAGCGACGACACTGTCTTCGTCGCAGAGGAACACGCCGGAGGGACAAGAAAGACCTCTCCCGCGAGGCACATCATCGTCAAGGTCCCCACGGCCGCACCTGTAAATGAGCAGCAAAGTGATCGCCGCGATGGGGAGGATTTTATGGAAGTAGATAAGCGCATGGGCGGGGATGCAGAAGTTGAGAGGGAAGGAGAAGCTGATGCAGAGGGCGAACCTGACCTGGATGGGGAGCCAGACCTGGAGATGCTATGATGACGCGTGTCATGTGTACCATTGTGCTTGGGACCTTGTCATTCATTAGAGGTTGTATTGTGTAGTATACTCACCGCTCGTTTAATGCAGCTATAGTTTGGTGCCAAGGGGTGGGATGCGAGATAAGATCCGCGTGAGCATGGGAAGCTGTAGTGAGCGTGCGCTGCTGCGGGCGCGTCAAGGTGAGTGTGAATCACTGAGAGAATGGCCGACAGCTGGATCGGCTTATAATAGTCGAATACTTAGCTTTGTGCAACATACGAGGGACAATAATCCCAAGTTTGCTCCTTGAGGTTTGTGGAAGTTGTCTCCAAACGCGATCAGGTCCGGCGGATACCGCGTGTCTTGAAGCCTGAATGCAATGAAGACCGGCTGGAAAATAAATGGGAAGGAAAACATGGAAGCTTTTACATTGTAAGCGTATATGAGGGCATCCATCTCAAGAATTCCCGGCTGTCCGGCTCAAAGTGTGGTTTGGGCTGGAGAGTAAGTGTGGACCGGAAGAGAGACCGGGAGACGCGGACGCTACCACTTGAAACCGTGAGATCTCGATCTGCACGATACTGTGGCGCAGAACCGTGGCGCCTGTGAATACACAAAATCGCCTATAAACGGAAACTCAGTAGTGAACGTCTATAACAGTGCCGTCATTACGAGTATATTGGGTATCATTTCATAAACCTAAGCAGTAAGTGCTTAGAGATGTTATGAGCGGACGGAAGATAGACCACGCAGGCTCCGTCACCCTTCGGTCACATATTGTTTTGTTCACCTAGCCACATATCGAACAAGTATGTGTTTATTCGATCGCCGTAATAGTTCAGCGAACGCAGCGAGTCATGCAACACCGTTCGAGTGCAAATTACTCTCAAGCTTACTGGCGGCGAGGCCGTATTCCTACATCTAGTCAGAACTTCGGTATTTAGCAACTCAGCGAGAGGTCGGTTGCGTGCAACGGTAACTGCAACCGAAAAAGTCATTAATTCAGCCATTTGGTGCCATTTCAAGGGTTCTCGAAAGGACCAGCGTATCCAAGATCACCAGGCCCGCCACTATACAGACGGTCAAAACTGGTAGCTATCCGCCATTCCGACAGCTCTTAAGTATGTTCGCAATTATGGCCTCATTTGAGTCGATACCCTCCACACTTCCGTGACCATCAAGCCACTTCCAAAGTCATGGAAGCATTGCGAGTTCGCTAAGCCACACAGCATATCGTTAAGGACCCCAAGGAAAGGAGGTCACCGAGCTTTCTACGAGGAAGAGTGACAGGGCATGCTGCTCGCAAAAGGACTTCCTTTATGCCCTCTACGGACATCAGAAATTGACACGCGCACATTGTTCGGGGACTCCGGAAAGTTCAAATCATGACAGCATGAACGACAGAATTCTGAAAGGGCCGGGCTGTTGGGGGTATCAGACAAACAATAGGGTCGTTGTCTACGTGTTCTTCGTCCACATCCCGGACAACGGGGTAAACTTTCAGATGAGTTTCTATGGCGGTGGGAGGAACAGCGAGGAAGACTGCGGCGTATGTAAAGGCACAGCGAGAGGAAGTGGTGGTAGACCTCCGAGTCGGGACCGCAATGAATCCAGATCACTGTGGTAAACGGTGTATTGGCTCATGTCGAGTAGTGAGTCCAAAGGGCAGCATACAGTGGTCTGATGCTTGAATGTTGATCCCAACAGTATAGGCGAATATTCACCAACAAGTATCTGTGTGAGGCCTTTGACCGCTGGTTCCGAGTTGAGGACCCCCGACCATGATTCATGATCCATGACACGCCACGGCTATATATCGAGAAAGTGGCCGTCTTCAATAAAAGCCAAGACTCACAGTTTGGTGTAACATTGGATGACAAAAAATTGTATGCGAAGTGAATGACCTTGCACGAAATGAGTCCAAACCATAAGTATTAAGGCTTTTTATGTCGTGCACGAAGGGTCGCTGAAGTATTACTGCAGAGGCGCCCAATGGTTCAAATTGTCACAGAATGTCACGCGTTGCGTAGATGATGTGACAGAGACTCGATCGGATGTGTTCTGCAAGCGCTCGAGTTCTTGGAACGCGTCTTGACTTCGAGCATGGCGGAACAACAAGCTCTCTACGCGACAGACGAGGTGCAGTATCGTCGGATGATTTCAGGAAAATGTGTACTGAAGCTTGACATTGCAGTATGGGCGTCCCTTCATCATTCTCCGCGAACAAGCCAAAAAGACTCGCAGTCATGGTGTAGAAGCGATCAAGGTACTGACTGACTAGCCTATGCATCTATTACACCTGCTGAGATTACTACGTTAAGTCACATATCCTGGCTGCGCGCACTGTGGCAAATATCATACGAACCTCTCTCGGTCCTCGAGGTCTGTCTAAGCACTTGCCCTTCGTTTCACTGACGCCTCATGCAAAATCCTTCGCCCACGAATAGGCCTTGACAAAATTCTCATCTCTCCCGATGGTGACATCACGGTAACAAACGATGGTGCAACAATCCTGAGTCAGATGGAGGTCGAGCACCAAATTGCGAAACTCCTTGTGCAGCTCTCCAAGAGTCAGGACGACGAGATTGGTGACGGGACGACAGGCGTCGTCGGTGAGTTGCCTGCAATATTTTTCAGGTATAGTCTCACAAATGTTCTCTTAGTTCTTGCTGGAGCCCTGCTGGAGCAAAGCGAAGCGTTGCTTGACAGAGGCATCCACCCCATCCGGATAGCAGATGGTTTCGATCGAGCATGTACGGTTGCGGTGGAGCATCTCGACCGCATATCCGACCGCGTCGAGTTCTCACTTGAAGACACGTCAAATCTCATCAAGACAGCGAAGACCAGTCTTGGCAGCAAAATGTATGTACCTCCCTGCAGTCCTTCTCGCATCCGCCTTTTTGACGTCACATAGTGTCTCAAAAGAGCACGAAAAGTTCGCAGAGATCGCGGTCGACGCCGTGCTCGCTGTAGCAGACTTCGAACGCAAGGACGTGCCATTCGACATGATCAAGGTCGACGGCAAGGTCGGCGGCTCGCTCGCAGACACGAGCCTAATCAAGGGCGTGCTCGTCGACAAGGATATGTCGCATCCCCAAATGCCCCACAGCGTGAATGACGCGCGCATCGCCATCCTAACGTGCCCGTTCGAGCCCCCACGCCCGAAGACGAAGCACAAGCTGGACATCACGAGCGTGGAGGAGTACCGCCGCCTGCGCGAGTACGAGCAGGACAAGTTCCAGGATATGATTAAGCGGGTGAAGGACACCGGCGCGAACCTGGTCATTTGCCAGTGGGGCTTCGACGATGAGGCGAACCACCTACTCATGCAGAACGATCTGCCTGCTGTGCGATGGGTAGGTGGTCCCGAGATTGAGGTGGGTCCAACGGCATGGTAGTTTGTATCTGGACTTGTTGCTGATGTTGACGTTAGTTGATCGCAATTGCAACGAACGGACGAATCGTTCCACGATTCGAAGACCTCACTGCAGACAAGCTGGGCAAGGCAGGTATCGTACGCGAGGTTTCCTTCGGCACCACGCGTGACAAGATGCTTGTGATCGAGAAGTGCGCCAACGCGCGGACAGTCACCGTCTTCGTTCGGGGAAGCAACAAGATGGTGTGTACCCTCCGTGTGCGAAATGTCTTCTCAACTGATATTGGTCTTCGCAGATCGTTGACGAAGCGAAGCGTGCTCTCCACGATGCCCTCTGCGCTGTCCGCAACTTGGTCGTTGACAACCGCGTCGTGTACGGCGGGGGTGCTGCCGACATCAGCTGCTCGATGGCCGTCTCGAAGGCAGCCGACGAGGTGCGTTCTGGGAACATCTACTCACCGCAAGATTCCTGTCCAATGCTGTGCTATAGATTGCAACCATCGAGCAATACGCGATGCGCGCCTTCGCGTCCGCTCTGGACGCCGTGCCGCTTGCTCTCGCGGAGAACAGCGGTTTGTCGCCTATCGAGACGCTCGCGGAAGTCAAGAGCCGGCAGGTCAAGGAGGGCAGCTCGAACCTCGGCATTGACTGCCTTGGTAAGGGTGAGAACGGTATGTCGGTGCAGCATGGGTCGATTGCATTACATGACTGATGGCCCGTTGTAGACATGAAGAAGCAATTCGTGTATGACCCGTTGATCTCGAAGCGTCAACAGTACTTGCTCGCTACACAGGTTTGTGACATGTTTTATACTCGAGTGCTCCATGCTGACAGTCACTTCTCACAGCTTGTGAGGGCCGTGCTGAAGATTGGTCAGTCCTCCATTATGCCCTAACCGGACATTCACTCATTAGCCTTTCATTTGTGCAGATGATGTCATCGTTGCTGGCCAGGCGGAGGATTAGTCGACCAAAGTGCAAATATGTCTGTAGAAGTATTCAACGCAACCTGCTAATATGCAATATCTACCCGCATCGATGGATCACATCCATTGTCTAGCATACTGGTAGGTCTATCATAGTCCTCCGGGATTAATGAGAATGTTGTCAAGTAAGTAGGCAAGAAAGTCCAAGATCAATGCATTGCGAAAAAACAAGAAAGGCCAGGTTACTCTGTCAAGAGACGATGATTTCCTCACCGACACTTTCGGTTATGGCCTGCGTCTTCTCCTGTTCCATGACGCCAGTTCCTTGTTCGTGATCGTCTATAGCGCACTTCACCTCCCACTCCTTGATCCCGACCGTACTTCCCTGAGATCTCCACGCATCCATCATGCGCATCCGCCTCTCGTCACACATCTTCACCAGCGCAGACCAATACTGCTCGTGGTCGTACTCGAACTCCCGAGCGCCGCCCCACTCTTTCATGAGCATCTCGGGCGTAAAGAGGCCGTCCTTGATGCACGCGGGATTGAAGCGCATCTTTTCGCGAGTGACGGGGTCAAGCAGCGGCGTGATAATTCGGAAGAACGCGTTCACGAGGAAGGGTACGTTCGTGATGAGGGCGCGTCCGAGGCGTTCTGGGTCTGCGGCGGAAGAGGTGAGACGTGCTGTGCCATGATGGCTACGGAAGTGACGCACAGTGGTTCTGAAGAATGTTGACAGTCTGCCGGCGAGCGCGTCATCAGTCGCCATTGAGCTTTAGGTGACATGATGTATACGTACCGCACGGGACTGTGAGATGGAAGGC